TTCCTCATGGTTGACTCCTGATAAATTTATCACGAAATGTAAACTGCCCTGATATCATCCTCACTTATCATCCCTTGCTGATACCCCGCTTGCATTAATTCAATAACGCAGGCAGGGTTGCCATTTTCATTGAATAAAAAAAAACTTTTCATGAAAACGTAACGATTTAAATTACTTTAAGCAAATTGAACCACAAACATCATTCGTCACAAGGTCATAGGAAATCCGTAATGGACGATTTTCCTTATAATAAATTGGAAAATAGGGTTCGTGCGAGCTAACATGTGTGACTGGCCGTATAATTAGGTATCTAAATGTGTTGCCACAACAAAATAATAAACTATACAATATACCAATTTTTTTTTTTTAAATCTTTAATCTTATATGTAGTTTACAAGCTCTTTCAAATCTTTTATGATTTTCTTTCTGGATTGTTACCTGCTGTCAAAAAATCCTCAAGAAACTCAACAGTTATTTTTTTAAACCTTTGTTAACAATATGTGTATTAATTTAAATGTACTATGTCTAAAATAATATGCTCATTTAAAATCCCGTGTGTGATCGACTAACACCATGCATTATTGTCATACAAGTGATCAATTAGTTAAGCTTTACTTAATAAATAAAGTTTTAAATTTATTAAATAGTAGATTCAAAGTATCCTTCAGTACTTTATAGCCTTAGATAAGAGTGTCTCAATAGAAATAATTCGAGAAAATCGGGCCAACTTTTTCATACAATTTTACATGATAAATAGTTATGAGTTAACCCTTTATAACTTCTATATTTATTTTATAACTTCTGCATCTTTTTAATACGTAAACACTCATTTTATTTATTAAATAATACGTCAAAATACATTTTATACGTAAGTAAGTATATAGAACACTAATAAAAAAAGGAATTAGCTAATTTAACAATTAGCTGACAAAAAGTCGACCTTATTTATTGAAAAGCTTATAGCATATATCAACACTGTAAGGTTACTTTTGCCTAAATTTAGTTATACATATGTAAATCATCGATTGACTCCAGTTGTCTCTTCTGCGTCAAATTAAAAAACTCTTGAACCTGCTTATGTATGTGCAAAATATTTGCTTATACGCATTGTGCTAAAATGACAATATAATTCATGACATATGCGACATGACAGCCAAAGCTGCGAATTATTCTCAAAGACGGCAGGCAATTTATATGCCAATCCAATCCAATGGGACGTTAAACCCTATTCATTTCACAACTGCATGGTTGTCTAATTGATTTAACAGCGACAGACTGTGGTGAATCATAAACAATACTAGTTTTGTCTAATTATGCCACCTTTCCTGCGTCACATTTTGCACTCTCTTGTTTAAGTACTAAAACCATAAATAACATTATTTTTCTTATTTTTTTAATCTTAACTCTAGGAGGAGGGAGAGGAAGGAATTGTTAGTAATACAGACTATCGATCCCATTTTTTTTTATGGGTGAAAATGGTATGGTAACCCCGCCTGCGCTAACGGGATACGCTGGCGGTGCACCGGTGAAGGGTGATAGATGAGAATGAAAACAGGCCAATTAGCCCATCATGATGAATTCATCAGGAATTAACCATGATATTTTCCAGGGAGAACTGCGAGGAGGTCGACCTGGTTGGGTATATTGCTAGCAATGGGATTCTCCATTACTAACAATCCCTTTCCCCCCTATCAAGCCCATTGCTAGCAATATGGGTATATCAGGTCAACGCCACGTGATGCCCCCTGGAAGCCATCATGCTAAATTTTATGTGTATTCATCACGATGGGCCAACTGACCTGCCTTTTCATTCGCACCTATCATCACTCAATGGTGTCCCGCAAGCATATACTGTTAGCGCAGGCGGGGTTACCATTTCATTATCATCGCGCATTTATACTTGTTTTCTGACAGAATTATATAACGGGTCATATTCAGCGATCCCTATATAACTTCTTTAGATCTTTCAAACGTCCTTTCAACTAAAGGCGATGTCCCAGAAATATAGTGAAAAATAATTTTATAAAATACTTTCTGGAGACATAAATTTATTTGAGACTAAAAACTCGAAACCAAAAAAAGGTGACCAATAAAATCTCACTTGCTAAAATCCATCTAAAAACGTATGAGCAGGTTAATGGCCTCTACTTATGGGGAAAGAACCGTGGCCCGTAGTGCGACATTAAATAGTTTTGGTTGGACACCACCATAACAACTAATTAAGGCTCATCCAAGAACCAACTTTACTTACCTGGAGCATTTTACACAAAATAATAATAAAATAAGTAAGTATGGATGTTCCGGCTCTACCATAGTGATTTTTAACCGATCGCTGAAGAAAGCAGGATATTGTTTTACGATAGATAAATGCGTAGTATGTTACGATATGGTAACTGTCAATAAAAGAGCATACTCCTGTTTAAAGGGTTAGCAGCATACCTACAATTCCTCCGGTGTTGCGGGTGCTCAGGGGCAGCGGTAGTCACTTACGATCAGGTGAGGTGCGTACTCGTTTGCCCCCTGTTATAATAAAAAATAGTAAATATGTCTAAAACTTTAGAGCAAAGTGTTGAATTAAAGGATTTTTATAAATAGGCAGTACTTAGTAGTCGAAAAAGGAATAGTAACCCAAGATTTTTTTAATGGTTACCATTGGTAACCCCAACCGCGCTATCGGTATACACTGGCGGGGCACCAGTGAAGGATGATAGGTGAGGATGAAGCAGGTCAGTTATATCGTGACGAATTTAACAAGAATTATACACGATGGTTTTCAGGAGGAGCCACGTGGAGATAGACCTGATAACACATTGCTAGCAATGGGGCTGTCAAACACCATTGTTAACAATCCCTTTCCCCCAGTAATCCGAGATTAGGCTGCTTACTAGCTATGTACTATAACCTCAACACAATATAAAATGTCGTGGTTATTTCCAAGCGAATTCACCACAATGGTCAACTAATCTGACTTCATCTTCATCCTATACAGGTGCCCCACCATTACACACCATTACCATAGGCACTCTATTCTATCCGTAAAAAAACAGTTTTACAATTCAGTTTTTGTGTCCTACCTACGTAGTTGGTTACATTCATTTATTTTGCTCTATGGTATATAGTTGCGTACCGAGAAGCACGTACTTAGCCAATAAGTTTGCCAAATGTTCACAAAAACAAGCTGAATGTAACCATTTGTAGCATGACTAACGTGATGACAAAACGATATTTGAACATTTGTTTAAAACAAATCTTTATTGTTGTATACGAATTGCGATAGCTTCAAATCTGCAATATAGGTTTCTATTTATCTTTTTTCCCAAAAGATTTTTCTTATGTAACATAGAATGGCAAACAAGTCGAGAGCCCACCTGATGGAAAGTGGTAATCGTCACCTACAGACATGAGCAGCATCATGGACGTAACAGAGTATACTGTTTCGCCCATGATACCCCCCATGTATTGCCATTCCTGAGGACTCAGGTGTTATTCCTCTGTACCTTGTAAATTCACTGCCATATCCCACCCTTCAATCCGAAACACAGCCATGCAAACTCAACTGTTTTAAGGTAGAACCACGAATAGGACAGAGGTGCCCAAACAAACGACTCTTGTACAAAGTCTCCCTCTGATAGAGTACAGTATTGTATGGTATTGTACAGCGTATTCTCTTCACCTAAAATTTAGGCTATTAGTCGATGTTTAGGTATCAGAATGTGCAAAGTGGTTTATACGCTACAACTTTCGACGAGCAAAATTGCAACATCATTGAATTTGTGCATTTTCCTTATTTATTTCCTTAATTTTTAATCGATGTAGATTATTATTTTCAAGTTTATTCTTAACAAGCTCTTTGCTTGCTGTTTCGTAATCGTGAATTTCAGAAGTACTAAAACTACTTAAATAAACCAAAATAAATAAAAGAAGTGATCTTCTAGATGGCGTATCAAAATAAAATATACATCAAATTTGTAGTTAGACTTTTTAAGAACACAACTGGGAATTCGCATCCAATATAGTACAGTAGTTTTTGCGTAATGCTGTAACAAACATACAGATAGACACAGACATATTTTGTAAAAATTATTATTTTGGCATCGATTAATCCTATTGAACCACCCATATTTTTTTTTTAAATATCTCTCACGTATAGACATCGTTTAGTTACAATTTTATTATATTAGTAAAATGGGATGAAAATGCAAAATTCCTCCTGTACTATTGGTATTCACATGGGAGGTGCCAGTGAATAGATAGATAGATAGATACTCTTTATTGTTTCCTCCAAAAGATTACAATAGTAAACTTATTATAAATATAATAAGCCAGAATAAATTCAGTTTTTTTTATGGGTAAAAATGGAATGCTAAACCTGCCTGCGCTAACGGGATACGCTGGCGGAGCACCAGTGAAGGGTGACAGATGAGAATGAAAACAGGCCAGTTAGCCCATCATGATGAATTCATCAGGAATTTACCATGATAGTTTCCAGGGGGAACCGCGAGGAGGTCGACCTGGTTGGGTGTATTGCTAACAATGGGATTCTCGGTCTCCATCACTAACAATCCCTTTCCCCCCAGTCAGGGTATTTGACCGATCGTGAAAAAAATATTTTAAGACTGTAAGGCCATACCAAGTTCGCCGGGACAGCTAGTTCATAATATTAATAAGGATTGTTGTACTTATCCAGCCGTGTAGGTCCCGGAATAGTATAGTACCGTAAGTGTCGTAAGAGGCGACTAAAAGAACATAATGGTCGAGGAATAGACAGCTGCGTCCCTTTTAAAACATCAACAAAAGCCAACCTGCGATTGCCAACCTGCCCGCCAAGCGTGGCAAACATTGGCAAATCCCCTTTATGGGTGAAGCTATGTTTAGCAGTGGACTACTTGAAGAACTGTACTTATGCAAAAAAAAATATTTTTTTTTAGCATATAATATGACAATATAAAATCTCACTATCCACACCTGTTCGCCATCGTATACAAATAAATACATCTGTGTTAAGGTTTCAATATTTATTTACATGAATATACAATTACGTATCAGATATGTTTCTAACAGCTGGCGGCTGATTGTCGTAGCCAAGTTTACGTAGATCTTTGGACACCATTGACAAACTCACCGTCACTGAGTCATACGACTCCGTACGCAATACTGAAACAAGCAGTCATAGATTTTACAAGTACTCTTCGATCATCAATACTAGGATATATAATATCATCGAAAACATAAAATGTAAAAAAGTGCCAAGTCTCGAATTCAGTGCTTCCACTACAAAAAGTTGTGCGATGTCATGGAAGTCCGTTAGTTTAGTTAATGTCTATAGAATCACCAATTTAACAACTTTGTTATAAAAATATTGTCTAATTAATTACATATTAATATTTATAGTGACCGTATCAGTATTAGACATCTTTATATCTATAATAATTATAATGACTTAACAGTTGTATGCCACCATAATTATAAAATAATCATCTAATAGAAAATCTACTATTTCAATTTCTAAGTAATCTAAACAACGCACTTAAAATTAAACTATTTTATTAATAAAAAATTTTTGTTATTTACAATGATGTTATAGGGGAAGAAGTTAAAAATGCCGTGATTCGCATTGAGAAAAGAATAGTAAGGCCGTGCTCACTTGGCGAAAACACTGCCGTGCTTCCGTGAAGTCACTAATGGTATCCCGTTTCTTCACCCGCATGAATCAGTATATATTTCTATATAGTTTTTTTTTTTTATACAACTTAGAGTGAAAAACAAGCTGACGGCCCACCTGATGGAAAGTGCTAACCGTCGCCTATAGACATGAGCAGTACCATGGACATAACAGAGTATACTGTTTCGCCCATGATACCCCCATGCGTTGCCATTCCTGAGGACTCAGGTGTTATTCCTCTGTACCCAGTAAATTCACGCCATATCCCACCCTTCTATAATATAAGCTATATGTGTGCCAAATTATATTAAAATTTGTTCAGTGGTTTTCCGTGAAAGAATAACAAACATCCTATATATAACATCTAACCTCACAATTATTTGCGTTTATAATAAGTACCTACCAGGATATATCTACACCTGCTAGGGGGAAACTGCAGAATATATCAATTTAGGTGAACTGTCAACTTGTTTGCCATTCGTCATAAAAAAAACCTCTGTAACATCCCACTCGTATTTTTTTAGCCAAATGAAAGTGCTTACATGGCTATGCTTCATGGCTTCATTGGAGAGTTTATGCCTATAAGTCACCATGCTGGGCAAACGGGTTAGTTAATTGTTAGTAATGGGGTATAAAATTCAGGGCGTATTGCTAGCAATAGAATTCCACAAAATTCGCCCTGGAAACTATCGTGATTAACCATTCGTTGCATGATTCTTTTATATATATATATATATATATATATATATATATATATATATATATATATATATATATATATATGATATAATTCGTGTTCAAAATTAAAGGAACAATGGTTAAAAAAATAAAATTGACAGCTATGGTTTTTTTTTTTTGCAATGGACATTAAAAAGGTATCCAGACACGATCAACTTAAAGTGAAATTGTTCTATTATATAATTTTTGGGCATTCAATGTTATGATGGAAATTTCCACCATTATGCAAAGAAGGGTTAACTCTTGTACAATTCGCCACGATGATGTGTATGAAAACAGGTCACACGAATGTCTATGTGAAAACAGGTGACTTCGCGTGACCTGTTTTCATCCTCATCTATAATCTCTCATCAGTATCCCGCCATTCCATCCTCATCCATTAAAAAAAAAGATAGTTACTATTTTTCAGGTGAACCATCAACTCGTTTATCGTTCCATGTCCCATAAAAAAAAAACTAGATAACTGGCTGAAAATAATCTTACGATAATTCTCCTTTCCACTGGCCAGCATTTTAGGGTCCGCCAGCTCGGGACGCCGACCAGTGAGCCACGCCAGCCATTCTCCGAACACTGTCGCCGCTTGAGGACGGACTAGTGGGGCCGTCAGTACCCTGGTTCCACACGTCGGCGGCATCAGTATTAAAGCGTAACCAAGCAAAGAGTCACCGCTTAGTCTGTTCTGTGCTCTCACTGTTATGAGCAGTTGGGGCCCTAAAAGGAAATATAACTGTTCATACTTATTTTAAACGCCAGAACATAATATTAGATACCTAGAGGGGAAAGGGATTGTAAGTAATAGAGACTGAGAATCCCATTGCTAGCAATATACCCAACCAGGTCGACCTCCTCGCGGTTCCCCCTGGAAACTATCATGGTTAATTCCTGATGAATTCATCATGACGGGCTAACTGGCCTGTTTTCATTCTCATCTATCACCCTTCACTGGTGCTCCGTCAGCGTATTCCGTCAGCGCAGGCGGGCAAAAAAAATGTATTTATTTACGACATTATATTATCTCTAAATTTATCAGTGTTTCTCTACAATATTATGCATGTATTATACATATAAACAATCCTCTCGAATTACTCTATCTATTAAAAAAACCGCTTCAAAATCCGTTGTGTAGATTTAAAGATTTAAGCAAAGCGACGGACAGACAGCGACAGCGAATTTATACTATATAGTGATTCTATTTCACTCATAAAAAAACAGCGTCCTTGTAAAAGGAAAGGGATTTTTAGGGTATTATCTACCCCATTGCTGGTTGTTGTTGGTTAAACCGTTTGAGGCCGACCTTCACCTGGTCCTACCTGAAAACCGTCACGGTTTTTGATAAACTCGTCACGATACACAAGCAATTCGAAATAAATCTATTTTATTTATACAGCTAATATAATAGTACCATAGACATCATAGAATACACTGTGTCACCCATGGGGGTGCCATTTATTGCCATTACATCATATCATAACTAATCAAAATAAACAATTTATTTGAGAGTCAAAATGTGAATTTACTAACAACCAAATACGTTTGTGCTGCCAAAAACTATTTCCAATGGCATATTAAAGACTACTTTTTCTGGATCTATACCAGATCGCGACATTTGACTCGATCCAGTGGCGAGACCAGACACTGACTCCCAGTCTGGACCCCATATTATTTCGTACTGTATGTACACTTGTTCATCGAATACTCCCGCGGGAAACGAGACAAATTCTACTTGCCCACTAAATGACACAAGAAACTTAGTGATATCATTGCCTTTCATTGAAATATTTGGAGAAATACTATATTTTAGACAAGAAACAACAGCATTATGAGAATAATGACAAAACGCCACAATCAAAACAAAACAATGGTTACTATAGCGACCAGTGTTTCCATATATGTACAAGGAAAAATGAAAATATTCCAATCATAATCAACCAATTTAGATTATGTCTTTACAACTTGTAAAATTATTTTTAAATTATTTCTTTAGTATATAATACATTATTCTTTTAAATGTTAATTTTTTTTATAAACAATGTATTTTTTTAATTTTTAATCATAGACAAGAGGGTATTTGCTTCCGCCGAGCTGTTTTACCGATATGCTTCTAAAGTTTGATCACAAGATGGCGTTACTAGTACTTTCAAAATCCCAATCGGCCACCATTGTTGAAGGCGATTCCATTCAATACTTTCTTGAATTTTCCGTTTTTTCTAATAGTTAACTAGGAAATTTATCTTTTTTATTTATAAGATAGAGTGACCAATATTTCAGAAGCTATAACCAAGGCTTATTTAACCTTAACAGTGCATATTTCCAAAACCTAAATACGTTCAAAATGTCACGCGAAGTGAGCATCAGATTCGAGAACACCATACCATGCCCGAAATAAATGTGGTTTTCTTCTAAATAAGTGTTTGATGACTGTAAAATAGTACAGTTTTCGGTTCGTAATATTTGTGGCATGTGGTGGAAAGTTATAATATCCTTGTGCACTCATGAAAACGTTTCAGAAGATTCTGTACACGTCGTAAGGAAGCGCAGTTACGCGGGCGAAGGCTTCAAAGTTACCGGTATCATTATGGTGGACTGAGAAAGTGTTTATTGACGGATTACTATTGAATACATGTTGTAAACAGTGCTGCGACGGCTCCGCGCACGATGTCAGGCGGTTCGCAGCACAATCCTAACGGCCGGCAATCTCAACTGGGCCCCGGCTGGAGCCCCTTGCAGGTGGTGCTTATTTTCCAACTTTATTACTATGTTGAAAACAACTTGTTTTCTATTCAGTAAAAGTTGTGTTCCAGAATGCTACCTACATAAAACAAGTTACTAATTTCTTAATTGTTATAAGAGAATGAATAGTAACATCTATATACAATAATTATGTTTAAAATTATCCAATTCTAATAACTGTTTTCTTACAATATTAAAAATATAGATAATTATAGATGCAATCCCAAATATATTTATAAAGCTTACCAAATAAATTTTCCTTTGTGTACCTACTAATAACTCATAGTACAGTGAGTAAACAAATCAGCTGTTTACACTATTTTCCTAATATAAAATATATGGGGTAAATAATGTTTCTTAAACTTTAATGGTTATATAATTTCTGGGGCATATTTTTATTTTTTATTTAACTTATTAAACATAAATTATGGTCTAGGACAAATCAAGGTGAATTATAGTCTGATTATTTTAATTCATACAATAAAATCATGATGAATACAGAGTGGGATATAACAGTGAAATTACAGAGTATGAAAATAAAAAAGCTTAGTCCTTAAGCATAGCAAGACTATGATGGAGGTTCCATTGTAATATCCATGGTGCTGTTTACCACTATAAGTGTTGGTTACCACATACCAGTGGACTATGTGGTGGTGGACTAGTTGAACTTTCTGTTTCTATGCTACTTTTTTTATTTGTATAAATGATTATTTTTACCAAAAACAATACAAATAAATAATACAAAAACCAAAAAATATTGAGTCTCTTATACTAACTTGTTGCTTTTAACTTTTTTTTTAATGGTTGAAATTCAAAAGAATGTCAACAGGTCAATAGACCTAATTAACAACTTCCTTCTGTTTGAAGTTGCTTGAAAAAAATGAGAAAATAGGAACAGTAAAAATGCAAATAATCTATTTTTGAAGTCGGTTAAAAATAAGTGTGGCAATGCTGTCATGAAAATGGCATTTTGCAAGACTACCTGATGTATCACCATTACTCCTTACACTGTGGTATCTAATGAATATCATTGTACTGTTAACAATTTCCTAACAGATTGTACTCATTATTGCCAAAAAGATATCGCTAGGGAAAAGTGACATATTTATTCCATTTATCCCATTTATCCACTCTTACACCCCAGGGGAAAAAGTTGTAAGGACAAGTGTGCTTGGCCATCATTTTCTAGGGAAAACTATATGAAGAACAACCTGATAAGGTGTATTGCTAACAATGGCATTGGCAGTCCCCATTACTAAATCCCTTTCTATGGGAGGAAAGGGACTGTCAGGTCCACCACATGTGGTTCTCCCTGGAAACCATTGTGACTAATACATGTAACATTCATCACGACAGGCTAACAGACCTGCTTTTATTCTCATCTCTCATCCCTAACTGGTGCTCCGCCAGTGTATACTGATAACGCAGGCAGAATTATTATCCATTAAAAAAATTTATCCCTTTCCTTCCAGCGATTCCAACTTTCAAGAGCTAACTTAAAGAGGCTTAAAATTTTATGTCTATAGTCATTCGTAGTTTTATTATTGGCTAATGAATTATGTTTTACAAAAATATAAAAACATAAAAAAAATTCTTTCCAATTATAATAGGTGAAGAAACAAATATACCTGTTGCCAATTAAAATTTAGTAATAACTCAATTCATTATCATACTGATATTACAGTTATCATATATTCTAATAGAAAATATTGTGATAAGACTTGTTGTTTATCCATGCTTTGCCTATTTATAATATATATTATAATTCATGGTCTTTCCCTATTACATTATAATTAGATAAATAATTATAATTCCCATATAATTTATTTCAAAATGCTTTCTTTGAGTTATGGTTTTATTTTGTAATATTTTATATTTTCTTTACAAATAATATAAAAAGAAAATATCCAAATTTGTTGATGTGTATTCATTCCAAATCTCAACTTACCAAGCTTACACTCCCCAGAAACATTTACTTTTTATAATATAAGATACAATAAAATAATAAATGTAAAAGGAAGTAGTGACTATGTTGACTTATGAACATGTATACATGAGGTGTGTGTGTATGTGTGTGTGTGTCTGCATTATTTATCAATTCAATTTTTGAATGATTTTTGCAAGTGATCCTCTAAAACATAAACCATAGATTAACTTGCATTTGAATATTTCAATAAATTTTCCAAATGTTTATAACCAATCTACCAAACCAATAATCTCAGTATTATACATCTTATTCTATGATTTATAATTTACTTCAGTATAAAATCTTTTTTTTTTTTAATTTTTATAATAGACTAATGTATAAAATTGTTTTATATTTATATTTTGATAAATAATAAACAGGTGTTAGTTTTGTTTTATATTATAAACTCTTAATGACTACCATTTAACTGTACTCTCAAGGATTCCATAGACAAAAGTTTAACAATTTGATAGGTATTTTCTATTCTTTTGTTAAACATTGGAAAGTTTTTTGTTATCCTCCACTTTTCTTTCATCTGTTTATCGAGATTGTAATCAAACATGCTTCAATTCTTATTGTTTTGATAATAGAAAATTGGTGCTAATAATTTATGATGTGAGTATGGCTTTGACACATAGATTTTAGGTTTCATCTATGTGAAATTACTAAATTTATTCTAACTAATGACTCTAATCTCTATGACTGATTTCCTCTTATTAATTGTTTAACCAGTTGGTTATGTATTCAATTTTTTTTTCTTTTTGAGTATTTAATTGAATTAGTGCTAATTGGTGGTTTGTATTCACACAATTAAACTTAAAAATGTAAAATAATAATAAAATTATTTAAAAGAGCATCACGCAAGTTTCTTGCTCGTTCTTCTTGTGATGAGACAGCTTTCCGAACGAGCGGTAAATTAAAAAAAATGTAATGACTTTTCAAAAGTGCTTCAATGTAAGTTTATTTGAATAAATGATTTCTATTCTATTCTATTCTAACAATTGTAATATTAACACATTTTTACCTTCTGGCATCGTAATTCTTTTTAATGATTTTGATGTTCATGATTTGGACGTTGTCCAAATGTGTACACAACAATAATGGTATTTTAATGATTAATGCCTGAATATGCAAGAGAAAATTTTAATTGCTGTATCATGATCAGGTAGAAATGTTAACTATTTATTTGCCACAAAACACATAATTACAGTATTAATACAAATAAAGATGTGAATACATAAATTATGTGTATTAAAGTAACCATCAAACGAGTAGGTATGTGGGTAGTGCTGTGTCACAAAAAGGTCATAGCTCATTGGGGAACATTGTTTATGCTGTAAACCACTCATTTTCAACTAAACCTGTATAATACTAGTGTAAAATAGGGTGGTAACAAAGTTAGTTGATGATGGTGGTAGGTCTAAGGGATAAAGCTGAGTTTTATTGATGGAATTAAAATGAAATGATAACCCCATATGTACTATTGGTGTATTCTAACAGGGTACTAGTGAATAATGATAGATTGAGGGTGAAGTCAACTCGGTTGGCTAATCATGACAAATTTACTAAAATTTAATCACAATGGTTTCCAGGGTACATGCAGAGATCAATCTGCTATTCAATATTTCTTATATAAGGTCTTTTAAGCAATAGGGTTATTATACCGCGTTACTAACAATCCCATTCCCCCTAGTATCCAAAACTATTGGATGAAATGAGTTATAAAAATGTTTGAAGCAAATAAAGGTCATTGACACTCAGTATGCACTGAGTAGGTCAAGTTGCCACACATGTAATTGGTCAAATAACTACTGAATTACCACCACAAAAGTATGGTTCAACTACTATTTAACTAGTCTTCTATTAGCAATATATTATACTATCAAATATATATGATCTAAATATCTGATATAATTGTTATTAGTGTTATTATTTTAAAAAAATGTATAATAATTAATAATTTAATTCCTTTATTTTGTATTCCCTATTAAATTTTATTTTTAATATCTGGTTGTTTAGTTAAGCTATGAATCTAAGTATTTACTTAATTAATTTTTTTTTTCAATAACTGATTTACATGTGTAATGTACTTTTCAAACCTCTAATTATAATTCAAAGATATATGAATACATTTACGATTCTATATGATAATATGTCCTTTAGCTGGTTGCAACATACAGGCGGTTTGTAGGACTCTTTGTCTAGTATAATATGTATGTATTTACAAAAAAAGTATTTAAGTATGTCTAGCAGTTGTTTATATACCTATAGCTCTGTATATACAGGTGAAATCATAGTCATTAACACCTTAAATTCTTAATGACTAAAAATGTTCAATCTTACAACATTGTAACCTTCAAGAAAAGAGCATATTCCTTTTTAAAAAGTGGGCAGCTCACCTGCAATTTTTCTGGTGTTGCGGGTGATCATGGGTGGCGGTAATCCCTTACCATCAGGTGAGCTGCATGCTCGTTTTCCTCCTTTGTTATAAAAAATCCCTGTCGTACTATCAAGGCGCACCCTCACAGTCGACGAATTAGTATCGAAATATGAAAATGTATTGTCGTTTATCATTGGTTGTTTCTTTGGTGAAAATAATCACTTTAAGCTGTGATACTGAATATATTTATTTCCCTTAAAAAATGCTAATTATTTTGATGTTATCTTGATATAGTATAAATTCTGCTTAGTTTGCGATTTATAGTTGGCGCTCAATTATGTCCAGTGTTTTTTTTTTTTTTATATAAAATTTAATATCTTCTCGGATACTTCAAACATAGAATGAAAAAAACACTAGATGAGCCAGCATAATCATTCTCTTTTCGTTTGATCGTATTCATGGACCATATTATCTCTGTGTTCACTCTTAGGATGGTTACACGTCGTGTTATATCTTATATATAAAATTCTCGTGTCATGGTGTTTGTTACCAAACTCCTTCGAAACGGCTTTACCGATTTTCATGAAATTTTGTGTACATATTCGGTAGGTCTGAGAATCGGCCAACATTTATTTTTTATACCCCTCAATGATAAGAGTGACCCACCCCTAAATTTTTTTTTTATTTTTATTTAAATATGATTTAGCATTGAAAAATATATACAACCTCAAATTTTCACCCTTTTACGATCAACCTCTGTTTTTTAAGCGCGATTTTTATATTTCGCAATAAGTGGTACAACATAGTCACAATATAGTCATAATCGTCAGTGTATAAAGATGAACAGCACCATGGACTTGAGACCACAGAATACACAAAATGAAAGAAAGATTGCCCAAGGTCACTTCTAGCTACTAAGAGGACTAAAGACTTGTCTCCGTACTCTATAATTCATGACAATAGCAACGACCCATCTTTCTAACCATAACAGCAATGCAAGCATAGCTGCTGCCCAGCAGCACCATGGCTGGGTAAATTTATCCATCCAAGCGTATTTTATGCAATCTCCCTCTAGTATTTACTATTATTATGTAAGACTGTGCAACTGTGCATCAGTTACAGGTGGCCAACTTCCTGGCGCGCGCGCCCCAGGCTCACATGGCGTCTGACAGAGGCGTGACGTGGCATACGCCGACACCCCCGCCGCATATGTACCATGTGCCAGCACCGTCGCCACCAGACCCGTTGCAGGTACTGCCATTACATTATTCTATTTTTGAAATACGGCATGTACGTAAATACCCTCATTATTCATAAAAACGTTAGACGTCTAGAAAACCTATATTAAGTATTAAAGTGCTTTGTCTCTCTCCCTTTTACTTTAATTTCTCGAAAGAAAGTGGCTGAACACTAATAGTTAAAATAAATAGGTTTAAAAGAGGTATTAATTGTAATGAATAAGGAGGTAAAACTTTGTCATAATGCTAGGTTGTAAGTCATTGAACGCTTTTATAATTTTACGTAAGATATCAGTGAGGTGAAGGTCAAATCAGGTCAGTTAGCTGCGATGCTTTTATGGAAAGACACATATTGAGATAACCTCCACCTAGCGATGGGACAGTTAGGCTCTAATACTAACAATCCCTCCCCCTCTGTTTGGTGCAAGCATCCACTGCCTAAAATTGTCACTTACTATCAGACAAAATATTTATACATATGTCTTATAATGATTAGATAATAGGTACTGCTCATGTCTATAGGCGACGGTTACCACTTTCCATCAGGTGGGCCGTCGGCTTGTTTGCCATTCTAAGTCGTATAAAAAAAAAATGTTACAGGGGGAAAGGAATTGTTAATAATTTAATATAATATCCCCATTCATAGCAGTATACCTTATCAGGTCGACCTTCAAGTGGTTGGAAACCATAATGGTTAATTCTTGTGGGTTTCGTCACGATGGACCAAATGACCTGCTTTCATCTTCACCTATCATCCCTCACTGGTGCTCTACCAGCACATACTGATACGACTAGCCAGAGTACCATTCCATTATCATCCATAAAAAAAATATTACGGTCGTTATATAAATAAGTAGGGTAGAAGCAACCTTATCGCATTATTACACAGCGCATAGATTTGTCTATTTCCATCTCTAGCAGTTTCAAATATAACTATGTACCTAAATATTCTCTGTGACACACCAGGGTACTAAATTTAGAAATAAAAATACAAACTACTCGCGCGTTTAAAATTTAAATTGTATGTAGTTATTCATCCCGGTTCCTGACATTTCCAATATTTTGCAATGTTCACGGTCACAAGTAGATTTGACTACGATATATATATATATGTTTTAAAAAATTTTGCATAACCCTTCAATAGGGAATATATTTTATTTGGCGAAAAACTAAATCCTAAAATAATAAAAATAAATGTTTTTTTTTTTGTTTATGGATGAGAATGGCATGGTAACCCTGCATTCGCTATTAGTACACACTGGTGGGTTATTAGTAAGAGATGATAGTTGAGAATGAAAGCAGGTCAGTAGGCCCATCGTGACGAATTCAACGATAATATAGTCACGATGGCTTCCAGGGGGAACCAAGTAAAGTTCGACCTGATAGGGTATATTGATAACAATGGGGACTAACCTCCGCATTACTAGCAATTCCTTCCCCCCAGTTCAATCAAAATGACGCTTTCTGATTTTATCTAAAGTAACATTATAGAAAGGAAAGACTTGATTTTTGTATGTAATGAATAAACTCAGAAAATATTTAACCGATTTAAAAAAATATTTCACCTATAGAAAGCTTCGTATGGGGCTGCTAGTCCCCATTACTCTTATTAAAATCCGCTTTCAAAATCAAACCCAACGCTTATTGCAATTGCCTATCAATTTTCAAAAACAATTGAGCATTCATCCACTAGTGCTCCACTAGCGAAGTAAAATATTAATAAGCTTATTGTTATTAATAAGCTGTCACTGAAACTGGATCATCATCACCGTCATATTAGGCTTTAACTGTCCTCTGTTGAACATAAGCCTCCCCCTTGAGGGGGTTTTGTTAGTAGTTGCCACGCTTGGCAGGCGGGTTGGCAACCGCAGTTAGACTTTAGAGATGTTTTAAGAGGTACGCCGCTGCCCATCCCTCGCCCTCCCTGTGTCAACACTTTCGACACCCACTGGAAAGGAAGTGATGCCCTAGTCTATGCCGAGACCACACGGAAACTTTGAATATTGATAGATAAAAATGTATTTGAAAAATTCCAAAACTAAATACGATGAAGTATTTAATGATACATTTATATGCATCGTATTCTGTGATTCTAGAGAAAGTAGATAAAACCTTATTTGAGATTTTATACAACTTAGAATGGAAAACAAGCTGACAGCCCACCTAACGGAAAGTGGTAACCGTCGCCTATAGACATGAGCAGTACCATGGACAAAGTATATTGTTTCGCCCATGAAACCCCCCATGCGTTGCCATTCCTAAAGACTCGGGTGTTATCCCTTTGTATCCTATAAATGCACTGCCATATTCACCCTTCAAACCGAAACATAGCCATGCAAACACAACTGCTTCACGGTAGAAACACGAATGGGACAGAGGTGGCCAAGCAAACAACTTTTGTACAAAGTCTCCCTCTAGTAAATCAGTAAGAAATTACTTCAATGTACGATAGGGCTGATATACCCAAAGAAGGTACCAGAGAGAGACTTTGTACAAAAGTCGATTGCTTGGGTACCTCTGTCCCATTCGTGTTTCAACCGTGAAGCAGCTGTGTTAGCATGGCTGTGTTTCGGTTTAAAGGGTGGGATATGGCGTGAATTTACTGGGTACAGAGGAATAACACCTGAGTCCTCAGGAATGGCAACGCATGGGGGGTATCATGGGTGAAACAGTATACTCTGTTATGTCCAAGGTACTGCTCATGTCTATAGGCGACAGTTATCACTTTCCATCAGGTGGACCGTCAGCTTATTTGCTTTTCTAAGTTGTATAAAAAAAAAAGGTAAAGGCTCTTAAAGGAAAAAAGACTAACTGCGACGTTCACAGTTTTCTGTAAATTTTCAACTTCGGATATAAACACTCTTAAATTTGTTAAAGTTGGCGAGTTTCAGAACGGATCACTGCACTCGTAACTTCATGATTTATCCATGCTGCACGACTAGTTTGATATATACGAATCTTGATCTTGTATCAAAATTTAATATTGTCACTTAACAGAATGCAAAAGGTGATTTATTTATTACATTAATCCAATAAATATAAAATTATTGATTACAATTTTTATTCTATTAACACCTGTGCAAACAACTTTAACATAATACATGTGAAGACAATGTTTAAAAATAATACCTAACAATTACTAGCCAAGTATTTAATTTCGGTTTTCCCCAAACTGACTCATGTAACTTATGGGTTATCATTTAACTCCCCCAAATCTAATTCTGGACAGATTTACTACTGTACATTTTCAACCGACTTCAAAATTAAAGGGATTCTCAATTCGATTGTATTTTTTTTTTATATTTATTAACTCGTAACCCCGTCAGTCGTAAAGCGATTTGGAAAATTCTTTTTTTTTTTTTTAATCTGAAAGGATATACAGATTAGCCACCATAGAAATTTTAACATAATCGGTTCAGGAAGTAAGGAGGGAAGGGGACATGCTGTTTAAGAGTGTATGAAAGTACATACTCCTATTTACGTTTACCATACACATTTGTAAATCTTTGCAGATTATAAAGACTAAATTGTGGGAGTTCTTGTATATGTTTGCCACTGCTATTTTTCTTGTAAATAATGCCTTTCTCTATTTTAAATCTTTATTTAATCCTCGCAGATGATAGCCATCTTTTTGTTGTAAACTACTAACATTTTATTGTAATACAACTTGTTTACTACTCGTATACCAGATTGCATATTGAGAATACGATCCACAAAAAACAACCGACTTCAATGTTCGCAAAACCAATTATTTTAATTTAAAAACTAAACCACTGAACCAATTTTGATAAAGCATTTATGTATCTATAAGTATAGCCTTTCAGGTAACAAAAGAATCTTCCAAATCGGCTAACAACTGACAGAGTTATGAAGAGAGGAACAAACTAAAAAAAATATAATCTAATTGAGAATCTGCTTCTTTTTGAAGACGATTGAAAAATGTAGTAAATATATTTCAGAAATAATAAATAAATTAAAGAAAATATAAACATCAGAATAAACATACATAATAGTATACACTGTGTGTTATTCTGTGGGAAATGAAGCACCCCCAATGTCTGTCCTTTGTCCTTTATTCGAAACTATATTCTATTCCGCTAATTAAATCAATAGTTACTTTATTACTATTTTTTACATTAGGTTTTGCCAACATGTGCGAGCTAGGGGGAAAGGGATTGTTAGTAATGAGATTTACAAGCTCCATTGCTGACAATACACCCTATCAGGTCGACATCCACGCGGTACCTCCTGGAAACCATAGTGGTTAATTCCTATTTAATTAGTCACTATGGGTCAACTGACCTGCCTTTATCGTCACTTTTCACTAGTAGTCGGTCTGTTAAAGCTTGCACATATTTTTTTTTCTATTGGGTGAAGATGGAATGATAACCCCGCCTGCGCTATCAGCATACGCTGACGGGGAGCCAGTGAGGGATGATAGGTGAGGATGAAAAGAGGTCAGTTAACCCATTCAGCACGATGGTTTCCAAGGGGGACCACATGTAGGTCGAACTGGCAGGGACTGGCAATCCGCTTTACTAACAATCCCTCCCCCCTCCCCCACCTGATGGTGTTAACTCATAGTTTATAGAAATGATAAGCTAAAGGGGCATACATATGTCATAGAATTCATTGCAACGCCCTTGGTAACCCTGGTACTCAACAATAATGCGAACAGCTGTTGAATAAATTATAATTATAGATTTCATAATTAAGTAGTAACAATTGTTGATATACAATTGTGCTCTTAAAATACAATATCTATAAGATTGCTTTTACGATAAAACAGTCTAATGTATTACAAAAAAAAAAGATTTGTTGAATGACCATCTGACGTAGTGTACTTTGTATTTTTTTTTTTAAATGAAAGGTATTTGAATTGCCAATGCTAATGGTTTTTATGTCGGGTTTTCCCCTCTTATTTCATATGAAAAGAATTATAATTTAATGCAAATTAAAATAAATTATAAATTAATATAAAATTTGAGCACATTTTTATTAGTTGTACCTTTGTCCCTCTTGTTTCTGTCGCGAAGCAGTTATGCTTGTATATATTTGGATGATGAGATATATACAATTAAATTACTAGGTTCGGAGATCACTTTTGCCCTTAAATATACCAATTTTTTAAGGGCAAAAGTGACCTCCTATATATAGATAATAATAGAATGGTAAGCCTCGCCTGCGCTATCGGTATACACTGGCGGGCCACTAGTGAGCGATAGTGCTAGTCTAAGATGAAGCAGATGAGATGGCCCATCGTGACGAATTCCACAAGAAATAAAATTATTTTCAGGGAAAATCACTTCGAAGTCGACCCGATAGGGTATATTGGTAGCAATGGGGCCATTAGACCCATTACTAACAATCCATTTTGTATGCGTTATAATGTGTTCTGTTATGTCCACGATACTGTTCGTGTCTGTATGTGTCGATTACCACTTTCCATCATAATGGCCGTCAGCTTGTTTGTCATTAAAAGTTGTAAAAAAAAGCTAGCAAGACTAGAAAAACATTTCATAACATAGTTCGTAAGAAAGACAACTGCTTTAGGTACAATGGTAATGTTACAGGGGAAAAGTGACACAACACATAAATGACAAAATCTTTACAGAGAGACGCAACAACAACTTTTGTTGTAAGTCATTCGCAAATATTTCGTACTCGATTGCGATTTATCAACCAAACTCAATTTCTCAATTCGCTTGTACTATTTTATGGTTATTACCATACAACTCCGTCATTTATAAACATTTTTTTTTTTTATACCACTGAGGTGGAAGACAAGCGTACGGCCCACCTGATGGTAAGCGGTTACCGTAGCCTATGAACGCCTGCAATACCAGAGGTATTACGCGTGCTTTGCCGACCCTGAAAAAACCTCTTTACCTCCCTTTTTAAGAACCCCATGCTGTAGTCTCTAGGAAAACTTCGGTAGGGAGCTTCCATAACCTGAGTGTTCGTGGTGAATTAAATTTAGAGAATTCGATTATTTTTCCAACGGACTTCTAAAAGAAGAAGATTCTCAATTCGATTGTATTTTATTTATGTTTGTTAATTCCGGTACTGATCATGTCTATAGGCGACGGTTACCACTTTCCATCAGGTGGGCCGTCAGCTTGTTTGTCATTCTAAGTTGTATAAAAAAAAATCATAACTCCGTCAATTGTAAACATATTTAGCTTTTTTTTGTACGAAAGGATATTCTTTCCGATTGATCCCATAAAAATGTTTATCAAAATTAGCTCAGTAATTTACTTTTTAAATATTTGGTTTGGCAAAGATTAAAGTCTGGTTTTTTTTTCCATAGAAATGTCTTAAATTATTTATTTACATTATAGAGCGTAAAGAGATAATATATAATGGTCAAGTGATAGACGGTTGCATCGCTCTTAAAACATCACCAAAGCCTAACTGCAGTTGCCAATCCCGATAGCCAAGTGTGGCAACTACTGGCAAAACCTTATGGGGGATGATATGTTCAACAGTGGACTGTTAATGACTGATATGTGAATGATGAAGACGTCTTGAAATATGCCCTTTGATAAGTTGTAAAATTTGTTTATAAGACTAGGAAAAACTAAATATGTTATGATGGGAAAAAAGATACTCTTTTGTGTAGCAAAGTATTTCTTAATATCTATTGACAAAACGACTAGTGCTTCCGTCATCAACAGTTCAACGAACTATTGCCTTGAGCTCTCACCTAACAATAGTTTACAATCACTTTCTTGGGCCAATGGCAAAATTTTAAAATTCGCAACCGAAAATTAGGCTATCATCATTCCATAAGACAATATTTATAGCTAAATGGGTGTAACATACCTATTATTGTGTTAATATATTGTGTATATGTATATATTGGTATTTTGTATATATTTATAATATTCGGTATGATATTTCTTATTATGAAATTTAATTTTTTGCATAATGTATGTTCGCCACTACTCTGGTATAATATTGGATGGTCCCAGAGAAATATCCCACTGGGTTAATTTTATATTTTTATTGTATAAGTTCATACAATAAAATTTACAACCACCTCATTATCGCAATGGGTATCTTGTTGCTTTGCGTTAACAAGGATTAGGTTTTCAATTGAAAGGAAAAGGAAGGCCAGAGGGAGACTGTACAAAAGTTGATTGCTTGGGTACCTCTGTCCCATTCATGTTTCTACCGTGAAGCAGTTGTGTTTGCATGGTTGTGTTTCGGTTTGAAGGGTGGGATATGGCGTGAATTTACTGGGTACAGAGGAATAACACCTAAGTCCTCAGGAATGGCAACGCATGGAGGTATCATTGGCGAAACAGTATACTCTGTTATGTCCACGGTACTGCTCATGTCTATAGGCGACGGTTACTACTTTCCATCAGATGAACCGTCAGCTTGCTTGCTACTCTAAGTTGTATAAAAAAAAAACAATAAACACTTCTTTTTCTTTTTCGAAATAAAAAAAAATATTTTGGACAGACTCCATATAGTCTGGCAATGGTTATTGTAACTACATATTATGTTTTATAATGTTAATTTATGTTTAAAAATGTATATCTTTTTACCTATGTGCATATAAATATTCATGACCTGTATCTAATACACTGCCGATATGACCATCGTAGGGTCTATTGCAATTGCAGGCGATGAAGAACGCCGCGGGAAACTCCGTGTTCAGACACACGGCGACGCCGCCCGAGCTGTACAGGCACACGCCCACCCCGCCAGACAAACATCTGTTGAGGTGAGTACATGTTTGCTTTTGCCTCTTGCATTCGAATTATTTCAAATTAATTAAAAAAAAAGTGTCTTTATTCATTGCTATCAGCCAGCAACAATTCATTAAGGTTGAAAGATATCATTTATTTTTAACACATGTTCACTTACAGGAAGTTGATTGTAAACATTTGTGTTTTAAAATTTACCTTTGCCTCTTTTGTTCGAATTGTGTATTTGAAATTCTTCTTAAAATATTTCTTTATTTATTAACAGCCAGCAAAACAAATTTTTATAATACTACTTTTTTTTTTCTAATGTTGTACACTCACCAATATTAAATTTGGTTGACATTTGTGTTTTAAAATTCCAACTTACACTCATTTTTTAACACCATTATCAAATTAAAGCACTGACATATCGGACTATGATATTTGGTCATGTCAAATCATAACTTTCACTATAACAGCAACGGTCGATACCATTGCGGTTACAAATGAAGGCATCGTGACCTACTGGTTAACTACCCTTTAACCGCAAAGGTTGTAGGTTCAATTTGGTTGCCACCAAAAAAATTGAAAATTAAACCAAACCCACCGTTTCACCGTTCATTAAACAAAATTCATCCTAGTTCATTTTTCATTCATTCATCACGTTCATTTCTAAAATGCTCGATAAAATACGTATATGCTATATACTCTATCTGAAATAATATGTATTGCTAAGTTCAATGCTAGATTTACATGCTTTTTATTTATTTATTTACACACACACTAAACAAACTTTCCATTTAAATAATATCATTAATTAAATACAATCGCTCTTTAAGAAAAATAATATAAATTATACATGTTACATACGTATAACAAAACAACATAATAATAAAGATTACACAATTATATAATAATTACTTTGAATTTAGAATGAAAAGAAAAACATATAAAAAACAAAATGAATGTAGCAGTGTTTGTGCAAAGGACCTCACTCAGCATATGTCGCAATTTCAAATCTGAAGCTTTACGCTATTTTTTATCTTATATTAATGAGGTTTATGGTTAGAATTTAATATTAATAAACTTTATAAGTCAAACTCTTGTGATTTTACCACTCAAACATGAGGTTATCCAAATTTTATTTATATGTGTGACATACAATGTCTAACAGCAGTTGTCATAACTTTCAAGGCATACGCCGTCACCTGGTGATGTCAAAGCGGGCGCGGCACTTCCCCCTGGTGATCTTTATCCACATCTAGGACCAGGCAGAGGTGAGATTTGTTTACTATTACAAAGTGTATTTTTTTTTAATATAATTAATGAGTATTATCTTTTTTTTTTTAACATAAAAAAACTACTTCTATTATATATTATATCTATGGAGCCAAGGTCAAAGCGAGTAAATCCTTTCGATTATTATAAAACAATATTAAAAGTAAGCAATCATAGATACTGCATCACACACACCTTAAATGTTTGTTCGACCAAAAAATTATTTGTACCTTAATAAAATTATTAAGAGAAAATAAATGCTTATACACATTTTTTGGTAGAAAAAAAAAATCAAATTCAGAAATACACAACAAAGTAAAATGTATACAGTATTATTAGAAACTTCGTAGAACGTTATAAAAATATTGGGCGTAATAGGATTTCTTCCTCCAAATGCTAAGCTATACTCTCTGTACAAGAAGTTATCACATAACAAATACAAATAATAACTCCAATTCAAGTATACGACTTATAATAATTCCGTTCTATTATTAAACACATTACAGAGAAACTACGACCAGAGGAGTTGCTGTCGTACGCGCGCGTGGGTGTAGACCTGTCCCTTGCGGGGCGGGCGAGTGCAGGCGCGAACGGGTCGGCGTCGTCCCCCTCCCCCGCACCCGCGCCCGCCCCCGCATCCACCACCGTCCCGCCCGGGGCACCCGCCGCGCCGCCCGCGCATCCACCGTCACCGGCGCTGTCCGTGCGCGACGCGCCCACCATCAACAGCCTGATCGCGCGAGCGCAGCCGCATGCGCGACACGCGCACGCACGCGTGGACGCGCTGCTGGAGCGGCTGGTGCCGTCGCCCGTGTCGCCGCACTCGGTCATTGTGCATTCGCGCGCCGCGCCCACACCCTCCCCGCCCTCCTCCAATGAGGTAGGTCTTCTCATAATATGCAATTTCATAAAACGTTTCGACATATTTAAAATTCGGAAAACTGTCTACGATCACAGCTCACTCTACTTGCATTTATTTTATTCTTATAATTTGAACTATAAAAAGATTATATTTTTCAATATAACGCTCTATATTTGAGTTATTCTGAATATGTCAATTTAAATCTTATTAAAAATCTTATATTCCTACTGTAACCATATTATATTTTATTCTAGGACTCGACAGATTCCTGCGGAGCGCCCCCTGGTTCCAAAAGAAAAAGAAAACCCGAGAGGACTTTGCGTGTGCCAACAGCTCCCCTTATAACCCCCGCAGTGACGGTGCCGACAGCTCCCGCGTCCGTTCCTGCTTCCGCACCCTCCCCCTCTATCATCGCGCCCGCCCCCGCCCCTGCCGCCTCGCCGCCGCCCGTCGCCCGCCTTGTGCCCCCAGAGCCCCCCACTAAACCGCTAGAGAACGGGGATGCCCCTCATGCTCAGCACAACGGCCCGGAGCGGTCCCCAACCCCACCACCGGCCTCTCAGCCGCAACCGCACCCTCCACAAGAGGAACACTCAGAGAATCAGCAACCGGATCGCCCGCCTTCTCGAAGAAAAACGCGTTCCGGCTCTGCGGAAACTATAGACGATATAGCAGCTATGATAGCGAGTACCACGCGATCAGAAGCGCCTGCACCGCCGGCCCTACCTCCAGAAGCGCCTGTTACCCCAGTAATGGAAATGGATGTCCCAGGGACAATCGACAAGTTGAAAAGTGTCCTCGCTAGCCCCGAGCCCGCAAAACCGGAAACAGAGCCAGAGGTCCGGAAGTCTCCAGCCAAAAGCGAAGAGAAACCCTCAGAAACCCCTCTCGTGGAGGCAGCCGCCGCGCCGAGGAGACGGAGCGCTCGTACGTCTAACTCTGAGTCCACGAACGTACCTGTCGAATCTCCCTCGGAGGCCAAGCCGGCCGAGCCGGAGACGAGCGGCGCGAGGAGTGCCGAGCCTACCGCCGCGAGCTTCGTGGAAGTTGAAAACCAACTGGAAAAAATGTTTGCCGGCCTCGAAGAAGGACCTGCGAGTAACGAAAACAATGGAACAGAAAGCGCTCCCGATAGCAGCCGGAAACCTCAAACGACTAAAGCGAGAAAACGAAGAAAATCTGCGCCCACGAAAGGTGACAGAAAAGCGTCAAGACGATCGAGTCGAGCGTCCACCGGAGAAAACGGGCCAAGAAGAAAGCTGCCCAGAAAGAAAGTCGACTCAGGAAAGGGAAAGAAAAACAAAGAGGCACCTGTAAAAGATGCTTATGACTCTGGCAGCAATGCGAGCTCGAGCCGATCGAGAGGTCCATATATACAGGTATTTATGACTTATCAATATTTTTTTATTTCTTAGCATGGTTTTCAAGACAATTTTTTTATGTGATAAAAATAGAATAATAATTCTATTGGTGTATGCTAACATGGTACCAATAAGAGATTATAGGTGAGGATGAAGTTAGGTCAGTTGGCACATCGTAGTAAATTCATTTAGAATTAACAAACATTGTTTATTAATTCTAAATTAGGAGGATTGTGTACAGGTTGACCTAACAAAGGTATATATACTTCATTGTTAACAATGTCCTGTCTCAATAAGTGATTACATGTCCTAAATGTGGGCTGTCAGCTTTTTTTGTGGATAAAAATGAAATGGTAGTCCAGTCTGTGCCAGCAGTATATGCTGGCAGTACCAGTGAGTGACGATACGTGAAGATCAAAGCAGGTTATTTAGGCCATCATGATGATTTCACGAACCGCGTGAAGGTCAACCTGATAAGATATATTGCTAACAATAGGGCTTTTTTTAATGGGTGATAATAGAATGGTAACCCTGCCTGCATTATTGGTATATACTGGCGGGGCACCAGTGAGAGATGATAGGTGAGGATGAAGTAGGTCGGTTAGCCCATCGTGACAAATTCCACAAGAATTGTTCATGATGGTTTCCAGGGGGAACCACATGGAGGTCGACCTGATAAGGTGTATTGCTAGCAATCCTTTCTCCCTAACAATAAGGCTAATGGACCCCAGTAGGCCGTTAGGTTGTGATTACAAGTAGCTGGGTGTGCAGATACGCGGTCCGCGCGACTCGCCGCTGTCGGTGAGCGTGATCAACGCGTGGACGGGCGAGGAGGAGGGCGAGGCGGGCGCGGGCGGCGGGCGGCGCAAGGCGGACGAGTTCCGCAACGGGCTGCGCGGGCGCGGGCTGCACGCCAGCACGCTGGGGCTGCGCTACGACGCCGCCACCGCCGACCGCACCTGGCTGTGCGCCTTCTGCGAGCGCGGCCCGCACGCCGCCGCGCCGCACCTCTCGCCGCACCACCCGCTCGGCGACCTCTTCGGGCCCTACCCGCTCGACACCGACTGCGACGAGTACAGGTACGTCGCCGCCTCACAGATGATGACGATAGGTGACCTGTCTCCTAACATGCAAATGTTTCACCTCAGAAAGTGTCGCAAAGCGAAATTGGCCATGTTTTCATATAAAAATAATACTTGAAATTTCGAGTGTTAATAATCTACAATCAATTTTTTTTTATAACAGTCTATTTTTTTGTTAATTGGCCATAAATTTTTACTGAATCAAGTATATTTACATATGTATAATAGCATATGTAAATAAATTTTGTAAAAAAAATATGATAGTAACAAAGTTAAATAAAATAAAAAGTTTTTTCTGATAAATTTTGTAAATATGTTTTTCTTACCTGGTATGCTTCTTTTGAAGCAGCCAGTGTCATTATATAGATAGGGCGAAAACAAACATCCCTTATTGTACAATGATTCCATTTCTCTGTCCTGTCATTTCTGTGCGGGCTATTTAATATTATGTTCTGTTACTAATAAACAAAGAAAGAAATAATATGTGTGCGCAGGGAGCTGGAGGAGGCGACGCGGCGCAAGTACGCGGGCTGCACGGAGGTGTGGTTCCACGAGGCGTGCGGCGTGTGGGCGCCGGGGCTGGTGGCGGCGGGCGCGCGGCTGTGGGGGCTGGCGGCCGCCGTGTGGGCGGCGCGCGGCGCTCGCTGCGCGCTCTGCGGCCGCGCCGGCGCCGCGCTCGCCTGCGCCGCCCGGGCCTGCCGCGCGCGTGCGCACGTACCCTGCGCCGCCACACCCGCCGCCAGCTGGCGCCTCGACCACGCGCGCTTCCGGGCGCTGTGCCCGCGCCACGCCGCCGCCTCCGTCTAGTGCGCGCGCGCGCCACACTTACACTACGGAGAAACTCGTCGAGTGTTGGCCATCTGACACTTTGGCAACATCGCAGGCAACGGAAACAGTAGTGGCCCGCCTAGTTTTTATATGCATCGAGGTAGTCGCGGCACTCGTCCCGCGGGACGGGCCGCCGCCCGCCGCCCTCCCGTTCTACAGTTCGGTACCTTTCGCCCCGCGCGACTATTTACTCGTAATATTACGCCTCATCTAGATGTTTTATGCGTCTGTGTAACATAGAAACGATGTAGATACGTGATTCTCTGTTAACTTTGTAGATGTAATTTATTCAGCTGCCCGACATCCGAACGTTTACATATATGTACAGAATATTTTACATATAAATTAGGCCCTAGCGGTGAATAGTTGTACACAATTTATGGTAAAATGGATTTTAGAAATTATGTAAATATAGTTTATATTGTATGTACATAGCAGTTTTACGCGTCGGAACACCATTGTATAAAAAACATTTTAAACCGTAATTGTGAATTTAAACATTTGGTAGCATTAATTTTGTGATCATTTTATTGCTTTCTCAACTTGAAAATTACGACTATCGACTTCACATGTTATATTGGCACAACTAATATGTACTTATTAAAGCAAAGGAAAAATGGCATGTCTCAAATGATTCCATGCCTCAAGGTATACAATGAGTAAATAATATAGTGTGTGAACATTACTTTTCTCTATACCATATCTTTAGTCTATGGTTAACTTTGCCCTCTCTATCATACAGTTATACATTTATAATAAATAAAAAAAAAATTAAGCATTATACTTAAATACTTTTATTTGTACATTTTGCAAATGATATTAATTATGTGTGTCCTTGTATATATAGGACTGTTACTTTACTCATTGTAAACTGACCAAAATATTGTAAATCTCATAATATTGTTTACATATTATGTAACAATGCAGTGATATTAAAAGTAATAATTTTTACTTTTGTGTAATAATTATTATAATGTTTTATGTGAAACAACTTTTTAGTTGCCATTTTAGAATGAAAACTAGTCTAACGGATAGTGTCTTGTGATTTAAAAGAAATATGAATTGTTTGGGGTCTATTGAAATTTACAATAACATTTTTAGCTTCTTAAATAATTGTGTATATGGATCATACTGCATTGTTATAGGGGAATGAATGGAATACACACTGTGTAGTGATTGATCTATTATACTTTATGGTTATATTACCGTAAACTTTACGCTTAACATGTGCGAGGTGCCTCGGAGTTTTTGTGCGCTTATTTAGAAGTTAATGTTCCCATATTGATAAAAGTAACGATTCTATATTGATAGACATTTTGTATTATATAAAAATCAAACATTCATTAATCGTGTGGTAATCAGGTGAATCAGAGGTTTCATTATTGAAACCTAACCAGTGTAAGAACATTAATGGCTGCTTATTTAATATTGCATTAGATTGGAGCAGTTTTGTACAACGTATTTTCAGTCACTGTAATGTAATAAGTGCGAGCGAGGTTGTCGTGTGATTATGGAACTGTGTGAACCGCATAAAAATGTCGAGGCCTCCCGCGTATCGGAATATATGGAGCTATGATCGTTTGTTAGCCAATGAGCGAGTGTTACACGCTAATTATCGTGTACTGTAATTCCAGTGAATAGAAAATAGAATTTATTTAGAGAATATTAAGGTACAAATTTATAGTAGGGAGAATCGGGCCAGTTTTAGTGTTTTTAAAATTTATTCAAACATCAGACGTCGCATGAACACGTAATTATGAACAATGATGAACACACAGCAACCCAAAGCCTTCATATTGTAAATGGTGTAAGAATTTTTTTATCACTTACGTCAAATGATTACTTTATTAAGTATGTAATTGTTATAAATTATATTTATCATGACATTATAAGCAAATTGAAATACAACATGTTTAAAATGAGAGAGCTAACTTTTATTTACTTATGGTGACCAGATTAACTCACGCCAATTAACATCTTAATACATAAAAATCCTGTGTCACGATGTTCGTTTACGCTGATCTCCGAAACCGTTCATTCGATTTTAATTTTGTTTGATTCTTTCCTTCAATTTGAAAGTTTGGGAAGAAAAGGTCGACCTGCATGCAGTTTACCCTGGAAACCGTAGTGTATAATTCTTGTTCAATCGGTTACCATGGGCCTGCCTTCATTGTCACCTATCATCATTCACTGGTGCCCCACCAGCCTATACCGATAGCGCAAGCGAGATTACTATTCCATCTTCACCCATTAAATATAAAAAACCAGAGATTGGTTGAGATTTTTTGAGATTGGAGAGAGTTTTTATTCCAATAAGAAAGAATTGACTCTATAGGGAACAAAACAGTTAGGTAGCTCAACCAGTACAAACTAAGTTCGACATTAAATATTTTTTATTGCTATTAGATATTTTTTTTAATTCGAAATCATGTTTTTTGTGCAACTTAGAATGACAAGCTTACGGCCTACCTAATGGAAAGTGGAAGCTGTGGCTATAGCACAGTACACTTACTCTACGAGGCCTATAGACATGAACAGTGCCATATACATAACTTTAAAATACTTTGTGTTAACGTTAACCCGTTAACTGTCTGCTCCTGAACGTATCCACCCCTAGAAGAGGGATTTTACCAGTATTATATACATACTTGGCAAGCGAGTTAACAACCACAATTTGACTTTTGGCGATGTCTTAAGAGACGCTGCTACCCATACCTTTTTTTTTATACAACTTAGAATTGCAAACAAGCTGACGGCCCACCTGATGGAAAGTGGTAACCGTCGCCTATAGACATGAGCAGTACCATGGGCATAACAGAGTATACTGTTTCGCACATGATACCCCCCATGCGTTGCCATTCCTGAGGACTCAGGTGTTATTCCTCTGTACCCAGTAAATTCCTCGACCATAAGCTCCCTAAGTCGCCTTTTACGACACCCACGGGAAAGGAAGAGGTAACCTATTCTATGCTCGGGACCAACACATAGTATAATGTACTAATATACTTCATAATCTAAGGCCATAACAGAGTATACTACGTCATTTTATTGCAATTACAGATTTGATATTTTTTTCTTATAAAGGTGAAATTAAATAAATAATATGCTTAGTAAATCAGAATATAATTTGTCCAATATGTAACTTACAATCGTAAAATGAACAAGTAGCAACTAAAGATTCTTCATCGAACTGCCAATCTGCACCATACGCAATACTCTCATGTTCGAGGTACTCGCAAACAACACTTAGTGTTTGTTCCTCAAATCGCAGTATCCGGAACCCGCCGTACATGCAAGCTGCCAGAATCGTAGTGGGTTTGTAAGGATGAAATTTTAGGCGCCAAACTCCGCCATTTACTTCGGTTTCAGTGACGCTTTGCCTAAGATTTCTTGCGTCCCACAAACGTACTTTTTCATCGTAACTGGAATAGATAATTAACTTTTTTTTTATACCACTAGGGCGACAAACTTACAGCTCACCTTATTAGTGGAGTAGTTATCATAGTTTAGAAGTTCTTGCTATTATTTTAATAGCTTTTTTTTTTATTTTGTATTTTTACGGCAATAAATTATTTATTATTTCTATCTATAAATAAATCTTGTAACGTCGTCAACGTATAGATAACCCCTTATTTTATGGGCCACCAAAAGATTGATTTTATAGAATACATGTAGGTACATACCAGTAATTAAATTTTTGCAAGCAATATACAAAAGGAAAATGTCCTCCATTCATTCTGGCTATTTTAGGCAATTACACCACCAATTTTGTACCGATTTTAATATTTTTTGTTTATTAAAAACATTCCGAGTTTAGGATTATTATCTAGTAAGCCGTCAACTTAAAAATCCTTAGTTGGAGGGAAAGGGATTGTTAGTAATTAGGTCTAAAAGCCCCTTTGCTAGCAATATACCCTCTCAGGTTGACCTCCACTCGACATCATGGTTAATTGTTGTCGAATTCACCACGGTCGGCCAACTGACCTGTCATTCTTACCTATCATCTTCCACTGGTACTCCGCCGATGTACACATATAGCGCGGGCGACGTTACTATTTCATTTTCACCCAATAAAAAAAAAATAACCTTCGTTGCCTAGTTGTAGTTACTTAAGTATTTAAAGAATATAAAATAGGGAAATGAAAACGGTGAAAATTCACAAATTTTAGTTCGTCTCAATAAAATATTGAATTTTTACATTAAATATATAGGCAAACCTGCCAGTCAGTAATTGATGTTCCACTTCAATGTGACTTCTTATAGTTGTGACGCCTGCTTCGTGTCTTCTATTCACAATAACTGCGTCGTCAGATACTCTCATATCGTATACCTTGAAAATACAGTCGTCACCGCCTGTAATATTAATAATTACCATGAGAGGTAATAATTACCATAGGGGACTGCTACAACTTACCATCTATATCATTATAACATAAAAAAATATATTTAAATGTTCTTCTTCTTTTTCTGAATGGCAATCGGTCGCCATTTTTACGACCATTTCTGTCTGTGTCATGTATAAGAGGCACGTAACTCGAAAATTATTATTTTTCTACCAGTAATATTCAAAGCGCATACATTATAATCATAAAAAAAACAATTACTTAATTATATACTCAAACTATAGATCTCCAATTTAAACTTAATGTTCATCTTTCCCGCCATTTTTCTATTGTACAAAATTTTACATTTAAGATTTACGTATAGGTACGTAGTGTTGGGCCAAAACCGAAACTTACTTAGAACTTGTAAAAAAAAATGTGTAAATATTGTTTACCTGAATAAAATGTGTTCGTATTCCAATAATTGAAAGCAGTTATCCACGCCTCAAAATTATGACCTTTCCAACTTCCAATTTTCTGTAAGCCGTCTACTATAAGTTTTAATACGGTAATTCCACCTAACGAGTCACTGACAACCAGCGAAGGTTCCGCAGACGGTGTTTTATTTGTCGACCAGTCAACCGACAAAGCTAAAATATCTTGACCGAGACTTAAATTTGTCCATAATTTCAGACTTATGGTACCCTCCTGAACTAAGCGGTAAAGTTCAATAAATCCCTGCGATGTGACTACAGCCAAAACTGGGTAGTCCTGGATTGTATGGTAACACCATTTCTGGTCTAATATTCCAGAAGTATCCACGGTTTGAATGGGGCATAATTCAGTAGTGTCCTTATTGACGATGAACAGGTATATTTTCCCGAGCCTGATCTGTCTTGATGATTGTTCAACTGTAAAGCAAATGACAATTACTTAATTTTTTTGTCCTTTTATACCTACTTGTACGAGACAAGTTACGTGTATTGTTTGTAAAATAAATTTATATATATTTTTTTTAATGGTTGACAATGGAATGGTAGCCCCACCCGTGCTATCGGTATACACCGGTGGGACACCAGTGAAGGATGATAGGTGAGGATGAAGCAGGTCAGTTAGCCCATCGTGACGAATTCAACAAGAATTGTTCACGACGGTTTCCAGGGGGAACCACGTGGAGGTCGACCTAATAGAGCATATTGCTAGCAATGGGGCTATCAAACTCCATTGCTAACAATCCCTTCCCCCCCAATAAATTTATATTATGAATTTTATTTATTTATTTATGTAACATTCACTATATAAACTATTATAACTACTTAGATGTAAAGTGTACATATATTTTATTAATATAGGCGTTATTTTATTAGTTACAATTTTAGTACCAAATAGCTACAGTCTTTTTTTCTCTTTTACTCAAAGATAAATTATCTTTGTATTATTCTTTAAGTGGTACAATAAAGAGTAAATAAATAACCTATTTATTATTATAAGGGTACTAAGTGTACATATTCACCAGAGGGAGACTATGAACAATTCATCTATTTAGGTGTGTCTGTCTAGTCAGGTATGTAGATCTATCCCACGTTTGTTTCTGGCTTGAAGTAGCAGTACTTGCATGGCTGTTTCGGTTTGTAAGGGAAAATATGGCAATAAAAGTATAGGACAAGAAGGTATCTTAATACCGCGGACGGGCATAGTGTATTCTGTGATATCTATAAAGGTTAATGTCTATAGAAAACGGTAATCACTTTCCATTAGATGAGTCTCAATTCTCAAGGTCTCATTCAAATAAATTCCGAATTCCATGAAAAATATGTGTAATATATATACACTCCTCGCAAAAATTAAGGGAACATAAAATTTTTTGAAATTTTTGGGTGATTTTCAACAGGCTGTATTTCAGTGAAAAATAATCGTACAGGAAATTTAAAAAAAGGGTTTTGAAGCTTGAAAACTCTAGTTTTCAGATTTTTTGGTGAAAAAATTTTTTGAGCTCCGGTTTCCATGCAATTCTTAAACAAAGCTGAAAATAATTTTTTTCTAAATTTTCTAGGTTTTGTTTTTCACTCTATGGGCATGGAAAAATTTTTTCGAGCTACTCCATTGTATAGGACTCTTAGTGTGTTTATTCAGCTTCAAAAATCGCTTTGGATGGCTCAATTACGACCATTTGTCTCCGAGATATCGAACTTTAAATGCAAAAGCATCCTTTTCCATTCAACTGCTAATATCTCTGGAACTACTGGTCGCACAGCAAGCGGGCGCCGAGTTTCTTTATCTGCATAAAATTTTCTTGATTTTTTTCGATTTTTTTTTTTGATAATGAATTTTTAAAAAACAAAAAATTGAGTAAAAAGTGAAAAACAAATGAAATTATTGATTTTTGAATGGATTAGGGTGACTTTAAGGGACAAAAACCTTGTTCCCTTATTTTTTCCAAAATTTCAATCAATTGGTCCGGGAAAAACCGTTGAACCGATCGCTCCAGGGATCCCTTAAGGAAAAATTTATTTTCAGCTTTGTTTAAGAATTGCATGGAAACCGGAGCTCAAAAAATTTTTTCACCAAAAAATCTGAAAACTAGAGTTTTCAAGCTTCAAAACCCTTTTTTTAAATTTCCTGTACGATTATTTTTCACTGAAATACAGCCTGTTGAAAATCACCCAAAAATTTCAAAAAATTTTATGTTCCCTTAATTTTTGCGAGGAGTGTATTGTTTTGTATTAACCTTTAAGTGGTGCAATAAAAAGTAAATAAATAAATAAAAATATACATGTAGGTAGATCACATTTTTTCATAAATTCCTACAAATTGGAATACAACTTCTAAGCAAGCTGTTCAGCGATATAGATTGCTTTTGCAACGTTTAATATTTACCTTCATCCTTTTTCTCGAGTTGATACGTGCCGCAGACCAGCACATTGCGATATCCGTCAATAGGACACCATTCGACCGAATCGGCACTGTAGCCAGTGTGCCATTTCAGCTTGTTATTCCATATCACAGCCATGGAAACTAAAATAAACATATATAGTAACAAGGTAAATCACTGAATAATATCTATTCATTTAAAACAATTGACATAGATTTTAACTTAAAATTCCTGTTATCATACATTGCTGTATATAAGGCTTTTACCACGGACTAGCCATATCAGCCTTAAGGTGTTGCTGAGACTCAAGGCCACAGCTGGGCAGCGGCTAAGGCTGGCTCGGCGATAACCCTTTTTGTTTTGTTCGTTATCCACGATTTGTATAAGCCGAAATCGCATCAATCACCGTCAGATACACACACCTCTTCGAGAGGCGTAAACGAAGAACATGGGTACGGCAGATTCCCGTTGTTTAAAACTTCGAGTAATGGAGGTAGACTCGAGGCTCTCTGTGCCCTATAAGGGGTTAATAGATGCCCTGTAAGGGGTTAACAGATAATCCAATACAGTAGAGGACCGCATTAAATAAATTCGATGTGTTAATACTTTGGTGTGAATAGGAATGCTTGGAGAATTTTTTTTTTGTCGTGGGATGAGGGGCATTAGGCTAAAGGCGACCCTGTACGATTTATTCCTGTACTCGTCTTTTACAATGTCATTGTAATGAAAGGGATTTAGACAAATTATATTATTGATATGTCATCGTAAAAAGGCCCACGCTACAGGAATATGGAATAAAATACTTACATATTTTGTAAAACGATCGATGCTGTGTACTTTTACAAAGTACCTTTATACATAGTCTTTAGTGAGCCAACTATACTTATAAATATACTACTTAATCTACGTTTTCTAATCTACGTAATAATGATATATCTACCTAGAATAAGAAATATAAATTTTTCAGGCTAAAATTTTAGAAATTAAAACGAAAATTACTATTTTAGACCCATTTATTTTTAATAAAAATATGTCCATACACGAATAGGTAAATACAGCAGACTAACGCTATATTTCGTAAACTGTAATGAATTTAACATTTATATCTGCTTACGTTATTAATAAATTGCTAAAATTTGTACTGTCGTATGGTTCACCACTTACAAATAAGAAATATATTACGAATGAATATTTAATGGTAGGGGTAACAGTACGGTCTAACAAATCTTGCTCAAATATAAGAGTATGAATGTAAGGCCGCATTCACACCAACAGTATAGTCAGTCGCTAACTACTTTGTCAGTTCTGGCCTAAACAACTCAATTTACCAGAATTAAATTATACGTATGTTAGCATAGCGTATAATAATATTTTGTCAGATCAGTGTAAGTAAAAAGTTAAATATTAATTGGACAATTGGTAAGTTGTGTAACGATCGCTCATAGTCAGCGGCTAACTATAAGTGCATTCGGTGTGAATATTCCCCAACACACACAGTCAGGCAAAAGAACATGGGCGCATACATGTACAATAAAATAAAAGATCAACTGCCGAGAAGACAAAATTACAAATAGCTTTCTTTAAAAATCTGATACGAACACAGTGCTTAGATTAGATTACTAATCTTACGAGAATTTATTAGTTCTGCAAGTATTCAACTTATAAGCTTTGGGCATATATCAATTACCTTACATAAGTTTACTCTTTTCACTTCATTGAAATAAATATAAATGAAATATATATTTAAACTACTAGAAATTTTACATATTTTTTATGTCTTTGACAAGTTTTGATAGTTCTCATTTTCGTATACATTTCATTTGTGTTTATTTATAACTTTGCAGCACAGTACAGATATAATTTGAATATTTTAGGGCGTATGCAGACAAACGACTTTTTGTCCACGGAGATCTACCCGTTGATTTAGCCAGGAGCTTGACTATAATTCGTGTATATTATACAATGCAATCTGTTATATTTTGACAAACAACAAATATGTCAAAGTTCATCCTTCGTCTTAGGCGTAGGCCCATAATTTTACTATCATCTACTACTAAAACCTGATTATCAACTTTGCATCTAATTGTCCGCATCTTTTTTTTATATATTTCTATTAGAAAGAGATAAAATCCACACGAATGAACAATGATAGAAGGTAATAGATTATAAAAATATTGAAATGGACATCAAATAATTAATAACATTTATGTAAGTACTTTATTAATTAATGGTAACTTATTTTATAAAGTTAATCTATTTCGTAATTTCTCCTTACGTCTAACTACGCTATAAAGTATACTTGACGGCAGTTGGACCAAAACATTTTCTATATTGGATTAAGTTGTAACAGTTGAATTGGATGGATGATTAATAAATAAGAGAGTACAAGTAGGTAAAGATAGCCAGATATACATAATTAATGTTTCATTTAAAAGTGTCTTGTACACGGCTAAATAAAATAAGGAAAAATATAAAATAAAATTGTTCTCAATACAATATTTGTGCAACGTGAACATCAGTTTTGCCAATTTTAATTTCTTTTCATAGATATATAAAAGTAATAAATAAGGTAAATTATTTATATCTATGGTATATATTCCTTCATTTAATATTAAGATGAGCTATTAAAGAGATCTTAATATATCTTTTTATAGATTTATTTTTAATTAAATCTTTATTAATTTATTTAAACTTTAATATGCAGTTAAATTCTACATACATTTGGTGGACAGTGTTCTTCACTAGTCAACCATTGGGCGAACTGAGAAATAAGCAGGCAGTGCATTATTGAACAGAGGAAATATGAAGCAATAGTTAATATATTCATATATTATAAACATACAATTAGACTAATATAAACATACATATAATATATTAAATAAATAAATATATACATGTAATAAATACATACATAAATAAATACATAAAATATTAACAATTAACTGTAATAGAAAAGCAAATAGCGATCTATGATTCAAACAGAGTAACCAGCAAGATTAAATGTAATGATATATTTTGTGGAAAATCATCCATCCAAACTATTTAGATAAAACTGTAACATTTTTGTCAATTTGAAAGGAGATGACATTAAAAACTAAACTATATACAACTTATACTAGTACAAAATGAAATTATCAAAAATCAATGAGCACATTTTTTCTTATATACTATGTCATACATTTCTATAATGAGGTCACGAGATTGGCTTGAGTTGTATAGTAATTAATATTTAAAATACTTAATATCAAACAAATATTGCTGTATTTTCTCATTACATCAGCATTTGTTAATGTCTTGATTATAATGTATGAAAAAATCATATATATGTAAAACATTGAGATGATTTATATCTGTCGGTGAAAATGGGTAACTCAAATCTAATATAATTTCTGTACATGTTGTGGCATATAATTTACATAAATAAATCATGCACATTAATTATTTTCATCTAAACTTGGTTTATACAAGATTAGTTGGATAGAGTATACTAATATCAGCGAGAAGTAATAAGTGAAACAATATTCTGCAAAGAACAATTAAAATATTTTTTTACATTTCATAATAATATAAGGTGATTTAATAGTGGTATTTCTTCTGTGTTCATTGGACAGTCTCATGAACACTATCACCTTGTTAAAAGTTAGTATGCCCTTTCTAACTAACCCTGTGTATTTGTTGCTATATCATATTATACTGACATCACCACATAAATATAAGACATTGATATAAACATTAAAAATATCAATAGTTTGTTTGTATCTGAGGTAGATGTTCACAATAAATGTTGCATTCACAGCCTGTACATTGTTTAATCAGGACATAGTATTGATTATTTAACATGATCTCTTTCTATAGGTAATAATTGAACTCACAACTGCCAGATTTACTTACATTACCACTTATACTAAAATTTAAATAGTTGTTCTATTGTAAACAGGCATTTATGTATAACAAGTTTATATAACTCTTTGGAGTCCCACATATTGTTGCATTGTAGGTAAATAAGATCAGAAATTATATATTTGAAAATAAAATTGGACATTCTTTCTTTAAAAAATATTTTCGAAGCCTTAAATTTATGTCTAAGTACCCTGAATTATATATTTCATTTAACTTTAATCTAACAGTAAGATACTAACTCTTTCTTTTTTTTTTCATTTTACATTATAATTTTACTTACATTACAATTATAGAATCATATGACAACATAGATCACCATAACTTTTTATTTTCAAGTATACAACATTTTGTTATAAAATGGAATATTTGGAACCATCCACTGACAAAGAGCAATATGTTTTAATTTAAAGTAATAGTTTGAGTTAATAATTATGTTTTATAATCAAATGTGTGATATCCCTCTGTTATCAAAACATAGACTATATTTACTGGTATGTCTTAATTATAATGGTAACAGTTTATAAGCTGGCAGTCACTTGAAGAAACATTTCATATTATTTTATGTAAAGCAATACCGAAATTGAGGTACTAATGAATTGACTGTGAAAATAATTTGTGGAGCATACTACTGCCGTGCTGACCTCTCTGTCTCGATGAGACATTCCCTCACGAGTATGCGAGCATGGACAATGCCACGCTTGAGACGTTCAGCAGAGCTGCGACTTCCCGAGTAACTAGGCCGAACCTCTTTACCCATTTCTTCTATAACGGCCAGTAATTGTGCATACTTGGACGTACCATTGTCTTTATCCTTGCCGTTTGAGGAGGGCGACGAAGCCGGGACAGTAGATATAGTTGCGTGACTATTCCCGCCATGTGCAAGTTCCTTGTGAACGTTTTTACCGCTCATTGGTATAGCGGTCACAGTAACGTCGCTCAACTTCGACTCCACGGCTTGAATGTCCATCGCCTCCATCGCTGTAAAGTTACGCGGCTTTAGCACAAAAAAAGAACCGAACGAACTGAGAAAAAGGACAGCACTTACCTATCTTACAACTAATAGATAAAAGGTTTCACGCTTAAATCCACACTATTGTACCAAATACGCGACACATGTGATAAGTAATACATTCTACTCAAAATTACTATGTAGGACATACCTAATCCGATCACGTCCAATCTCCCGAAGACAACTGGTACTGGTGCTATTATTCGTGTCAAGATAAAACTAATAACGGTTACAATAAAATTCACTGGAATGTCTACAGTTTCATGTAAATGCAAATTAGTTTAATAAATAAAACCCGTATTTAAATATATTAATGTAATAAATAACAAACAAGTCCATGTACAAATCACCACATTGACAAGTGGTCAAATCAAAAATATTTTTATTTAAATGACCTAGACAACTTCCCGTACAGCCTAATGATACCCATAAACGTTCCAATCAAGACTTAAAGTTGTCGTTGTCTCTTTAGATGTATAGACGTACGCGTAGATAAAGACATTTTCGTTTCTTTTTATGCAACTTAGAAAGGCAAACAAGCTGACGGCCCACCTGATGAAAAGTAGTAATCGTCGCCTATAGACATAAACAGTACCATGGACATAACAGAGTATACTATTTCGCCCATGATACCCCCCATATGTTGCTATTCCTGAGGACTCAGGTGTTATTCCTCTGTACCCAGTAAATTCATTGCCATATACCATCTTTCAAATCAAAACACAGCCATGCATACACAACTGCTTCATGGTAGAAACACAAATGGGACAAAAGTGCCCAAGCAAACAACTTTTGTAAAGTCTCTTTTATTTTATTTCCAGTCTACAATTCATATTACTTAATCGTGTACGATCTTATACAGTTACATATTTTTTTAATCTGTGTATCAAATTTGTCTGTTTTTGGCTCGATGTCAAGGCAATCATATCATTCAATTGTCAAATTGGCGAAATTGGTTGGTTTCTGTCTATATTGATATCTATAATTTTTCTTTTTCTCCATTATTTTGTTCGTAAATTAAGAAAACGATTTTTATGTCTATAAAGTATAAAACAATCTTTAAAGTTCATAATATACGTTCCTGTACAACATGAACCAATCAGAATAAAATTAATTGAAACGACCCGACAACCGATCGCTTGTCGGACTAAATTGATCAAATGAATGTAAATAATAAAACAATAAGAGCTCGGTGTCAAGTGATTTCTCCGCCCACTGCAGCACACAGAATCATTATGTGTTCAGTGAGCTAATGGGTGAAGTGCTTCGAATAAATTGTTCATGTTATTGTGAAAGTGAAATTGTAAGGTGGAGCCAGTGATGAAAGTTGATGATTTCTGGTGATAATGTCTGGAGAAGGAGAGCGCGCGTCCCGGCCGAACTCGCTTCTACTAGAAGCGCCGCCGCCTGAACGGGAGCCGCTCCATTTTGATGTGCAGCTGGTAGGGGCACCGCCCGAGGTTGAGCAGCTCGTCAATAACATAAAACAAGTCGCTGAAGACTTCCTCTATCACTGGAAAACATTTCCTATCGGTAAGATATTGTTTTCTACCACATCTGTGTTACTAATTTACACTATCCTTACCAATGTTACAAAAGAAAAAGTCTGTTTGTTTGTTACCTCTTGGTGCCTTAACAGTTTAACGAATCACTTTGAAATACTACATGGGACATGAAAAGATGTAAGCTATTTTTTGAAGGAAAACCAGTCAATGAACATACTTTGATCATATCAATAAAAGAAAATCATACAAATCTTGTTTCATCATAAAAAATAATGATAAAATGTGCTATAAAAACTAATCAAAATATTTACATCACTTTTCTCATTTACATGGATGCTTGAGACTTATATATCTCTAAAACTTTTTTTATTAACCTTTAAAGTCATAAAATTTAATATCAAAGTGTAACATCTTTATAAATTAGAATACACTTGTGTTACTTCCAATGATTTTCATTTAACTATATTTTGTGACTTGACCAATTTGTTATTATCATAATAGTATCTATAGAATAAAAATGTAGTAGTTCAATATAAAAAAAAATTTAATACCTTAAAAAACTGTAAAAATGAAAATTACAAAAAAGTTTCACACACTCCTTAAATGAAATAAGTAACAATTTTCATTTGTTTCTATGATAACTTCAATAAAACTTGGTTACCTTTTCATTATCTTTTTTTGAAACACTATGTTAATAAAATATACTTATCTATATATCAGTTGCAGAGTGATGATCCAAGAGTTCAAATATTCTGATTCATATTGTTCAAGTTCATGACATCATTTACTACAGATGTGCTTATTTGTGTACAAGATAAAAAATAATATTTTGAACTTTGACCAAATATTATCTCATTATTCACTAAAATTATGTGTAATTCTTACTAATATTATAAATATATATATATATATATATATATAGGTATATTATTTATTACCTCTTGGTGTACTCTACTTTTTATTACTATTACGGTATTTTAGTTTAATAAATGCAGTAACTAAGTTTAAGGGTCACTTTAGGGTTTAGGGTTTTTTTTGGTGGATGAAAATGGAATGGTAACCCTGCCTGCGCTAACGGGATACGCTGGCGGAGCACCAGTGAAGGGTAATAGATGAGAATGAAAACCAGGCCAGTTAGCCCATCATAATGAATTAACCATGATAGTTTCCAGGGGGAACCATGAGGAGGTCGACCTGGTTGGGTATATTGCTAGCAATGGGATTTTTAGTCTCCATTACTAACAATCCCTTTCCCCCCAGGGTTTAGGGGTTACCACTTCTCATCAAGTTTTGTACTATTTATACATAATTTGATACATAAGTCTTTCATATCTGTATCTCATAAACAGCTCTAAATTCCATTAGATAGGCCATCAGTTTGTTTGCTGTTCTAAGTTCCGTAAAAAAGTTAATATAATTATTACGTGCAATTAAATCTGAGTATATTTATTAATTGCATTTTTCTGGGCAGTTTTACCGCCATCACGTTTCACTGGTCCGGGCAACCGTCCATCGGACATTATCATCGCTCCACCATGCGACGAGTTGGACGCAGCAGCGCTGGACGCCGGCCTAGAGCCGCATCCACTGTCGCCAAAGCAACTACATGCTATCAGAGAGAAAGGGTGTGTACTGTTATAAGTTACAAAAAATTAAATATAAGATGAAATTGAAATCAGTAGAATCTTTTAAAGGAGTATTCTTACGCATTACCACTCTTTAGAAATAACTTCCAGTAGCAGTATTTCCGAACTGATACAATATCATAACCTTCAATAAAAGAGCATATTCCTTTTTAAAAGGCTGGCTGCATACCTACAATGTGTTCTAAACAAAATCTACTATTAGACCTGAACATTTTTAGCAAAGAAACATTAGTCAAAAAAAGATCAGAAAAAATATATTGACTTTCCATATTAATTAGCGCGCCATGTTAGTATGGTAGTATAATTTTTTTTTGTTTTTTATCTACCCATATTCCTTTGTGAAAAATATTCACTAGTAGAACAGTCCTTTAAAATGATACTAACGATTTCTACTTTACACTAAGTATATATTTAGTTGATGATTCAATTGTTTAATTTATTTACTTAAAAATCTATAATATAGACGTGTCTACGTCAGTATAAACAGTTTTTATAAATATTATTATTAGAGGTAAATTTTAATTAACCGTTTCAATTGTACAATATAAGTTTTAAAACTACCGTATAATAACTAGTATATCTGATACAATGAGCATTTTTATATCGAACCGTACTATATCGTACGAATTTACCGTCACGATATAATAGGAGAGGAATTACGCAGTTGTACGTCTCCATACACGCTTTTAATTTACCGCAACGATAAAGTGGACGTCCGCGGCTTAACAATAATTCAAAACATTAGTATACTTAAATGATATTTTATTCCACTTTTATACTGTAACGGTAAAAGAGTATGATATTGCGTCGTGCTATGACAAATTAAACGCCCAACACGAACTAATTCACAATTGTTTTTGTTTTAAAACAAAAGGAATAGATACTCTAAAATATGTATTTATGTATGCATATGTTACTACCATTTTATAAAATTTATACGTATTTATATACTGTATTTTTTTTTTTTTGTAATAACAAATTGTACAGCTTTTAAGTTTAACAATCGCTATCATATTTCTTTATTTAGTAATTCCAACACACGGTGCCTATTATGCTGTAAAGTCAAGTGATTCAATCATTATCGCGGGAAAATAATAACAAGAACGTAAAACGTGCAATCAATCATTTCCCCCGCATTTTGTGTGTATTATAATGATAGTAAATGACTTTCATTGTTCATTCCGTTCATAGCTGTTCGTAGCCGTGTTTCACTATATTAGCTACGATTTGTTTGGGGAAAACCAGTATTATAATGTAAATTCGTTGTTTCAAGGCTGACGAATAATGTAGGAACATTGAAATGTAAAGGAAGTTTTCTTATCTATATGGTCACTTTTTCTTATCTATTTCCACTGTCAAATTGCAATATTTATTAATGAAAATTATATGATAGTTCTGCGCTACTATATAGGCGATTGAGTACCACTACGTGATGATAGGCGAGGATAAAGTCAGGTCGAATAGCCCATCATGACGAATTCACCAGAAATTTACCATGGTGGTTACCAAGGGAAACTGTGTGGAGATCGACGTAATATAATAAATATAACAATAGGATCGCTGGTTCCCGTTATTAAAGCCACTAGTCCTTCTCTAATTAATTTATTTACAGATATATGACGTGTTTTTTTTTATACTACTTAGAATGGCAAACAAGCTGACGGCCCACCTGATGTAAAGTGGTAACCGTCGCCTATAGACATGAGCAGTACCATGGACATAACAGAGTATACTGTTTCGCCCATGATAACCCCCATGCGTTGCCATTCCTGTGGACTCAGGTGTTATTCCTCTGTACCCAGTAAATTCACGCCCTTCAAACCGAAACACAGCCACAACTGCTTCACGGTTGAAACACGAATGGTACAGAGGTACCCAAGCAATGCGAGCGAAAAAAAAAATACGAGCGTGACAAATATGTATCATACATACAACACGCTATGTGACTCAAGATTTTCACAACAGTCATAAATAGAGGCATGTGTTGTTCAGTACATGCAGTCAAGGGCTAAGATAAATAAATAGCCATCCATATTGCATTAAAAAATAAAAGAATTCATGGTGTAATTCTTACAGTACGCTTTGCATAAAAATTAATAATCAGTCATCTGTCAACGAATCAACAGAGCGTATTACAAGCTGCAGAAAGCCCTCCACGATGCATTCAAATAAATGTTGGTGCATTGTATATACAAAGGACGCGATCCTCTTGCCCCTCGGCTCGTTAAGTTCAATTAATGTTTTTATTTGAACACATGATACGCTCTCCAAAACGTTTATCAAGTTAATGTCTCGATCCCTGGCCTCCATGTGTTGCTGTGACGTAATTATTAAAAAATCCCAACTTGTATAACATCTTGTATATAATACCAGTATATATTTACCTTCTTATTCATAAAAACTAAAACCGTATACAAACCTATTGTAACTGTTGCACTGTTTAGTAAATTTTTTATACCGCTGAGATGGCTAACAAGCATACGGCCCACCTGATGGTAAGCGTTTACCGTAGCCTATGAACGCCTGGAATACCAGAGGTATTACGCGCGCGTTGCCGACCCTGAAGAAGCCTCTTTACCCCCCTTTTGAAGAACCCCATGCTGTAGTCTCTTTGGAAAACCTCGGCCAATTTCTTTTAAATTGGAAATTTAGAACAGAAGAAAGAGACAAAACGTTTTTTTCCCAGTTGAAAAAAGGTTTACGAGGTGTTTTTACGTTTTTATGAATAAGGGATTCAGTTTACATTTAGCTCATTCATTATTAAGGTGTTATAAATTTATAATTATTTAGATAAAATATTTAGTTTATATCAACATATAAAAACGCGTTTTTTTTTTTTAATAAAATCCAAATACCAATAAATTTTTAACAATTTATATAGATAACGGTTACCACTTTCCATCAGGTGGACCGTCAGCTTGTTTGCCATTCTAAGTTGTATAAAAAAAAAATATTAGCAAATCCTCTGTCATTAAACATAAACAGCAAAAACTCTGACATTAAATTCTTTCACCTATTCGTTTATTTCTCATTGAATAATATATATAAATAGAACTACAAGTAAATGGCTTACAATCGCCGTACATATGTAAATGTAAAGTTATCTTGTACATAAATGTATTGAAAAGAGTAACTGTTGAGTTTCTTGCGAATTCTTCTCAACACATAACAACATTACGTATCCAGTAGTAGAATTATAAAAAAAAATTACTGTTTAAGAGAGCAAACGAGTATATTTTTATATTTTTTTTTTATCAATTTAAACTTTTTTGATACAAATTTTAAGTAAGAATTCTAAATTAAAATTTAACTGAAATAAATTAGGCTTTATTGCTCTAATTCTCTAATTTAGGGTCAATAATTAATACGCTAAGTACAAGCAAATGTAGGATCTATTTAAGTCAATATTTTTATTCAAATCTTTTTTAAATAATAGCTGCTTGTATGCATAATTATTTATATATATATATATATATATATATATATATATATATATATATATATATATATATATATATATATATATATATATATATATATATATATATATATATATATATATATATAATACACATAATAGCAGGTTGCACTATCCTCGCCCTTTGATACGAGCGATGTGTCACCCTAAAAATAGAAGCAGAACATGTTATGTATTCGCAGAAACGTTTTTTTACTTTTTACATTCTTTCTATTATGTTCATTGGATTCTTAATAGTCTATAAATAAAGCAACCTTCTAAGATTACCTTACTGTTGTATCGGCAGCTTCATATTTAGTTACAACGATACGTATTAATTACAGCAGGGCTATCGCACATTTTATGACGATAATTAGATGTAAACAAAAATTTTATAAAAATCTAATGCCTACACAGACGAGAAATATTAGTGTTACTTTATATATGCCAACAATTTTTTCTTTATTTTAGAGTAAGATGCGGACGCTTCACTTGTATCCCCTTATTTATAAAAATTAAAATGTCTTACAAACATGTTTTAACTATTAGAGTGTTTTGTCACCGTCTTTCTAATTGAGAATTTAGTGCAAAAGAAAAAGACAAAACACTTCAATAGCTAGAATAAATTTATGAAAGGTTTGATGTTTTTATGAATACGGGAGTTAAACTTTTGTGTGTTATACAATGGAGTATTGTATATTATATGTTACAAAGAAAATCGTCAGAATATTCAGTAATTTCACTGCAATAAAGCATTAAAATGTTTACATATTATTACATCTGACTGTACGATGGAATTTTATTATAAATAAAATGTTATATTATTTTTACATGTCACTGTACAATTGTATTCCATTCGACTGTAAAGAGTTGTGTCTGTGTGCGGTAACCCTTCATTGGTTATGTATTATCGACACTGCTACGCTAGTAGTATCGAAAATCAATAATATGAATCACCTAATGCTTGTTAGTAAGTCAAGGAATAGGTTCCAAGTATGCTAGTTACCGGTCATCCACATAAGGGCCAGTGCATACGAGTTACGGCCCTCGAGTTACATTTTATTCGTTACAATTAATTAAAACTGTATCGTATAACGCACACAATTAAGAAGCTAATAAGATTGTTTTTCACAAAAAAGAAATCTATTACAATTAGAGGGAGACTTTGCACAAAAGTCGATTGCTTGGGTACCTCTATCGCATTCGTGTTTCTACCGTAAAGCAGTTGTGTTTGCATGGCTGTGTTTCGGTTTGAAGGGTGGGATATGGCGTGAATTTACTGGGTACAGAGGAATAACACCTGAGTCCTCAGGAATGGCAACGCATGGAGGGTATCATGGACGAAATAGTATACTCTGTTATGTCCATGGTACTGCTCATGTCTATAGGCGACGGTTACCACTTTCCATCAGGTGGGCCGTCAGCTTGTTTGCCATTCTAAGTTGTATAAAAAAAATTTGTGGCAAAACCAGAAATTTTGAGTTAAATAATAAATTACTGAACCGATGTTGGTAAAACTTCTACGGTACGAATCTGTAATAAGGATATCTTTACACATTGTAAAACCGATTTCAATTATGGCAAAACTATTTATTTTATTTTAAAATTAACTAAAACTACTAAATCGATTTTGGTAAAATTTCTACGCGACCTGTAAGTATGTGCTTTCACATAAAAAAAATAATTTTTCAAATCGATTTACAACTGATGGAATTATGAAGTAACAAATATAAAAAAATTAACAACCGAATCTAGAACCTTCTTATTTCTAAAGTCAGTATAAAATACTGTGTCTCTCCTGTGTTATACGATGCAATTCTAACTGATCTATTTTCATGGACTAGTATTAGAATTCTAGTTGACGGTCATCCAAATAATGGTCTATGCAGACGAGAGGCATTCCTTGGAGACACTTGTTTGTATTCAAAGTAGGTCAGAATTGCATTACATACATAATTTACACGAAAGAAATTATATTTAAGTCCTCGTGTGTGTAATTCAATGCAGTGCTAAGTGACCTCTTTTGAATGCAAAAAAAGAATTCGAGATTTGTCCCTTGTCTGTATAGGCCCTAATATTATAATACAGTAGTGGAACAGCTTATGCTGCTTATAGCAATAGATGCTACTGTCATACCTTCCATCTTAGACCGTATACCATACAAATAACGGTATCACATTATGTATACAAATATAGTTCATCAATTAATATTTATATAGTTGATAATGCAACAACATTCATATTTGACGACCTCCATGGCTCAGCGGTTGGCGTGTTACTTGCGGGAATAAGATGTCTAGTTCGCTTCTCGGTCAGATCAATTTTAATTTTTTTTTTTTAATTATCATAGATTTGTGTGTAGTGCCGTTACATTATCATTGTATGTTCTCGTCATGAGTTAAAAAGTTTGTGATTAACGTTATTAGTAATCCTGTGATAAAAGGCTCCTAAATTATACATACATAATTATATAGCTACTTGGTTTAGTTTTCTTTAATATTCTATACAATTTCCTATAATTACACGTTTAGTGAAATTACATTTACATTGTTTTAAGTCATATTTATTTTTAAATAGTCATTAATTGCACACACAGTTGAGTATAAACAATGCATTTGTATGTAAAATAGTTGTAAAATTTATCAAAAGATGTTTTTTTCGTAAAGCTTACACAAGGACAGAATATTTAAGCCGAAGAAACTAAGTGCTAAGCAATTGGAATCGATACGCGAATGGGGGTATGTCGCCCTATATATCTGTATTATTTATGTACCTATATTCAAAATCACATGGACCAACATTGGTGCCAACGTTTGATATGACATTTACCATATGCATGTTGGCGCCAATGTTTTACCCCCAATCATTGCATGCTTCATATTAGAAACGCTTCTCTATTCTATCTCTATATATGTTTATGTGTATTTCTGCATTGTTACGTACCGTAGCCCCATTTTAGGAATTGTAGTATATATTTTTAATCATTAATAATAAAGGCATGAATTTTTCAGACCCGTAGTGTACCTACCTGATGAAATATACCTACTTACAAATTTATTTTTTTATAAGCTGCAATATAATAATAATAATATTGTAATATTTTTAATTAAAATATAACGTTTAAAAATTGTTTATTTATATAAATTGTACAGTCATACAATTCAAAATAAGTGTTGTATTTTTAAATATGGCAAACAAACATTAATAAACATGGTATTTAAATAAGTAACGTGGTCTCCATTTGTTATCACTGTAGACTGTACCTACACGTACTGGATTTATTTTAACCCTTTTAGTGCCATTTATTTTTACTCGTATCTACTTAATAATGCCAAAGAAATCTTTGTCGTGTTGATGTCATTCACCCTTGTCTCTAAAAAAACTGTATCTCCTCCAAAAATTATCCAATTTTAATATATTTTTTTGACAGCAAGCTAAACAGCGACTGATTTCACGAGCGCTATGACGCTCGTGGCACTTTTAGTTGCAATGCGCACGGGCGCGATGGCGCTCGTCGGCACTCAAAGGGTTTTTCAAAAATTTTGTGCAGCCTCTAAAAAACTGACATGTTCTATATCCAAATTGAAACTAAAGATTGATATGGGACCCGTCATAATAATTAATACCGACTTGATTTGTAGGTACATGTAATGTTACGTCAATATTACAATAGTTCTATTGAGAGGCCCTACCGAATAAAAATTGCAACGTTATGGTTTTCCAGCATTATTTTACATAAGTTGTTTAAAATTCAGTCTTATGCCTCAAATATGTAGGGTGATTATTAATTATGCTATTATTTTCTTTCGTTTGTTAATTTGCAGTGATTACATTGACAAGACAATATTAAACAAGCAAACATGACAAAGATACAAAAGAACTCAACAACAAGAAGAAAAAACATTGTTTATATTTAAAAGCTATTTTAACAAGTATTTTTTCATATTTATAGGCGTATACCGCGCTGGTGGGGGGCGGGGGGGGTATATGCTGTGCCTCCACAGAGTTGTGTGGTACCTAATGTATTATATCTTCCATATTTAGAACTAACAAAATTTTTCATCGTGCCTCTCACCAAATTGTTTATAATTACTCCTCTCCATCTAAAGGTTGCCTGGAAAAGATCGCTCTTAGCGATAAGGTCGCTCATTGTTTTCTCACTGTCATTATTTCTTGTAATTATTTATATTTATAAGAAGTTTACTATTGTAATCTTTTGGAGGAAACAATAAAGAGTATCTATCTATCTATCTATCTCCAGATTACGAGCGAAGCTTTCAGCAATGAATAAACACATCTCTTAAGAGTACAGTATGCTGCTTTTTTAAGCGGCCCAGCCCTCTGGAAAATAATCTTAAACACACCACTGTTTTTATAAGATAATGGCCGCCATATTTTATTGCAGTCATGTTCCTTATTGTACTCTTCTAATTAAATCTAATATAACAACGCCATTAATCTCACCTCGCTTATTAAAATACATGGGGTCGTTTGGTCGGCGTGTTGAGCAGAAGATCCTGAAATAACATACATAATACGTTAAAAAAAACATTATTTATTTATTTATTTACACTTTATTGCACCAAGTAAAAAGAGAAATAACAAATACAGTAAATATTAATGAGAAGTGATACAAAAGGCGGCCTTATCGCTAAGCAATCTCTTCCAGACAACCTTTGGGTAGAGGACATTGAGAAAAAGACAAAGGGTAGGTGGCGCACTATTATATAAATATTATCATATACAAACATATATACATACACACATATATACACATACATATATAATATATACACAATTAAATATATACATAATACATACACATACTTAACAGCACACATACAACAGAAAAAAAATTACCCTCCTTTCTTTGATAGTCGGGATTAATTGTACTTTGAAGCATGTAATCAAATTATTACTGCAAACACCAGTTTCTTAATACATGTTTATATAATATTAATGTAACTATATAATAAAATTTAAAAAATAATGTGCTATGTGTGAAAAAAAAAGTATTAAAAACCATAACGTTACAAGTCTTATTGGTAGAGCATTTTGAATTTTAAGTCGTATAACTACAAGGTTGTTATTCCAACAGAGAGTTCGAAGTGCCGTCCCGCCACTTCCCAGGGCAGACGCACGTGTGGCGCGTGGCGAGTTGGCTTCAACGCGGACGGGTGCGGGCACGGGAGGAATTGTACAGCCACGTGGCGCGCGCGGTTGCACTCATTGTCGTGGTCGCCAGGGACCGCCTGCTCAGGGATGAGCCCCTCTCTGTGATAGCGGGGGCGAAATCCATGATTATGGGTTTACAAAGGTGAACATTTCTTACTTGTTTGCAGTTAGACGATTTTTTTTTACTTTAAGTGACCGAATGAACATCGAGCTCTAGGACTATATGATTATAAACCCTCAGGTTATGAAATAGGCTCCCAGTCGAGGTTTTTCCAAGAAACTACAGTATGGGGTTCTTTAAAAGAGGGGTAATGAGGTTTTTTTAAGTTTGGCAACGCGCACGTAATGCCTCTGTTATTGCAGACGTTTATAGGTGGGCCGTATTTTTTTATACGACTTAGAATGGCAAACAAGCTGACGGCGCACCTGATGGAAAGTGGTAACCGTCGCCTATAGACATGAGCAGTACCATGAACATAATAGTACACACACATACTGTTTCGCCCATGATACCCCCCATGCGTTGCCATTCCTGAGAACTCAGATGTCGACTTTTGTACAAAGTCTCCCTCTGGTATGCTTGTTTGCCACATCAATGTTATAAAAAAAATATGACTCATCAATTAGAACGACGGAAATTCTTCCCTCAACAGATGACGATACATTGCAGGCTCACTATGTACTTTTGACACTACGTTTGAACGATCACAAGTAATATTAAATGAACTGTATGTTTTGCTCTAGACTGCTGGATCTCGCTTTCGGTATGCCTTCGCTGGAAGCTCGTGATCTCGAGAAGAAAATACGCGAAGAACGATCTCGATATTTAGTTGCGGAACTTATTTGTAAGGTAATGACAGTTATTTTAAAACCTAATAGAAGTAGTAAATCGTAATTCGAAATGAGAAAACAAAAATTAAGTTTTTACTTTTTTTTTTGGGCAATTTTCCTTCCTCGGACATCAATGAATATTTGAAAAAAAAATCGTTTTAAAAACAATTTTCATCGTGCCTCCAATCAAACTGTTTACAATTACTTCTCTCCGTCCAAAGGTTGCCTGGAAGAGATCGCTCTCAGAGATAAGGTCGCCCATTGTTTTCTCACTGTGATCATTTCTTGTAATTGTTTGTATCTATAATAAGCTTACTATTGTAATCTTTTGGAGGAAACAATAAAGAGTATCTATCTGTCTATATACTCGATCTATCTTGTATTATGTAAGTAGTCAATTTCCTTATGTGGTCAGCCCGAGCACCAGGAGGACATAGCGGCGCTGGCGGCGTGGGTGACACGAGCGATGCGGCGCGCTGCGTCCGAGAAGACGGACGCGCGCGACACCCCGCGGCCCGTGCCCAGGGTGCCGTGCCTCTACACCACGCCGCAGCGGACGCAGGTTACCATCGTAGTCTCCTTACACAGCTCCAGTACCAGGAAGTCATAACAACGTGCGAGATGCACGCGACCCCACGCGGCTCGTCTCTAGGCTCTGCTACTATATCATGCAGCAGGAGTCGCAGCTCACTGCTATACTCATCTTAAGGCAAGCTCACACAGGTCTGCATCGATGGATTTTCGCTTGTTGTAGTTTTTTTTAATGGATGGTAATGGAATGGTAACCCCGCCTGCGCTATCGGTGTACACTGGCGGGGCATCAGTGAGGGATGATAGGTAAGGATGAAGCAGGTCAGTTAGCCCATCGTGACGAATTTAACAATAAATCAATCACGATGATTTCCAGGGGGAACCACGAGGAGGTCGACCTACCCTGTCTGTCGACCTGACAGGGTATATTGCTATATAATCCCTTCTTCCCCAGCTTGTTGTAGTTGTGTCAGCCGTTAACTGTCCACTGTTGAACGTAACTTCCTTCATAAGGGGGATTTTTCTAGTAGTCGCCACGCTTGGCGTAACTGCAGTTTGGCTTTTGACGATGTTTTAAGAGAATTGCTCCTTCCCCTCCCTCCTCCATAAGTTCCTTTAGTCGCGGAGGAGGTGGCTTATTCTATCCCAGGGCCTGCAGGGCTATTTTCAACGGATTATTCTTTGTAAACTCATGTAACCCTGTCTATTGATTCGCATCGTACGAAACATATGCGACGACCAGTCAATAAAGCCAACGTGATTGCATGAAAGGGCAACTTTTCCGGTGCATACCGGTAACGTCATCTCTATCAGTGGACGCACCCCGCCCGCCCGCGTCGGTCCCTATTTATTTTTTCTGTTTTTTTTTTTCGTCTTCTGCTAACAAGCAACGACAAATAATTGTACTTCATTACTTTTCACGGACACTATGAATGTTGATAAGTAATTGATTAGAAAACTATAACAATATTGTTGAATAGACACTTCCATAGACACTAATTGATTTAAATGACTTGGTTTTACATGACATCTTAACAGCTTTTTGTAGTGGGAGACTGCGTCGTGAAAGTTGGCATTTATTTACATTTTATGTATAATTATCCCGAAGTATTAAAGGTTAATCGAAATATAAAATTGTTTTTAAAATATCAATGTACACTTCACAAGCGTACTTCGTTTATACTAATGTGTTTTACCTCATTAGTACTAATGTTTTCTTTCCGCTAATGTTCCATTCCATTTGTTCTCACGCAGGTGGACCTGCGACTTTACCGCCGTGACTTGCTGCGTCGCGCCGCGGCGCCCTTACAAGCGATACTGGAGCGAGAGTCGCGCGGCTGGTTTCTACACTTTAGGGAACGGAAAGCTGCACAGCTCGCCAGTCAGAAGATGCCTATGAAGGATATCGAAGAGGTTATTAAACGTTATATCTTACTGTTATTTACCAGAGGGAGACTTTGTACAAAAGTCGATTGCTTGAGTACCTCTGTCCCATTCGTGTGTCAACCGTGAAGTAGTTGTGTTCGCATGGCTGTGTTTCGATTTGAAGGGTGGGATATGGCAGTGAATTTACTGGGTACAGAGGAATAACACCTGAGTCCTCAGTAATGGCAATGCATGGGGGTATCATGGGCGAAACAGTATACTCTGTTATATCCATGGTACTGCTCATTTCAATAGGCGACGGTTACCACTTTCCATCAGGTGGACCGTCAGCTTGTTTGCCATTTTAAGTTGTATAAAAAAAAACTAACTATTTTTAAAATAACAAAAATATTTTTCTGTTGTATAAATTAATCATTTATATTAACTCTTGTGCTTACAATATAACGAATATCTGCCTTGGCTACGGTAACGGTTTACTATTAGGTAGGCCGTATGCTTGTTTGCCACCTTAGTGGTATAAAAAAAACTGAAAAATGCAATTAAAATAATGAAATTTATATCATGCTACATGTGATATGGCCAATTTAAAGGCCGTATAACATGTTCGTGCCGTAACGTAACATGCCGTGTTCATGACGTCAATGAGATGTCTAAACCGGAGAACGATGGGTCAGTTAGGGTACCTAATAAGCCTGTTTGATGTGAATTGATCGATGAAAATTGTATTGTATTGTATTGTAAATTGTTATTTTTTTGTTGATGATTCAACGAAATTATTAAAGTTTTATTGAAGTTGTTGACACTGAGATTTTTTAAAATGTGTATTGTTTTTAAATTTGTTCTGTGTTAGTTTTTTATAAAACCATGTACCTATTGATGTTTTTTTACTAAAGCGAATATTTTATATTACAAATACATATGTATTCGTTTTACTTACAGCCTTAGATTATATAGATAGAGCATCGAACGTCCAAAACGAGTCAACTTTTTGTCAGCTAATTGTCAAATTAGCTAACTCGTTTTTTTTACCATTATTCTATATACTTAGGCATAAAATGTACCATGACGTATTATTTAATAAATAAAATGAGTGATTATACATTAAAAAGATGCAGAAATTATGAGACAATAAAATAAATGTAGAATTTATAAAGAAAATACTCATAAACATTTATCACACAAAAAAAAGTTCACCCGTTTTTCTCGAAGTATTTGTGTGGAGACTCTTTATCTATATATAATCTAAGAGTACAGCATTGTGCTGTTTACATGAGACATGTAGTGAGTAGTGAGTAGTGAGTAGTGAGGTGTGCGGTGCGCGTGCGCAGGAGGTGCGGTCGGCGGCGATGCGCGAGTACGTGTCGCGCGTGTGCGACGCGGTGCTGGACAGCGAGCCGCTGGCCGCGCTCGGGCCCGACGTGCCCGCGCTGCTGGCCGCGCAGCTGCGCGCCGCCGCCGTGCTCGACAGGTGAACTTACCAGCCGCACCGAACACACGCGACCAGTATTTATCGGCTCATCAAAAAAAAATATTCATTACTAGTTCACCTGGAAAATATAATTAAGGGAACACCTTAATCACCTAGCGATATGAAATATATTTTATCGTATTTACAAAATATACATAAAAAAATCATAAAATCGGTCTAGCTGTTTCGGAAGAATGTGACCACAGACATTGTTGAGACAAAATTTATATCTATATATATATATATATATATATATATATATATATGTATGTTACTGTACATATTGTTAATATGTATAATCTGTATCATTCTTTGAAGAGAACAAAGAACTCTTTAAAGAGTTTCCATTGATGAATGAATTGAAAAGAACAATGGAGTGCGCAGGGCGGAGGAGGGCGTGCGGCGGCGGCTGGAGGCGGGGCTGGCGGCGGCGGAGGCGCGGCTGCGCGCGGCGCGCCCCCTGGCGGCGCGCGCGGGCGCGTGGCGGCGCGAGCGGCTGGCGGCCGCGGCCGCGCGCCTGCGCGCCGAGCTGCGCTGGGCCGCGCTCGAGGACGCGGCCGCCGCGCTGCACGCGCACGGCCTGCTGCAGCACCGCTACTTCCTGCTGCGCGACCTCGCCTTCCAGCGCGACCGGGAGCCGCTCCTCGTCAAGGTGAGCACTGCGCTCACGTGTGCGCTGTGGTGTGGTGTGCGGTACGTACGCTGTATACTGAGGTGCGTGTGGCGGCGTGCAGGAGCTGCGCGCGGCCAAGAGCCCGACGCGCGAGTTCACGTGGGCGACGCGCATCTGGCTGCCGCAGCGGTGGGTGGTGGTGCGCCACTTCCGCGGCCGCTCGGAGCGCATCCCCACGGTGCTGAGCGCGCGCGCCACGTCCATCGTGACGCCGCGCTCCGACCCGTCGCAGCCTGTGTTCCTCGTGCACAAGGAGCGCGTGCGCACCACCACCACGCGCTGGCCCGCCTGGCGGCTGCTCAACCTCGCGCACAGGTACTGTGCGCCCACTGCACCTTGCACACCCTGTCGCCGCCCTTTGTTCTAATAATGAAAAATAAGTTCTTTCTTTAATTATGGTTTATAAGCTATTTTGATATATGTAATCCCAGATTAATAAATAGTATCGAGCCCCTTAGTTTAAAACGTGACTTTGCTTTTCCTTGCTTCTTTTACTACCTGTATAAAGAATTGTGTTGTGAAGAACTTTTCGATATAATGTCTACAACTACCTTTTACCGTCGCACACCTTAGGTCATGCACATTGCGATTTCAGAAGATCCCTGGTGTTAGTCCCTATTTATCCCTGAGCAGTTTACCACCAGGCTTGTATATTAGTTAATATAAAAAATATATGAAAAATAAAAGTATAAACACAGGACATGGTGCTGGAGCTGGAACATGATGTTCCTGCTGGGCGTGCTGGTGCCGTGGTGCTCGCCGCTGTCCCTGCGCACGCTGCTCTGCGTCAGACCCTTCGTGCCGGACTACGAACTGTCACAGGTTACTATCGTAGCATATAATTGACTTAACTTGAAGCTAACTTAACATCATGAATTAGGAAGCGAAAGAGATTTGTTTGAATTGAAGCTTTTGGCGTTCCATTGTTTCTTCCTATCGTAATGGGAGACAGGTGTGACAGATATGTATGTATGCTTAGCGTTATAAATATACCAATATAGCTCTGACAAGTACCTATACTCTTTTGCAAACGTGATTATACTCGTGAACTGAATAAAAATTATAAAATTGTTAAAATGACATATCTGATCCATGTTTTTAAACGGATGGCTATGTAACGTTACCCTGCTTATACTATCGGTATACGCTGGCAGAGCACTAGTGAATGATGATAGATGAAGATGAAAGCAGAGCCTTTGTAACCGAATTTATCAAGAATTAACGTTTATGGAAACATAAGGTTTCCAGGAGTAACCACATGAAGGTCAACCTGAAAAAGTATATTACTAGCAACAGAGACACTTGTCCGTTTACTAACAACCTCTTCCCCCATTTTACCCGTGTGTACTACCTTCCTTTGCAGTGTGGTCCCAGCATAGAATAGGCCACCCATTCCTTTCCCGGGGGTATAGTAAAAGGCGACTAAGAGAACTTATGATCAAGGGATGGACAGCAGCGTCCCTCTTAAAACGTCACCAAAAGCCTATTTGCAGTTATGAACCTGCCTGCCAAGCATAGCAACTATTGGCAAAATCCCTTTTATGGGGAAGGTTTATATTAAGCAGTGGACAGTTAACGGCTGACGATGATGCTACCTTCGTCATCTGTATGCTAGATCCTAGTTGGCACTCAAATAAAAGTACTGCAAAATTTGTTTTCAATAATAAACTATATATTCGGATGTAGATCGAACTCAAAGAACAAAAAAAAATATAATATACTAGAGACAATGTACAATAGATCATAGCGCGATGTAGATGTTTAACAGCGCCATCTAGTTGTATTTTGCGGACATTAAATAACTTTATATGACGAACACAATATTTATTGCAGGTAAATGGCACGCTATTCCCTAAAAGAAGCAGCGAGACTCAGACGATGTGGTCGCGACTACTGACGCTGTGGAGGCACGTCTCCAAGGAACGGACGCGGTTCGAGACAGAGCCCGACACAGGTTGCATTTTCTTTAATAGTTTAGTTTTAAACTGGTTATATTAAAATGTGAATAATCTGGTGTCAAAAGAACGAAAAAGTAGTTCTCATGTCATATAAGAATAGTATAGAAATAATCTTTATTAATTTTTTTTTATACAACTTAGAATGATAAACAAGCTAACACCCCACCTGATGGAAAGTGGTAACCGTCGCCTATAGACATGAGCAGTACCATGGATATAACAGACTATACTGTTTCGCCCATGATACCCCCCATGCGTTGCCATTCCTGAGGACTCAGGTGTTATTCCTCTGTACCCAGTAAATTCACGCCATATCCCACTCTTCAAACCGAAACACAGCCATGCAAACACAACTGCTTCACAGTAGAAACACGAATGGGACAGAGGTACCCAAGCAATCGACTTTTGTACTAAGTGTCCCTCTTGTTGTTGTAAAAGATTTATAAATCTTTTAAATTAATTTTTTAATGATTGTACTGCTGGGTTTGGGACGTTGTTATCTGCTAAGAAGAACTTGCAAAAAAATATTTACTCTTTTCAAATTAAATAATTTACAAGATAATTTTACATTTGCGTGGATACTGTGACTGTAATTAGAATATATGGTAGTGAAGGGAATTATCTGGAGAAGGATTATTTGAAGAGGCTGAAGGATACATTAATTAGTCCAAAAAAGAGATCATTTCTAAATAGCATAATAATTGTTAGATAATGAATTCCAAGTTTGTCCACAGACGTGAAAATTCACCGATCGCTTGCGCAATATCCTCATACATTTCATGTCCAGGAATCAAACACGATTCTCAAGTGTTGTATGAAACAATGTGATAATCAAATTAAGGCGTCGTAGCTTGACGAGACACTCACATATCGCTCTGAATGTTTTATTGCTCTTCACCATTTTACCGTTAGAATGCATTGTCTCTAAGCATACAACTCAAAATAGACGTAACATTAACAGGATTATTAGGCAAGGGCCTGAGTCGGCAAGCGAACCGAGTGTGGAACTACGGCGTGGTGGGGGGGCTGGGCTCGGTGTGCCTGCTGTTAGTGTTCCCGCTGGTGGCGCTGGTCAGCAGCGTGGTGTCGCTGATGGCGGCAGCCAGTGTACCGCTGTGGATGCCCGTGCTCACACTTGCCGTTCACGCTGGCAATGCGTTGCTGTACGAGACCGACTGCCCCGACCCGTCCCGGCTCAATAGGTTAGTGGCCCAGTCCAGTACATTCGTAGAATGTGTGTTATTTATTTATTTAACTCTTTATTGCACCATAAATAAAAATATAGAATGACAAATGAATAATTCAAGTGAAATACAGTAACATAAATACAGATTGAAATATACACATAAAGGTACAAAAGGTGGTCTTATCGCTATGGCAATCTCTTACAGACAACTTTTAATTAAACGAGAATAAAGAGTGTGTTATTTATTTGTTGGAATGATTGTTAGCAAGATCAGCGACTATTAAAATATACAATATTTATTCGCTTGGGGAAAGGGGTTGTTAGTAATGGGGATTAACAACCCTATTACTACCAATATAGGGTATATTGCTAGTAATCAAGTAGACCTCCTCGCAGTTCCCCCTAGAAATCATCGTGATTGATTCATTGTTGAATTCGTCACGATGGGCTAACTGACTTGCTTCATTTTCATTTATTATCCCTCACTGGTGCCCCGACAATGTATACTAATAGCATAGGCAGGGTTACCATTCTATTGCCATCCATTAAAAAAATAAAAACACATTCAGCTCTCGCTAATTATTGTTTGAAGGCAATACTGAAGTAAACAATCTCCTGTTTAAATGAAATGTTTCATTTTGGGCCCACTCATTGTATTTCAAAAATTAAAAAAAAATACGAAAATTAACAAATGAGTAAAATAAAAATTATTTACTAAGTAATTTATTAACACAAAAATGTTTACGTTTGTTATATTAAGTTATAAGGACATACGGGTATGCGACCCTGGCCTCCCGAGCCGCTGCAGTGTCCCTTTCCTTTCCCACATAAGTACCTTATTCCTCTCATTCACCAATTTCCTTTACGCATTTCCAACGTTCCCTTCCTCTTTTCCTCAATCCTTTCTTCCGTATCGTAGATGGCGGAAACCACTAACAAGTGCATTCCCAAAGAAGGTTGACGTCAGGCAGGCGGCCGGTCGTAAAACTAAGCTAAAAAGGGGGGTAAAGAGGTTTCTTCAGGGTCGGCAACGCGCGCGTAATACCCCTGTTATTGCAGGCGTTCATAGGCTACGGTAGCCGCTTACCATCAGGTGGGCCGTATGCCACCTCAGTGGTATAAAAAAAAACAAAAAAAATATTTTTATAAAATGGATTAAATATATATATATATATATATATATATATATATATATATATATATATATATTACGCCGACCCCACTTAATAATTGGAATAAGTGTAGGAAGAAGAAGATTTTAAGTTGGCGTCGTAAATTTTTTTTTTACATTGCATAAGGCACGTATGCATGATGTATTTCTAAACATAAACACTGATTAAAATGACATTGATGTTCTCTTGTATTGGATTTTGTGTTGCAAATATTGAATCTGCAATGTATTCTATGCCAGAAATAAACAAAAGCGTAGAAAAGGATTTATTGAATTCGAATATGCTTTGGATTATTTTTTTATACGTAGTGTACAAGGATAATATAATCCATACATTTCTGAAATTGGAACAAAACAATGCGATATACTGAGACTCATACTGTTTCGATCCCTTTAACATGTCACTTTGCTAGCATTGGGATCAACTAATAAAAATACTTTGAGGCACTTTGTACATATCATAGAACTGTATGCGACCTTACCAGAGGGAGATTTTGTACAAAAGTCGATTGCTTTGTACCATTCGTGTTTCAATCGTGAAGCAGTTGTGTTTGCATGCCTGTGTTTCGGTTTGAAGGGTGGGATATGGCGTGAATTTACTGGGTACAGAGGAATAACATCTGAGTCCTTAGGAATGGCAACGCATGGGGGGTATCATGGGCGAAACAGTATACTCTGTTATGTCTATGGTACTGCTCATGTCTATAGGCGACGTTACCACTTTCCATCAGGTGGGCCGTCAGCTTGTTTGCCATTCTAAGTTGTATAAAAAAAAAGACCTCTGTTTTGCACATACTACCTTTATACTGTGTCACATACTGCAGTTTAATAACTGTTGAAAAATTAAGATTTTTAACATCGATGACTATATTGTTTCAATGAAAAATCGCTGATGGATATAGCACAGCAAATAAGCGACTTCATCTCTTAAAGATCTAACGTTAACCTCATTATAATTATTTCTTTATTTGCTCTTTATTGCCTTACTTAAAGAACAATACAAACATAAATATATATTACACTTATGAAGTACAAAAGGCGGTCTTGTCGCTAAATCAATCTCATCCAGACAACCTTTGGGTAGAGGAGAAAGAAAAAAGGCCATAGCTATTTGGCGCTAGAAGCACTTCTAGTGCAACTAATATAAAATGAAAAACGCTAATATTAATAAAATATATGTTAATAATCATATGCACTTTACATCTGACAAAAACCAATATATATAAATACATAACATACATTCAAATACAAATACATAATTTATTTATTTATTTATTTATTCATTAGTACAAATATGTGTACATGGCGGACTTAATGCTAAAAGCATTCTCTCCCAGTCAACCATAGGGAAGTGTCAGAATACTCGAATGCAGTATTAGTAATTATTGATATACATACATACTAAAATTGCATATATAAACGAATAAATATATATAAATAACAAATATACTTACACATATATGACATATACTATATTATACACGAAATTGAGAATAATATAAAGCACTTACTGCTCGGATAAAGTAAAAAAGTGAGCGTGAATCAGATTTATCTAATGCCCTGATGTAATCTATTATTATTTTTCAGATGGCTAGTACTGTTGGAAGTGCTATTATGGCGGATCGGTATACTAGGTATATTGCAACCAATCGCCGCGGTTATTGTTGCGGTCATCCTCTGTCCACTGTTCGCTGTACTGCTACTTGTCGGTGAGTTTTATTTTTTATTTTTTTATGCAACTTAAAATAGCAACTAAGCTGACAGCCCATTTGATGAAAAGCTGTAACCGTCGCCTATAGACATGAACAGTACCATAGACGTATCTGACTATACTGTGTCGCCCATGAGTATAAATATTTTCTTTTCCTCAGTAGCCATTTTTGCGACCATTTCTGCCCCGCATCGTGTATAAGAGGCTCGTAACAGGAAAATAATTATTTTTCTACTAGTAATATTCAAAGCACATACATTTTAATCATAAAAAACAATCGCGCATTGTCCCATTGCGTATTTATGTGTACATAAACTACAGCTCTTCAATTAAAACTGAATGTTCATAGTTCCCACCATTTTTTCCGTCAGTTTTTTACTTCATGTGTATATCTTCTTTTTTCATACAACTTAGAATGGCAAACAAGCTGACGGCCCACCTGATGGAAAGTGGTAACCGTCGCCTATAGACATGAGCAGTACCATAGACATAACAGAGTATACTGTTTCGCCCATGATACCCCCCATGCGTTGCCATTCTAATGAATTGTAATTTACTTTTATATTATCGACAACTTTATACGTGGCATTTTTACGTTACATTATTGAACGTGCTTATGGCTGGCAGTATCGCTTAATAACCCGTATAGCAATCGGCTCTAGGCTAGCTCTATACACCAACTACGTTACTGATTTTTATAATTATCAAATTTCAATTAGAGGTTATAGATAATTGTTTTTATTTTTTAATGGATAATGAATGGAGTGATAACCCCGCATGCGTTAACGGTATACACCGGCGGGGCACCAGTGAAGGGTGATAGATGAGAATGAAAACAGGCCAGTTAGCCCATCATGATGAATTCATCAGGAATTAACCATGATAGTTTCCAGGGGGAACCGCGAGGAGATCGACCTGGTTGGGTATATTGCTAGCAATAGGATTCTCAGTCTCCATTACTAACAATCCGAAAGAGGTTTGCTTGAATCGAAGCATTTGGCGTTCCATTGTTTCTGCCTACCCTAATGGGAGACAGGCGTGACAGATATGTATGTACGTATGTACTATGAATGCGTTTCCCCGTACATGGTGCGCGGCGGGCATGGGCAGGCGGCGTGTCGTGGTGGGCGGCGCGCGGCGTGTGGGAGGAGGCGTGGTGGCGCGGCGTGGTGGTGCGGCTGGCGCGCGTGCCCGCGCACGACTCCGCCTTCTGCCGCCGCGTCGACGGGCCCGGCCTGCGCACGCGCGCCTACTACCAGATCACGTGAGCCCCTCTAGTGCACCCACCACCGACCGACACACGCCGACACGCGCCGACACGCGCCGACCTCACTTGCACACTATCAACTCACTTGGTAGTTCCATTTCGTTCAAACAGACATCAAACGTGCTCGTAACTTATGAATTTTTTTTTTGTATGACACATTTGTTCTAAAACTATTAATTTCGTAGATGTAAATTATCTATCCTGGAAGAATACATTTTCATTAGTAGAAAAATGCATGTACCTTATGTACCCATACAGTATATAAGTGCTCAATGGGTTTAAAATATAATCACAGATGTGCGCAAGCGCTGGCGGCGGCGACGGCGCGAGCCGAACTAGAAGCTCTCGCCGCGTGGGCGGCCGATCTCGAACGTGCCATCGACCGTCCATTGCGCGACTACAGGCACTTTGTCGACGCCTGCTTTGGGCCGTTCTCCGTCCAGATCGCTAAGGTATCGCTGACAGAATAAATCATATGTTAATTAATTAAGAGTCGGCATTACTTTTATGTTCATGAAACTGGAAAATTAATCTGTGCAGCTTAGAAGTGTCAACATACAATAAAATAAATAAATATTCTTAACTTTACTATTTAAAAAAATTGTATATATATATCAGTTCAAAATAATAATTGAATAGTTTATATTTATTTATTATATATTATTCAATCATCATTTATAATATAATTTTAAATTTATTTAACTAACTCTTTTAAATCAAAGTAATAAGTAAAGATAATCACCATTACGAATCATTAAGCACACATTCATCTTGTTCGTTCAAATGTATTAGTAAAAATTTTGTATAGTTTTTATTTTCCAATTTCACCTTACAATATAATTTCTCCCATGTACTGAGTTGTAAATGTATATTATGGTAAAAGTTAACCTAATTTTGGCGAATGATTTGTGTGCATACGCTGTATGTATATAATGTATATCGATTGTATATCACAATCCAATTATCCGCATGTGCAGAAAATATAACAATGTACGCAAGGACCTTGATATTTTCCAACATTCCTTGCAATGTCACATGCAGGCTGCCAATTTGTTACTTTAAATTTATAGCCGTCATTCTTTTAATGTATATAATATCGAATGTTATGTACAGCAGTTATTGGAGTGCAAATTTAATGCTGTTTTATGTAATATTTATTTTATAAATGTATTAATTTATGTATATGTATGTGTATATATATATATATATATATATATATATATATATATATATATATATTTTATATGTATTAGTTTATCCATATATATTAAAAGTAACGTTTATGTATTATATGTGCATTTCGTATGTGTATAATATATTTATATTGTGTATTGCCTTAATGTGTTACTATAATTGTCACATATTTTTCACCACATCAAGCCTTCATACGCTTTCTGTTTTTACCCAATGGTTAGCTGGTAGAGAATGCCATATGGCATTAAGCTCGCCATTTGTACAAAATTTTATTGTGCAATAAAGAATAAATAAATAAATAAATATTTTTTTCTCAAACATGCTTGGAAATGTGAGCATTATTTTTACAATCTTCTTCGAGATAAATTAAAATTGCCATACTAGCCAAGATACATGCGGGCAGCGGCCGGCAAAAGTTGTATGAAAATCCATATCTGTCGTGTTTTGCGGCCAGATAAATTACTATGTAAACTCATATCTGTCCTGTAATTTAAAAATGGAATGTATTTTACTTCGAAACATGGCTACCAAGGAGGTAACTTTAAGGTTTTATTTAAATTTCGAACTGGCTTACAAATAGAAAGCTGTTTATTGAAAAAAAAAAACAAACATTATGGCGCGTGAAAAATTATTATTGTTCGTTATTCGTTATTGAACTTAAAAAGTAAAATTGTGTTTTTGATTTCCGCGCATTGTTTGAGAAAAGTACTATACAAGCCTTGGCCACAACTAGGCATTGATGGACTCACGTGTGTGTGCCTCGGCGACACCTCGGCCCACATTTGTACGTTCGTCCTTCAATGCCTCAGTTGCTGGCCGCTGCAGTAATGTACTAGTGATGTCTTGGCTTGCTATAAGTAATGTGTGGTCGCGTGGTGGTGCGTGTGTGTGGTAGACGGGCGCGTACCGGCAGCTGGAGCGCGAGTGCTCGGAGCTGGCGGCGTCGCTGCGCGAGAAGGTGGCGGCGCGCCGCCGCGACCTGGCGCTGCCGCTCACCGACGCCGCGCGCGCGCGCGTGCGCATGACCGCCGCCGACCTCAGGGTCAATACTTTTTAATTTTTTTTTTTAATCACAAATGAAATGGTGACCCCGCTTGCGTTTTCGAGAGAAACAAAGAAATATTTTTGTTCAGGTACACTTAAATTTAAGCATTTTTAATAGTATTTTTTTTATTATCCGTGCGTTTCGTGCCCGTTCGGAACGCAGTTTCAGCCAAGAAGAACGGGCAAGAAATTCAGCTGTTGCTTTTTTCGAAAATGAATAAAAAGGAGAATTTTCCGTTTTATTTAAACAAATACAGTTAAACGCTGATATGGTGATGATGATACAGAAAAAGCATTTTTAAATGGATGATAATGGAATGGTAACCCCGCCTGCATAACAGTATACGCTGGCGGGGCATCAGTGAGGGATTATAGGTGACAATGAAAAGGCAGCTCAGTTAGCCTATCGTAATGGATTCACTTGGAATAGAAAACGATATTTTTCAGATGGAACCGCGAGGAGGTCGACCTGACAAGGTGTATTGCTAACAATGGGGCTACTAATTATCATTTCTAACACACCATTAAGCAATTCGTATATGAAATAGGTTTATTAAATAGCTTATTATTTGTAGAATATACCCGGGGCCACGTTATGTCTGTCTGTATTAGTTATGTGGCGATGGTTGTACAGCGCGCGGTACAGGCGATCGCGACGGAGCTGTCGCGCGTGTGGAGCAGCGTCGCCCGCAACGAGGAGTGGTGGAGTGCACGCGGCCTCGACACCGGCGACTGGCACGCGCTCGCCGCCAACACGCTCGTGGACGTACGTACCGCACGCACACGCACGTGCACGCACACGTGCACGCGCACGCACACGCACACGCACACGCACGACGTACAGTGCTCGAGATGGTTACATGGTCAGATGTAGGGGATCGTGCATGCTCTCGATATACCTTAACAGTAATTAATTTAAAACTTTCACGTTGTTTACACATATTTTAAATACACAATCGGGATTTAACGCGATGAAAAAGTTGTTACAGGTAAATAGTACTTACATACTTGCTGCTTCTTTATTGCCAACGCTAGCTAGCTAGTGAGGGTACCCGAAAAGATTGACGCCGCTAGCTTCCGTCCTGTCGTGACTACGACGTGGTACAATCCTCGTTAAAATCCGTCGAGTAGTTTTTGTTTCTATAACGAACACACAGACAGACAGACAAAAATTTTACTAATTGCATTTTTGGCATCAGTATCGATCACTAATCACCCCTGATAGTTATTTTGGAAATATACTTCATGTACAGAATTGACCTCTCTACAGATTTATTATAAGTATAGTTAATTGAATCTATCGGTCTGGGTGTTATTTGTGTATTTATGTATAAGTAATCTCTTGAAAAGAGAGCTTATGGTAGAGGAATGGGTAGCAGTGTCCCTATTAAAACAACACTAAAAGCCAAACTGCGGTTTCCAAACCGCCTGCTAAGCGTGGCAATTACTGGTAAAATTCTCCTTATAGGGGAGGTTATGTTCAGCAGTGGACAGTTAACGGCTGATACAGCGATCTCATGAAAATGGTTGATAGTGTATTTTTTTTATACAACTTAGAATGGCAAACAAGCTGACGGCCCACCTGTAGGAAAGTGGTAACCGTCGCCTATAGACATGAGCAGTACCATGAACATAACAGAGTATACCTACTGTTTCGCCCATGATACCTCCCATGCGTTGCCATTCCTGAGGATTCAGCTGTTACTCCTCTGTACCCTGTAAATTCACGCTATATCCTACCGTTCAAACTGAAATACAGCCATGCAAACACAACTGCTTCACGGTAGAAATATGAATGGGCCAGAGGTGGCCGAGCAATCGACTTTAGTACAAAGTGTCCCAGCTTTGTACAATGTACCGTAATAGTGTATGTTGAGAAGCCATAGTGATGCGCGCGCAGGTGTTCGAGGCGGAGGTGCTGGTGGCGCTGCAGGAGGGCGAGGCGCGGCTGCCGCTGGAGAGCGGCGCGGGCGACGGCGCGCGCGGCTGGGCGGCGCGCTGCGGCCGCGACCACGCGCCGCCCGACGTGCTGGCCGAGCGCGACGACTGGCGCCGCGACACCGCCGGTCGGTACTGCCTCTCTAACCGGACGGTCCCTCGAGCCGGATATATTCACATTCAGATTCTTTATTTGTATTAAAATACATTATTACATATAATTTCTGTGCTGTAAGTAAAGTAAATAAATTCTCTATCTATCTATCTATATCACATGTCCATATTTAGAAATAAAATGATCTTCATTGTGCCTCCAATCAAACTGTTTATAATTACTCCTCTCCATTCAAACGTTGCCTTGAAGAGATCGCTTTTAGCGATAAGATCGATTGTTTTCTCATTGTGATTATTTCTTGTAATTGTTTGTATCTATTTATAATAAGTTTACTATTGTAATCTTTTAGAGGAAACAATAAAGAGTATCTATATATCTATCTAAACATGGTTATATAAATATATATAGTTATATAGTATATCAACATTAAATATTCTATATCAAATGTATACAGGCGGTTAACCATCAATAAGATGTTGTTCAGATTTTTTATTTTATAATTTTTTAAAATAACATTTCTGAGCAATATTTCCAGGGTGTGTATTCGCTAATAAAGCAAGCAAATCGGCAGTATCTGTAATCATAAAACTTTGTCATTTTGATTGTTGAATAATTAAAAAATAAACATATAACAGCACATAAAGTAATTTATAAGCCTCAGTCAGCCATTCAATAGGTAGAGATGTGCGGTATAGTGAACATCCGCAGCTGTATGCGTATGTAGCGACATGTGGGCGGTGTACGACGGGCGGTGTTGCAGGCTCGTGGTCGGAGTGGTGGTACGGCGCGGCGCCGCGCGTGCCGCCGCCGGCGCTGGAGCTGGCGGCCTTCAGCCCGCGCGCGCCGCCGCAGCCGCCGCTGCCGCCGCCCGCCGCCGTCGCGCTCGTGCTGCACAACAGGTCGCCCTCCACCTCCCTTCACACCATCCGAGCTCATTCTTCCCCTTGATTACTCCAATTTTATTTTTTGTAATTAGAGCAAATTTCACAGTGGATACTAATCCTAAATGTCCGGGAGGAAAGGGATTGTTAGTAATGCGGACAACCAGTCTTGATGAATGAGGTCAACCTGATACAGGGTTTATGCTAACCATATGTCAGGTTGACCTCCTCATGGTCCTCCTGGAAACCAACGTGTTGAATTCCAGGTGTATTCATCACGGGGGGCTGACTGACCTGTCTTGGGGGAACAGGAATTGTTAGTATTGAGATCCAACAGACCCATTACTAGCAATATACCCTAATAGGTCAACCTCCACGCGGTTCCCCCTGGAAACCATCGTGGTTAATTTTTGATGAATTCATCACGATGGGCTAACATCCCTGCCTTTTCATCCCCAATCATCTTTCACTGGTGCCCCGCCAGCGTATCCGAATAGCGCATGTGGGGTAACCATTCCATTTTCATCCATTAAAAAAAAAAAACTGACCTGCCTTTTCATTCTCACTTATCATCCCTCACTGATTCCCCGCCAGTGTACACCATTAGCGCGGGCGGGGTTACAATTTCATTATCATCTATTAAAAAAATTTAAAATGTTCTATCCTCGTCTATTCTTCCAATTTGTTTTTAATGTCGACTGTTGTGAGTCAATGCTCTATCAATATGTGCTAATCCGAAAAGTTTTTTTTTTTTATTACACGTCTGTATTCACGAGTATTAATTGCCTTTCTGTAATTAAAGTGAATGAGTTCACACGCTTACAATTTATTAACTTCAGACTAGAAGAAGTACAAGTTTTAGTAAAAGATCACTCCTGAACAATAATTAAAGATTGTGTCCCATGAAAAAAATCCGACTTCAGTTAGGAAGAAACTATTGAAACAATTTGAATAATATTTCTATGTGAACAATCTGTAAGCTGTAAGCTTTCCAATATAAAAAGAATTTTACAAATCGCTTTAGAACTAACAGAGTTATGAGGTAAAGTTTCTTCAGGGTCGGCAACGCACGCGTAATGCCTCTGGTATTGCAGGCGTTCATAGGCTACGGTAACCGCTTACCATCAGGTGGGCCGTATGCTTGTTTGCCACCTCAGTGGTATAAAAAAAAAGAGGTAACAAACATACAAAAAAAAACCGAATTGAGAACATCATTGGACAGTGATTTCGATGAAAAAATATGTTTACAGGGAATCAGATAACCCAGTGCCATTGGATTCGGAGTTATGTGCCGAGATATTGAAGAGTTTAGAGGACGCGCCCGACTCTGATGATAGACCAGGTAAATGTACAAATATTTTATACTAGCTGTTACCCACGACTTCGTCCACGTAACCATTCACTGACCAAGATAAAAAATAGCCTATATCCTTCTTCATCCCATATAATATATATATGTACCAATTTTTACACTGATTGGTTAAGATAAACAAACTCCCTTTCACATTTAATATTAGTAAGGATTTATAATTTTATCAGTCATTTTTTTTTTTATTACTTATATCGCACAGTTAAAAAATAAAAAAATATTTTTGATCGTGTGTCCGAATCTGTTTAGATAAATAAAAAAAACCAAAAAAATAATAAAATTTGCTTCCTTTGTCCAAATCTATGTTGTCGTTTTAGGTAGCAATCATTATATTAAAAAAAAAAGTAACCTAAAATCATTTATATGCACGAAGCGCTTTTCGTCTTCCTTCATCATGCGTATTGCACTTCAGCTGCCCGCTAACGATATGCTTTCTTACTGTACTGGGTTGACTGGAAGAGATCTCTGTCAGAGATAAGTCCACCCTTGCTCACAACATTTATAAAAAGATTATTTTATATGTAACGTACAAGTGCAATAAAGAATATATATTGTTTAGGAGCGGAATTTTCTCCCTGCTTGTTTTTCCATCCAAATATAATCTGCACCAATTTGAGGCAAATCTGAATAGGCTATTCATGGACCCGCGAGCCTCATCTTAAACCACATCATCTCTTTTCATCAAGTGAGATAATGCTCAATCACAGGAACCTTCAATAGTAAAAAAATACCATTTTTTAATACTGTGCTGTAAGGTCGTGTTATTTATTTATTTAAACTTAAATGCACAGTGAAACTATGTACATATGGCGGACTTAACACCGGACGGTGTTCTCTACCAATCGACCACTGGGCAAACAGAGAAATAAGTAGTTAGTTTAACAACTTGTTAGCAAGGGAAGGCTTATCTCTAAAAGAGATCTCTTCCAGCCAACCCAGTGTAGTTAGAGAGAAAAAAAATTAATTGGCGGGTAATCTATAATAGATATATTAAATTATAGATATATAGATAATTATTATAATAAAATTATATTAAATTATTTATAAATGCATAAATATTTATATATATATTCTTTATTGCACTAAAACATACAGTAACAACAATAAGTTAATAACAATATTAGCAAAGGCGAACTTATCTCTAAAGGAGATTTCTTCCAGTCAACCTAACGCAGTGGCATAGGAACCTAACCTACATAATTAACTATATTTGAAGAGCAAATGAAACAATGTATGTCTCAAACAAAGTAACCAGCAAGATTAAGTTTAAAAGGAAAGTTAGAAAAAAAATAATAAAGTAATTGTGTACGCAGAGTGCGTGGAGCGGTACCGCGGCGGCGGCAGCAGCGAGGCCGGCACCAGTGACACCAGCGACGCGTCGCCCGACGACGAGCGCGACAGCCGCCAGCCCGGCGACCTCTCCAGGTATACACATATACCACATATAGAAAGTTTATGCTATCTTTTAAGTAGATCCATCTAAAATTATATCCTTTCATATAAAAAATAGAATTTTCTAAATCGGTTTGTAAGTAACGGAGTTATGAGGCGACAAACATGGAAAAAGAACTAGTCGGTTAAATATAGAATGTAATTACAGGTTAAAATTAACTTTTAATTAATAAAGTGTTTTATTACTGAAACTGAAGACTTTGTGATGTATCTGCTACCCTCTTTTAATAATAACGAGCATAATTATATCTACCTACATATATATTAGTAATGGGAGACTTGATGCGCTGTCAGTAATAAACCAGTATTCTTGCATACCAGTTGTTATCACTTCGCGAACCATCCTTAATACATATCAGTGGCGACGAGGACGATCCTACCTACAATAAAAATGTCTTTTATAGGAAATATACCTATTTTTGACTATAAAAACTGTGAATGGTCTATTTTTAAAGGTCGATTAATTCAATTTTTAAAAGTGAATAATGTGAAAGATGACTGTAAATGTGCAATATTGATTACGCATTTATCGGACAACTCATACCGTCTAGTGCGTAACCTAGCCTACCCTGAAGAACTGGAGACGCAAAGTTTTGAAAACCTGGTGTTATTACTCGACAGCCATTTTAAGCCGAAACAGTGTTCATTCGCCGACAGAGCAAAATTTTATTCCGCAACAAGAAACTGCGGGGAGTCACTAGGAGACTGGACGGCACGACTAAGAGGTTTAGCAAGTTACTGTGACTTTGGTGTTGCCTTGGATACAAATCTCACGGACCGTTTCGTCCTAGGTCTGGGTCCAGGTCCTGAACGCGATAAATTGTTTGAACAAAACGTTTCCGAGTTAAAGTTAGCACGTGCCATTGAAATCGCGGAAAAGGCAGAATGTGCTAGGGATGCAAAGGCATTCGTATCAGACTCAGTGGCTGTGAAGGAAGAAGCGATATATAAGTTATCGTACGGATCTGCAAGGAGAAATTACGGCGGTAATGGCGGTGGCGGTAGTAAAAATGGCGGTGGCGGCAGTAAAAATGGCGGTGGCGGCAGTAAAAATGGCGGCGTCGCGAATTCACGTGCGGCGTGGACGTCGCAGGCTAGCCGCGATCAATGTAAATATAATCACGAAATACAGTGTTTAGTATGTGGTATGAAAAATCACAGTGAAGATAAGTGCCGTTATAAAAATTACAAATGTCAAAAGTGCGGTATTAAAGGGCATTTAAAAAAGATGTGTAACAAAAAAAATAAAAACGAACATGTTTACGTAAATCAAATCGGAAAAAATGATTCGGATAGCGACACCGGATGTGACGAGTGCCAAAACTTTAATTTAAGGTATGTAATTAATAATAAGCCGATACGTATAGATTTGATGTTAAGTAATAAGTTCGTGACCATGGAATTAGACTCTGGATCAGGTGCATCAGTCATTTCAAAAAATATGTATAACGACATGTTCTCAATGCATAAATTAATGTATAGCAATATTAAAATGTGTTTGTATAATGGACATAAAATTTCACCTTTAGGGTATTTTGTAACTAAGGCCATATTTAATAAGAAAACAAAAACGTTGAAAATATTCGTAGTAGATTCGACCGGCCCTCCTCTACTGGGTCGTGATTTTATGTCCACCTTCGATCTTGTGTTAACTACAAATATTAATACCTTGAGTTATGATATTGATGTAAACACATTACTGGAACGTTACCCTAACCTATGGCGAGATGAGCTCGGCAGCTTTAACAAGTTTAAAGTTCATCTACAATTAAGGGAAAACGCGGTTCCAAAATTTTTCAAGGCTCGCCCTATACCCTTTGCCCTAAAAGATAAGGTAGTATTGGAATTAAATAGACTGGTAAATCTAGGTATATTGATTCCAGTTAGTAATTCGCGTTACGCAACGCCTATTGTACCGGTGTTAAAAAAAGATGGTACAGTAAAAATTGCCGGCGATTACTCTGTTACATTGAATAAGGATTTATTAATTGATAAATATCCTTTACCAAGGATCGAGGAGGTATTTGCAAAACTTGGTGGAGGTGAACAATTCTCCAAAATTGATTTAAAAAATGCATATAATCAGTTTTTACTATCAGACGATTCACAAGAACTTACGACAATAAATACACCGAAAGGGCTATTTAAATATACGCGACTTGTTTACGGCCTCGCTAACGCACCAGCTGTATTTCAAAAATCGATCGAAATAGTGTTGTCGGGCATCGAAGGTGTAAGTATCTGGTTAGATGACATCTGTATAACAGCTTCCACAAAAGATAAACATTTAGAAAGGCTAGAACAAGTACTGAGCAGATTAGACGACGCCGGTTTACGATTACAAAAAGATAAGTGTGAGTTTTTGAAAGAAAACGTTACATACCTAGGGTACGTAATTGATAAAAATGGTTTACGTACAAGTCCAGAGAAAGTAAAAGCTATAATGAATTCTTCCGAACCTACGAATGTTACTGAAGTAAAAAGATTCTTAGGTGTAATTAATTATTATAGAAATTTTATACGGAATGCGTCGAGTATTATGAGCCCGCTTCACGAGTTGTTACGGGACGGCGCTAAGTGGGAGTGGGGCGAGCGGCAGCGGCTCGCTGTGCGCCGCGTGCGCGCTGAGCTCGCCTCGGAACGGGTGCTGGCGCACTTTGACCCGGCGGCGCAGCTAGTGCTCACCGTGGACGCGGGGCCCACTGGCCTCGGGGCGGTCTTATCACAGCTTGACAGTGAAGGTCGCGAGCGTCCACTGGCTTTCGGTTCTCGTTCACTCTCGAAGAACGAACGGAATTACAGCCAAATACAGAAAGAGGCTACGGCAATAATATTCGGAGTGAAACATTTTCATCAATATTTGTATGGCCGAAGTGAGCCGTTCATTCTTAAGACAGATCATCGACCGCTAGTCTCGATATTTAATGTTAAAACGGGAATTCCGACTACGACCGCGCTACGACTGCAAAGGTATGCTATTATTTTGTCGGCATACAATTATGTTGTTCATTATATTAGTAGTGAAAAAAACGTAGTTGCGGATTATTTTTCTCGTGCACCGGTTTCGGAAACAATATGTGAAAGCGACAAAGAGTATGACGCATACTGTGCCATAAATTTTTTAGACGCGGCTTCATCGGCGGTACTGTTTAACAATGTAAAAGAGGCGACTAAGAAAGATAAGACATTACAAACTGTAATCAAGTACATGAAAGTGGGGTGGCCGCGTAAAATAAAATGTAAATCAATTATTCCATTTTTTCAATGTAGGACTGATTTACAATTTGAAAATGAGGTTTTAATGCGCGGTCATAAAGTTATAATTCCGTCAGCATTGCGTGAACGGATGTTACATGAACTGCACAGTACACACTTAGGTATAGTTAAAATGAAGTGTAACGCGCGCGGTAGGATGTGGTGGCCAGGTATAGACGGCGACATCGAGCGTTGGTGCGGCGCGTGCGAGCAGTGCGCCAGCGTACGTACCTCACCGGCGCGCGCCGCGCCCGCGCCCTGGCCGCGTCCACACGCACCTTGGCATCGAGTTCACATTGACTACCTGTCTGTAGGGCAACGGGTGTACCTAGTAGTTATTGACTCGTTCTCAAAATGGCTAGAGTGTATTCACATGAGCGCCGGCCTCACCACTCAAGCACTTATAACTAAATTAAAACAAATTTTTTCAGTTTTCGGTATACCTAACACATTAGTTTCAGATAACGACGTCAAAATAAATTGTAAAGAATTTAATAAATTTTGTTCCAGTAATGGTATTAAATATATTACTTCTCCAATTTACCACCCATGTAGCAATGGGCAAGCGGAAAACTCTGTCCGTACATGTAAAAAAAATGTTAAAAATAGTTTTAAAAGAGACCTCAAACCAGTGTTCGCTCAATGAAAAATTAATGGGTTATCTATTTGAGTACAGAAACACCATACACTGTTCTACAGGTCAATCACCCGCAAAATTAATGTTTGGTAGAAATCTAAGATCTCGACTTGATTTAGTACTGCCTACAAAACATAAATATTCGTATAGTGAAAACAGCGACAGGAATAAAGCAAAACCCAGTAGATTTTTTTAAAAATGGTGACAGGGTATTGGCGCGCTGGTACAGTGCTAGAAAGAAATATTGGAAATTAGGTGTAATTGTAGACACTATTGGTAATAGATTATTTAAGGTACACATTGATGATCTAAATACTACATGTGTTAGACACTTAGATCAAATAATACACTACAAGTGCGGAAAAACCATTGATAATGGGAGAAGTAAGCCACAAAACATCCACCCTTGTCCTGTGTACGGCCAGGGGACTCCGTCATTTTCACCACCCCCTACCGTATCAGTATTACCACAACAACTGAATGAGCAAAACCTGGTTAACACATCTTCGGTGGGGGGTGCGGAAGATAACGAAGTGCCAGCCACAAACGTAGCAGATTGTATTATTCATTCTGATGGTAATGTCTGTAGAGTGGTGGAACGTGAGGGCGAGGATTTGGTGGGACAGGAACCGGAGGTTCAGATACCTCAAACTACATCTACCATTCAGAATCCAGTCACCATACAATCGTCGCCCGGACGTTCCAAACGGCCTAGAAAGAAAGTAGATTATACAGTTTTCTTTAAGTGAAGGCCTAGTTTATTTTGTTTAGTATTAAGATATTTTTAGATGTAAAATGTACTTATTAGGCATGGACAGGCACCCTAATAAAGTATTGTTTGTTTTTCCAACAGGTTTCAAAATTAGGGTGGAAAGATGATGTATCTGCTACCCTCTTTTAATAATAACGAGCATAATTATATCTACCTACATATATATTAGTAATGGGAGACTTGATGCGCTGTCAGTAATAAACCAGTATTCTTGCATACCAGTTGTTATCACTTCGCGAACCATCCTTAATACATATCACTTTGCCTATGAAATATGAGATGAAAAAGGATAAAAAATTTAAGTCTACTCTAACATGGCGCTTTCACCTGCTACAGTATTATTTAGAATCTCTAAATTTTTTGTCCCTTTTCAATCTGTTTGTTTTTTTTTCGTTTAATGAATGATGAAATGGTGACCTTGCCAGTGCTATCGGTATACTCAGACCAGTGGAAGGTGACGAATTTAACAATAATTAGTTATAATGGTTTCCAGGGGAAATCGAGTGAAAGTCAACCTAATAAATTGCGAATAAAAGTGTTGCTAGTCCACATTACAAAAAAGCCCTTTCTTCAAGTTTCCACGTTCTTTGTTTTTTTTTTTTAATGCGTGAGAAGGATGAAGAATAGTAATGCGTAGCGTAACCCGTAACCCGTCTGTGCTAGCGGTATACACGCTGGCGGGGCACCAGTAAGAGATGATAAGTGAAGATGAAAGCAGGTCAGTTAGCCCATCGTGACGAATTTCACACACGATGGTTTTCAGGCGCAACTGCGGGAAGATCGATCTGATACTGCTAGCAGTGGGGCTGTTATTGTCCATTGCTTACAATCCCTTTCCCCCTTACGTTCACTATTAGGACATTCCTAGTATAAAACGACGCACTTTTGTAGCAGGAGCCGAGCGGGGTCGGGGACTAGTACGACGGCGGGCGCGGCGGCGGCGGGGAGTGGTGCGGCGACGGCGGGGAGTGGTACAGCGGCGGCGGCGGCGGCGGCGGCGGCGGCGGGCGGCGCGGCGTGCCGCTGGACGCTGACGGGGCGCGGCGTGCGGCTGCGCGCCGACCTGGCCAGCCCCGAGGACGTCACGCTCGACGCAGACCGCCACGTCGGCACCTCCGTCTGAGCCAGCGCGCACGGCCCTATACGCACGCTACATAACTTGACCATACTCCCTCTGGGCTTGGCTACAAATATTTAAAATTAATTATGCCCATGTGAAATTTATAAATGGATCGAGCATAAGTTGTCGCTTGATTATGCATTTGCTTCTCTTATGATCAACTTCATGAGGGTCAAATAATCTTCGTTAAAGAAATAGATTTTGAATTAAGCTGTACTTATTTCGTTATGTTCACGCAATATATTAGTCGATTCCGACTGATTTTTAGCGATTTTAAATCGAAAAAGTGTACCATCATTCACCATCCAAGATTTTTTTTTTATATTTGGATCAGTTTGGAATAAAATCTCACATTGTTTCTAATTTGAGCTATATTTTCAAAATTCATACAAAAAGTGTCTACCGTGCAAGCCTCTATATACTTATAGAGTATGTTCAAGTTATTTATCGCGAAATGTAAATGTGTTTCAACAAATAAGAATACTCATTAAGCTGGTTAGCTCTCTATGTAATAACAACCTCACATTTGGTGATATAATTGATCAAAATAGTTTATAACTCACACTGCCTACATTATGAGCCTAAAATACGTTCGGCTAGCAATAATATACCCATTGTATGTAAAATCTGATCGTTACAGTATAATTTCTAATAATGTTAACGCAGTAAATGATGAAAGAATATTAAGATTCCAATATATTATCAAAATATAATTTTAATCACTCCTCTTTATGGCTTGTCTTTATTTATTTTTATAACATACAAATTTAGTCTTTAATTACTCTTGCCTACAGTTTATATTTCGTTGTACTACTTTTTGTTTGTGTCAAAAAAGATTTTATTTTAATATATACTTAAGACATTGTATGTCCATAAGGTCGATATTAGATTGCATTTGCTTTAGTTCGAGAGAATTCTAATAGACGTCACAAACTAGAGGCTCGGTATAATAGGAAAGCTATCTTAATTCTAAAAGTTAAGGTTTAATATCGCGTAGAAACTTTCAATTGCTAATATTAAGAGTGATTAGAGTGGAATTGAAAAGACTCTGTTACTATACCTCGGATCAAGTGCACTTTGTCTCAAACAACGATAGTGCTTGTATGTAAAGCTGTAAGGTTTATATTCCTTCGTCTTTAAGTGAGAGTTATAGATATTCGATTGAGCATTTAAAAAAAAAACTATTCTCGCATTTATTAAGATCTCTTCGCGTTTGTTTAAATTAATTTTATGTTTGTATTAGAACAACGGCAGCTTTTGTAACAAATTATACAAATTATTATTATAAACTAATTAACTTATAAAACTTAATTTTTGTGCATTTTTTCGTGCCATTTCTATTTCTCTAATAAAAAAAAATACTAACTACAAACATTTCAACTCGCAGCGTTGATATATAATTTAAAAAGTATTCGAATACACCGGGTAAATACTTTTTTATAAACATCATTTCGAACTAAAATATTCGGTACTAATGTTAATAAAATTGAATAACTTTCCCCAAAGAGTAAAGAAAATATTATAAAATCATTCGTACCAAATCGATTGTGTTACCGTGCCTTTTGTATTTCGAATTGCATAAAAAATTGACGATTCAAACAATTTCTTTTTTATATCCGTTCCGTTATACGTTGTATTCGATTTTTGAAAAAGACACCACGACCGTCTAATCTCAAATTCTTTTTCCCTCATTCATAAAGTCAATATATCGGAACAAAAAACTCAACTGAAAAGGGATTATTCTTGTTCTGTCATTCGTAAAAATGTTGCCATCTCTAATAAATAAGCATTGCTATTAAAATATTAATTTGAGAGTGACGAAACGTACTAATTGTTTATGTTTGTATGAACGATACAGTTTGACTACATGGTGTTTACGGGCCAATATTGAAAGTAGTATATTTAACTATTTAAACACTGTTAAAATCATACAAATTACTTGTACATTATATCGTCATAGTCGTAGAATACTGACGGATCTGACAAAGATTACATATAAAGATCCGTCAGTATTCTACGACTATGACGATATATGACTTGATAGTTTAGAACCTAATATGGCTCTAGTTGCAGCTCTCTATCACATGATGCTTTATTTGCTATAAGCACATGCAATGTTAGTTGATACGCTTCAGTATTAGGCGACATAGTGTGAATTTTATTTCGTATTGTGCACGTTTAGTGTGTAAATAATATATTGTGCCTATATTTAGGTAATCACGTAGCGTATAGACACTGGCGAATGGCTTAAGTATGCTTTTAATACCACGTAACTAGCGCAGTAACTTTTACGTACAAAATATACATTTGTCTATGTGTATGCACGACGGGAATTTAACTAACTTACTGTGTTTGTTGTTTCCGACGATTGTTTCGATTCTATCTAAACGTCTGTCATTTTTGACAGTCGTCTCGCCTCGCGCCGAAACTACTGTCAAAAATGACAAATACAGTTGTTACATCAACCGTTAACTGTCCACTGCTGAACGTAGCCTCAGCCATAAGGGTTTTGCCGGTATTTGCCACGCTTGACAGCCAGGTTGGCAACCGCAGTTTGAATTTTGGTGATGTTTTAAGAAGGACGCAGCTGCCCATCATCATCATCATATCAGCTTTTAACTGTCCACTGCTGAACGTAAGCCTCCCCCTAAAGAGGGTTGGGAACCGCAGATTAGTTTTTGGTAATGTTTTAAGAGGGACGCTGCTGCCCATCCCTCGGTCATAAACTCCCTTAAGCGCCTCTTACGACACCCACGGGAAAGGAAGGGATGGCATATTCTATGCCGGAACCTAGACGGCTACGGCATACACAAACAAAAGTTCGTTAAATTCCCATTGTGCATGTATATAGACATCGTATTAAAAAATTAATATAATTTTAAAAATAAAACATTTTTTTTTGTGTGTTTGAGAAATTTGTACCAAGAATAAAGTGGTGATAAACAATACTACATTCAAACGTTACTAGCAACATGGTGATGAATGATAAACTAGTATGCGCGACGTATTTGCTTGCCGATTGCGTGTTGAGTGTAATTTCGCTGACTTACCGCGTTAATAGGTAGAATTTACGTATAAAATAAGTTATTTAAAATACAATTCGTAACAAAAATAACAATGTACAGTAATTTAATAATGTATTTAAACCAGAAACCTTTTTATTCCAATAATTTGTCCATTTTTCCTCCTTAAGGGATATCCCAAGGTTTTCAAATGAGACAAAAAATTATACACCCCTAGTGTTGCAAGCACCCATAGACTATTTACATTCAGATGGGCCATATGCTTGTTTGTCGCATTCGTGATATATATATATTTTTTTATATATAAATTCTAGATGCTTATTTCGAACTGTATCGCCGATTCAGTCACGTACATATTATGCAAATAACTCGTTACGTGAACTGCCTACAACCGAGAGATATTGTTCAGCCTTATTATTTTGTTTTATCGCGTGAATAATAGTTTAGTTTTACAATAAACCTAACTGACTATACATGCATTTTGTCCCACCACCGCCACCTACTAGGCCCATTTTTTACCGGAATAAAAAGTACCCTATTCCTCAAGTTGGAGTTCTCAAGAAAAAATTATATGTACGTTGAAAAAAAAATCCAAGTGTCAAGTGCGAGTTGTACAAAGATTGGACGTGTAAAAATCGCAGTATCGTGTATTAACCGTATCTATTAACGTTACGATCACGTTCGCCTTCACCCGATATGCATGTATTGAAAACTTGATATTTATCCGTGAAGCAGTTGTGTTTGCATGGCTGTGTTTCGGTTTGAAGGGTGGGATATGGCGTGAATTTACTGGGCACAAAGAAATAACATCTGAGTCCTCAGGAATGGCAACGCATGGGGGGTATCATGGGCGAAACAGTATAGTCTGTTATGTCCATGGTACTGCTCATGTCTATAGGCGACGGTTACCACTTTCCATAAGGTGGGCCGTCAGCTTGTTTGCCATTCTAAGTTGTATAAAAACAAAAAGTACCAATATTACCAATGCCTACTTTTCTTTGAGAGCATAATATTGATTGTATTTTTAATAATTCATTTAATACTGTGATACTGGCAATCTCACGAACATTGTTTTTTTTTATTTTTATTTTATAATAAAGAAATTTGTATAAGAATTGAATTTGTGTCTAACTTGTTAGTAAGGTGTTCACAGTATGTACTTACTATGAATAATAATTCATTTGTTGCGTCTTTCTCGTCCTTATACACAAAGACCTTTGATATAGCTTACCGGATAATGGCTCACGTTCCCTGCTGAACAAAATAGAATTATTTCATACTAATGTTATTAATATAATTTTTTAAAACTTATCATTTTTATCCGATGTCAACATATCGTCATAGTCGTAGAATACTGACGGATCTTTATATGTAATATTCGTCAGATCCGTCAGTATTCTACGACTATGACGATACATATGTAACGGAAGATTAATGAAGTCGCTGTGTTTCTCTCGGTTCCGACAATTGTATCGACTTTCGAAAGTTCTCTTCAAGGGGCGTTTGACGCTTTACGTCACAGCGTCTCGCCTCGCACTGTTATTAAATATCAATAAAATATATAAGTTGCTTTAGACAGTTCAAGGCATCACGATTTAAATTAAGTTTCCTTGATATATTCTTTGTGTATAATTATATTTGATAGTACTGCAATTAAATTCTTATTCATAGTATATTTCGCATAAAATTTTAGAATAACTGTAGAATAATAATTTTGAAAATACCTTTACAAAAAACTGTGAGCTGTTTTTTTTTATAATTAGGTATTTAAAAATATATATATATACTTATGTGGTATACAATAAAATTGACTACGTTCACAAATCACATATTAAGCTTTTCAAGAAAAAATTTATGAAATGCGAGATTGATTTATTTGTTGTGAAACATTTGGCTCGAATTTATGCATCTCATTTTTATGTGATTCTTTGTTGAAAATATATGTGTTATACTCATGGTCGTAGCTAGGGGGGGGGGGGCATTGAAGGGCAATGCCCTACCTTAAAAGGTCCAATGCCCTACCTTAAAATGTAAAGCCACAAGAAAATTAAACAGATTCGCTTTTTCGAAGTCACTTAATTATGGCTTCTACCTTATCAAAAAGATCTTTTGCCCTACCTTAAACTTGGGTCTAGCTACGGCCCTGGTTATTTTTAGTTGAAAGTCGATGTTTAGCCTCTCAACCGAATGGCATGTCTAGTCTAGCCTAGGTTAGTTTGGCAACTCATACTTCTCATGAGATCTGATCGATTAACCACACCTAAGTGTGATGGGACTTCGATAATAAACTATAACAAATGGTTGGCTAGCACACTTTGAAATATAAAGTAATTAAAAAAAAAAAGTGAGAATAGAGTGTTCATTTGCCGGTGAGACTGGTGTTCATTCTTCATCTTGAATAAAACAAAGTCAAATTACGACTGTGTAATCAGAGGGTCTACCATGAAATGAAATTCTGTATTTTCGAACTCAATTTCATGTTTTTGTTCGTACCGAAATCGACCCAGTAAATGGAGCTTAACATTTCGTTCATCATAAATCCTATCCTAATAGTCCAGAGGAACGATATTTTAACATTTTTAATAATTTTAAACAGCATGTATTATGTAATTTTAAAATCAAATTTCTGTTTCGTTCGTCGTGGTAGGCCCTCAGGGGGTCTACCATGAAATGAAATTCCGTATTTTCGAACTCAATTTCGTGTTTTTGTTCATACCGAAATCGGTCCAGTAAATGAAACTTAACATTTTTAATATTTTTATATGATATTTATTATTTAATTTTAACCTCAAATTTGTGTTTCGTTCGGCTACGAAATTTCTGGAAACATTTCATAGTAGACCCTCAGTTATATCGCATTTTCTAGATTATTAGAATGCATGTTTTGATTAGATGACCATCATGACAGAAGCTTTATTTAGATCGGTTAGAATTAACTTTAAGATGTTTATCGGTATCTAATACGTCGAATAGGTTAACAGCTATTACACCTTTTTGGGCGACTTCAAAAAAGGGAGTCTCGAAACTGTTTCTTAGTCTTCATGTAACTCAATCTATGTTTCCTATAAGGAAATGTTTAAATGGCTGTCAACCAAATATACAGTGAATACGCTGAATTAAAACGAAATTCCGCCTTCACTAGCACAGATATCGATCGGCCTACGAATGTTGAGCATGCTTAGGTACTAATGTATAGTTAAATCGAATTAATGAACAGACGGTCATACCCTTATATGTATCAAATTTTTATTTTGGGGGGAAGGGATTGTTAGTAATACAGACTACCAGTCCCATTGCTAGCAATACAGAGAGGTCAGGTCGACCTCCACGTGTTCCCCCTTGGGAACTGTCGTGCTGGATTCCAGGTGTATCATCTCTTATTGGTGCTCCGCCAACGTATACCGTTAACGTAGGCGGAGTTACCATTCCATTATTATCTATTAGAAAAAATATTTTGCACAAAAACGTCAATTGATAAACCAAAATAATTCATGTTATTAAGGTGTTTAAAATGCCTTATAAATCCTCTATTTTAGAATTACAAATTAAATTAAAAAAAAAAATTTCGTGTTAGCCTCTTGAATCATAAGAACGTTAAACCTCTTATATAACTATTATTTTAGCTGTGGAACTGTTTTGTCCCTTTCTTTTGTGCAAAATTCTCAATTTGAATGAAAGTGAGAGGTGTTCGTTTTCATGAATATGGGGTTTTTTTTTCGATGGGTGAAAATGGTATGGTAACCCCACCTGCGCTAACGGGATACGCTGGCGGAGCACCAGTGAATGAATAGATGTAAATGAAAACAGGCCAGTTAGCCCATCATGATGAATTCATCAGGAATTGACCATGATAGTTTCCAGGGGTAACCGCGAGGAGGTCGACATGGTTGGGTATATTGCTAGCAATGGGATTCTCAGTCTCTATTACTAACAATCCCTTTCCCCCTTGAATAAGGGGGGTTAGTATATATGAAAATGTCAATATCGTTTAGTGGCGATCGTCTTTTTATAAATTCGATGGTAACTCATTTCAATGCTCCCATGTAGATTGTAAAGCCAAATACAAATTTAATTATACATATAAATATACAATTATAATATATACAATGTCTTCGCTGATTTAGTGTTAATCATAGTATATAACATAGTAATTTGTTCATGCCTATTAAAATATAAAATATAATTTGCTGTGCTCTACGGCACGTTACGTAGATCTTTTTATCTCGAGGAATACACAGCAAGAGTTTTTACAGTGCGGTTATTACCTCACAAGTTTGAAGAATATTGAAACTAAGAAGCGGGAAAATCCGCGCGCAAATAATAGATATATAATACTTATGCGGATTAAAATCGGTGCGGTGAGAATTTTTACCATGCATAATATATTATTACTTCTCAGAATTCTAATGGCGCCCGAATTACCACTACGTTAGATAGTATCGACACATTTGCTCATGTTATTTTAAATATATTTACGTACCTAGTCCTAGTCTTTCTTTATTATTGTTTTATTGTTAATGCACAACTGAGTACACAACTAGATGTCTATAATATAATTTAATAATGGCATTAACGAGTTCCAATAACGTTTCTAAGAATCGGCTCCATGCCACTCGGCAATATTAGTAAATTTAATTTCTATGTAAAGTTACGTTATTCTTCCATAATTAAGTTTAGGATTGTATATGATTGAATATATACTTGTGAAATATATACCTAAACTACTGTTTACATGTAATAATAGTATGAGGTCAGATACGAATGTTTATTTAGTTAATAAAAGAATCTGTTACTTCAGATAAATTATGTCACAAACCAAAGCTGGACGCAGATAAAACACGTTACCTACTTATCCCTCCGTGTGAATATTTTTTTGGCAGCAGTGGCGGATTTATACATTTCGTCATAGTCGTAGAATACTGACGGATCTTTATATGTAATCTTCGTCAGATCCGTCAGTATTCTACGACTATGACGATATACCACCGCCTATAGTCAAAATCCACGCTTATCGACCACTAAAATTTAATATCCTCGTTCACAATTTTATTAATTATATTTTTTGTGTTTAAGATTGTAATTTCATTATTACAAAAAATGCTTCAAATTTTCCATTCTAGACTCCAGCCTACTGATAAATCCTCCACTGTTTGGCAACTCATTAATTGTGACTTCACCCCATAATCAATTTATTGATTTTAATAAAACTTCATTTGTGAAATAAAATCAGTAAGTGAACTATATTACAAATAAGAACTGATAAGACAATGAGGTTATTCCCCATTATTTAGTATGTATACCTACAACGAGGACGAACCCGAAATAAATTCCATTTTTCTATAAGAATTTTATATTATACTTTCAAATTTATCGTTTATTCAAGTGCTTAAAGCTCTTTGAGCATACTTAGAGCAAATTCGCCTCGTTTACAGTCATCAGGGTTACAAGTTTTTTAACCATTTTCAATTTTTCTTTTCCTATTATTATAAACAATCAATTGATTAGGGCGAGGTGAAAATATTGGAAAAAAATATAGTTATCCGTCCTTCGAATATATTCTATTCCATTACGGTATTTTGGTATATTTTATTTGCCTGTGTCATTTTATATATTGTCAAAATTAACGAGATATATCTCTAACCCCATTATGAAGAAAGAATAAAGCAAAATGTGTGATAAAATTAAAACATTAATTTTACAATACTGATTTACGCTACTATATTGTAAGTTTAATTAATTACCAATGTATCGTAAGTGAAATTGTTTTAGGATTAAAAAAATTATAATATGAAATAACACCGTAAACTGAAATGTAATTTCTGAGATTATTGTATTTTTTCCTTCAACTGAAATTACAGACGACATGAAATGCAATATTGTGAACTTTTATTTATTAAAGAGTTGAAATATATTTTCTCGTATTTATTTGAAAAACATTCCCTTTAACTAGGGAGTCAGAAAAACCCTACGCTCAGCGGTGGATATACGTGGACTGATTAAACAGCCCACTCCGATACACCAGTACGAAAGGATGAGTATTTGTAAATAAAACACTGCTGTTATTGAATGGAATTTAAAATTTATTAAACCTACCTATCTATTATAATATTAATTATAATCTTCATTTCAGTTACATGTTTGGATCACATGGATTTGAAAATTATTTGTTTATAAAATACCTACTATGATATTAATAGAAAAGCTTGAATGCATATCTTTGTAGCAATAAATATAAAAAAAATTAAAACATAATTCATTCGATCTTCAGCGATGGTAAACGCGTAATTGGTTTCTAATACAACATTATCTATTTCTAATTTAACAATAATAATTTGAAAGAATTTGTTGAACCTACCTACCTAAAGATTAAATAATTAAAAGAAAAATATTATATTAATTAATTAATTAATTAATTAAAGTAATAAAAAAGATTATTATGCATATAAGGACACGTCGAAGCATTTAAAAAATTGATCCTAAATAAAATAACGAAATTCAAACTGTAAATCGATTACAAATTTATAAAATAGGTAAACCATATATAAAAAAAAACACAACAATACCACATCGCGCCTGTCAGGTCAATATATTTATAGAAAATTAACGTTCTTTTATTCAAATTATAAAGTTATGTAAATAGTCTATTTGAACGTGACCGCCACACACATGATACACATTTATGTGGTTATGTATATATAATTTTAAATATGATTCCTTAAAATCGTGAAAATATAACAGTGTACATATTTTTTTTTTAACATAATTTTATAAGGATTACAATGTTAGCGTCGCTACTCAAATAAAATTAACATGATATTTTGTTATTTAAAAACTATTAATCCAAGATACGTAGCATAATTAATTAATTTATCAACAAAACTACACTCTCCATGTGATAAAGACTCTATATAAAAATAAATATGTCTCTAATACACCTCTAAATTTCAAACCATTAGAAATACTAGCAAGCTATATAGTATATATATATATGTATATACAAAGTGTAACAGAAATTTTGGAAATCGTATTACAATACCAAAATCCGCGGTAAAATTCCCCAACTTTCTTCAAGGTACATACGTACGAAATATGAAAATAATTTTTTGAATGCCCCCCTACAAATCCATTTAATTTATAATGAAAGCGACTCTTTCCGTTACACTTTCTATATCTTTAGATATATATATGCGATGGCCACACAGTACATTTTGTTTCCGACATACGTTAATTTTGAGACTAAATATATTCTTGATCTTATTTGTGACATTTCTAATACCTATCACATGCTACCTACTCATTCACATTATTTCCAAAAAAACTTGGCCAGAAATAAATAAATTGCAATAGTAATGTTTCTAAAAATCTGTACACTACGTGTTTATCATCTGTATAATTTTCATTCGTGAGAATTGTAACATCAGCAGACATCACAAATTTTCAATCTAAAAGTATTGTATTTATTTATTTATTTATTCTTTATTGTACACAAAAAATTACAACATATAATATATATATATATATATATATATATATATATATATATATATATATATATATATATATATATACATATACATATATATATACATATATATATACATATATATATACATATATATATATATAAAATAAATATGTACAACAGGCGAGCTTAACTCTGTAAGAATTCTCTTTTAGCAAACCCTGAGTGGAAAGGAGCATTAAGTACTAGCGGGCAGTATGCGTACAATAATAGAAGGAAACATTATAGATGTTTCTATTAAAAAATAATAAATATGTTGACATACATATATAAGTAACTCATACAATTAAAATTAAAATAAATACATATCTGTATACAATAATACATATACATATATACATAAACATATCTCTTTACATACAAAATAAGTACATATACATACACAGACATAGTAAGTTTATGAGGACAGAAGATGCTCTTTTAATGTGCTCTTGAATATATTCAGCGATTGACTCTCACGAATATGCAGTGGAAGAGAGTTCCATAGTCTAGCCGCATGAACCGTAAATGATCCACTATAGCATGAGGAGACTCGACCTACTGGACATGCCAGTGGGGTCAAGGAAAGTGAAACGTTCACAAAGATAAGATGGGAAGGAGGAATTAAACAGTACAGAATACAGGAAAGATAAAAGATGAAAATCACGACGTTGACGAATCGGGAGCCATTTTAATATGCTTCTGTAAGAGGAGACATGATCGTATTTCCTAACATATTATTGCACAAGAGACTACAGACATTTCTTTTAATTCACTCGAGTGCAATTCTTTTATTTCTAGCCGAATTTTGTTGTATATTTATTAATAAAAAAATCAGCACTTCTTTCCACTATTGACTTTATTCCACAAGTCATCTATTATTGCGTTCTAACAATACAAAATGTGCTATGTCGACATAATATTAAGGAGCGAGAGTCCACGACATGAATTCTAATACTTGTACACTGCGTTTTATTTTATTATAAGCTTTAAAACAACAGAGTCGATTCTGAGGCGTCCGTTCTCTAATCCTATCTTCAAAATTAAAAATTCAATTTCATATCACAGCGAAATCTTTATTCGAAGTACCAACATGAACTAAATTTCTAAAAAAATTAAAATTATTATAAATTTAGTTTATGATGCTCAATAAAACAGGGATTCCGTGTAACTACTAAAGTATTAGATTAAGAGATGTTTCGAGACATGACCCCTTAGAATCGACCTTATTGACGTAAAGTTCAGTTTTGTTTCCGTTTGTTTCGGATCGCCATTTGACGTTAGAACTCACGCGGCACACGGTACAACTTCTCTCGTTCACCTCTGAACATGTTATTGTAATTTCATACCATGTCGTGTTAATATTAGAAAATCACCTGTGATAAAATTTTAATTTATAAATAAATAAATCGTCCCAAGCAAAATTTCTATATGATAATAGGTTCTTATTTAGCCATACAAAAACAAAATACGCAACTAGCGATCCGACCCGTCTTCATACTAGTAGATAGAATTTCCGAAAATGTACATCGTTGATAATATAACTCTTTATAGGTGCAAGATTTTTTTTTTTAAATCGGTTGAATAGTTCTCGAGTTTATCCATTACAACCAAATGAAACAATGTATTCTCTTTATAATATATATAGTATAGATTGTTCGCCGAGCGCACCACTCCTCGCGGACTCCCGCTCAAACACCGATCTGTATATTGTGTAAAAGGCGGCTGTGGTCATATTGCTTCTGATTACTATACATCGATGCGGCTACACACTTAAAATAATGTCCATTACAATTTGAAAACACTACTTATATCTAAGTCATTAATACTAAGTTTAATTTGTTATTACTATTATAATATACCGATACAAAACTTCTCAAGATTTTCAATATATATATATATATAAATATTGTTATAATATTTTTAAAATAGTAAAATTGAAAATAAAGTTATACAAAATGCGTTCGTATAGTATTTAGAAATACATAGATGCACCGCACGGTGCAATACGTGATGTATTTGACCGAGAATTCCCATCTGACAATTCTCTGTGATGCTGACCCAAAAGACGGTACTCGGAAAGAGATAAAAAAAATAAAAAAAAAATTCGCACGCCTACCTTGCCTTATTTTGCATTAGCGATTGTCAATAAGCGTATATAAGGGAAGATCGCTACTTCTCTATACACCCAATTGATTGCTTATAATAGGCTTGTGCAAATTTGTTAAATACAAATACCTAATGGTGAGATTACACTTGTTCCATTTTGAATGCCTAGCCCACACAAACATTATTGTACAAAAAAAAAAAAAACATTGTTCGCTATTTAAAAAAAATTGTCCTCCAACACGGGAGGTCTAGTCGGTTGGTATAATTTCACTAAATGCAATCACTACCTTTACCCACACCATGAGTTAAAAAAAAAGAGATAGCTAATTATTAGTTGGGAATGTAAACATAAAATGCTGTAGGATCTAAACGAACAACTCGATCAGTACCCTCATTTGCATCAATACAGTTTAGATCAAATTCACATAATATAAACAGATTGTCGTCCATTCGTATCACCCAACTATATATTCATTACACACTGTAGTTCATTACAGAAAATAATTCCAAAAATACAGATATCGAAATCGGTTTAGAATTCCCAAAATGGGGCGAAGAGCAGTAGAGTTGATGCCTGTAACTTCTTTACTTACAATATTCGATATATTAATATTGGTCCTTAGGTGACTAACTTTGACGTGAACGAGAAAAACAAAACTTGTGCATTAAAACAACTGAAGAACCTCACACTTTCGCCTACAGACAAATTGTTCAATTAAAAATGTAGAAAACATAACAAGTAACAACTTCCGATTATATTGTTATATATAATAAATGTGGAACATACATAATCTGTTTTAATATCCATACAAAACTAAATCTACTGCAATTATATCACTAATGATATACCGTGGCCTTGCTTCCATCAACATCCATATAATACAATCAAAACCATTTTACTCTCAATACAATCAATTCTATACGAATCCTATAAATTTTATGATAATTGCTGAAAGCACGACCACAAAAGGTTATGCTCAAGACTTCATAAATGTCAAAAATAGCTATACTATTTATTTTGTAATTAAACACACGTCCGTGAAAGCAACGAGCCGACTGACACATGACCTAAATAAACGAAATTAGTTTAAAAGCATAGTTATCCTCTTTGTTAACTTCTACAGCATGTTTCTTATTCATGCACTAAATACATTTATAATTTATGAAAATATTCAATACATATTTTAGTAATATGTGTATACAAAATTTACGCCTCTTGTTGTAACGATATACAATACGACTTTGGTGTTATGATTACAACAAGTCCACTAAATCGAATACTAATTCATTTATAAAAGCAGAGATAGCTTCTAAATAATTGAATATTGGTTAATATTATTAATATTTTTGTAGTTAGTGTTAAAGCTACCCATCAGAGTAGATATAAAGAGTTGGCTTCGTTTAGATGTGTACGAGATTGGTTAATATTCTTCTCTACCTATATAGGATAGCGGCAAACAGGTATGGAAATATCTATCTTATATTTATTATTCATGTAAATGACAGTGGCAGTTAATTCGAAAATTCCTAATTCATGCTTTATTAATTTCATCCAATAATTTTACCAGAATAAGTCTTGCTCTTTTCACTAAAATTAAATATCCTATAGTTATTATCGAGTTATATACCCCTTTAGACCCCATTTTACCCATATATAAAAATATCAAGGAAAGTATTTATTTTGATCAATAAATAGCCCGAAACACCAGCGGGATTACTCTTTCGTCAGACTACGTAAGTAGAGAGCGACCACCCGGCGAGCGGCTGAGCGAGCCGAACGTGTTACTCGCTGCGACTGCTCCTCCGCTCGCAGCAAACCACTGCGAATCTTAATCCGCACAACCGAACGGGACTTACACACCACGAAGCACGACATGCAACCTACAACTCGCAACGCCCAAACATTTCCCTACTAGTGATGCTGCTGCTGCACGGGCGTCTGGCAGTAGGGGCACTCCTTGGTGGTAGCCGAGCAGCCCTCGCAGAGCACGTAGTGGTTGCACGGGCCGAGCGTGACGCTGCGCGGCTGCTCCTCGCACACCATACACTTGGTAGCCGTCTCCAGGTACAGAACCTTCTCGATTTCCTCCAAGTCGGCGCGCGCCTGCACCAGCAGGTCCTTCAGCGTGTTGATGGGCAAGCCGCGCAGCTCGCGGCGGCCGGCGCCGGCCAGCCCCACGCCGGCCATGGCGCCCGCGCGCGCCGACTCCAGCTCGCGCCGCAGCGTCATGGCGTGCGCCAGCGCGTCGTCGCGCTGCCGCTCGGCCAGCGCCGCCTTGCGCTGCGCCTCGTCCGTCTCGCGCTGCCACGCCTCGCACGCCGACCGCGCCTGCGCGATGCGCTCGTCCCAGTGCACGGCGGCGGCGCGCGTCGCCACCAGCTCCTCGCGCAGCCGCGACAGCTCCGCCGGCGCCGACGGCGACGTCGCCGAGTACTCGAACGGCGCCGCGCCGGCCGCGCCGAAGCTGCCCGCCTTCACGGCGTGCGAGTTGAACAGCCGCTCTGTGTCGTTCTGCGCGTACCGGAGGAACGGCGTCAGCGGCGAGCCGCCCGCGGGCGGGCTGAAGCCGCGGATCGCGGGCCGCGCCTGCGGGATGTTGACCGGTGCCGAGCCGCCGAGCAAGCCCTCGCCGTCGGACAGGTCGCGGTCGAGTGACGCGACGAGATTCAGCGGGTCCTCGAGGTGCAGGTCGTCGAGCGCGTTGCCGACCACTTCCTGCAGCACGGTCGCGTCGAAGGTGGAGGCGCGCTGTGGCCAGACGGCGGACAGCGGCTTGTCTTGCGGCGGCTGCAGCGGCGCGGGGCGCGGGCCGGGCGCGCGGCCGCCGCTCGAGCCGCCGCTGGACGTGGACGCGCACTCGGAGCCATCGCCGCTGCCGTTGGTCTGCAGCATGCCGGCCGGCGACAGCGGCCGCACGCGATCTAAGCTCAGGACATTGCCCAGCATGCTCACGCTATTCTCGTTCACTTTTTTATCAGGCGGCAACGCGGACGATAGTAACTCAGCTAAGTTGGTGCCGCATTCCAAGGGTGCTGCGAGTTCACGAGCGGCACTTAAGTCTTCGGCTGAAATAAAAATATAAAATTTAATCAGATTACAAGCAAAAATTCAAGAAAGACGCTTAAAACATGAAACACAAAAATAAAAATACACAGATATAAAACTTATAATATACATTGTTTCATTTTCAACTTTACATATTGATAAAAACAATATAAAACTCACGTTCAACGTGTGCAAAAGCGCAAAATAGTCCTCTAGGACAATAACCCGCTTGCTGTACGTCATTACATTTGGTGGATTTGTATATCTCGGGGTGGAACTGTTGCTCAGTGCGTGTATGACAGTAGCCACACCCGTCTCCTGCTTCACAATTACTAGGCTCGCCCCATTCTTCTCCATGTTTTACATTAGGACATGGTGTACTACGATATTTATATTTTCTTGGAGACCTACGTTTATCCTGCAAAAATTGGGTCATTATTAATTATTATATCATAATATAATACCAACAAGTCCTGACTGACGCATTATTGCAGTACTAAAAATAATTTAAAAGCCACATTCACCACATTCTTGAAAATACATTAGGGTTAAGTGTACATCAGTGGCGGAGTTGCAGTCTTGGTCGCCTTAAGCTTCAGGCCATGTAGTAAGTACCAGCCACCCCTTTCTCAGCACCCATCATATTGAGTACATAATAAATTTACTTTTTTGCCAATTTTTATCAAAATCTATTCAGAAATTTAGTTAACTATAATATCTGCTAGTTTGTAATATTTTCCGAGGTCAGAGATAATTGCACATTATGTGCGCGAGTCTTTGAAATATTTACGTACTTTGAGTTATTTCTTGTTACCATCATTGATTTCTTTATTACGATTGGCCGCTCTAGACCCGGACATCCTGAGGGCCTATGTTTTCCGAAATTTCGAAGGTTAACGAAACACAAATTTGATGTTAAAATTACATAATACATGCCGTTCGGAAATATTAAAAATGTTAAAATATTGTTAAACTCCATTTATTGGTCCGATTTTGCTATAAACAAAAACACGAAATTGAGCCCGAAAATTCGGACTTTCATTTCATGGTAGACCCGCTAGGCCTTAGGGCAAATCCACCACTGGTGTACATACAGATATGTTATTTTGAATTATATTTATTAAATGTTATATATTAAACACAAGATGAATATAACTTACTTTACTATTGTGGTATTGTGGGCACGCATACCCTTGTCTACATAACCTAGGTGGTCTTTTACATGGTTCCGTTTTATATGACGATAATACATAATTTGTGTCTGAAAGAAATTCATTCTATTAGTGTAAAGTTCATTGTTGAAAAAAATTTTTTTTTTTTACAACTTAGAATGGTAAACAAGCTGACGGCCCACTTGATGGAAAGTGGTGATCGTCGCCTATAGACATGAGCAGTACCATGGACATAACAAAGTATACTGTTTCGCCCATGATACCCCCCATGCGTTGCTATTCCTGAGGACTCAGATGTTATTCTTCTGTACCCAGTAAATTCACGTCATATCCCACCCTTCAAACCGAAACACAGCCATGCAAACACAACTGCTTCACGATTGAAATACGAATGGGACAGAGGTACCAAAGCAATCGACTTTTGTACAAAGTCTCCCTCGGGCAATGTTTTGAGCAATAAATTTTTAAGTAATATGTATTAAATATATTGTAAACAATAGCTTGTATTATTATCGGTGCCACGTATTGTTGACCTATGACATCATTATTAATAAATATTGCTATGAATTGGGCAATTAAATTGCCCGCATTCTTAAGCATTACAAACTTGTGCGAAAAAAAGTAAAAATGAGAGAGATAAAGATTCAGACTTTATAAATGTATATAAAAAAACGTTAATAAATGAGTAAGATTTGACAATAGAGTTCATCGTCTCGATACAGGGAAAGCAGTTAGGTCATATTTTACTAATATACTTATTTGTAACTTGACGATGTCTGTACATGGAGGATATGAAAAATTTATATGAGGTCTCATAACAAAAGTAATACAAGTCAAATGGGGGGAAAGGGATTGTTAGTAATGGAGACTGAGAATCCCATTGCTAACAATATACCCAACCAGGTCAACCTCCTCGCGGTTCTCCCTGGAAACTATCATGGTTAATTCCTGATGAATTCATCATGATGGGCTAACTGGCCTGTTTTCATTCTCATCTATCATCCTTCACTGGTGCTCCGTCAGCGTATCCCGTTAGCGCAGGCGGGGTCACCATACCATTTTCACCCATCAAAAAAAGTACAAGTCAAATAATTTTTTGATATTTTGTCTATATGTCCGTTTGTGTGTTTGTTCTAGAATTACACAATGGTACCAAATTGGATGTGAATTTCACAGTTGTTTTTCTGAAGGTGTTTCTTGATACACGATCTAGAAGTGGTCTCCGTTTGCTTCCCTAGGTGTGAACACCACTCGTACGAGACGTAGTGTCAAGTGTGTAAGTACCTTGCCACTTGGGGTCCTCGTTCATGAGGTTGCGCTCCTTGTCGAGCGCGTTGGGCGCGTCGGGGTGGTCGGGCGCGTCGGGGTCGAGCGCGAGCAGCTCGCGCGCGTCCAGCACGGGCGGCCGCAGGTCGGGCGCGCCGTGCGCGAACGCGCAGTGCGCGCCGTTCTTGGCGCACTGGCCGCGCGCGTCCGTGTCGTGCACGCACATGCACGTCTTGTAGTAGCGCAGGTGGTAGCGCCGCTCCGTGTCGCCCGCCGTGCGGTGCAGGTACGGGCACCTGCCCCCACACACCACACCGTCACCACAGTGCCACCTCCCCACACCTCCACCAAAATACATGACGAAAAACACGTGTTCGCAACATGTATTTTGGTAGAAAAGATTGTTATGTTTATATATATATAATCTCAACCCATAGATTTTTTTTACAACTTTGGCAAACAAGCTGACGGCCCACCTGATGGAAAGTGATAACCGTCGCTTATAGACATGAACGGTACCATGGGCATAACAGAGTATACTGTTTCACGAATAAGGGGTATCATGATACCCCTCATTGGTTACCATTTCTGAGGACTCGGATGTTATTCCTCTATACCCTGTAAATTCACTGCCATGTCCCACCCGTCAAACTGAAACACAGCCATGCAAACACAACTGCTTCAAGATAGAAACACGAATGGGACAAGATGGCCATTAATGAAATAGATAACATTTCAATTATCACAGAAACATTTTCTAAATGAAATTAGAAGCAAATCAAAACCATTAAATAAATTCCATCTAATTTATACATTTCATATTTTTTATTTTGGACATGAGAGTTATAGTTAGATAAATTAAGTATTTTATTAATTACATTATCATTAGATTTTGTTAGAACAGATTATAATGACATCTATACAGTTATGTTTCTATTTATTTATTTATCTGTATAGTAAAGTATATATTTAACCAAAATGCCATTAGTCATGTATGACTGTAAGTCAACAAGTTAGATATCACCAATCATACTTATTGCATTGTTGTTTCAATGTATGTTTGAACAACAAACATCCAAACTCAAACATCTTTAATAACTTTTACTAGTGGAAGAATTTCTAGATACAGATTGACTAATATATACATATATAAATAAAAGTAATATACCATATAGTGGGAGAAGGGGTTTGTTAGTAATGGAGACTGAGAATACCATTGCTAGCAATATACCCAACAAGGTCGACCTCCTCGCGGTTCCCTCTGAAAACTATCATGTTTAATTCCAGATGAATTCATCATGATGGGCTAACTGGCCTGTTTTCATCCTCATCGATCACCCTTCACTGGTGCCCTGCCAGCGTATCCCATTAGCGCAGGCAGAGTTACCATTCCATTTTCATCCAATAAAAAATATGCCATATAGTTATGTTTTACTGACCACCACTTGTGTCCATATAAATATGTTGATTATATACATATATACACATATACATTCTGAGGATATTAATTTTATATTGAATTTCCTCATAAATAAATAATTCCATATAGTAAACAAGATAATACATTATTATCAGTCAGGATGTATGTATGCAGCTGTGTGTTGTTATAAATTTAATTTACTGTGACAAATAAACAAACATCATCATCATCATTATCACTGTGATTGATTCTGAAATGTCATTCCTTAAATTTATCCCTAAAATTAAAATATGAATGAGAATGATATAAAGTAATTCAATTTTATGTGAATCTAGTTCTTTCTCACACTGATCCTTAGAATAATTATTTTGTTGTATTGTTTAAATGAAATGTTAGTACATCCTATCCCATGGGTGTCATAAGACACTTAAGGAGCTTAATGGCCGAGGGATAGGCAGCAGCATCTCTCTTAAAAATATCACTAACTGTGGTTGCCAACCTGCCTACCAAGCTTGGTAACTACTGGCACAACCCCAGTTTTAAGGTCATATTGTAATAATTATGATAAAATATTACTACAGCTTTTGCTTTGTCATAGGACAAATATATATTTATATTTGGAGCAATATCTTCTACTTCTCTACAATTATCACACAGATGATCAGTAGCATTACCATGGAAGGTAGGGATGGCTTTTATAATGGATAATAGTGAAATAGTAGTCCCCTGTGTAACCAATATATCGTCATAGTCGTAGAATACTGACAGATCTGACAAATATTACATATATAGATCCATCAGTATTCTAAGACTATGACGATATGTTGACAGAGCAGCGGCGAAAGGTAATAGATACCAAGGAAAGCAGGTCAACTAGCAGCATTATGATGAATTTAACAAGAATTAATTATAATGATTTTCAATAACTATGTGGAGATGGGCCTGATGTGATATATTACTAGCAATGGTGCTATTAGGCCCCATAACTAACAACCCTTTTCCCCCCATGGTAGGGATTGTTAATAACGGGATCTATCTGTAACTGTCAAAATCCATATGGTCGCATTTGGAAACTATCCTGTAAGTTCAATACAATAATTATATAATTCCATGTGAATTCAATACAATAGACCCACTGGCCTTTTTTCTTATTCAGCTATTGCCCACCACTGATGCCCCACTTGTGTATACCGACAGCTCAAGGGATATTACTATTGCATTATTATCATTAAAAATGAGCACTGTTATCAGTCATTAGATTAAATGAAAATATAAAAAAAATACAAAATAAACTTTACAATAAATAATTTGAATTACCTATAATTATTATTGCAATTAACAAACATTAATTAATTTAATTCAAAGAATATATTAGAGTTCATTTCGATAGTTATAATCATGGAGAAAAATAAATAAACAATTTTTTTAACTAAATTTAAATCTCCCTCTAAAGAAGAGGATTATTATTATTATGATTTGCTGAAATTAATAGACAAGTGAATTAAAAATAAATATATGTTTATATCAGATTCCATGTAAATATTGATAAAAAATAAATTTATAAATATTAGTAGAAAGTATTTATAAATATAAGTGCTGTGTGTACATAATTAAACCAATACCAATAGCAAAATCGAACAAAACTCTTTCAATTAAATAGTGAGAATAATTAAAAAAAAAAAGGGAAAATCAAAATCATTAGCACTGATCAAATAACATGTACAAAAAATACAGTTATATTAAGAACATTTTTCGAGTCAATGAAAAATAACAATCATGCACACAATAAATAATAATAATAATATATTTTAATATTTAAATTATATGCATTAATTAATAACATTAAATAGAATATTCTGATGAACACAACTAGAGATTATACCGAAAATCAAGTAGAAAATATCTCCCAAATATATTTAAGAATATGTATTATACTTGTTTACTTGTTAGCGATTCGAAAAGTTTTATGGATAATGAAAAAATAACCCCATCTCCAATACTGGTGGGACATCAATAAAGTATGACAGGTCCGAATGAAAGTAACTCAGGTGACCTATCATGACAACATCAATGTAGATTAACCATAATAGTTTTCAAGGGAATCCAAATGTAGATAAACAATGACAGGGTATATTGCTAAAAATATTGAATTATATATTGCTCAATTGTTAGTATTTTTTACCAATAATCCCTATCAACAATCCCCACCATTTTAATATAATTATTTTAATTTTATTTTTTACAGCTCATGCTCACCAAGATGTATTTGGGCGCTTAAAAGCAAGGGTAAAAAACAAAAACAAGCCAAACAACAACAGAAAGAATCAATTAACAGAACATTTAGATAATAGGAATAATTCAATATTTTTAATAAGATTTTGAATCCAACAAGAATACTATCAAAATACCTCAAGTAAATACAGCAATAATGAACATTGCCAAGTTAATTTATACAACTGAGCAAATAAATCTATTAGTCAAAGTTATTAATTTGTCCAAAGTAGCTTTTAATGAAATGAAACACCCCACACAAAAGAACAATGGGACACAACACATCAATAATATGAAGGCAAAAGAAAATGTACTTAGCACAACAAAGTTTTTGGATAAAAAGATATACATTCTGATTTTGGTCGGGTTATAATTGCTATGGTAGTAAACAAAATATTTTTATCATGAAACAACAATGCAAAAGGAAAATAAGGAGTATCTTTACAAATAAAGTGTTACAAACAACATGCTCTGATTATATTAATGTTATTTAGTTATCAAGAACTGTAATAGGCACGGCTAGAAAACAAAGCGCCGAGATGTATTAAAGTACTCACTCGTCACCATCCTCGCAAATACCCGATGTTTCATTATATTTGGTACAATAGTTATCCGCACTATAATTAAACGACCCATCTCTTTTTCTTACAGGTCTCCTTCTTCTCTGATTATTAAAATGCCAATGAAAACATGTGAAAGGTCTATGTTGAGTACATTTGTGTTGTAGAAACGATGGACATTGCTCCACTCGAAATTCCTTTAGATACCTGAAACACAAGACCGCGAAGCTCAGAAAACTAGTGCCACTTCCAACTATTTTTAACAACACTTTTCACAAATAATTCACGTTAAAAATGGATTATTACTTATAATGATTAGGTTTTTCTGTTTGAGCTGCCAACAAAGGTTTAGATTCCGACGGCATTTTGGAAAACTATTATTGCGCCTCTCGCGTCGCGCAGGGCACGCTCACCGACAACCAATTAAAATTCAATATACGATCACGTGATACACAATAATTTAGAAAGGTAGAAAATATAAATATAGTCTGATTAATGTAATTTTCGTACACGAACATCACATTTTTTTATTTCACTGTCCTTGAACCTAAATAATCACGGTTCGATTGAGGCGAATAGAAAAGAGAAATAGAGAAATGCATTAGACAACCATTGACAGATCTGTCACGTAGTATGTTTTCTACCCATTTCAACTTGTTACGCTAGAAGTCATTTGGTTAGAGAGAGATAAAAAATAGGACGACTACTTTTTTTAATTATGGTAAATGTAGCCAGAAAAATTAAAAAAAAAAAAACCATAATATCAAAACAAACCGTGAAATTAATGCAATCTTTTTCATCTGCGTATTAATTATTACTTAGATTTCACAATAATCTATAAATCTTTTCAGGAAGGTATATTATCTATTGCAAATGTTATATTTTTTCGTACTTGAATACTTAATATGAAAGAAATAAAATGTAGTAGTATGTTAAATATAATGAGATTTCTAAATAAATAAAAATATCTACTCAATTAATTTTTTTTACATTTGTTATTTTTATTTTGTATTAATATTTGCAATGGCAACTCTAGTGAAAGGTTCTAGCCAATCAGAATGTAGAAAATTGAGATTTAATACACCAATGAGAATAGCTACATTATTCACCAATAACAAGCAAGAAAACTTGAGTTACGTATCCAATCAGAGCTGGGAATAGTAGCGTCTGTATTCACCCGCCATTCTCCCAGTCCGCCATTTTAAGCATATGATCATTGTTGTCTAGCTTGTACACAATTTGTGTTAAAAGTTGAAAAGTAATAACAAATTTCGTTAATAGGTGTGTGAAACCATACATATAACAGTATATTTTCTTTATAAATATAAAGTTTAAGTGCATGTGTACTTCAATTGTGATTTTCTTTAACAATAAAAATCGATGTCGAACCCCCCTTTCGCAATCGTTATTGTGTTGTTCTAAATATTAAATAAGAAATTGTTTTCAGTCAAAAATGGCACGTACCAAGCAAACTGCCCGTAAATCAACTGGAGGCAAAGCTCCCCGGAAACAATTGGCCACAAAAGCTGCGCGTAAATCAGCGGCCAGTACTGGCGGTGTCAAGAAACCCCATCGTTACCGCCCCGGTACCGTCGCTCTTCGTGAGATCCGTCGTTACCAGAAATCGACTGAGCTTCTGATCCGCAAGTTGCCGTTCCAGCGCCTGGTCAGAGAAATCGCCCAGGACTTCAAGACCGACTTGCGTTTCCAGAGCGCTGCTATAGGCGCTCTGCAGGTGGGCATTCTTTCCTATAATAATTTTTTTACTTCTTTTATTTTTTACATTCTTTATAGTACCTTACCTCTATATATTTACTACTTTGCAGGAAGCCAGCGAGGCCTACCTTGTCGGTCTCTTTGAAGACACCAACTTGTGCGCCATCCACGCCAAGCGAGTTACCATCATGCCCAAGGACATCCAACTTGCCCGTCGCATTCGTGGCGAGCGTGCTTAAGTTAGTCTTAGTGTATTTACTTTATTATAAATTATTTGTAATTCGAATAGTTATAAATTCCATAAACATTTTTTGTATGTCTCACATTTAATAACATTTTAATCATTATTGTAAGGAGGCAGAAGAACTGATTTTTTTTATCTTATTGTAAGTTTTTACTATGCATTTGCATAGGATGCTGTATGGAATGTGGTAGCAGACTGTGTTCATAATATTTTGTTACTGTAATTTGAAAACAGTGTCCCATGTAAGGACATAGTTTATTTCTATAGTTAGTGACTCCTAGTTTAAATAATGTCTAGGTAATTAGGCAGTTGTCAGCCAATGTCTTGTGTGAAGAATCTGTGCTTGGAGTAATTTGATGCACTCTAAATGATAAGTGTAATGAAAATTGGTGTTAAATAAATATAATTAGACCTTATTTTTTGTTTAATTTTTCTTCTGTGTGACTGAAGTATTATAAATATGTATATTATCATATGATAGTAGGAGAAGTAATCGAGTATAAAGATTTGAGTAGTTAATGTAAAAAATTTTTTTGAATGCAATCAGTATGATTCAGTAATACATAATTTTTATTTCATTAGCTGTTTAATAATACATATAATAAACATTCACTATTTTAATTGTACCACACGCTTAAGTGATGAGACTACATGGAGAATTTTAATTTTTATGATAGATGAAAAAGGAATGATAATAAAGTAGGTCAATTGGTCTATAGTGATAATTGATGATTGAATGATTATTTCCAGTAGTGTTTATGTAGAAGTTGACCTGACATTGTTAGTCCCCTTGCTGAATAGCAGGGATTGTTAATGTGGAGGTCAATCCACATTGTTAATAATAATTTCTATCAGTTTGATTTCTACTTGCCCTCCCAAAAAACCGTAACGGTTAATTCCTGGTGAGTTTGCTATGGACTGATTGTCTTCATCTTCACCTATCATTCATTGGTGCCCTGCCAGCATATACAAATAATGCAACAGGGGTTCATTATCATTCTAGCTTTTAAAAAAGTTCACTAATTAACAATTCATACTTTTGTTGTTTTTTTTATTTTTTATAATGGAATGGTAACTACGCCTGCGCTGATCAGTTAATCCATTATGATGAAAAATCTCCATCGCTTGAGAGAGAACCACAGGGAGGTCCAACTGTTAGGGTATATTGATACGAATAGGAGTGGTAATCCGCATTACTAACAATCCCTTCCCCCCTTATTTGTATTTAAAAAAAGTCATTTGAACATTCAAGGAAAATATGCAGTTAAGTAGGTTGATAATTATTAATGGTATTAAAAAAAATTACTCATTAAATGTCTTAGTACTCATTACACCATAATGACGTAATAAAATTAATGATTTACATATTTGATTTATAAGTAATCGTAACAAATTATGGAATATTCTAGTTAATAGGTATATTTGATTTTCATTAGTATTTAAGTAGGTTCATAATAATTAATGGTAGCATTAAAATATGACTCATTAAGTGTCTTAGCACTCATTACGTCATAATGACGTGTAAAATTAATGATTTACATATTTGATTTATAAGTGATAGTAACAAATTGCAGAAGTACATTTTCGTTAGTAGGTATATTTGATTTTCATTAAGTATTTAAGTAGGTTCATAATAGTTAATGGTTGCATTAAAATATGACTCATTAAATGTCTAAGCAATCATTACACCATAATGACGTAATAAAATTAATGACTTACATATTGGATATATAAGTAATCATAACAATTAACAGAATATTCTCGTCAGTGGGTATGCTTGATTTTCATTGCTCAACAAATTTTGATAAAACTTGTTAAGTACAAGAAACCTGGACACAAGTATATACCTATAGGCTATTTACCATGCATTAAGTGTGTTGAACTAACAGTGGAGAATATAAAACAACTTATTATCAACATACACTCCTAATTGTCTATAATATATAAGATGAAACATTCATCTTCTCTAATATTCTAAAGTCCATTCTGACCATGTCATAATTATTTTCCAAACTGTTGCATTACCCTCATAGAATAAGCTATTAATCTTTATACTTTGATATTATAGGATTAGGTTATTATACTACTATTTACTCAAAATTATTTTGCGTCAATTTAGTTAACAGCTGTAAAGGTGTTCTTTCTATGAAATTAAAGGACTGAATTGATAACAAATAATTTATTTAAAGTCTATGCTTTTTCTGTAGTTACTGTACAACACAAAACTATCTCCTTAATAATAATTATTATTATAATCTAAACAAGTTGTTTTGCCTCTAACACTTCTAATTCCTTAAGTCTCCTCTCTATATCCTCAACACTTTTACCATGTTCTTTATTGAATTTGTAAGACTGTATGAGTTGCTGCTTCTCAAGACCTTTGATTCTGTCATAAAGAGTTTTGTCGAATTCTTGATCTATATCACTTTCTTCTCTTAATATACAGAAATAAATAAGAAATACTGCAACACTACCTACAACGCTATATGGTTGGTACCAAGGCATATTTGCTATAGGCTTTCTGAAAACGGGTAATGCTGTTTTTCTTGCTGCAGCACTTGTTGTAAATTTGATTGGTTCATTTTCATTGATTTCAACTTTACTGCTGAAATTTCTGAGTGGGCGGAAATGTTTCCTGAAAATATAATATTATTAAGTTTGAATATGAACATGTTTGAGTATTTATTTTTTAAATTTTATAAATAGATTTAAATTTATTAGTTTATTATTAGACTGATAGTTTGCCATAACTTCACCAGATTCCATTTAGAAAACTTAAGAAGAAAAATATGTAAAATTTCCGACCCAAAATTATATAGCGTGCAGTCAGTCAAAATAATTTTTATATACATAATTTATAATCATAAATACATTCAAATAGCAGTTTGCTAGCTTGCGGTTTGTAAATCATCATCATTTCAGCCATTATTAGATTGTACACGACAATAAAATGTTCAAATTGTATATCTGTCAACAAAGGGAGAAGATTGTTATTATCTCCCAATAACTTATGGATTAGTTCAAAATTGAAATTATAGAATTTATTATATTACAGAAAATTGCTGCTTAGTTCGAAAAAACAATACCAATCAGGCGTAATCAATGTGTAATTGGTATGATCTAATATTGCATTAATCAGTAGAAATACAAAATTAGACTCTTAATTAAAGGCTTCTATTTAAAAAAAAGTACCTATTATGAAGTAATCGTTTTTAAACTAATATTTCTAATGAAACTGAATGGATACTAATAGGTAACATTTTTATAGGTTATTATATCAAAACTATAACAAATAAGCTCATTGAAGCCTAATAATACAGTCTTTATCTATACAAATATTATTTTGGATTGGTACCTGAGGAAATGAAAACTTCTATTCATTTCTGAGAAATTGCGATTTTGGTGAAATAAAATTGTTTTCTATTTTTTAATTTTGGATAAACCTATCAATCCATCAGTTTTTACTCAGTCAGCCATAGAGTAATTTATGTATAGAAGGTAAGCATAAGAACTAACCAATGTCTTCAATCTGAGGTCAACCGTCATAATCATGCTTTTTTTATGGATGATAATGGAATGGTACAGGAATCCCGTCTGTGCTATCGGTATACACTGGCGGAGAACTAGTAAGAGATGATAGGTGAAGATCAAAGCAAGTCAGTTAGCCTATCGTGACGAATTCTATAATAATTAACCACGATGATTTCCAGGGGGAACCGCGTGGAGTTCAATTTGATAAGATAAATTGCTAGCAATGGAGCTATTTGACCTCATTACTAACAATTTCTTCCCCCCCCCCCCCACCCCATGCCAGCTTGGTATACGGTTTAATAGCTTATTTTATGAGATAATAATGGAATGGCCTTTGCCTTTTGCGCTATAACTGAAAGTGAAAGCAGCTCAGTTAGCCCATTGTGAAGAATTTTACAAGAATTAATTGCAAGTTTCTAGGGGGAATCGCGTGGAAATTGATTTGACTGGGTATAATACTACCAATGAGGTCGCTAGTTTCCATTACAAATAATACCACTATAGAAATACTTTGTTATAGTTTTGACCCTATATCCTACAAACTGCAGTAAATATAATGTTCCTGTTTAATCGTGTACAAATCTTAATATAAAAAGGTAACTAGTATTCTCACATAACTAAACAAGAAAGCTTCAAATCGTTCAGCAGTGCAATAAATTAGACACACGAGTATAAAATTTAGTAGTCCTTTGTAGTTTTTTTCCTACTTAGCCTTACTAGGAGAACAAACTACAAAGAACAACAACAATATCGCTTTTTAACCACTTCAGTCGGATTTATTCAACACAGGTTATCAATGTCATATTTATGTGAAAAATGTATTTGCATTTTTATATTTTCCTTAACTAGCGACTATACTAACAGAGTAATAAAAATTACCTACCTAACATAGTTGTGTAAAAATATGGGGGTTCGAGAGACCTAAAAATATGTTCAACTTGTACGCTCCAATATCTTCTATGACTGTTGTCTCTGTAAGTTTTCTACCATTTCCGAAGAATATCGAAGTGCATTTTTAATTCTGTAAACAGTTACAAGTTGCATGATAATTGAGATGCAAATAAATGTAATAAATAATAGTGTGTAAAATAGGTAGATACCTTATAAATTCTTCCCCTTCATCCGGCTCCGCCATCAAACGCTTACGTTCTGAGATGGCCTTATCTCGTCTCTCTAGTGCCTTTTTCAGTTTATCTTCAATAATAGAATTCTCAACTGAATTCTCAGGTTTTTTAATGGGTTTCGGCGATAGGTCGGTCCATGTAGGCCTTATAAGCAGTGTCCAAACATCACATTTATCAGATGCATTTTGAACCTCATTGCATAGAGACGACCTTTGGTCCCAAACTTTAGAAATACCTTCATCCTGTATCAGAATAGTTATACATCCTGTTTTTATTATATCTATATATTTGAGTATTTCGTTTATTTTTATCACAAAACACAAATTACCTAAATTTATAACAGACTACCTTACTCCTCTTGGCTTTGCTATTAGTAGGATTATAATGTAGTTTTCATATCATGTTTATTTAAGATTATACGACAAGGGGGGCCTGGCTCCTTTAAAAAAGGCAGATATTACTCCTAAAAATGTCTTTGTCCATAATTGAAATAAATAACTTAAAGTTTCGTTCCTACCTAATCTTGGAGTGAGCACCAGACAATTCAAACCCTTAATTATTCTACGCAGGCATGCCTCCCCCCCCAAATCTTAAATTCGCGTATGGTGATTGTAATAAACTTCCAAATAACTTTACAAACTTTCACATTTATAATATAAATATAATTTCCTAATAGGTAAGTATCTATGTTATGTTATAAAAATATTTCATTTAGCTATTTAAATGTAAGTACCTTATATATTAACATAATTTTTTTTATGCAACTTAGAATGGCAAACAAGCTGACATGAGCAGTACCATGGACATAACAGAGTATACTGTTTCGCCCATGATACCCCCCATACGTTGCCACTCCTGAGGACTCAGGTGTTATTCTTCTGTACCTTGTAAATTTACTGCCATATGCCACCCTTCAAACCGAAACACAGCCATGCAAATACAAATGCTTCACGGTACAAATACGACGACTTTTGTATAGCGACGACAAGCAAACAACTTTTGTACAGTCTCCCTCTGGTAAATATAGTATATTTTATATATGTGTAAGTATATTTTTTATTTATCTATATTTATTCGTTTATATATGTAATTTTAACATGTATGTATATCAATAATTACTAGTACGAGTAGTCAGTAATCTAGTCAATAATTACTTATTAATAAATTATTGATTGTTACTTACTACTTTGTTTCTTAATTCTTCAAATTCTTTGAAACAGGCTTCCATTTGCATTGAGTACGCGTTTCTGCGAATTTTTTCTATCTCTAACTCACTTCGAAGATTATCTGTTCGTTTTAGAAGTTCCGCTTCTTCTTCTACAAATTTTTCATATTGCAAATTGGCTTCGCGGATCGCCCGATTTAAAGACGCTAAAGTTGTCTCGTCTAAATTCACATAAAAAAATATATTTATTATACTTTAAATATTTAATCTCATTAATAGGTAGACACTACTACAGTCAAAAAATTCTTCCCTAACAAAAGTACAAAATATAATACGAGATACTGTTGTTACGAGATATTCAAAACTTTTGGTTGTCTTTTTTATTTAGACAATTTACAATTGAAATCTACATTAAAGTTATTAGTAACGCAAGTACATACATTCGCGTATTTCTTTTAATTTTGCCTCCTTTTCTATTTCCTGGAGCTTAATTTTTCCAATGGTGGAAATGACTGAATTTTCCATAGTTGATATTCACATAAAGAGCTATAATGCTAACTTATCAAGTAGCTTAGTTAATTAGGTACCTAACTACCTTAGTTTAACTACATATGTAAGTGTTAAAAAAAGGCGGGAATCAAGGAATAACGAGCAATTATGGAATACTATAAACATAGATAAAGAACTATATTTAGCCTGAACTTCGATTATAATTTCTTAAAAGTAAATATATTTATCTATTTTCTGATGTATTGTTAACTTTAGAAACACGACGAATAAAATATTATATGAAAGTTAAATTCCACCTAAATATAAGCCCAATATCTTAATATTGAAATATAATATAGGCAATACGTTATTTTGTAATCTGTGACCGTTGCCCGGGCAATTTGAATACAAAGTAGGTAGGTAACTACATGGTTTTCGTATATTATAAACTTAATAAAAAAGCATTAAATAGATAATAAAAATGGAAAAACCAGATTCTCAAGGATTTGTTAATATAACGTGGCCCAGTAAAACAGTTCCCCATGGTGGTATATTTCATTCTAGAATTGTGGAACCTTCAGCTGACAAAGAACAATTATTAAAAGGTACCTATAAATATTAGAAATAAGATACGTCATATAACTTACTCATGTCATAGATATTAATTAATAATATTAATACAAAATTTACAATAATCACATTTCGTAGGGGATCAGAAATAATATAATATTTTCTATTACATAGTAACTACTATTACATTACTGTTTTACTAGCTTTTACTGGCGACTTCATCCGCATGACCGAAATATGTTTACTGACCGGCATAAAAAATAGCCAGTAACTTTCTTCATCTCATATACTACGTAGATATATACACAATTTCACAGAAATTGATCAAGCCGTTAAGGCGCTATAAGATAAACTCACTTTCACACTTAAAATATTTATATTACAGTTCTATTACGTAAATTATATTTTTTTAAATATATTGTATAATTAATCTGTACCATAAAATAATTTAATATTTTGTTCGTCAAATAAACCGACTTCGAAAAACTAGTTATTTATTTAAAAAGTAAACTACTGAACCGATTTTGATAAAATTTCTATGAGACCAATGTGAAAATATATCTTTTCAGATAAAAAACAGTTAGAGTTGTGAGGTAGCAAATAAAAAATAATTGTACCGTCTTGAGAACTTCTTTTTTTTGAAATCGGTTGAAAAAAAAGTCTGCATCTAAGTACAACGGCCTGCAACTTCCTGCAGCGCAGTGTCGAAACTTACAGCCTATACATATCACTAAAAATATCTTTCTCAATGCTGTTGACAGTGCTTTTGGAAGAATCTAAACTTACTATCGCCCAGCGACGAAAAAGTGCGTATACTCTAAGACAAGATGACCAGAAACCAGACCGTCAGCAGTCTATGCGAGAACAAATGCCGCTAGTGCGCCCGCGTACTTCCCGCCGACGCTCTCTCTCTACTATTAGAGAATCTGGGATTTTTGACATAGAGCCGTAAAAATTTGTTCTTACTTATTTAGGTTATCACAAAATATTCATTACTATAGGTTGTACAACCTATATATTTTTTCTTATTATTGGACAGCAATAGATTCTGGGTGATGTAATGATAACCCCGCCTGCGTTAAAAGTACACGCTGACGGGACATCAGTGAGAGATGAAAAGACAGGTCAGTTAGCCCTTTGTGATAAATTCACATGATGGTTTTCAGGGAAAAAAATTGTCAGGTCGACCTCCACATGATCCCCGGTGGAAACTATCGTGCTGAATCCCTGGTGTATACAACACGGCGGGCTAACTGATCTACCCTTTCATTCTCACCTATCATCCCTCTCTGGTGCCCCGCCGGTGTATACCGTCAGCGCAGGCGGGGTTACCATTTCATTATCATCCATTAAAAAATGCCCGTAAGATGTGTTTGTCATAATGTGTAAATATCTAATATGAAATATCCAAAAAAAAGAATGAAACTATTCAGCTCACTTCGTGTCTTAGGGACTAGTTACGTATATGTAAACTTATAACTTGACATATGTGTTTACACATTTATTACAATTATGTTTCATATCCAGATATTGTCCATTAAAACGCGGTGAAGATCGGGAGAGGTTAAAGGAGAAATTGGCAAATTTCATGGAGCACGGTGAAGCACCAGTGCAACAACTGCCTCCTGCGCCTCGACCCGTGAAAGTAACTCCCAAGTTACCCACCAATAAAGAAAAATGGAACGATCGTAAGTCTCTTTTAAAGCCACAAAAAACCTCTTTGTTTTTTTTTTATTGCAAATTAGAATGGCAAACAAGCTGACCGCCCGCCTGATGGAAAGTGGTAACCGTCGCCTATAGACATGAGCACCAGAGTATACTACCTCATCCATGATACCACCTCATGCGTTTTTATTCCTCTGTACCCTGTAAATTCACTGTCATATCCCACCCTTCAAACCGAAACACAGCCATGAAAACAAATGCTTCACGGTTGAAACACGAATGGGACAGAGGAACCCACACAAACGACTTTTGTACAAAGACTACCCCTGGTAATAGTTGGATTAGCCTGGGATAGTATCTCATCGTTCTACACTACCTATCAAAGAAAATATACAATTACATACAGACAGTTATTTATACGTTCTAAAAGGAAGAAAGCTTCTAAATATCCTATTGAAATGTTTTTTATTAATAATAATAACAATAAGTGCCACAAATCGCACCAATTGACAACACGAAGAATCACGCAACAAATATTTTAAATAAACTCATTTCTTTCAGTCGTTACCCAAATTCGGGAGCGGACTGAGTGGCTTACTGAAATGGAGTATCTGGGTGAGGCGGGACCACATAGGGATATTATAAACGATCAGATAGCAGAAAGGATGCGTGCCCTGGATGCCTTAAACTTGGACGAATGTATCACCAACAGATCTACTGATTCAGGATTCAGTACAGTGAGAAGCAGGGAGAAACAAATGAGTGCTAGAAGTAACGGAAGTGTGGCAAAATCTGGTAAGTGGAATAAATCAGGGATAAAATAACTGGAGTGTTCCCACTTATTCGCTAACCTACCTTGTGAGGTAGACGGCAGGATGATACATAATTTGCTTTTATTTGCAGTGTCCTCAACACATTCTATTAAGCTGTCAAAGAAGGCCGGGCAATCTTCGGCAGTAAGACGTAAACCTATTGAAGAAAATATTTCAGCATATGGACAATTATCCCCACTACAGTACTCGCCAAGGCGTCGCGTATAACAATAGTGTAGGGAAAACTTTGCTAATTATCTTTTAAATTTTATAAATCCTTGCACATATATTAGTATAATATATTTACAGGAACATTTACATTTTATACTTATATATTTAACTTAGAAATTACTGTATGTTATGCTCATGAGTGTATATTTTTTATGTGCAATAAATCTTCATTATTTTACTATTATTATTATTTACAGGAAATTATAGTAAACTCACACCTACCAACATTTTCTGTTCTAAATAACATAATATGAATATGAAAATTATATTTTAAATAAAGCATTTTTGTGTGATCATTTTATTATTTTAATCATCATCATCTGATTCTATAATCATTGTTTTTGATTTTTTTGGTTTAGTTTCACTATTAGTATCTTTTAATTTCCTTTTCTTCGTTTCATTTTCATCATCAGATACTATTACTGTTGCCACATTATGATCCTTCGGAGCCGGGGATGTAAATTCAAAAGATGAGTATTTTCTCACTGGCATGCATAATACAAAATCCTTATCTTCTATTAAATCCATATTGGGTCCTTTCTTTATGTAACTTATTGTAGAATATGCAGTGTAATGAAAATCTTCAACTAGATAATTTTCAATTAATAAATAAGCTATCACATCTTCACCTATACTTCGTGAAAAATTTGGCTCCTTGCCCTTATGCCTTAAACTTACACTCCCTTTTAGAAACCATGCATCCAGCAATTTTTGTGCTGTTAACTTAGTGTCTATCTTTTCTGCATTGTCTATGATACTGGCTAGTGTTTTACAATGTGTTTCAAGATTTATTTCTTTGGTGTTATTGTTAGGGTTACTACATACATCACACATTTTATTGCAATCTGTATTACCCCAATCCTCATCAAAATGTACGGCTATCAATTGCCTTCTACACAATGTTCCATTAAGGCAGTATTTAATCATGCCATACAAATGTTCTAAACTTCCAATTGAGGAGAACACCATGGTGCTTACTTTAAAGATGTCTTGCATTCTATATAATGTCACACACTCAGCTCTCAGACCATCCCGACCTGCTCTACCACTCTCCTGGTAGTAGTTCTCCATAGACTTACTTATTGTGTGATGTATTACAAATCTAACATCAGGTTTATCTATACCCATTCCAAACGCTACTGTTGCTACAATAGCTTGATAATACTTGTCATGCCACTTTGTATGAACATTTGATCTAGATGCTGCTTCCATATTTGCATGATAACACCCAACTTTTAGACCTCTTTTACGTAATCCATCAGCTATATCTTCAGAGTCTTTAATACTGTGAGTATATATTATGCCACTTTCTCCTTTGTATCTGTACTTCAGGAGTTTCTCTAGAATTGTTAAGCAGTTATCTTGGGATGATGGCTTCTCTAATATTTTATAGTATAAATTAGGACGATTAAAAGTAGATTTAATTACTAAGCATCCAGGAATATTCAGTATTTTCTGAACATCGCTCAATACATGTGCAGTGGCAGTGGCAGTCAATCCTAGAATAGGTACATTTGGAAACATATTTGATAATATACCAAGATATTTATAATCAGGCCTAAAATCATGCCCCCACTGTGAGCAACAGTGCACTTCATCTATAGCAATCCTTTGCAATCGGCCATCAGCATAGCATTTCTGTAAATTGGACATAAATCTTTTGCTTTTGGCTAGTCTCTCAGGCGTCACGTACAGTAATTGAACAGGGGCATTTTTGTCCTTCAAAATATTTAAGGCGATAGAGGTTTCCTCTTTTGAAGATGTACTAGTCATGAGTTTTGCTGGAATGTTCTTTTTAGTTAGAGATCTCACTTGATCCTCCATTAATGATACAAGGGGTGAAATTACGAGCGTAAGGCCAGGTTTAACCAAGGCCGGCAGCTGGTAACACAAACTTTTGCCGGCACCAGTAGGCATAACAACAATTGCATGTTGACCTGACAAAGTTGAATTTATCGCACTTAACTGTTTGGGTCGAAATGTTCTTATTTTAAATACATCCTGTAAGATCTCCTTTACTTTATTTGACCATTCGTATTGTGTTCCAGCCCAGTCTACACTGGCCAAGCTGTCTGATTTTAATTTGTTTATAGCATTCTTCAGCGCGGTTTTCTTCTCGTGTAATTTACGCTGCTTGTCCTTCCATTTAGCTATTTCAATTTCTACATTGGTTAATTCCTTTTCTACAGTCTTTATTTCTGTCTCTAATTCTTCAACTGAGCCCATTATAATAGAACTCTTTAAAACAATTTAATAGATATAAATAAAAAATTGAAAATTATTTAAACTTTAATCATTCATCCAGAATCTAATGAATGAATGTAAGCAATAAGCGAAAAAAGTCTGTCAAAGTGAATGAAATGAACATTCAAAGTTTGAAACAGTTTTATATGACCATCATACACGACCAAGGTTTGAAGCAAGCACATTGTGAAATCCAGTTTTTAATCTTGCTACGTACTTACTAAATAATAGTATAATGTACTTATATTATTATTACATAGTTTTTATGATAGATATTTTTTTTGCAATAATGGGATTTTTTTGTAGATGAATGATAATAGAGTGGCAGTCCTGTCTGCGTTACGAATAGTTCACTGGTACATAGTCAATGTATTCCAATAGTAAAAACAGCGTTATTTCATCATGAGTATTTCATCAGGTGTTGTTTATATATGGTCAGCAGACCTTGAGAGTATAGTATAGTGGCGCCTGGGGGTTTTGAGGGGGAGATTGTTAAAAAATTGTTTTGTTCGTAGGCACCTGTCCAAGGGCACCGTGTAGAGGTCGACCTGTTAATATACATTACTAGCAGCAATGAGCTATAACTTCTTATCTGTATATATAAAAAAGTCGGATAGTTACACCATTTATAACTCCAGACTGAACAGATTTTGATGATCTATGATTTGTTGGATACGTCTTCGCTTTGAACAGCAGAATAAATATTAAAATATCGAAAATATTCATAAAAAAAAATATAGAATACAATTTTTTTTACAACACGGCGCAAACGAGCATGCGGCTCACCTGATGGTAAATGACTACCGCCGCCCATGATCACCAACAACACCAAAGGTACTTTTCTTGAAGGTAACGTATGATGTTGTATCTTACTAACATATTGTAGACTGTTGGGCGGTACGAAGTTCACTGGGTCAGCTAGTTACTAATAATTGTCACGTACACGTGGTACTTATTTATATATACTTATGTATACTTTTTTATGCAATTAGAAATAGTAAACAAGCGGACAGCCTTTGTGATGGAACAGCTGAGTGGCAACTGCCACGTATAACAGCTGTATGGATTTCACCAAACAACAGTAACAAACGTGGTATACCTCATGCTATATGATATGCTATAAAACTAAAGTGTTAGCCAATCTTTATATCAGTTCCCCTGTGAACATTTAAATTTGGCATAGAATAAATAATAGTTGACGAGATTTGTTAACGTTCTTCATAAAGAACGTAATATAATAAGATTTCTTAACAGTCGTCAACGCGCAATAGTCTCCCTTAGTCTTGCAATGATAGGTGTTTATATGTTACGGTAAAAATTGACTATCAGATAGACCGTATGCTTTTTTACAATCATGGTATAGAAAATATTTATTCATTCAAAAACATTAGCTCATACGTACTAATTTTTTTTTTTTTTATATATTTCTTTAATACGCATGAATGTCAACAAGCAGATAGTAAATAGGTAAGTGGTCGCAAAGTGTTTGATTACCTTATCCCCATTCCTATCAATAAACAACAAGGAAACGGTAAGGACGGACAGTGAGTCACGCAGTCACAGCTCCTTATTGTGAGAAATAAACATGCAGTTTATGGTCCTGCTCTTTATAATAATGTGAGTACTCTTCAGTTTGATCATCTATATTTTATTTATATATTTATAAATATGGATTTAATGTTAACTGAACAAATCTTCCATTTTAAGGTAACTCAATATGCTTTGTATAATGAAATTAAATATATAAAATTATTCAGTCATTACAAAAATTATTTTTATAAGAATTCTCTGTTCAAATTATGTTGATGTTCCATAATTGAATTAACATGTAAATATAAATAGACTGTATGGACAGTACTTACTTCTGATAAACTTAGCTATAGTTTTAAAAAATATTTTAGGTCCTAATACATATTATAAATGTGAAAGTGAGTTAATTATTTTTTTACCTCTTAGCAATTTAACGTCTCAACTAAACGTCATGAAATTGCATACACACGTAGTATTTGAGATGGGGTAGAGTATAGGTTAATTTTTAAATCGATAATGAAATAACCAGTGAAAATTTGTTTTGAAATAAATGCAATATATTTGGTAACATCCATCAGTTGTCCCGTATGGTGCAGTGAAGAAGTGGCAGCATTAATTTTAGCAAGAGGTGGCTCTAAGGCGGTTCGCTTGAAAAATTTACAAACAGTGGGTGGTGTAAGTTTACTTAGACGAGCTATTAACATAGCATTAAAAGCAGGACTTACTGATGTCACGGTATCTACCGATCATCCTGCTATAGCTTTGGAAGCTCTAAAAAGTGAGTGTTTATTAAGTATTTCTTTGTTTTGTTTATTAGAAATATTTGGTAATATAATATTATAATACATTTTATTGTATAAAGTATTTAAATAATATATTTTAAAGATACTTGTCCCGAAGATAATATACCTAGTATAATATAATTTAGTATGTATAATGCTTATACAATAATTTAGATACCTGGTGACCAAAACCCCCTCTAAAAATGTACATGTTATAAAAAATACAGGAACAAGCGTTACGACCTATATTTACATATTTTAGTAAAAATTGGGGTTAGATGTGTGTCAGTAAGCTATTTTCTGTAAATATATTAATACAATATGCCATGCACACTAAAGAAACCCTATATTATATTAATATTTATATATTAATATTTGTGTTAGAAAATAACCTATAAACTAACTACCATAGGACAACAATTAATGGTGTTAAACTGTAAAATCATAATCGTTATCAACAGGACTGTCAATTAAATTAAAAAGCTAATAAATATAAATATTGTTCTTTGTAAATTAGGTGGTGCATCATTATTTCATCGGAGCCGAATAACAGCTACAGACAGTGCACCATCCATTTGGGGTGCAGCTGAGTTCCTATATGCAAAGCCACACATAAAAGTTTTAGTATTAATTCAAGCTACATCGCCTTTCATTCAAGCATCATATGTCCGCAATGCAGTTAACAAATTAAATTATCCTAAACCGTACGATTGTGTTTTTTCGGTTACAAGGTTAGTAATTACATTATAAAAATTGCAAAGGTCATACCAAATTCTCGTATTTGTCATTCAGTGTTGAACTTCATTACGCTTATTTTTTTTTTTTAATTATTTCACTTAAATATCATTTATGTTAATTTCCTGATTTTCTTGATATAGACGCACAGATTGTTGCTGATAAAATTGTACATATGTTACAGAAATTTATTACAAACATGATTCATGCTCTTGAGACTTGTCATCAGACTTGTCATTATTAATATATAGGCTTACTTGATAACATTTGTACGAAATGAGGGTAGAAACACATTGCGGCGTTGCGTTCAGAAATCGTAATAAAGTTTTGTACCAATTAGATACTTGTAATTTTTTTTTTAAATATCTATTCCATTATTCATTAAATTTTTTATGAAATTATTACAGAAGTTATAAATTACGATGGCAGTACGTCAACAGCGACTGTGTTAGTGCTATAAATTTTAAAGTTGGTGCAAGGCCACGAAGGCAAGATTGGAATGGAGAATTAGTAGAAACTGGAGCTTTTTATATATCAAGGAGAATTCTAATAGAAAATGGAAGCTTTCAAAATAATAAGTAAATATATATACCTAATTATGTATTGACATCTTGAGTGGCAACAAGTTTCTACAAAACGATCTTAATCCATATACTTAAGTATTCTCATTATCATTGCAGTAATTATTTAGGTAGGCGTAAAGATAAAGGTGGCGGTAGTCACTTACCATCGGGTGAGTCGTATGCTCGTATGTCCCTATGTTATATAAAAAAGGAAAAGAATGTACAAATAAGACATGATTTCTTTCGCGGCTTATTAACTTTTTAGTTGACTAAAAAATTAACTCTGTTCTATTATAAATAAAATTCGATTATTTTAGATACATCAGTCTTACAGTTCGTTTTAAAGTTCTTTATTATAGTACCTACCTTTTTCATTCAATTTTTCCTTGTCATTATTGTCATATCTGACTTGACATGTCTGTCATTTGAATAATTTTCAGTCATTCTATTTGTCATTTTATTACATTATCTTTATAAACTACTATAATATTATTTTTACTTCGTTTTTCAATAACAATGTTTTGATTTTATATTATTTCATTATTGGGAAAAGTTGAATAAATATCCTATTTAATAATGTTTACATTACAGTTGTACAGTATTGGAAACATCGTATAAATACAGTTTAGAAGTGGATTCGTATTATGATCTTCAAGTTGCTGACGTCCTACTCAAATCTAACTTAGTGTAAAACTACTAGAGGTAATTTCAATCAAGTAATTATTATTCTATTATAAATACATATTACAGATGGGTAAAGAGTTTACAATAGTTTGTAAAAATGTAATAGTTTATTTATGAGGTAGGAATATTCATAATTATTTTAGTACGAAAAAAAAAGTGACAGCACAGGCAGGAAAAATAAAAAGCTAATGTTATTATCTAATCTTTTTGCGGCTTCGTTTTTGTATAAAGTTTACATATTATAGACTTCCAATTACAATATTAATAATTAATATCATACAGTCTCGGCATCGAATGGGCTATCCCTTCCTCCTCCACGGGTGTCGTAGGTAGCGACTAAGGGACTTAATGGTCGAAGGATGAGCAGCAGTGTCCTTCTTAAGGTATTATCAAAGGTTAGCTGCTGTTGCCGACCTACCTGCCAAGTGTATCAACTACTGGCAAAACCTTCCTTATGATGGATGCTTTCATATTATATTTATTTATTTTATATTATAAATAATATTATGTACAGCATATAACATTATGCTATTGTTACAATCTGTTATTGGTGATTTATTAAATACTTAAATAAATAAAAAAAATTATGTATTAGAAGATAATTAAATATGTATAAGCATTGTTAACTAATGTATCTATCTTCTATTATTTTATTATATATATAATAATATCTACTATTCCAGTGTGAAATCGGAACCATAGACATGTCGAACAATACCAATGCTCTGACATTTGAGGATTTGGAAGCAACTGATGTCATCACTGTGGAATTAGTCCCAGAACGGAAAGGGCTCATTTTAAAACACTGTGAATATTATGTGAGCTCTAGGCGACACGGTACTACTGTTACAAGGCGGTACAATGAGTTTGCACAGCTATATGATATTTTATATGCTAAATATCCCTATCGGTGAGTATAATATTGAAATCCTATATATTTTGTTATATACTTTTTGTAGTTATTGTATGTACACTTGAAAAATTAGTACAATACTTAATAGATGAAAAAGTGTATATATATATATATTATTTCATATAAATTTCATATAAAAGAATGGATGCTATGATAATAGCAGATCATCTGCAGTGTCTGTGGCTTGGAATGGGCAGGATGAGTTACTGAAGGACCTTCGATAGCTCCTATTAGCATTCTTGCACAAAGCCTTTTAGTTCACTGCTATGCCATTAAATTTGTGGCTTTATCACTAAAAGTGATTCACTCCAGACAAGATGGACTTTAGATGGAGAGGAATAATTCTAAACATTGTATTCCATGTGCATAACATATTGTTCAAGCAAGCTGAAGTGACAATGGCACTGGACAATGTCACATAGCTTGAAGAACCGACAACCGATGGGGGAAAAAAGGTTCTTGAGTAGCAACCACATACGGGTAAACACAGTGTAGGAGGTATAATGGGCAAAACAGTATACTCAGGGTGGGGGGAAGGGATTGTTAGCAATGGAGTTTGACAGCCCCATTGCTAGCAATATGACCTATTAGGTCAACCTCCACATGGTTCCCCCTGGAAACCATTGTGTTATTGTTGTTGAATTTGTCATGATGGGCGGGCTAACTGACCTGTTTTATCCTCACCTATCATCCTTCACTGGTGTCCCGCCGGTGTATAAAGTTAGCGCGGGTGGGGTTACCATTCCATTATCACCCAATAAAAAAAACCAGTATACTATTCAAATGATTTAAAATTGGAGATGGAAATAGAGATTGGAGATTTTATAAAAAACAGATTTTATAAAAAAAACATCCCTGGTACCTGTTTAATGTTTAGCTCCAGATAAGAAAATTATACTAAATTAGTTGATTAAATTCTATTGATATTATAAAATATAACTAAACAGTATTTCTTGATATAAATTTTATTTGAGGTACTAATGTTTTGTTATTTATTTATTTATTTATAGCAAGGCAACAGATTACAAATTAATACATTAATAAAACAAATATTACATAAAATAGCATTAAATTTGCACTTCAATAACTGCTTTAAATAACATTCAATATAATATGCATTTAAAAGATGACAGCTATAAATTTAAAGTAACAAATTGGCAGCCTTAATGTGATATTGCAAGGATTGTTGGAAGATATCAAGGTCCTTGCATACATTGTTATATTTTCTACACATGCGGGTAATTGGATTGTGATACGATACATTATTATTACAAATCGCTATATAAAATGTGTGTAGCAACATGTTTTATCAGTAGCATTATCCTGTAACAGCCATATGGTCACCAATCAGTCTTGATAGTCTTGTCGTAAAGCGCGATTGATGGGCTGATTTGTTATAGTTTTCATGTTTATTATTTTAGCTAGTTATACACATTTTTTGATATTTTATTTATGTTTTTATTTTCTTAGTTCTTATTTTTTAGTCCATTACCTTATGGTTGTTTTAAAAAGATTGCTCTCAGCAATAAGACCGCCTTACTGAACTTATACAATGGTATCGTTGTGTTTGTAAATTGCCTTGCTTATTTCCAATATTGTATAATGCAAATAAAGTATACTCTTTGTACAAGTGGCGAGCTTAATACCATATGGTATTTTCTACCATTATTATTATTCCTTTTTTTTTATTTCGATTTTTTATTCTAAGAATAGAGTAGCAGATACATAAAAATATGCCATAATTATGCTGACATTGGAGTAGTCACTAGCTGATTTGCAGTTCTAAGATGTAACTTGGATAAAATAAATACATATTTAAATAAAATTTTAACAGTACGATAAATAGTATTATAATATTATTTCTCAGCCCTTAATATGTTTTTCTACATAAACGTAATGTAAAAAATGACATTTCTATCATGATATAGTTAGAGTAATATTATTTATGAAAATCTGCCATTTAGACTACTAGGTTATCCAGCAAATAAATAGATAGATAAAAAATTTATTTGCATTACTTACAGCACACAAACAGCAACAGAGACAAATGCAAAGTGAAAAAAGATAAAAAAAATATACATGTACATGTACAAAATATAAAAAAAAAAACAAGAACAAAATCAGAATGCATAAAATTAGTAACAATTTTTTTTTCTTCATGCGTGTGCCACAGTAATACAAAATGGCCACAACTCGGCTTTTTGCTTTGCCCTATAAAAAGGGAAACACTGATATTCTGTTGTGGCCAAATGTTCTTTTGCTCCCTATCACCACTTATTGAGTCCATTCTTTTTTATTCTTCTTTCTTTAAACTATTTTATTTCTCAAGTTGAAGCAAGGTTAGTTAGTACAAAATAGCAAAATTTTATTGAAATTGGACTAGCAGTTTTGAATATTATTTTTTATACTACTATGATGGTCAACAACAAATGACATGGTTACGGCCTGTCTGATGGTAAACCTTTACCATAATCTATGGACGTCTGAATGTCACACGCGTTATTGTTTAGTTTTAATGTACAATATAACATAGGATCTTATACTAAAATTTAATATTTAGTTAGTTTTGAGAGGTTGTATGGTCCTAATGTATTTATATGTGTAATGTTTCAGCGCTGTCTGCCGATTGCCACCTAAACGTGTAGTCGTTGGTGGTGGAAGCCCGACGTTCCTGCAGCGGCGGAGGGCTGCGCTGCAACGATGGTTGACTCTGGTCGCCAGGCACCCAGTGTTGGCACATGATGCGGATCTTCGCATTTTCCTCTGCGAGTCTACAGCAAGACTCGATAAACCTAAACATGACGAGTTCATATTAGCTGGCAGCCAGGAAGATATTCCCGTAAGTAGTGCTTTTTACAGAATATATACATAAAGCCAAGTACATAAGATCCAATTGTCGTTTGTATAGAACTTAATGAAAAGTGATCAAATTTTAAATTCATAATCAGGACTTCACGGGACGCGATCGCAGGTAAATAGTACCTATATATTAAATTTTTCTGATGTTCCTGATTTTCAAAAAGATTTGAGTTTTTGTATGTTTGTTTGTAATATGGATAAACGTAAAAAGTACTTTACCAATTTTTTTAATTTTTTTACTTATAGAAAGCTACATTATCAGTGAGTAATATAGGCTATATATTGTTTTCAGAAAATTTAAAGATCCTTACTGAAATAACACTAAAGTAACTATAATCTAAGAATGTAACCTATAGTATCAAAAATTTGCCTATTAAAGTTTAAGATAGTTGGTCACTAAATAAAAGAAATACTAGATGGCGTTAGCATCGAGACTTGTGGTTTTGTTGATTATTTTATATTAATATATATATATATATATATATATATATATATATATATATATATATATATATATATATATATATATATATATATATATATATATATATATATATATATATATATATGTATATATATATAAAGTTGTTATATATATGTTTAAATAATAATTGATGTTATATATATGTTTAAAGTTGTGCAATATAAGAGAATAAAGGCAAAAATCATGTTAAATGAATTATATCGGTAAAAATAAATAAAACTACACCCCAATTTAGAAATTTAGTCTCCAATTATCTTTAATTACAAAATATTCTATAAAAACCACAAGTCTCGATTCTAGCGCCATCTAGTATTTCATGTTCATTTTTGTTTAGTGACCAACTTTCCTTAATGTTGAATACTGATTTATCTTTCTATCTAAATGAATGAAGCCGGGACGAATCGTCAGTATATAATATTTATATTTTTTAAATGTTTTAGAGAAATATGTCTACGGAAGATATGCAGGCAGCCTTCCTTTGCGAGCAAGAGCAATTACGTTTAATACAGTTGGGTTTAGGAAGAATATTTAAAATATGTGAAAAAGGTTGGTTTTTTGTCCTGATTGATGTAAAATATAATAATAAATAAAATATTACTACTTCTATAGAAATCTTTATTAACTACATTTAAATGGAATGATATTAAAAAATCGATGTCAAATTTGTTTTAGTGGAGAGTCGATCTGAAGCAGAACGAGGGGATATTCGAGAATTGGGGGCAACTCTGAGCGCCCTATCGACGCCGGTCGCGGCCGATTCACCGCGGTGGTTACACGTTAAGGAATCTCTAAGAGCAGCTGCTCAGTAAGTATGACATAATTATAACTAACAAAAACCTGAAGCTTTGCTTCTGTGAATGAGGTGTTATTTTTAAGTTCCGGTCTAATCTATGCACCAGAGGGAGACTTTGTACAAAAGTCGATTGCTTGAGTACCTCTGTCCCATTCGTGTTTCTACCGTGTAGCAGTTGTGTTTGCATAGCTGTGTTTCGGTTTGAAGGGTAGGATATGGCGTGAATTTACAGGGTACAGAGGAATAACACCTGAGTCCTCAGGAATGGCAACGCATGGGGGTATCATGGGCGAAACAGTATACTTTGTTATGTCCGTGATACTGCTCATGTCTATAGGCGAGGGTTACCACTTTCCATCAGGTGGGCTGTCAGCTTGTTTGCCATTCTAAGTTGTATAAAAAAAATTAAATTTCATTCAAATCCGTATGGTCGTTTAAGTGTTCTTGTATAGTAAACATTTAAACTTCTTTACGGACTTTTCCATTTATGATTTTATGATACTAATAATCAAAATAATTATTGGTTTTAAGGTTTGAATTATGGTGCATATTTAAGCACAAAATTTTAAAACTGCTATATAATAAAGTAGGAAAATATGTAGTGTAACGTGCGGCTGAGCGTGACCCGCACTTCGGACAAATTCAAACATATCGAGTATATGTTTAGAGCGCGGTGGTGTTCGCCTGTACGATGCGTCTGCGCTTAGTATAGTGGCCATTCTGTACGTTTATTGTTATTTTATTGTTTTGTAACGTACCCTAACTAGAGCGGTGACGTCACGTACTAGGTTAGCGACAGAGATGGGTGAAGCCCGCGGCGGCGCGGAGGAGGCGGAGTGGGCGGAGGAGGGCGCGGGTGGGCGCGTGCAGGTGGCGCTGGAGGCGCTGGCCGCGTTCCGCGAGCTGTGCGCGCGGCTGTCGCGCGGGCTGCACGCCGAGCGCGCCGCCGCCGCGCATGCGCCGCGAGCGCCGCACTCGCCGCACTCGCCCGCCGCGCATGCGCTGCGCATGCGCCACGGCTATGCGCTGCGGGCCGCGCTCGAGGTACACCTTCCATTCATTTACCCTTGAAATACATGTTGCAAAATATACAGTATACTATACAGTGTATATACAGTACACTCTGTTATGTCCATGGTTCTGCTCATGTCTATAGGCGACGATTACCACTTTCCATCAGGTGGGCCGTCAGCTTGTTTGCCATTCTAAGTTGTATAAAAACAAAATATTTTTCATATACATTTTAGTGGAAACTATTATCATTACATCTACACAAGCTTGATCTCCCCTTTCCCCCCGCCTTCCTTTTACCTTCTATTGTAATGTCTATAATTTCGTTGCGTCGTATTAAATGTTCTAAAATTTTCCTCCTTCTGACCTCAATAGTTTTTATAACTTGTCTCTTTTCCTTAACTTTAAGGAGGACTTAAGTTTTAAACTATTTAAATAAATAACTTTTAATGTCAGATATTTAATCTTTTTTTTATTACACAGTCACCCTACTGAATAAATGGCCTAAGCATCAGCCAGCCAGTGCATTAAATGTTGTATTAGGCGCTACAGCTGAAAATCATCGAGGACGCTGGATGAGCGGCGCTGTTTAGTAAAAAGGCTAGGCTGTTTATTGAATGGCTATTTAAGCTAGTTGGCTGCGACATTTACACTAGGACAACTTACATCAATTTCTAATTTCAAAATGGATTTGTTTGTACATGCCAGGAGGCGACAGTGGGCCGCGCGTACGCACTGGGGGCGCTCGAGTCGCTGCCAGAACTGTTCCGCGCGCACGGCTCGGTCAGCGCACGCGCCGCCGAGCTCTGGGCCGCTCTGCACGCCGCGCTCTGCCGACCAGAGCGGACTGAGCGGACCGAGCGGTCTGAGCGAACTGAGCGGAGCGACACTAATACCCTGTGGTAAATAATCAATACATTATTATAGGGGTGGGTAATATGAAACAATATCTGTGTATTTTAGTTACAATATCTATATATTGGCCTAATATCAAATATCTGTTATCTAATATTTAATGTCGAAATGAAGAACCTGGGGGTCTACCATGAAATTCCGAATTTTCGTACCCAATTTCGTATTTTTGTTTGTACCGAAATCGACCCTGTAAATGGAGCTTAACATTTCGTTTGTCATAAATCCTACCTTAAAAGTCCAAAGGAACGATACTTTAGCATTTTTAATATTTTTAAACGGTATGTATCATGTAATTTTAATATCAAATTTGTGTTACGTTCGGATCCGAAATTTCGGAAAAAAATTTATGGTAGGCCCTCTAATCTAGTTTAATATAGATATGGGATCGGTACGCGCGATACCGAAATGGGTGATGACCTTTTCTCCACCATTGGTGTCCAAAAAAACCCAATACATAGATAGAGATATTACCCATGCATACCGAATTACGTGTAACACTCTTCAATGCAACGGTAAAGGCTAATTCCCACTGTGTCGCGATAATGATTATGTTTGTATTTTATCTATTATCTTGTTAATCTACAAAGACGAGTGCCAAATGAATCAATAGATTATCGATATATACGTTTTCATTACCGCAAGCATAAGGAAGCACCAGTCGCCTGATATTGCTGCCTCGTTTTATCTGCTGCATGTGGTAGCGATAACGAATGTATCGAGACATTTGTTTAGAGAGAGCTGTGTATTTAACTAGAAATTGCTAATATACTTGACACGGCGCGATTCGATTAATCGTCCACAATGTTTTATTACAAAAATTGTAATTATCACAAGTATAAAAATATTAAGGTTGACAGATGGTCAATGATAAAAAATCATTACAAGTAAGCCTATAGCTTAGGTAACATTAAAATGTTAGAGTTGTTAAAATTTTAGACAAGAAATTTTAGACTTTATCAGCTTTAGGTTAAAGTCGAAAATCCAATGAGGTTAGTTCTAACCTCGACTGTATTATTGCTCATTTTTTAAAACTACTTCTAATTATTATTTCTATTATAATTATTGAGAGACGAGCCTTTTTAGGCAGAAAAACCTGTGACGACCTATGATATTTTATGCTCGCCCTTTTTTAAAGTTCGCTGATAATTCTGTAATAATTCAGTGATAGGAATTTTAAGATGTTCTTTGTAGCAATGTTTTTTTTTTTATCTGTTCAGGATATAAAGCGTATTTTACAAAGGAGATATATCCTTTATCTATGAGTGGGCTACAGTCAGAAATTTTATTTCTATGCTATACTCGTAGTTTATTTTTAAACGGGTGAAACCCCTGATGCACTTAGTAATTACATATCATAATACATTGTGCCTAATTGATACATATAAGATTTGTTGTATTTTTAAGTATTATAAATGATAGAATGATAATATAATTACTAAGAAATTATTTTATTAATATTTGATACGACGTATATTAGAATAAAATTGTAATGGATCATACACGATCAAGACCGCTACAAATTTTGAATGTGTACTTGATCGTGTATGGTCACAATTAGGACGAATTCTATAAAAAATTGCTCACGCAATAACGCAATATATCCAAAGGTGTAATATTTGCTTAAAGTAATTATATTTTTGCGCATGTTTTATATAAAATTTAAACGACCACTGCAACGCAAGTGTTAAAATGTATATTTTTATTACTGGTTCTTCTTAAGGAGGCCACACATAATAAGATAAATCGCCATGATATAGTATAAACTTTATTGGTGAGTAGTTGACGACATGTGCTGTGTGTGGCATGCATTATATTTTCCATAATAATTGTATTGTAGATACATGAATCTCTTTGTTTTAGGTGTTTAGTTCAATTTAATTTTATCCCATATCACTGGAAGGTTCGATTTTCAGCCGACCCAATTTAAGAAAGAAATTTCTTTAGTTCTGGATTATTCCACCAGATGTTCGCTGGCTAGTTTTACAGATAATAGATTCTCATACATTATTTTAGACAACAATCTTTTTTGTTAGTTAGGATTTTGGTTTAATCTCATTTAATCTCTTATTAAGTTTGTTTCTCGCCAATTCAATTTAGGAATAAACTTTTCTGAATTCGGATCTGTGTGTTCTAGTTTGTAAACTCTTTTTACAGTAGTACAATTTTTTATTTATCTACACTTTATTGCACCATTTATAAAAATAATAAATACAGTAAATTTTAATGAGAAGATCATACTTTATCGTGACGATATAATACGAGTAACAAAATGTATTCAATTACATACATTTCATTTTCTGCGACAATATCGTGGATGTATACTGGAAGTGTATCTAAGTACATTTACAAGGATCGATTTTGGCGCGCCATTTCTCTATTCCTAATTCTAAAATTTAATATCCAAGCGAAATATTCATTGTAAGGATTAATATGAACTGAATTTCTAATATATTTAAGTCAAAGTTATTATTAAATTAAATTATTGTAATTTATGATAGTCCATATGACAGTAATGTTGCAAAACTATCAAATTAAAATATTAATTTATGGGATAGAGAAATGGTGCCTCAGAATCGATTCTATCGTTTTATTTACCTATTATATCGTGACGATAAAATCATACGTTGTTTATTTATTTATTTACTTATTTGTTATAAGTTACGATAACAATTTGCAAACAGAAATGAAACATTAAAAAGAAAACAATACAAAAATTTATCAATACGCAGTTTGCCAACCTTACATCGTAAACATCATTTAACAGTAAGTTAGAAGCAAGTTTGTTCTGTCTTATAATAAATTATAAGCGACCGTTCAATATTATTGTTGGGTGCTTTTTAAAAGGTAATTATTTAAGAAGTTTCTATGATATATTTTTGATATAGTTTGTTGCTAAATACGTGACTTGTTTTTTTTTACGACCTTCTTTATCTGTGCCACATAAATATGTAGAAAAATGTATAGACATACATACAGTTTATTATGTATTGTAACATACGTAGATGGTAATGATGGTAATGAAAAAATTACTATATATATATATATATATATATATATATATATATATATATATATATATATATAGCATAATATACCTTCGATATACTCGTATGATATTAATTGTATAACAATTTTTTTTTTGGCACGTTGAATTCTAGTTGCTCGGCAAAAGGAACATATCCACAAGTGTCTTCGATAACCTCGTAAGCTATTATAGCCATGAGCATAATTTTTTTATACCTATTTATTTTGAATACTATATTTAAAATTGTATTTTATTAATTATAAATTATAAATCTTTGTTTTAGATCTTTGTTTTTGAATTAGATCAGGGTTTTTCAAAGTGAAGTACGTGTATCACTCGGAGTATACCAGTTATTCATAAGGGGTGCGGCAGCTTAGCTGATTCGCACATTAAATAAGAACGACAGAGAGATGGATGGTATTATCCAAATATCAAATTTCTTAAGCTGATTTTAAAAAGATATTTATTGCTCTTTAAGACTTCGTTCATAATAAAATACCTTATTTGATATCAATTGTTAGTCAGTTTTATAAAGGAATTCGCCATGGTCTAGAAACACTAATAAGTGTATGTGAAGCTATAAGTTTGAAAAACCCCGTATTAGATTTACCTATTCAATATTTAAAAATTTGTAAATATTGAATTTTTTGACCGGTTTTTAAAAATACATTTCTCACAGAAATTGACAATGTCATGCCTTAATGTGCCTTTATTTTAATCATATTGCTAGCAATTATTCTTTACCATGTAAATAAATATAATAATTGTAAGCTATTTTGACAATAATATATCGGGAACACGTGAAGATAGTAAGTTCTAACACTTATCGATGGTCAACCACCAATAATACCTTGTAATTGTCATTATTTTATTGTTCTAAATTTGTTTTTTAACTTTCGAATCCCCCTTTCTATGTGACAGAAAGAACAAATAATTTGTATATCCAGTATATTACGAAATGATTTTAAAACCGACTGTTTTTTTTTTAATTTGAATTTAGAATTATTTCAAAATTAGGAAATATTGGCGGTTATCGTTATTATAGTCCATATACTTTGTGCGCGGTGCTCTCTAGTGCAAGCAGCTTTCCTAGTTAGAAGTGTGAAAAATATAGCAATACTAGCTGACTCGACAAACGTTGTTTTACCATATACATTATTTCGAAAACTATACATGAAAATTTATCGTACTACAATTATTATATTTGATTGCCATCTTGCAACTCTATTGCGGTATACAAAACTCGCGATTAAAAAACAGGGGTTGATCGTAAAAGCGTGAAAATTAGAATTTGTATATATTTTTCATAATAAAGTAAATATAAAAAAATTGTCAAAAAAAAATTTAGGTAGGTCACCCTTATCATTGAGGGGTACGAAAAATAGATGTTGGCTGATTCTCAGACCTACCCGATATGCACACAAAATTTCATAAAAATCGGTAAAGCCGTTTCGGAGGAGTTTGGTAACAAACACCGCGACACGAGAATTTTATATATTAGATTATATTATAATATTGTATTAAAAATATGTATATATTATAGTTACAGTGTCTATATATTGGCCCAATAACAAATGTATTAAATACCGGTTATTCAATATATAACATCCAAATTAATGTAGATATTCGACTGATATTATCAATTTAGAAATTTTCCACCATCAGTGTTCCTAATGAAAAATCCAATATAAGTGTGTTGCTGATATTATCCATTTTTGTTTATACAACTTAGAATGGAAAACAAGCTGACGGCCCACCTGATGGGAAGTGGTAACCGTCGCCTATAGACATGAGCAGTACCATGGACATAACAGAGTATACTGTTTCGCCCATGATACCCCCCATGCATTGCTATTCCCGAGGACTTAGGTATTATTCCTCTGTACCCAGTAAATTCACGACATATCCCACCCTTCAAACCGAAACACAGCCATGCAAACACAACTGCTTCACGGTTGAAACACGAATGGGACAGAGGTACCCAAGCAATCGACTTTTGTACAAAGTCTCCCTCTGGTAGGTATCCATGCCTACTCCTAGTTATATTTCTCACCCCTCCCCCTTCCAGTTCGTCTGTCACCCCGCAAGAGCACCGTGTATAATGTTGACAGGCTATAACACCACCTGTACTGAATGATATTTTTTTTTATCAAATGATCTGATGATGGTAGCGAGATGACTATAAGTACATAAGTGTCATTACCAAACATATTCTACTCTGTGATATATGCAATAATATCATTACAAATTTATCTGTTACAATGTTATGTTTATACTTTATTAAAAAATTAGTGCCTAATTATTTTAGTTTATTGTTGAAATTAAACTATACATTCCAATAGATATAAGTAGCATATTTTGCGATCATAATTTACAATATTTAATACAGCATGTTAGTGTGTGTTGATTTAAAAAAAATGAATATATTATTGATTAAATTTTATTACAATTACATACAGAGAGTGTTTATTTTATACTTCCATTGATCCTTAATGTACGTTCAACGTACAATGTTCTAAAATTAAGGATAACTTTTTCATAAATCTCTTATTATTAATTATTACTCATATTTTTAATTTCATTATGTTTTTTTTTTGTATTTATTGACTTGACGTCTACTGTAATTATTCTTACTGTAAATACTGATTAGTACTTTAGTTTTTTTACTTTTTTTTTTATACAACTTAGAATGGCAAACAAGCTGACGGCCCACCTGATGGAAAGTGGTAATCGTCGCCTATAGACATGAGCAGTACCATGGACATAACAGAGTATACTGTTTCGCCCATGTTACCCCCCATGCGTTGCCATTCCTGAGGACTCAGGTGTTATTCCTCTGTACCCAGTAAATTCACGCCATATCCCACCCTTCAAACCGAAACACAGCCATGCAAACACAACTGCTTTACGATTGAAACACGAATGGGACAGAGGTACCCAAGCAATCGACTTTTGTACAAAGTATCCCTCTGGTAAGTAGCGATGTCATGTTCATTAGTTAAATTTTTATTTGTATAAACTTATTTTTTATGTATTGTAAATTCTCTCTCTCTCTCTCTCTCTCTCTCTCTCGCTCTCTCTCTCTCTCTCTCTATATATATATATATATATATATATATATATATATATATATATACCATATATATATATATATATATATATATTGTATATATATATTATTGGCAAAGATCTTGTGTAGTCCTTTATGCCATTAACAAACAGCAAACGAAACGGGATATTAAAAAGGAACGGGAAGGAATTTAGAATTATATAGTTATTTATCTGACACGTAATCTTTTGTACAACATTCTTCTACGGTCTAGCTATTGTAGTATAGCTGTCACTATCTATTACGTAGGTAGACAAATTATTTCGTAATTGTTTACTAATCGTCACTGTAAGATGACATAACTTCATTATGATCATACCATAAAGTTTAGAAAACAATATATTGTAGTTCTATTAAATTTATAATAAGAGGGTATCTAAAAAAATTAGTAGTTGTCGAAACTCCCGCGCTGATGGAAGTGCTAATAATACTGATATGGCTATGTGCGGCCGCCGCGGAATTACCAAACGATCTCACTCATCTCAAAGAGTTTATTGAGCAAACACACTTTAGTTTAAAAAAGAAATATAGACCTCTCTATCACGTCTCTTCACCAGTGGGCTGGCTCAACAATCCGAGCGGATTTGTTTTCTTCAAACGACAATACCACGTCTTCTACCAGTATCATCTTTACAAAGGAGCATGGGGTGCTATTCACTGGGGTCATGCGGTCAGTGATAATCTCGTCGATTGGGTTCATTATCCTCCAACGTTGATACCAAATGACTTTTATGATAGACATGGATGCCTGTCCGGGTCGGCTGTTGTCCACAACGGTTACCTCGCCTTGTTCTACACTGGGCATGTTTTATCCAAAAACAGTACGTATCAGACTCAAAACGTCGCTATTAGCTCCGACGGTATCGTCTTCCAAAAGTACCTGTACAACCCGATTATCAGAAAGCCTTCATTCGAAATCACTGACTTCAGAAACCCCAAAGTATGGAAGTTTCGTAACACTTGGTACATGATATTAGGAACGGTGCACGAGGGAAGTCCCGTATTGTTGCTATACACGTCACCAGATTTATTTATTTGGAAATTGGATTCTATTTTAGTACATTCATACAAAGATATGGGCTACATGTGGGAGAATCCTGATTTCTTTGAAGTCGACGGCCAATATGTGCTAATACTGTCTGTTCAAGGAATTCGGCCGGACGCACACAGGTTTAGGAACTTTTATCAAACTGGATACATTGTCGGGAGCTTTAACTACGGCACGACAGAATTCGAAGACCTTGAAATATCAACGGCTACTTTCAACGAGCTCGATTATGGGCATGACTTTTATGGTGCGAAAACTATGCAAGCTTTAGATGGTAGAAGACTTTTAGTCGCCTGGCTCGGTACGTGGGACAGTGATTTTAAAGAATCAAAAGACGGATGGGCGAGTATGTTAACAATAATCCGAGAAGTACGTATTAGCTTTCATGGTCGCCTTTTGATGAAACCGATAAAAGAGCTTGCCGAATTGAGAACGGAGGCTCTTGAAAGTGCTTGGTACAGTCCCGGAGAAGCATTCCAAGCTGAAACAAGATCTTTTGAAATGCTGGTGAATTCTACTTCGGTTTCACATGATGCCGTTCTTATATTTGAATGGGGAAGAGGAACGAATATACGACGATATACTATAGAATACTCTTCCGAGTTAGGAAGTGTGAGTGTGGATCGAGGTGGAATAAACGGTGTAAGAAGAGCAGATTGGTCGCCAGTTCACAAAATATTTTGGCACATATTTGTTGATTCAAGTTCTATAGAGGTGTTCTGTGGAGAAGGAGAAGTGGTTTTCTCCAGTCGTATCTATCCAAAGTCTATTAGAGTAAAGATTGCTGGTGAAATGGAGTTACATATAACACAGTATAAATTAAGGCGTAGTGTCGGATACGACGAAAAGTTGCGGCAATATCTAAAGAGTAATTATATCAATAAATATGTTAATTACTAAACTCGTTGAAGGGCTTAAAACCCTCGAGACATCTCACATTAGACCTTCGTAACAAAGGTGACCTAGAAACTTTCAAAATCAAAGGACGACATACTGTCACGCGTAGTAGTAATAGAAAATAAATTATGGGTTTAAAAGTATATTTTTTCTAATTTTTTAATTCTAATTTTCTATTGATAAGGACTACGAGCGTAACATTCTTTTTTTTATATTATTTGTCATTAATATAGATAGGTACTTAAATATATTACTTTTTCATTATCAGAGTAGGTACTAGTTTTTTATTTCCTAATTGCTTAAGTGTTTTTGTTTATGGATGAAAATGGTATGGTAACCCCGCCCGCGCTAACGGGATACGCTGGCGGAGCACCAGTAAAGGGTGATAGATGAGAATGAAAACTGGCCAGTTAGCCCATCATGGTGAATTCATCAGGAATTAACCATAATAGTTTCCAGGGGGAACCGCGAGGAGGTCGACTTGGTTGGGTATATTGTTAGCAATGGGATTCTCAGTCTCCATTACTAACAATCCCTTTCCCCCCGGTTAGGTATTGCTTAAGTGTTAGGACTTACAAGGCAGATGCTATAAGTTGCAAACAAGCGGATCAAACACCTAGAATTTATACGTACCTACTGAATCGATGTGTTTAGTAAACATGAATCATAGGTATTACTATTTTCTATTACTGCTTTTCATCCTTTGAGGCGACTATAAGGAAGTATAAGTAAGGACTACAAATAGAGTAATGCAAGAATAGAGAAAACTAGAACACCTTTATTACGGAGCCGCCTGCATTGTCAATATCATAGTGTATAGATGAAACGAATGCCTTCCTAGTGGTACGATGATGATTGGAATATGTTATTTTTATAGTTTAGAGAGTTGGGTAGTAGCGCCTTTTTTAAACATCACCAAAACACGCAGTTGCCAACCCGCTTGCCAAACTTGGCAACTACTGGCAAAACCCCCCTAACGGTTCATATGATATCTTTATCGGTAAGAATAGAATAGAAAATGTTTATAACTAGAAAAATACAGTAATATTATATATCAGAAGTGTCTCATGTTTTTTTTTTTATGGATGATAATGGAATGGTAACCCCGCCTGCATTATCGGTATACGCTGGCGGGGCACCAGTGATAAATGACAGGTGAAGATGAAAGCAGGTCAGTTAGCCCATCGTGATGAATTTCACAAGAATTAACCACAATGGTCTCCAGGAGGAACCACGTGGAGGTCGACCTGATAAGGTATATTGTTAGTAATGGGGCTGTTAGATCTCATTATTAAACAATCCCTTCCCTCCAGTGTCTCGTGTAAGGCAAAAGGAAGTGGCTCAGCTGATGCTGTGAGTGTCCCAGTACAATGTGTACAGCTGCACAGCGCTGGTTTTCAGCCAGTCCCTCTCTTAAGAAAATACAAACGGGTACCGGTAAGTAGATAGATAATTTTATATAAATTTTACGTAAATATTTTTGATGCCTTATAAACCACCTGTGCTATTGTTGCAGGTTTCAAGGATGTTTATCAATTATTTGACTTATTAATTCTGTCCACGTATGCTAAGTATAAAAGATGTCCATTGAAGGCTACGTTGACCTTGTTTACACAAAGATGACTAAAATCAGGCTATATCTATCTCGATAGGATGTAGTTAAAACATATCGCAATAGTGACAGTGTTACTAGGAATAATAGTATCTTTAATATAGTAGGTAGATAACTGTATCTAGGTACTTTTTTTTTTATGGGTGAAAATGGTATGGTAACCCCGCCTGCGCTAACGGGATACGCTGGCGGAGCACCAGTGAAGGGTGATAGATGAGAATGAAAATAGGCCAGTTAGCCCATCATGATGAATTCATCAGGAATTAACCATGATAGTTTCCAAGGAGAACCGCGAGGAGGTCGACCTGGTTGGGTATATTGCTAGCAATGAGATTCTCAGTCTCCATTACTAACAATCCCTTTCCCTCCTATCTAGGTACATTCCGCCTAAAAAGTTATTTCAAAGTAGTACTTAAGTTCCTTTTGTGGTCAAAGAACTATTTAAATGGCTGTCTATTTTGCAGCAGTGAATATATCTATTTACCTGGATACTGAGATCACAATGCCTAGATATTATTGGATAAAAATGGAATGATAACTCCCCTGTGCTATTGACCTACAGTGGTAGATGACTAATGAGGATGAAAGCAGGTCAGTTAGCCCATCCTGACGAATTCAACTAGAGTTAGCCACGATGGTTTCCAGGGTAAACCACGTAGAGGTCGACCTGACAGGGTATATTGCTAGTAATAGGGCGGCTATTTGACCTTCATTACTAACAATCCCTTTCCCCCTCGAGTCCCTATTAGTAACAACTCCACTGGTTTTATGCTGTATCAAATCGCAGCTTAAGTCAACTAAGACGCTTAAGCTAAATACCCAAATTGTTTATAATTACTCCTCTCCATCCAAAGGTTGCCTGGAAGAGATCGCTCTTAGCGATCAGGTCGCCCATTGTTTTCTCATTGTGATTATTTCTTGTAATTATTTATATTTATAATAAGTTTACTATTGTAATCTTTTGGAGGAAACAATAAAGAGTATCTATCTATCTCATCTCCCAATCGCGAACCAAATAATTTTGGAAAAAAAAACAACTCCACTGCCCCTGCCCCTGCCCCTACCTATATGGGTACATTACGCTGACATTTATAAATTAATACTTATTTTCTTGGAGTATATATTTTGCAATATACTCGTATTTATATAATAGTAAAACAATTTTAAAAATATGTGGGAAAATTTCGCAGTGCGGATAGCTACATATGTATATCCTTATGTATCCAGTTATTGGACTTCTTGTTTTGTTTTTACTATATAGGTACTTAACTAAAAAGTTAAGAACAAGTAGTCCAATATCTTTGCTGAAAAGATTTCACCCACGCAACGCCTACATTTCCAAAACATATTGAAAAATAGGAAATATTGAAATTTTCGATCTTAAATCATAGTGTTAAGGTCTATTTTCATTCAAAATGTTCATTCTTCATTCGTGAGATGCCTGCCGACGTCAAACGACTTTAGTTACGTCATTGTTTTTTGTCAAAGAACAAGCAGAATATTTTTATGTAGACGTAACAAAATCTCCCAAGAAGGCGTTACCTATTTAAATGTTTAAAATTATTTTCACTAGTTGTAAGAATTATTATAATTATTGTCAAAAACAATTTTATAGTGGTATAATTATGTATCCATTACATACAGTTATTAATACTTCCATAATAAAAAATAATCCAACGATATGCTATTTATTATTTTATTTTTAAAATTGCCAATTGACCTAACTACATTATCTGTTTTCTGAAATCCAATCTATTACACAATTTGCCATGGAAAAAATTTTTCGAGCCATAGTTATTAAAAAAAAAATTCTAAAAGGTTGGGGAAAAAATACTAAAATGGATTTAAAAAAAATACATATTTGATCTGAAGAGCTAAACTTATTAATTATGATTAAATAGAGAATATCTAAATCTGTTTTAACAGCAACAGAACTAAATAAAAATGTACATAAACAAATAATTAACCCGACCATACAATTCTACTAGTGTTTAATTGTAGTATATATCAAAATCCTATTGATTGCATGTCTCAATTTGTTACTAACTTTATTTAGAGGTTCTGTGATAATTTCAAAAATATTAGATTTAATGTAACAGACCATTTTTTTATGCAAATTGATTATGTATAAATAAATAGTATTTATTATTATTACTTTTATATTAATAAATTAGTAGCTCATATACTTCAAGTAGGTATAAAACAACTATTTTTTAACGGAATTGCGGATCTGTAAGTTTTTCCGTATTTAATCTACATTTTCTTTCTGGGGATGTCTATATGAAAAATTCCTTCATTTGTTGGTAATTTTTTTATTATGGGTACTTATCGATGTTCATAACCTAGACTAGTATATGCACCAGTATGGTATATAGAGAAGCTTACAGGTTTCTTCATATATATTGAATAACAAGGATGAAGCCGCATAACATAGTAAGTAATATATGAAAATGTAATTTTTTAAAGTTATTTAAATTTTATCATTTGATACTCAAAACGCTAAATATTGGAATAAATTGCATTGAAATTTAGTCCACAGACCAAATTTTAGGTTAACTTAATAATACTTTTATTCTAAAACTTGGAATAAAGTCGCAAAATAAACAGTTATTTATAAAAACAATTCAATTTGTTCTTTATTATATTATCGTTATTCTATTTTAATATAGACATTTTATTTTTTTATATTATGATCAATTATTTTATATATAGTATAAAACTAAAGCCGTGTGGTCCCGGCATAGTAGGCCACCCCTTCCTTTCCCATCAGTGTCGTAAAAGACGAAGAGAAGGCGAGGGATAGGTAGCAACGTCACTTTAAAACATCTCTAAAGCCTAACTGCGATTGCCAATCCGCCTCCTAAGCGTGGCAACTACTGGCAAAACTCCTCCAAGCAAGATTCAGCAGTGGGCAGTTAAAGGCTAATATGATGATGATGATGATAAAACTAAAACGCAATTAGCGTTTATATTTTTTTTCAGCTTATTTCTTTTAAACCATGGCACAGATTTTGATACATATTTCAGTGTTATTTATATAATGTTTTTCCGCACATAAAATGTATAATTTGCACCCGAGTGAAGTCGAGCCGGTTGCTATAGGCTATTAATAATATTAAACAAGAAATAAGTATATTTATAATACATATATTTTTATTACCTACTCAGTGGAATGTGCGTATGTCGAGTGCTATATATCAAATATAACGTTTGTACCATAGCATTCTAATAAAATAATTTTAACTTCTCTATCACGGAGTCTAGAACATTTATTTTGATTTATGTGCACTTTTATTTATCGCATGGTATCCCAAAACGGAAATGTCAAAAATCAGATGTCGTGACGTAAGTATGTCTATCTACCTATCATAGGTACGTGACGAAGGGGAAGAGAGAGGCTTGAGAGGAGAGCGGGGAGGGGTACTCACTGACAGAAGGACGAAGGTTGTCTGATGTGTTGTCGTTTTTCTAACTTGATTTTGAAATGATTCAAATAATCTGTGATTACTAATTATTTTTAGTACTAATCGTATGGATTGTTTAATCTAAATAATTAATATCTATTAAACTAGCGCGTTTTGTCCTTATAAAGTTAACACAAAAATATTTAACTAATATATATAAGAAATCACGTTAATTATATTTAAAAGTGCGATTTTTGTATATAATATATTAAAAATGATCAAGCACTTGGTAGTGGCCGTGTTGTGTTTTACGTTTGTAAACACTGATGGGGCATTGAAATTCTACGAAGAGAAGGTAAGTTTTTAAAACTTTTATGGATGTTTATTGACTTGTAAACATTTCAATTTTCGAAAGTAGGAACAAGTATTTATTGTGAAGGTCTTATTTAAGAAGTAAACTTTCGATAGTGTTTTGTCTCATAAAAATAGTTTTCCAAAATAATAATTTATTTTGTGCAATTTAGTATGAGAACAAGCTGAAGGTTCACTTGATGCAAAGTAGTAACTTTAAAATATATGACGCTCATGGTATTTCTCCTATATTATAGTTCCTGACAGCTTGTGTATTTATAATTTAGTCCACAATAATTTCACTGTTATTCTACATTCTTTAAACATCCATATAATCATAGTTGCAATCCAGAATAAGACAGAGATTCATGCAGACAATTTTTATATAGTCAGTATAGAATTACAAAATGAATTGTTTATTTCTTTTTTATTGTTGTTTTTTAAAATATTATCAGTGATAATAAAGACTATCTATTTATCTATAAAAATGCAGTTATCACATTAACTGTAACACATGCATAATTAGCCAACTCGCCTGCCAAGCATGGCAACTATTGGCATAACTCTCTTATAGGGAAAGCTTATGTTCAGCAGTGGACAGAGTTAACGGCTGAAATAATAATAAATGCGTAATTAGAACAAGTGTTCCTTCCATTTGTTCTAATTATGCATTTATTATTATTCCCCAAATTAATAAAAATTTATAGTTTTTTTTTTTTAAAAACACTATTAATTTACAATTTACACATATTTATAACTATATTTTTTTTTGCAGAATTTCCATGAAGCAAAAGAATTGACTGATAATGATGTTATATCTATAGCTAGAATGTCAAATATGGATGATTTTAAATCTATATTAAATGAAATTTTAGTGCCACGAGTTGTTGGTACTCCGAACCATGAAAAAGTTGGCAACTACATAGCAAACGAGATGAAAACGTTGGGTTGGGATGTCACAGAAAATGTTTTCCCTGACCAGACACCTGTATTTGGAACATTGAACTTTAAAAATATCATAGCAAAGTTGAATCCTGATGCAGATAGATTTTTAGTGCTCGCTTGCCATTATGATAGTAAATATACAAGAGAACATGTATTTGTCGGTATGTATTTAAAATAAATAAATAAAAATAATTAAACAATTTAGAATTTTACAATTTTTTCTCATCAGATAACATTTTTTATATACTACTTAGAATGGCAAACAAGCTGACAGCCCACTTGATGGAAAGTGGTAACTCTCACCTATACACATGAGCAGTACCATGGACATAACAGAGTATACTGTTTCGCCCATGATACCTCCATTGTGTTGCCATTCCTAAGAACTCAGATGTTATTCCTCTGTACCCTGTAAATTCACGCCATATCCCACCATTCAAACCGAAACACAGCCATGCAGACACAACTACTTTACGGTTGAAACACGAATCGGAAAGAGATACCCAAGCAATTGACTTTTGTACAAAGTCTCCCTCTGGTAAACATAACATTCCGAATTTAAACATTTTCTATTAATGGGCTTAGTAAACAAGCCTTTTGAATAACGACTTTCTTTTAATTTTATTGAAGGGATAAATATTAATATTCTAAGGATATCAACATTAAGAACATCACCTAGAAGGAGACAAAGTCATTTGAACAGTATTCTCTTTCTCAATTTTAATTATTTTTAGATAGATAGATAATTTATTTGCATTACTTACAGCGCACAAATTACAACATAGATATAAAAAAAAGCGAGATAACATAAACGATTAAAAAAATACATAAAGCTAAATACAAATTTTCGTTTGTGCGTGTGCCATAGCAATACAAAATGGTCACAACTCAGTTTATTGCTTCGCCCTCAAAAGAGCAAAGCACTGATATTCTGATGCGGTCAAAGGGAATAGGGTAACAATAAAACAATACTACCAGATTATCCATACAATAAATAGATATTTAGTAAACAGACAGATATGACAGAGTTTATTTAGTCATCTAGCCTTCAGCAACTCGACTTATATTAATATGTTTCGGCTTTAAGAATATGAAGTAGCAGTTAAAATGCTAATTGAAGTTTTTTTCTAGAAATTACAGAGTATGGAGGTACGGAACCGTAAATCTTAAGAATAAGAATTGTGATCTGTCTATAAGTGACGGTTATTATTTTTCATTAAGTGGGATGTCAGTAGACAGCAGGTCTGTCAGCTCATCATGACGAATTTCACTAGAATTAACCACGATGGTTTCCACGGGGAACCACATGGAGGTAGACCTGCAATAGGGCTATTAGCTCCATTATTAAAAATCCCTTATCCCCTATGTCTATAGAGTATACTTACCATTTTTATCAGGTATGTGTTTTTCAAGTTGCATAAAAGAAATGTTTTATCAGGTGCAACAGACTCGGCCGTGCCATGCGCAATGATGATAAATCTGGCGAAAGTTATGTCGTCACAGCTTAACAAGCTAAAGGAGTCCAATCTGAGTCTCATGTTCATATTTTTTGATGGCGAGGAGGCCTTTAGGCAATGGGGTCCAAATGACTCGATCTACGGTGCCAGGCATTTGGCAAAGAAATGGCAGAGCAAACCGTACAGAGATGGTGCCAACCACCTGCAAAGAATGGTGAGTTATACAAATTCATTGCAGTTTATTATAGTTCGTATGAATAACTTTATTTGCTTGAATACAGGTTATTACATTAGAAGTATTTAAAAATTAAAACGTAAATGGATTAGCACTATTTGTTTACACTGGTGGTGTCTAAGTGAATGATTTGATTTTTTAATTATGCAAATGGACTGGTAACTCCGTTTGCACTATTGGAATACGGTGGCGAAGTAGGTACCAATGAATGTAAATAATGTAATGTAATAGGTAAAGACGAGGGCATGTTAGTTAACCCATCGTGATGAATTTATAAGAAAAACTAATAATATAATCGCCTAAAAACTAATAATAATATAAGTAACTTAACTTCGTGTTAAGAGGAACTAGGCAAAGAACACCTGGGGGCACAATGGGCAAAACACCCAGATCCAAGTTAATACAGAAAAGTGGAGGGAAGGCATTATTAGTCCGCATTACTGTCAGTGCCATTGTTAGCAACGTACCCTGTCAGGTTGATCTCCTCGCGGTCCCTCTTGAAAACCATCGTGCTGAATTCCAGGTTAGCTTTAACGATAGGTTAACTGACCTGCCTTATCATTCTCACCTGTCATCCCTCACTGGTGCCACGCCAGCGTATATCGTTAGCGTAGACGGGGTAACCATTCCATTATGATCTATTAAAAAAAGTATAGGGAAGTGTGTTTCCTAAATTAATTATTAATATTTTCACTCAGGATGTCCTTGTGCTGTTGGACTTGCTCGGCGCACCAGACCCAGTGTTCTACAGCTATTTTAAAGCGACCGAGAAGTGGTATGTGCGATTGGCCAGCGCCGAGCAGAGATTGGCCGAGCTCGATCAGCTGCAAGCGTACTCGAAGGGCAAGGTGGAACAGACGTATTTCAGGTTGATGAGCTCAGGAGCCTTCATAGAAGACGACCACATACCGTTCTTGAGGAGAAGTAAGTGTTATATATAGAATAATATGTAGTTAATTGTTAATTTTAATATTACAGAGGTAACATTAGATTTTTTGTTTGTTCAATAGATAATCTCGAAAAATATCTACATATTTTTTATATTTTTTTTATTAAAAAAAAAACTAACAGTTAAAAAAATTTATAATAAAAAAAAAACAGTAAAGACAAGAAGCCAAAACAGGTTTATACAAATAAAAATTTAACTAATGCACATGACATCGCTACTTACCAGAGCGATACTTTGTACAAAAGTCGATTGCTTGGGTACCTCTGTCCCATTCGTGTTTCAACCGCGAAGCAGTTGTGTTTGCATGGCTGTGTTTTGATTTGAAGAGTGGGATATGGCAGTGAATTTACAGGGTACAGGGAATAACACCCGAGTCCTCAGGAATGACAACGCATGGGGGTATAATGGGCGAAACAGTATATTCTGTTATGTCCATGGTACTGCCCATGTCTATAGGCGACGGTTACCACTTTCTATCAGGTGGGCCGTCAGCTTGTTTGCCATTCTAAGTTGTATAAAAAAAAAAAGGAAAAAAAAAACTTAGATTCAACTAAATTAAGACATTTTTCATAAGACGTTTGTCATAATTAACTAATAGACAGTAAATTATGACAAACGAAGAAAAAATAGTACAAATACATGCCGATTATCTTGTAATTGCAAAAATGGATTTGTTTACTTTTCCACCCACGCCGGCGATACGTAGTTTTATTAATATTTCCTCAATTTCAAAATGTTTAATTTCTTTACACGACGAGCTGATTAATAATAAAGTCACGTTCATAGTTGTTACCTGTTGACATACAAATTGTAATGTTTTATAATTGCACAAGTAATAGGTATAATGCATTTTATATGGTATAATTCAAAATTCATAATATTTATTCATTCTCCACAATACTGTATAAACAAACTATTTATCACATTAAAGGCGTGAGTCATAGTAATAATATTTATCTCAACTGTAGCTTAAAGGCGGGAGTCATAGTAATAGGATTTATCTCGACTGTAGCTTAAAGGCGGGAGTCATAGTAATAAGATTTATCTCGACTGTAGCTTAAAGGCGGGAGTCATAGTAATAAGATTTATCTCGACTGTAGCTTAAAGGCGGGAGTCATAGTAATAGGATTTATCTCGACTGTGGCTTAAAGGCGGGAGTCGTAGTAATAAGATTTATCTCGACTGTAGCTTACAGGCGGGAGTCATAGTAAAATACGATTTATCTCGACTGTAGCTTAAAGGCGGGAGGCGTAGTAATAAGATTTATCTAGACTGTAGCTTACAGGCGGGAGTCGTAGTAATATGATTTATCTTGACTATAGCTTAAAGGCTGGAGTCATAGTAATAGGATTTATCTCGACTGTAGTTTAAAGGCGGGAGTCGTAGTAGTAAGATTTATCTCGACCGTAGCTTAAAGGCAGGAGTCGTAGTAATACGATTTATCTCGACTGTAGCTTAACCAGTTAACTGTGATTGACGAATATACTCGTCATGGAGAAGTGGCAAAATCGCCGCGTTACCTAGCATACTTTCGCCACAATCTCCCATCATTAATGTGTTAAGAATACTCAGAATACAGCATTGTGAAGACTGTTGGCTTGTGGTGGTGGTGGTGATGATGGTAATGTTTTAAGAGGGTTGTTGCTGTTCATTCCTCTACGAAGCCCTGAATGATCTACCATGAAGTTCCCTTAATCGCCTCTCACGACACCATGGAAATATATTCCTTTAATATTAGTTTTTAAGGTGCCTAGGGGCACCAAACAAATATACTTTCACATTTATTATATCAACAAGGATTCATATGAAACCTGTATAGGAAACTCTGGAAAATTGCTTGCTTTTATTGATATCAATAAGTCGTAACTGCGTACACTAAATCAACATTATATACGCTCCAGGGGACTAGGTCGCCTTGATGCCTCGAATCAGTCATGGTCAACCGATCAAATGTTGCTTTCTAACTTTCAATAATAACTGCCAACCGATTGTAAGCAACTAGTTAATAACCGCGGCTTCGTACGCGTGATTGGAAGGTGTTGATTAATCCGGATATAACCGACTTCAATCGTGACAAAACCACGTATTTTGATGTACAAACTAAACTGTTGAATCAATTTTGATCAAATTTCTAAAGAAAATTTTCAATGAGCCCTTTTTTTTGTATATGCAAACTTTTGTTTTAGTTGACTTACTAAACCAACAGTCAGTTTTGTTAACTGACTGTTGGTTTAGTAAGAGATGATAGATGAGGATGAAAATAGGTCAGTTAGCCCATCCAGTTCAGAATAGAATTAACCACGATGGTTTCCAGGGGGAACCACGTGCAGGTCGACCTGACAAGGGTATATTGCTGGTAATGGGGCTATTTAACTCCATTGGTGGGAAAGAGATTGTTAGTCATAATAATCCCCCCCTCTCTCCCCAATTTTCACCCGATTTGTAGTTACTGTCTGATGTATCTTGGGTTTTGCTGTTTAAATCAATGGATGTAGATATAAGAATTTTATCTTTTTTTCTTATCATTGATATTGCGACATCTTATAGGAAGTTATGATTTATTATCATAGTTTTGCATTACTTTGTTAGTTTTCAGTTGATAATTTGAAACACGGTCTCCCTACAGTACTTACCTATGAGAAATGTTTCGATTTTTTTTTATGCAAGTTTGAATGGCAAACAAGTTGACGACCCACCTGATGGAAAGTGGTAACCCCGCCTACGCTATCGGTATACGCTGGCGGGGCATCAGTGAGGAGTGATAGGTGACAATGAAAGCAGGTCAGTTAGGCCGTCGTTTCGAATTCAACGATAAATTAACCACGATAGTTTCCAGGGTGAACCGCGTGGAGGTCGACCTGATAGGGTATATTGATAGCAACGGCGACTAACCTCCGCATTACTAGCAATCCCTTCCTCTAAACCTTGCCCTGCCACTGTTTATTTATAACCCTCATCTCTAGTGTTGTAGACGTCCATAGACTACAGTGACTGTCTACCATCAGATGGGCTGTACGCTAGTTTTCCGCCTTCGTGGTATAAAAAAAAAAAATTGCTTCTATGTCTGCCTTTCAGATGTTGACGTACTGCACCTGATCCCGTCACCTTTCCCGAGCGTGTGGCACACCGCCCGCGACGACATCACCGCCCTCGACTTCAATACCATAGACAATCTGAACAAGATCCTGCGTGTGTTTGTCTCTGAGTATTTGCATCTGCGCCCCTAGCGCCGATGGCGGTTCCCGTGGCGGCTCGATGCGGTACTTACTATTTAATATTATACACAACGGAATAGGCGAGTAAAAAATATATTCTAAAAGGAACTTAAATTAATTTATGCCTTCAACGCAAAAATAGGGATGTTACTGAGCCCTTTATTCATAAAAACTATAACGTCTTATAAATCTATTTTAACTATTAAAGTGTTTTTTGTTTTTTTTTTTATGGATGATAATGCAACCCCGTCTGTGTTAACGGTATACGCCGGCGAGAAACCAGTGAAGGATGATAGGTGAAGATGAAGAGGCAGATCGATTAGCTCATCGTCATGAGTCCGCTTGGAATTCAGCACGATGATTGATGACTGCAGGGGGGACCACGTAGAGGTCGACCTGACAGGGTATATTGCTAGCAATGGGACTGGTAGTCCACATTACTAACAATACCTCCCCCCCACCTCCTAACTATGTTATTATGTCCATGGTACTGCTCATGTCTATAGGCGACGGTTACAACTTTCCATCAGGTTGGCCGTCAGCTTGTTTGCCATTCTAAGTTGTATAAAATAAAAAAATTAAAGTGTTTTGTCAATATCTTTCAAGTTAAAAAATAAGCGCAAAAGAGACAAAACGTTTTAATAGGTAAGTAGGTTTATAAGAGATTTGGCGTTTTTATGAATAAGAGGGTAAGTCTCTAAGGGTTATTATGAATGTATTTAATAAATAATTACCCTTACGAGTCCAAAGCTTTTGTCATATTTGTATGTAGGTGTGTGTAGTCTGTGATGTTGCAGCTTCGATACTAGGTGCACCTATTTCATTAGTTTTTTTTTTTATTTGAAGATTGACTATTATTTGATTATTATCTGTTGGAATTTATAAAAATAATATTTGTTTTAAATATTTTTATAAAAAATTGTATACATATCGTAATAGATGTATCGCGTTGATTTAGATAAGAAACTGTACTGTATATATATCTTTGAGATTTTTATTTGTAAATATTATATATGCCGAGGGCTTGCTGCTTATATGTAGTTTTAATATTTTCACTTCATAGACACATGTGCAATCTTTTGATTTTTTTTTTAATTTCGTATGATTTTGCGAATACTGGCCTGTTCGAAATTACTAACGTTTTTATTATTATGTTTTTATTTTTAATTGTATACTACTTATGTGTATATATTGAAATTGTACTTAAATATTATAAGAACGTATCGAGCAAAGTACATAGTAATTTATAAATAGTAAAATTTATTTTTTTATCTAATTAATTCACGGTTCGCTCTCAACTGTTATAATCTGTTCTTTTGTTTTTTTTTTAATTGTCACACGTAATTTATACTCTGTGTGACTTTTTATCTGATTTTGTCATTTAAAAAACAACGAAGGACGAAAAAGTATTAATATGCAATACTAAGAGTAAATATAGAATATAAAACATTTTTATGTATAGTTATAACTTTTTTTTTATTGCATATTATATACACAGATATAAATTTTGTTAAATATGGCAACACTAGATTTCTGCATGAGTCGAAATAGACATGAGATGGTAAAGAAAAATAAAACAGGCTAGGCCTAAGACATTATGTTTACTGGTGCTCACGTCGTCCATCGTATTTAATTACTAATCTTAAGACGTTGTACAATATATTTTTATAGTATTATATATAAGTTTATTTTCTGCAAATTTTATTGCAGCCGGAAAAGATTTTTGCTGTTTATATTATATATATAAATATTTATCTTTTAATATATTTGAACATGCTGCTTTGTGGTCTGATGAGTTTGAGTTCCAATTTGATACCTAGAAAAGTATACCTATAGTAAGTATATATGAAATAGTTACAAACATCAAATGTGTGAGTTATTTTATAGACTTAAGAACAAATCTTTGCTATAGACATACACAGAGAGTATCACAATACCATAAGCTTTAGTAGTTTGTAATGTCTATGGTCGTTCTATTTTAGGCGACGGTTATTTTTTTTATTAGATGGTTAGTTTATCATTACAAATGCGATGATAGTTAATCTAATCGGAATTAGTTGAGGACCTCAGTGTTACTTTTATGATAATTTGTTACCATAAATACTTTTCTTAATCTACGATAATTTAAATGTATTTCAGAACGTATTTAAATGTACAACTTGAAAAAAATTTAATTTATAAATTTTTCATTCATGAAACACAGTAATATTATATAGCAGATTCCAAATTATAGGGGCGTACACGCAATATCTAGAGATAAAACCATTTTTTTTAAATGGGCTAAATTGAAAATAAATACTATCTTTATTAGGTAGAATGCATAATTTATAAGACAAACATTGTATAAACTATTGTACAGAGGAATAACACCTGAGTCCTCACGAATGGCAACGCATGGGGGGTATCATGGGCGAAACAGTATACTCTGTTATGTCCACGGTACTGCTCATGTCTATAGGCGACGGTTACCACTTTCCATCAGGTGGGCCGTCAGCTTGTTTGCCATTCTAAGTTGTATAAAAAAAACTAATATTATTATTAACTTTTTTTAAAATCTCATATTTGCATGTGTGACTCTATGATTTGAAGTCAGCGATATATTTTATTCAATTATAAAACAATGGACGCTTTTCAAAAGTTGGCCATGCGTTCGCGCATATATACTTTTTATGATAATAAAATATTTCAACTATAACTCAAGCGCTAGTGGCGCCAACTAGTAACATTTTTGGGAAGCGTCCATTCTATCACCCGACTGCCGTAAAAAGAAGCACATTTTAAATGCGTAAAATACACTCATTTACGTTCCTAAAGACGGTTGTGCGAACAGACATAAGGTAATCATATTATTTTCAGACAATTTATAGTTAAAATGTAGTTCATGTAAATATTTAAAATGATAAGGTTTATAAACATATTTGAAAAAAAAAAGAACAATAATTATGCAACAATAGAAAATAAATGATAAAGTTACATATATAGGACGATTACAATTTTATATTACATTTAAAAATTAAGATCTGTATCTATATAAATGACTTTGTTTTTACCGCGAGAGACCGTTTTTGCCAAGGAATGTGTTTTAAAATATGACACTACACAAACAAATACATTCCAAGAAGCATGCAGTTACTTTATTTTATTAAAAAATAAGGTATTAAAATTATGTTGACAAACATGTAATTGTGCGAATTACGGTATATGAGTTTATCAAAATTCTCAGATTCCATTCTTTATATTTTTTTTTTTTATGATTGCATTTTAGATTACAGTATTTAACTCCATTATTAAAGCTTGACAAATACTGACAAGACGTGTATTTTTTTATTCTAAATAGAGTATTACATCGATAACGTAAAATAGAACATTCCAGTGTAGTAAGATTCTCATGTATATAATTATTATTATACGCTCACGCTATTACCACCTAGGAATAGGCAGACAGCTCAGACCGCTACTTGCCCTCTCTTAGTTTCCTTCACATACATACCTCTCTTTATACAGGCTCGTCGATTTCGGGCACTCTTAAATTGACTTCAATATAATGTAACATTTAATATTTTTTTACATAAGGTAACACTTGATTACATCAGCCTGTTAGTGATTAATAAAGAAAAAAAAAAGAGTTTACAGTTCAATCTGTTTTATTATATTTTTTCAAAAAATGTACACGTACATTCTCGTACTCATGACATATTACATGTAAAAAAATATAAAGACAGCCTTGTTGAATTTTTAATAAATAAACGATATTATTATAAGTTATTGTAAAATGTGTAAAGAAAAATAAATCTGTAATATATAGCAGATATTTAATGTTTTATTTCATTAACATCCACCTCTCCATTTTCACTCTTCGCTAGACAAGTGACAATCGAAGCTAGCAATAGAATCGTCTCTGTTAGAATATTCATCATGCTTCCGATGAACTGTTTATAATTACTCCTCTCCATCCAGACGTTGCCTGCAAGAGATCGCTTTTAGCGATAATAATAGCTGAAAATGGTAACCCCGCCCGCGCTATCGGTATACACCGACGAGGCACCAGTGGAAGATGATAAGTGAGAATGAATGCAGGTCAGTTAATCCACCATGATGAATTCGACAAGAATTAACCATGATGGTTTCCAGGGGGAACCGCGTGTAGGTCGACCTGAGAGGATCAATTGCTAGCAACGGGGCTATTAGACCTCGTTATTAACAAGCCTTTTCCCCCCTGTCACTTTTAGCGATAAGGTCGCCTATTGTTTTCTCACTGTGATAATTTCTTGTAATTGTTAGTATTTATAAGTTTACTATTGTAATCGTTTGGAAGAAACAATAAAAAATATCTATTTATCTGTTAGAGGCATGGATAACATCAATACCGCTTCGATATCTATATATGGGGTTTCAGTAGACAATGATGCCAGAAAAAACGGTCACCACCGACTTCAGTCTCTTATACCAGTCGTGTATCTAAATTTATTATAAATTATTGAATAACCTGAGATTAGGAAAGGTTAATTAATATAATGCCCTTTCCTAATTTGTTAACGCTAGGGAAGAAGGGCATGTTAGTAATGCATATTACCAGTCCCATTGCTAGCAATATACTCTGGAAACCATCGTGGAACTGAATTCTAGGTGTATTCATCAAGACGAGCTAACTGATTTCTTTTAATTTTTTTATACAACTTAGAATGGCAAACAAGCTGACGGCCCACCTGATGGAAAGTGGTAACCCTCGCCTATAGACATGAGCAGTATCATGGACATAACAGAGTATACTGTTTTGCCCATGACACCCTCCATGCGTTGCCATTCCTGAGGACTCAGGTGTTATTCCTCTGTACCCAGTAAATTCACGCCATATTCCACCCTTCAAACCGAAACACAGCCATGCAAACAACACAACTGCTTCACGGTTGAAACACGAATGGGACAGAGGTACCCAAGCAATTGTCTTTTGTACAAAGTCTCACCTATCATTCCTCACTCGTGCCCAGTGTATACCGTTAGTGAGGGTAGGGTTACCATCCCATTATCATCCATTACAAAAAAAAAAAACTATTAACGTTCGCAAGAGAAGAAATAAACCAGTACATGTCACCATACTATTCTAATGCCTAATGATATCGATTCTATCAATAGATTCGTTTGCCACTTGTCTATGGGTTGGCCTCTTATGGGCCAAATAAAGAGCCCCAAACATGTTCTTTAGATTTAAATAGTAATAATATAAAAATCTACACAATATAAATACATCATTTTACCTAATTTCATTTATATATAAAGGTCAATATTTAAGTTACGTTTACTAAGCGTTTTAGTATAAATATATATCAATTGGAAAAGATTTGTAAATACCACCCCAACTCGAAATAAAAACAATATTTTCATAATAAAAAAAAAAGTCCTAAAAGAATATGAATTAACATACAAGGAATCTCAACCTTATATATCGACCTATATTCTTTTGGAATTTCCACTTAATAGTAAGTGATTGCCGCAGCCCATAGACAATAGCAATACGGCAATACCAGAGATATAACTAATGTGTTGCCCGCATTTTGAACTGCCTTAAAAAAAGTTCTAAATTAGGTTATATTTTTTTTTGTTTGTTACATCAGAATTTCGTCATTTATAAATGGATTTCGGAATTTTTTCTTCATCTGAAAGGGTGCACTTTCAGATTAATCTTATACAAATTTTATTAAAATCGGTTCAGTGCATTATAAATTAAATCAACTAGTTTTGCCACGATTGAAGTCGTTTCTTGTGAAAAAAAAAACCTTAAACTATAAGAAGATATAAACTCTCTTATTGAAGTTTCACATTCGATATGCTTATACTATTTTCGATTACTAAAACATTATTTTAATATTTTATTTAAAAAACAATATTTACAAACGAAAACATAATTTAGCTCATACAAACAGAGTCAGTCCACCTAGACAAATGGCAAACGAATCTGTCGTGACATACGTTTAACTACTCCATACCTGAGATAGAATGAGACGGCCACATCCGGCGTATTGTTCTCTTCGTGCGGTAACGAAAATGTATCTACTGACAGATTAGTTTGCTATTTATTTTGGTGGGGAGATGTACTTATTCGTCGTAAAATGCGTGAAACATAAATCTCCGACAAACTCTTATATCCATTTCATAATTTACAAATAACACTATTTGATGATTGCATAAAATAGATGAAAGTAAAATAAAGATAATTCCATACAAATGTTATCTATATAAGTTATATACTAGTATATGCAAATATATACAGCTATCACATTGTAAACGTAATATATCGAATATGAGACATATAAAATCAAAGACAGCTAAATCCAAATCTGTCAAATGTTCAGGAAACTATAAGAAACTAATATTTTGTCAAGGATATGGAACAATATAGTTTAAACCAGATTGAAGAAAAATGAATAATGATGAAAATAAAATGAATTTTAATTAATAGAACTTCTAATTATGAGAAATATTTGAGTACAGTGTGAAAATGAGATGTATTTTATGGCGTTTAGTTGCCTTTGATTTTATAGGCCTCATATATAGATTCAGTTACTGAATGCACCATAATATCGGCACGATTTTATCGTTACAATATTATAAAAAAGTAATACATAAAAGTTTTCTTTTTTGTGTACGTCAACGATATTTAATATCGGTATGAAAAATAAATCTAAGAGACAAGCCCACGTATCGTGATTCCCCCATGTAAATTCACTAAAATTTATCAATTTTAAATCAAAATAATATTTGATTAATATAAAATCTAAAATTTATACAGTTTATGGACTAATAAAATACCACTCCAATACTGATAATATTTGTTCTAAAATTAAAAACCCCGCAAACATACAGATACGACAATATTTCTTGTATCCAATAACTTTTGCATTGTCCTAATATCTTTGCCTAATAAATGCCAAAGCCAAAAATAATACTTTGTTCCAACACCTAATGAAGCTAGAATATAAATTAAAACATAAAATAATATTTAATTTTTGTTATGGAGTTACAAAATGTCTATTAGAATTCATTAATATTATCAATAAGTTATTTTGGTACATCATTTAAAAGGGAAACAATATTTTGGGATAGGCTCCATATAACATTTTATGTACACTTACACCTATTAATGTCAATTCATTTTAAGCAATAGCTATCACTTTGATATAATTCAAAATATACTATCAAGCAAAGAGCCTTTAAATTTTTTCATAGCCTTCTCTTCCATTTCTTGTAATTTGGTATCAAAACATTGGTTTCTAGATTTAGTTTTAACCTTTATTTCATTTTGAACAGCAGTACCATTTGTATTGCCAATATTTATTGCTTTTACCGCTGCACTACTATCTTCTTTGCTATCTATTTCCATAGATGATTCAAAAAGTTTTTGTGTTGCATCTTTATCGTTTGTTTTTTGTTGCAATACATTATTTTTAGAGTTATCAGTAAGGGTGTCATTTATATTATCATTGTTACATTCCTTTACAACTTTTTCTTCAGAAACTACATTTATTTCATTTTTGCCATCGATCTCCATTGGAGTTTCAGTTTGATTTTGCTCTAATTCTTTTTCATTTGGTTCTTGTTCGTATAGAATCTCATCAGAATAATTTAACTTCATATCTTCTTCCTCTAAATCTTCAACAATATTATTAGTTCGGATTTCTATCGAAGCATCTGTTTCGTTAGTAATTTTGAAGTCGAGTTCATTAGAAGACTCCTCTTCTCTATGTTGCAATATATTGTTTATTTTTTGTCTATGTGAATTTATATTACTACCAATATAGTTTTCGACAACTATAGTAGTTTTATCCTTATTATCAGTTCCAATGCTACCTTCGTTGTAATGATTTTCTATTCTATCATTAGCGTTATCACTGGAAGTGGCTACTATTAAGTCAGTATTATTTATCTTTTTTAAAATAGGATTTTCTGTATTGTCTTCAATGATTTTTCTTGAGCGCTTAATTTTGGTCCCAGTTGCATCTTTGTTTTTTCTTCTCACTTTGTTTACCGGTTGATTCTGAAATATGAAAATATACAATATTTATTTATTCTTTCGCCACATTAAAATATGTACACAGGGCGGACTTAATGCTTGTTAGCATTCTCTATTTGTCTACCGTTATACTAAAGTAAATAGAGAGAGAGAGTAAATGGTGGTGTATTGGACCTATTTTAATTTATTACTTTTTTTTCTATTACTAATGTAGTTGTTTCTAATTAGTAATTACTTTTATGTAATAAATTAATATAAATTATATATTACTCTTATTCAATTATGGCAAAGCTATTGAAAGTCAAGTATGTTGATTACAGCATCATTTGAAATAAACACGAGGTTATACTATAATAAATATAAATAAAATGAAATAAAATCTATTGGACCTGAAACAAGATAACTGTTTTCTTGTTTAACAACTCAGGCGAGAAGAATTTAAAAAAAAAAAAACTGGACTTGGAAAGTGTAATTGTTTTGATGCACACATGGGAGGATTGTTAATATTAAATTAGCTACTAATGATCCAAATGTTAGCAATTATTCATAAAAATGCGTACCTGGGGAATATTTGGGGTTAAAACGTTGGTCCGCCTCCAGAGTATATCTTCTAAGACAGCCTCTATTCTTATAGTTTGCGTTAACCATTCTCTAATATCAGACTTTTTGTTTTCATACCAATCTTTTATAATGTCTAGATTCTCTTTCTCTTTTGAATAAAACCATTTATAAATCAATGTAAAGGATCGTAAATTTTCCTAAAAACAAACAAATTAAGTTATTAAAAATTCATACGCTTTAGGAAAATAAATGTAATGTATGTATAAATAAATATAATGAATAAAAAAAATTGTTTTATGAATGAAATAAAATAATTTTACTTAACGGATTTTTCCTTTATAACTGCTGTTAATTTTTTTTTTTAAATCAATGGTTTTGATTTATGAGTACAACTAACAAAATAAATTAATTCAAATACTAAACGATGCAGTTTTTGTTTTTAAGTCTTTACTTAGGAAATGTTGCGTTTGGCCATTTGGAGAGGATAGATGAAAAAAGAATAACGAAAGAGAATTATCGAGCAAAAATGGATGGAGACGTCGGTAGGGGCCGCTCTAGATGGACGTATGTTGATCAAATAGGCGACGTGCTAAACATGGGCCAAATTAAAAAGTAACTGTAACCGGTGAGCGTGTATGAAAAGATCGATGAATGTGGAAGAACCGAAAGAGGTTTGTTTGAATCGAAGCATTTGGCGTTCCATTGTTTCTGCCTACCCTAGTGAGAGACAGGCGTGACAGATATGTATGTTGTCTTTACTTCTCAGGTTTAATTTTATTACACATGAAAAAAAAAACTTGGAGGAAGCACACACACAAATATAGAAGATAAGGTGAAGCTGGCATCCAAAAAACTCGGTGTGCTCAATAGAGCGAAGCATTACTTCACGCCGGATCAGCGATTAATGCTCTACAAATCGCAAATCCGGCCCCACATGGAGTATTGCTGTTACTTATGGGCCGGAGCACCTAAATACCAGCTTGAACCTTTCGACTCGTTGCAACGACGAGCTATGAGAATTGTCGATGATCCCAGGCTCACAAGCGGTATCGAACCCTTAAGTCTTAGGAGAGATTTTGCCTCACTATGCGTGTTCTACCGCCTGTACAATGGATTGTGCTCAGAGGAATTGTTTAATATGATGCCCACAGCCACTTTCTATCATCGTACGGCTCGCCATCGACAGGGAGTTCATCCTCATGTCCTACAGCCTCAATGGTCGCATACTGCGCGGTTTCAGAGATGTTTCCTCCTACGAATACTCAGATTGTGGAATGAGCTCCCTACCATCAGGTGGGCCGTATGCTTGTTTGCCACCTCAGTGGTATAAAAAAAAGATGAAAAATTAACTAGAATAAAAAAAAATACCAGTAGTAATTGATAATGCAATATTTACTTTTATATCTATCGTCGTGAGCCAAATTTTGAAGTCAGCTTTGTACTTGGGATGTGTTTGCTTGTATTGTAGAAAGGTATCATCATTTACAACAATTATACTCCAGTTGCCGCGGTGCAAAATATCCAGCTTTTTCATAGAGTTAATAAATATTTTCTTTTTTAGAAAAACATTAGTCTCTTCAACTACTATCTCTGAAAAACAGGTATAAGTTTAAAATTATTTTCTTTTTTTCTTATACTAATATTTAATTGTTTGCAGTAAATAATAATAGTAAAAAGAAATTATAATTAAAGTAACAAGAAGTCTGTGATCAATCTCAATAGAATGTTAACCAAGTTTTGTTGAAACTAACATAGAATAACTTTAAAAAAAAAAAGAATTTGATTTGATTTGAAAATAGTTATCTATACTTATAATAAATCTAGAGAGGTCAATTCTGTACATGAAATATATTTCCAAAATAACTATCAGGGGGTGATTAGTGATCGATACTGATGCCAAAAATGTAATCAGTAAAATTTTTGTGTCTGTCTGTCTGTATGTTTGTTATAGAAACAAAAACTACTCGACGGATTTTAACGAAACCTGGTACAATTATGTAATTAATGGACTTTTGATTTGTACAACTATAGGATAATTATTTACACTTTTTTTGAGTTCTAATGATATATTAATAATAAGATACATAGACTCACCATTGCCAGATACTCTATTTTGAAAATGTTGAGACCATACTTCCAAGTCACTATCATTGCACAGTATCAACACAGGCTTGTCTAAAGCTTGTCCTTTTACAATTGCATTAATAAATAAAGCAACTTGTAAGAAACAGTCAGCAGGCTCATTGAAGATTACTCCAGGAGTTTTCTAAAACATTGAAATAAGTTAATTTTAACTTTAATTACTTACTATAACTTTATATTGGAAATTTCAATAATAATAATAAACTCTTTATTGCGCACAATAGAGATGTATACAAAAGACGACTTTATCGCTAAAAGCAATCTCTTATGGACAACCTGTCATAAATATAATGGAGAAATACAGAGAGAAAGGTAGATGGCGCAAGTCAGACACACTAAATACAAAGAAGGAATCAAACAAAATATTAAATATTCTAAATATAAAAATAAGATTACAATACATAAACATACATATATAATATAAATAATAATACATAAACATAAATATACTAATATACTATATAGATCAAGGTAAATCACATGTAGTGAACATCAAAGCAAATTAGAGAGCAAGGTAATGAGATTTTACCTGTCTCTTGAATGAGGCAAGAGATTGTGTTGATCTAATAGAAAGAGGTAAGCAGTTCGTGAGATGGATAGCTTTGATAGTAAAAGAATAGGAATAGAATTTAGAAGAATGAATAGGAGTAACTAAACGAAGGGATCTTGCGCTGCACAATGACCGACTCTGTTACTGGGATTTTTTATTTAAATTATTATTGAGTTTAATACCTCTGGGAAATGTATGTATGTAGGGTTTGTCAAATAAGTTTGTAAGTGAGTGACTAGGATATATTGATTGACTGAGATAAAACAGCCTACATCATTCTTCATCCCAAATGCTATGTGTATATCATGAAAATTGGTTGAGACTTTAAGGCACTAAAAAGTAATAAGTAAACAATTTCACTTTTGCAATTATAAAATTCATTACAATCATCATATGTACTGTCCACTGCTGAACATATGCTTCTCCCAATGGGGGGTTTTGCCTGTAATTGTCACGCTTGGCAGGTATACTGGAACTTGCAGTTAGACTTTGGTGGTATTTTAAGAGGGATGCTGCTGCCCATCCCTTAACCATTAATTTCTCTTAGTCGCCTTTTGTGACACCTACAGGAAAGAAAGTGGTGGTCCATTCTATCTCAGGACCACATGGCACACTATAATATTAGTAAATATAATTAAGAGTAGTACCTTTACAAACTGTCTATACAGGAACCTTATTCCTTCAACCTGGTGGTGTAGAAGTGAACCATGGTCTACATATATGTTAGATTTCTTGCACAAGTAAACTTTCTCAGAAATTATTAAGTTATCATCAATCATTGTAGGATTTCTGAAATTAATAAAATTTCATTTTACAAAAAATCTTGACATAAATATATTAATGCAAATTTAAAAGAACAACCATTTTAAATTACCTTGACTGTTACAATTTAGTTTCTATATCCATTCTCTGCCTAAATACATCACCATCATCATGATTTAAGTAAATTAACTATCCAATTAAAAACAGTAGTTAATTATTAAGAAGAATTAAATCAGTTGAATACATTTACTACATTGTATGCTACATAGAGAACAAATTAAAATTATGTATGTACTCAGTAATTAGCATTTTACTACAAAGACGGACTTTGTATAAAGTTACGTATGTCTCTATGTAATCCTCTTTATGTATTTGTGCTGCCAAGCTGCTTGCTTGTTTGTATCTTTACAAAATAAGTAGGGTGATATAATGAATAGCATTAGTAAGGATTTAAACTTAAAATGATATGGGAAATAAAGGATTTGTAGAATGGTTAAGAAATACTTATATTAAATTTGAAAGTGTCTTATCCTCTCAACAAAAGATCATACAAAGTATTTGAGATAGAGAAGACAATAGGTTACTTTTTATCTTAGTTAATCAATATGTCCCAGTCACACAGACAAAGTTGACTGTACTCTTTTTTATGCAACTTAGAATAGCAAATAAGCTGATTGCCCACCAGACGGAAAGTGATCCATCGCCTATAGACATTAGCAATACTATGGACATAACAGAGTATATCACCAATAATATCTTTCATGCATTGCCATTTCTGAGGATTAAAGTGTTATGCCCTATAATTTCATTGACAGATCCCACACTTTTAACTGAAACATAGCAATGCAAACATAACTGCTTCAAGGCAGACATACGAATGGGACAGGGCTACCCAAGCAAACGACTTTTGTAGTCTTCCTCTGATATAGTCTTTTGGTACTGTGGTCTCTGTATCACATTGGGCAGGTTGTAATGCTTATATACTTCATTTTATATAATCTAACTATTACATTAGGGGGGAAATGGATTGTTAGCAATGGGGTTTGAAAGCCCCATTGCTAGCAATATACCTTATTAGGTCGACCTCCACGTGGTTCTCCCTGGAAACCATCGTGAACAATTCTTGTTGAATTCGTCACAATGGGCTAACTGATCTACTTCATCTTCACCTATCATCCTTCACTGGTGCCCCGCCGGTGTATACCGATAGCACGGGTGGGGTTACTATTCCATTATCATCCATTAAAAAAAAAAAAAAAAAAACTATTACATTAACAATAATAAACCAATTATTGGATAAAAATTACTCACGATTTGTAAAATATCCAATTAAAAACTACGATGGCAAATTCTGATTCAGTCTATTGAGTATCGAAAGTGTCATGATTAAGATATAAAGCATTTCCAAGTAGAACAATGCCACGAAAACTGACACACTGGTTTTGTGTACTTCTATGTCCTCAAACTCCTGCATAATGTGCCTGTTCCGATAAACATGATCCCAGAACATGGAAATAGGTTTCGATTAAACAAGCACTCAGGACACCAGCTTACTCGTCGACACTTTACAGTTAACTACTTTGGCTCTTTTGCATTATGGAAATTATTTTAATATGCTAATAATTTAATTAATTATGAATAATTGAGTATTTATAAAGTGAAAATATTTTTCTACGTTTTGCCAACAGTGACAGCTAAACAATTATTAACCATCTCATTTAAAAATCGTCGCGTCAGTGGCCGTCAATGTAATTTCATTGTATAGATTCGGTTCTACGATTATTAAATTTTATCGGATTATAATGTCTACGATTGACTGATACAGACTGACATATTTACTCAATTGACTGACATTTCGACCTTATAGACTATTATGACAGTAATTTTTTTCTGGTTCAGAAACATGACAGTCATAATAGCTCCATATATTTTCAATCGACTTCAAATAAGTTTTGAATTCGATTGTATTTTTACATATATCAAATTTTAAGTAAGATATTCACGAGCACAACTGTAAAAACCACTTTCTATTTTGTTCCGACAGACAGAGAGACAACATTTCTAAAAATTATTATTTTGACCTTTATTGATATTATTAAGAACCCTCATATTAATTTTTTAAGTATCTCTCGTGTATAGACATCGTGTTTTATCGTATTTCAGCGATTATTGTATAGGTCGGGCCTTCTTTTGAACTTAAACCGACTGTTATATAGATAACATAATCATCATTATCATATCAGCTTTTAACTGTCCACTGCTGAATATAAGCCTCTGTTGGGGTTTTACCAGTAGTTGCGACGCTTGGCAGGCGGGTTGGCAACCGCAGTTAGGCTTTAGAGATGTTTTAAGAGGCACGCTGCTGCCCATCCCTCGCCCTTCCTTAATCGCCTTTTACGACACCTAAAGAAAGAAAAGGGCCGCCTATTCTATGTCGGGAACACAAGGCCATTTTCTCTAATGCATCTATCTATCTATATACAACTTAGAATAGAGACAGACAATATAGGAGAACAGTATGAAATCTCCATTAACCTATTCCCATTTAAGAATTTTTCATTCTCAAAAAAAGAATGATAAAAGGAAATAGCGGACTTATTTTTAAAATAATAACAAATTGGAAAAAATAAATTGTATATTAATTATTCAACTTTTTTGTAAAACAATATCAGCCTGGAATAAATCTGATTGCACTTTCTCTTAATGCTACAGGATAACACCTAAAAATAGTATAAAATTCGAAATATTGGTATGTATAAAAAAAGTAAGAGCATTATTCATTCTTGAAATTAGGTGATCTCTTCTCTACGAATGCAGTCATGCCTTCTCTGCGATCCGCCTAGAAAAGAAACAAGTACTATTAGTAATTATAAGTAATTAGTAAGTACATTAGTAATTATTTTTTAAAATAGTCTTTTAAAGATGGCCACAAGTTTACACAAACAAGTTATTGTTTTAAAAGTAACGGTAGGAAAATTTTAAACAAACATTTTCACTGGAAACTCACAATATGTGTTTTTCCCTTTACATAAAAAGAATTCTATTGTATGCACAATTTTATTTAATATTTATAAAATATATCTTCCCAGTATAAATATTTTAAGAAAAATAAAAAGTCCCCACTGTTTCGTAACTCATTTTCGCCCCCATTTTCGCCAGAATCCGTTTGATCCATGACTTACGGGATACCCTGTATAAGAGGCCATAAAGTAACGACTTACAGTAGCAAAAGTGCCATAGAAGATTGATTTTTCAAACTGCAGACCAGCCTTCAATTGTGTTTCGTATGCCTGGTTGACTGCTTGTTTCGCCAACTTTACGATCAGTGGGGAGTGTGTGCCAATTCTCTCTGCTAGTTTAATGGTCTCTTCTAACAGTTTTTCCACTGGGAACACTCTGCTGACAAGACCTGGTGAAGAGATTTCATTTTTCACATTATTGCTGTATTTTTTTGTTTTTAATCTATCTATTTAATGTGCCCAATTTTAATGATATCATTGTAATATTTATTTATATATATTATTTAAATCTTCATTGTACCAAAAATAAAAATATACAATGACAAGTGAATAATTCAAGTGAAATACAGTAACATAAATACAGATTGAAATATACACATAAAGGTACAAAAGGCGGTCTTATCGCTAGGGCAATCTCTTACAGATCTGAGATCCTCCTGCCCTTTTCAATCTGTACTCCTTTAACCTTTGGTTAAAGGAGTAGAGATTGAAAAGGGCAGATACAAACAAACAGAAATGGGCAGGAGGCGCAAGAATGAATTCATAATCATTGCTTTACGTTATCTATGCTTCATATGCACAATGTTATTAATATCAGTGATATGTGTATTTTTCCAAACTGTACAATTTGATTTTTCAGTATTTTTTTAATCTATCATAATGAAATGGTAATTCGGTCTGTGTTGCGGTGAGAATGAAAAGGCAGGTCTGTTAGCCCATAGTGTTGAATAAACCTGAAATCCAACACGATGGTTGCCAGAGGGAACCATGTGGAAGTCGACTTTACTTTTTGAAGGACGCCAGTCTCTGGGAAAAAGCTCAGTAAAAAGCTCATTCTACAAATTCCGTGAATGCTAATTTCCACTCACCCATTTTCTCAGCCTCGTAAGCATCAATGAAGTTGCCAGTGAGGACGATTTCCATCGCCTTCGACTTGCCGACGTATCGTGGCAGGCGTTGAGTGCCACCAGCACCAGGAATTGTGCCAATGTTTATCTCTGGCTGCCCGAATTTGGCCTTCTCGCCTGCGTAGATGATGTCGCAAAGCATCGCCAGCTCGCACCCACCGCCCAACTAGAATTTTTTTATATAAATTAATTTAATACAGCTAGTATTTGACTTATTAAGACTTGGCAAACATTATTTTCTCCCCACTGCTTTCTACTGGGTAAAGCAGTTGTATTTATACAGAGATCTTAGTTCTTTATAATTGGCAACGCGTGAAGGATACCATGGACGACATAATATACTGTTATGCCCATGGTACTGTTCATGCGTATAGGTAAACGTTTACCACTTTCCATTAGGTTTTTTTATGCAACTTAGCATGCTAACTATGCTACATGTAGCATAAAAAGTGCTTAGGGATAGTGCGATTATTTTATGCAATTTAGAATGACAAACAAGCTGACGGTCCACCTGATAGAAAGTGGTAACTGTGGCATGTAGCATAAAAAAGTGCTTAGCGATAATGCGGCCAATCATTGACAGTAGAATATTCTCTTTTTGGTTGATAGCATTCATGGAGCATATATTCATGTGTTCGTCAAGGATGGAGTGGTTACATGTCGTGTTATTATTAAAAACAGACTACTCTTAACGACGAAATAAGTGTAATCAAGAATCAGCACGCCTACCTTGAATTTCATGCAATACTTCACTGACACAGATATATCTTGAACAAATTATACATGGGACATACCGCGAATCCATTGACAGCTGCGATAATTGGTTTTCCACAGTTGCTAATGTCCTCCCACTCTCTCAGGAAGCCAGCTCTTACATTGTCACTGTATGTGTTGTTTTGCATTTCTTTAATATCAGCACCAGCTGCGAAAGCCTTTTCATTTCCTGCAATAAGTACAATATTATATGTAGTTTATATGTTAATATATGTATATAATTTATAATACCATGAAATTGTATTACTTAATCATTGCTATCAATATCTGAACTGTAGCAACATGAATTTTAATTATTTTGTATATTAATTAACTTGACTTTATGGACATTCATTATTATACATGGTTTCTTTCATACATCCACTTATATTACTTGCATACATCCACTGTAACTTACCTACTTTGCTTTAGAATTATAATTTTCGATTATATAAATAAAATCCATTATTGGCTGTATTTATAAGAGACTTGTATGCATGTAAGTTGTGTTTTAACAGTTGTGGATTTTTGTGTTAAATAAATAAATAAATAATGTTGAGAGCGTGGACTGTATTTGTATAATTAAAACACTACATACATTATTACATTCTAGTTTTCCTTCAGCTTCTCAAAGGTTGACTGTAAGAGATCCCTTTATGGGATAAGTCCGCCATTGTGTATTAAATCTTTTAATGTATTCAGTTTAAATTATGTACAATAAAGACTTTTCAATACAATACACTTATTATACAAAATTGGTGTATTTGCCATGGTCATTACCATCGTACCTCACGCCCTTAAATTATATAGATAGAGTGTTTCCATAGCGCTTCTATGGAGTATAATAAGTGTTTTAATTATACAAATACATTCCACACTCTCAACATTATAATTTTTTTTATACAACTTAGAATGGCAAACAAGCTGACGGCCCACCTGATGGAAAGTGGTAACCGTCACCTATAGACATGAGCAGTACTATGGACATAACAGAGTATACTGCCCATGATACCCCCCATGCGTTGCCATTCCTGAGGACTCAGATGTTATTCCTCTGTACCCTGTAAATTCACGTCATATCCCACCCTTCAAACCGATTTATAATTTATATTTATAATTGTAAAATTATAAATCCTAGTGTTGTTTGTTAATAAAAATGCTACTAATAATAATAGAACAGAGTCCATTTTGATAGTAGCAACAGATAATCTTTATTGCTGTTTATCTGTGTTCAATGTGCCATTATCTGACACAATAATAAATAACACTATCCTTGCATGATACCATATAAACACATATGCTATTATTTTAGCCCTTAATAATGGCATAGAAGAATTGTCATTGGCATTTTTTTAATGGCTGATGCCTGGGGTTGCGATTTACGCGGGCGAAATACCAATGATATGGTATAGGTGAGGTGATAGCTGGTTAGTTAGTCTATCGTAACGAATTCAAGAATCAACGACGATAGTTTCCAGGGGGAACCGTGTGGAGATCGATCTGACCTAAATGTCAGGGTTATCTATAATCTACACTAATATTATAAAGAGGAAAGATTTGTATTTTTGTGTGTATGTTTGTAATGAATAAACTAAAAAACTACTTTGTCGATTTCAAAAATTCTTTCTCTATTAGAAAGCTACATTCACCCTGAGTAATATAGGCTATATTTATTGCTAGAAAAGATTAGGGATCCTTACTAAAACTTTAGTAAGGTAACTCAAGGTGTAAAAAAATGCTATATCTATCGTCGCGTGCGCTGTAGAAATTATTGGTGATGGAACAAAAGTATGTTCTAAAATATTGAAGAAAATATCGATAATTACAAAAAACTTCGCGATACTATATGTTCAACTATTATAGTTATGTCACAATGACCACTTTTTAAAATGTTGTAAAAATGTCCACCCGTGTGAAGCCGGGATGGGCCGCTAGTAATATTATAAAGAGGTAAATTTGCGAGTATGGATGTTCGGGGTAATCTCCGGATTCTAAAAATTCTTTCACTGTTAGAAAAGTATATTATCCCTGAGTGCTTTATTATTATTATTTATGAACCTACTTTTTTATTTTGGTAAATATATATTTTCAATTTATGACAATAAACGTTACTTCAATTACATTTTATAATATGGCAAAAATTTTATATGGCGTGCGTTGTCTGAACGATTTAAAGTAAAGGAATACAAAGTATAGCAAAAATATTCATTACTTTTAGCTTTATAAAAAAGTCTGCGACAGCATATATTTCAATTTAATATGGCAGTAAAAAGATAGTTTTTAAGTTAAAAGTGAAATAAATTTTATAAAATAAATTTTGGATACAAATATCACGTATACTTTACGAATTTTTATAAAAATAAATAGTTAAATCAAAATAGTAATTTCATAGAGATAAGTTTACTTTTTACAGCATGGTAATTGATGCAGTTGGTCAGACGATTATGCGAAATAAAAACAATAAGTACGTAAAAATTTTGCGTAATACCTGTCGCTGGCCGTGCGAGAATAGTAAGCGGGGCGCGGTGGTGAGGGGCGCAGGAGAAATTGTACAAACGCGCGCATATCATATTGCTAAAGAAAGCGTTAATTGAAACATTTTACAGAATATTAGTGCAGTATTTTTACACACGTTAAAATATCAGCCTTACTGTATTGAACAGTTTAAAAGTTGCAAAAACAAATATTGAACTCGTGCGAAGCTGTGCATCAAAATTGGCTCAATAGTTAATAATTGTAGTATATTATGTTCACGTACTGGCCACTAATAATATTGTAAATATTGGCCGGTAACAATCTATTCTATTTGTTCTTTCAATGAATAAATCAGTGTTTAACCAATTTGCTTGCGTATCGCTACAGTGATTCGTTTTGAAATAAAAAAAAAATTGGTTTAACTACAATTGAAGTCGGTATTTGTGGAACACAATCTTAATGAAGTCGGTTGAAGATGTTACTTACCAGTGATAATGATGGCAGAAATGCTGTTATCACTGTCAAAATCAGTAACAGCTTTTCCGAGCTCAACGAAAAGTGGTTTGCACAGCGCGTTCAGTGCTTTAGGTCTGTTCAGCTGGATGAGGCCTACATTCTTCTTGGATCCCACGACATCGATCTTTATATTTTCGTATGCGGGAGCTGTAATAAATATTGTTTTGATAAATAAATATACAGTAATAATAATAAATGGTACATAGTTACACCAATCGCCGGGTATTCGAGCTAGGATACGCTGTGCTATGCGGAACCAGGCGGAAAAGTGGCAAGCGAATCCATCGATGAAATCGTTATCGCAAGCGAGTCCATGAGTTCAAATGGGACATCCGATGTTGCTATCTGCCATTTGTCTAGAGGGCCTGGAGACACCATTAGGAACATCCTAACTCCATATACACAAAGCACCTTTTTGTTTTTTTTTTTTAATTTTATCAAAAGTATTTTTTGTGTAATAAAGTTATTTGTAGAACAAGCAAGATATGATATCTTGTTTGTTTGCTTCTTTTACTCTGTTTTTGCTTTGTACATTTTTTTATGTTGTATATTTTTATAATTATATTTCTTTCCTAAAGGCGTTGTCCCATGCGTTGTCATTCCTGAGGACTCAGGTGTTATTTCTCTGTACCCTGTAAATTCACGCCCTATCCCACCCTTCAAACCGAAACACAGCCATGCAAACACTACTTCACGGTAGAAACACGAATGGGACAGAGGTACCCAAGCAATCGACTTTTGTACAAAGTCTCCCTCTGGTAAATAAGGTTATATAACAATTGAGCCATAGGATACTTTATGTACTGTACTGATGCACGCGAGCGAAACCGTGGGACACAGATAGTTTTACACTAAGATCTCTACTAGAAGTAGGTTAGTATTAGGTAATATACATGAATATAAAATATTATATAATAACAACATAAAAATACATGATTAAGCAAATAATACCTAATGATAAGATAACTCCAGTCCAAATGTGATAAGTTCTCTGCAAGACTTATTTCATTATTTCTTATATCGTAATGTACCTATCGTAAAAAAATTATCTTGTTGAGTTTTCTAAAATTACGTGAATTCTTTTTTAAAATAAAGATATTTGGTGTTCCTCTGTATAGTTTAGAACCAAATTTTAACTTCTAATATTTGATGAGTTTGATGCTTAATATATCCCTTTAAAAAGATGTATATGGACTCTTATACAAGTCTGCGTATAGCTGAAGGCTGAAGGATCGTAGGGTGGGCACCTTAAAATTTTGGGGAGGGCATAACCCCTCTAGTTCTCATTTTAAATATGTGGATGTATAATTTTATCATTTTTCGTCAGTTAAACTGGATCATTCGTTTGTATATCCACTACAGAAAAGATTTGGATATTTTTAATTGATTAAATATCTAAAAGAATGTTATGTTATGTAGTATTATGTATTATGGCAATTGAGACCAATATCCATTACATTAATTGATCACCAATTAATTGCTTGTTATCATATTTATCACATTAATTAACAGCCCCAATGACTTTAATCTAGTTCAATCTATCTCTGGATCTGTAGATATATAATAATTTAATAAATTTAAATAATAATTAATAATGAAGTTATAATAAATTATAATGTAAATAATGATGAATAGTTGACCTCATGAACTCAACATCAGTACTATTTCAATTATATCTATGCTATAATGAGAACCTCTATAGTTGTGGTATTTGAGGTAAAATTTAATAAGGTTCCAATTTCCCAAAAAAAAAAAAAAAACAATTTTTATAGAAATTATTTGAATAACAAACATTTCACAAAATAAGATTTAATTATTTATTTAATTTTTAATATAATTAGTAAAATGAGAATTCTATAAATAATTTAAGATTTTGTTCCATACAAAATAAAACTATTTCAATTATGGCAAAATTTGAGATAAAAATGACAACTAAATGCAATTCAAAATATGGCAGCATGGTCTCTGACCTTAGTCTGCTCCTCTGGGGGAACAAATGTACAAAAATACAATTCAATATACAGAAAAAAAAAATTTAAAACCAGTTGGATAGAGAACTGTTATAGAGAACTAAATTTATTTAAAAATGTGTCTGGTTGTTTTAAGTTCTGCTCTGGATTGGTTTTTTATTTTATATTTTAATTAGTTTTTTATGTACATTAGAATGGTAAACAAGCTGGTAACTTCATGTGATGGACAGTGGTAACCATCAGATTTAAACATCGACATTACAGAATACACTGCAATGCTTATGATAACCTTCTTATATTGCTTTTTCTCATGACCTACCTTTATACCGTTATACCTTTATAATACTATAAATGTTAAGTTTATTTGAATGCATAGAATTTTAAGCATTCTTAATGATAAATGTAATAAAAAATAGGGTTAATAAAATAAAAAGCAGAATAACTACACAAATTGTTTTCATTAAAATTTACATTTGATACTCTTTTGCACTATGTTTTATCTACTGTTCCGTGTATTTATGCCTGATAGAAACACTATCTATAACCTATGACCTCTGTAGGGGGTCTACTTTTGCAGATATTTATTCTGAAGCTACATAGTCCGATAAAAAAAATGAAATGGTTGTCAACCTTAGAGGCTTGTAGTCACACCCTTATTTTTTATTTTTAAGTGATAAAGGGATGGATAAAACGTTCCTTTCATTTAAAAAGTTCTGAGTTTAGAAACCAAACACATTGTATCACATATAATAAAATTTTGCTTTGCAAAAAACACACTGATAATTATTTTAAACTTTATTGACCAATAAAACATGGTACACTTTAGGGTGAACAGTGTGTCTACATGTTTTATTCTATAAAGAAAAATGGCATCTTCTATCATTGTATAATTATTATGGGACCTACAAATAAAACCAAATTATTGCAAAAAGAATTATAAATAGTTGTTCAAAATTGGTTACATAGAGTGGAATTAAAATTGTTAGTGTCTTTTGAAGGGAGTGTTCTACTAGTGAAATGTAATATTTTCATCACTAAAACATGAGTTGCGGAATGACAAAAAAATATTGAGCCTATAACATATTAACAAATGTCAAGTTTTTTTTATGGATATCAATGAAATGAAACCTTGTTTGCCCTATTGGTACACAGTGATGGGGTACCTGTGAAGGGTAACCAGTAAGGATGTATACAGGTCAGTTAGGCCTTCATGCCTTCAAATTCATCAGGAATTAACCACAATGGTGTGCAGAAAGGACCACTGGGAAGCCAACCTGATAGAAAATACTATTGTTAGCAATTGAGTGACCGCACCTCATTACTAACAATTCTTTCTCCACAGTGTCGACTTACAAGACCTACTAACTCTACAAGATGCAAAATTTCTGAAATTTTTAGTTTTTGATTCATGAAATTTTTATCTCGATATGTTATATAGCATGGGTAGATTCTTAGTATTATGTACTGCTAACAATTTAAATTTTACCCTTATAATTGTGTAACATAGTTACAAAAAATTAATAAATTTAGAATTTTTTGTAAGTTTCTTGACATGAGCGAAATGTTAGTCTGATCTCAACATGCATACTTTCTATAGTAGTTATCTTAGTTTTGGAACAGGTAAATCAACATATGACAGTTTATAAAACATAAAAAATATAGAATAAATTTTTTAATATAATTAAAGTATAAATTATCGAAATTCTACATACATACATAAATGTATGTAGATAATTAACAAACTTACGTGTGTAATTTTATGTAAACACTAGCTGAGCGGGCAAGTCGTTTTGATCCTATATGATTACTGTTATTTACCGGGTTCATTTTTTGATCGAGATAAATACTATACTAAATCTTAAAAATAACTAACTCTAAATAATCATGAATCTTAAGTCTCAAGTTGAAGTAAACAATACATATTTGCAAAATTTCATTAATATCAATTGAGCGGTTTCGTAGATTAATCGTGAACGAATAATCATAACATGGAATTTTTATATATTCTTTTTATTTGGGAGATCAAACCGGCATGCTAGAAACTGTTACGCAAAATATGGAGATTGTAAGAAATCAAGTAATAAAATAATAATCACCTGCACTGTAGAACTTCACGAAATTAGCATTTGATGTCGGTGCTACAAGATTGTTGTTGAATATATTTTTCCCCAAGAGAAAACGTGTTACAGACCTAACAGATGCCATTTTATAAAATATTAATTAAATAAATTAAATATATAACTTTTACGTCGTGTTCACAAAACAAGTTTATGAAAATGAACTTTGAACAAACTTGATTACAATGAATGAAGTTGATAAGACATAGAGATGTACGATATTTATCGATGAGCTATCAAGGATTACGATATCGATAAAAATATATAATCACAATAAACAATACAAAAAAATCAGTATATCCATATTTCAACAAGAATATTAAATAGGTGTTAAACATAAAATATATGTTAATAATAAGTTTTAAACTCTACATGAGAATGAAGTTACACATTATATAATTACTTAGTTAAAAAAAAACCGAAGAGTTACAGAATGACGTTTTATTATACTTTTTAATTACTTGTAAAAAAGTATAGATTTAAAAATTTATACTTATATCAGTTAATATTCAAATTATGAAATTGATATTAAGCAATGATTATCGATAATTCGTATTTAAATATATAGTCATTGCGTTAATTTTGAGACAGCATTTCTTTGGCAATTTGGCATAAGTGACAATTAAAATAAGTGACATATTTTTGTCTTCTTTAGTGGCATTTACGACAGAGGTAAACTTGACTATAATAATTTATCAGAGTTTATGTGCCTTGTTCAAAGATTTCGGAATAGCTTTCTTTTTAGGTGTGAATGTTAATTTGACATTGACATAAAATATACGTCTCTATCTCTCTCTTTTATTTTTTTTTCTTATCTGTCATTCGCAATGGCGAATAAAAAGTTAAAGTATTTTATCTTAACCGGCGAACCTGGTTTGAAACTCATACTATTATCTGTTTTAATTGTTTTTTACTTAGATAGTGACATTTAAATATTAAATAAATGAAATATTACATTTCAGGTGCAGGGAAAACTACTCTAACCAAAAAAATAATATCTATTCTCAGTGATAAAGGAATTAAAACGTTCGGTTTTTATACAGAAGAAGTACGTAGGGATAGAACTAGGGAAGGTTTCGATGTAGTTACATTAGAGGGCAAAAGAGGGCGGCTAGCAAGAGAAGAACGTCTATTAGAAGGGTCTGTAAAGTTTAGAGTGGGTAAATATGGGGTTTTGGTACAGGAATTTGAAAAAGTTGCTTTACCTTGTTTGCAGGAGGTAAGTACTTAAGATATAAAAGGAAAATAAAAGTATCAAAGTCTTGCAGCATTATTACTTTGGTTGCTTTAGGTGTATATTTTCTTTTTTAGTTTAGATACTTATTATGTGGAGGTATATGATTTTGTCTAAATTACACTTTCGATTTGAGGGGAAGAGATTGTTAGTGATGGGGAAGTTAGTCCCCATTGCTATCAATATACCCCATCAGGTCGATCCCATTGTGACTAAGTTATCATTGAATTCATCACAATGGGCTAACTGACTTGCCGTTTCATCTTCACCAATCATCTCTCACTGATGCCCTACCAGTGTTTACTAATAGCACAGGCAGGGTTACCATTCCATCATTATCCATTACAAAAAAGCTTTCATTTTATAAAGCCATTGCAGTGAATCACAAGTCTTTTATATTTTTTTTTAGTAGCCTGGTGTCATACATTTTTGTTTGTTTTTAAGTTTTATTTGGGAATTATGACAATAAATCCCTTATTGTAGGTTGATAAAGAGCAGCTACATTTGTTAGTAATTGATGAAATTGGTAAAATGGAGTTTTTCAGTAATTCTTTTAAAGCCAGAGTAAGAGAGATTTTTAGTGAATCCTCAAATAATATTGTTCTGGCCACTATACCACTTAGAAAGAGTGATGCACTTATAGAGAATATAAGAAACAATAAATATGCCAAGATTTGGACGGTGAGTAAGGGTTGTACATCTTTATAAAGTTGTCTAAAGATGATAAGATATAGCTGTCTAGTTTATTTATTCTTTCAGAATATGGATCATCTATGTCCATTCTTACAGAATTTATCAATTGTGTAGGTATATTTGTTTTTTTGTTACAACCTAAGGTTGTTATTTTTGGATAAATAACTTATTATGTTGCATTAGCTTACAGATATTTATAATAATAAAGATTAGCCTAAGGAAATGTATTAAAATGATAAGTAGTTGAATAAGCATCTATTATTCACTTATTATTTTACAGACAATAGTCACAAAATTAACAATGTACAAATAAATTACAAGAAATGTCAAAATCAAATATTGAGTAATTACATAATATTGTTTAGTTATTACATTGCTCAGGATATCCAACAAATATTTTTCACTAGTAATATTTTTTCACAATGTTTTTCCAATGGCAATTCCTAACATAAGGTGGTGGCTATGGTGTCAAATTATTGATCTATTAGAATTGTATAAATTACAATATACTACAATTTTAAAAATTAAAATACAATTTAGTGTGTTCCTGTTATAGATTGAGCCACCCCTTCCTTCCCCATGGGTGTTGTAAGAGGAAATAAGGGGAATTTAATTGTCAAGGGATGGGCAGCAGCGTTCCTCTCAAAACATCATCAAGGCCTAACTGTGGTTGCCTACTTGCCTGCCAAGCATAGTAACTACTGGCAAAACCCCTTTAGGAGGAGGCCATTGTCAGCAGTTGAGAGTTAACAGCTAATATGACAAATTACTGTGATTTTCTAAAATGTAGAGTTTTAGGAAATTTCACAATTATATGTTTTATAAAAACAACAAGCAAAATTTTTTTTTAATTTGTCATTGTATTTAATTTTTATTACTTAACAATCTATCCTAATTTTTGTAAACTAATCTAAGTACTTTTACACATTAGTAATAAAATCTATATTTACATTTTAGGTAACTAAAGAGAATAGAACCAACATTCATGAAGAAATATTAAAAGAAATGAAATCGGTTCTGGGATTTAATTGACTGTTATAAGTATACAAAAAATATATACTGAGAAGATGTTAGGGTAAAAGTACGGTAAAGTAGTATAAGTACACTTTGTAACAACTAAAAACATTGTAGAAAAAAAGTAAAAGATAAAAGATTCCTTAATAAAAATACAATACACATACAAAAATACAATACAAATACACTTACATTTTACCTTATAAAATAATGTTGTACTAATAAATGAAATCTAGTATGTTTCAATATTTCTATATGTATGTTTCAAGTAGTCGGTATTTAGACTGCATATAAGAAAATATGACTAGATAATCGAGATTGTAATTATATACCTTCATTAATCATAAATGGTAACAGTGGGGAGGGGGGGGGGTCCCATTGCTAGTCCTGTCAGATCTATCTCCATATGGTCCTCCCTGAAAACCATTGTGCTGAATCCCAGGTGCTGACTAACTGACCTGCAGATGGGCTAACTGACCTGCCTTTTAATTTTTTTCAACAAAGGGTTATGTTTGTTTTAACTTGGCCATGTTTGGTTCAGTTTCGTCACTCAAATTGAGTTTTATATAGTTTGACATCTTTGGTCCAGTGTGGTTAAGTATGACCAAGTTTAGTCGAATTATTTCCCATTTAGTAGGAGCATATTGAAACCAAATTTGCAAATTTTAGTTTAATTCTTCTTCTATGGAAGTTGGTTGAAAATAAATGTGATAACCGCTTGACAAAGCTTGGCCAAACTTGCATAAAATTACCTCAAATTTCAAAATTAAAAATCTACAACATAAGCCATCTTTTTTGTGAAAACCTATAATTTTTTGATTAGCAATGTCAATGAAAAATTATACCCAGAATAAAATGTAATTATTCATACAACGCAACATAAAAAATCAATAATCGAAAATTTCAAAATAAATTGGTTCAATCATCAAATTCAAAAGTAATATGCATGCAATTAACATTTGGCAGGTACCAACAGAATGTATGGCTGATCGGTACCATTCTACCCTCGCACTACAGTTAGCCCATGTAGATTCCTTTGTGAAACTATTGTATGAAAAGTAGTTTTTTATATTGTGCCCATATTATAAATATGAAGGTGGTTTTGTTTGATACCTGTTAGGTGGCGGTAGGAGGTAAAGCATTTGTCGGGTCTGCTAGTAATTAATAATATTCACTTTTATTCACCACGCAATAAATATATAAAATATATTTTGAGATCAAGTAGAAGTTTCAGGTGAGAAAAAATACAATTTACAAACGAAGCTTCATAGCTCAGTTATAGTCAAAAACAATGGCGGATGAATACATAAACATTTTCCAATATCCTCAATAGTCAGTTAACGAGTTACGCTCAACAAGTTTAAAATTGGGCGAATACAATAAAATTCCATAATCAGCTATGCGCTACAAATTACAAAAATGTGGTATACTGTAAAAGAATTTTGAAATTTTTATGTGTTCATTGCTTTTGAAGCTGGCTATATTAATGGAAATTATTGCATAAAGTATTAACTTACGTGTATTTTTTTAAATACTCATTCAATTTCGGGACGTTTCGGAACCATTAATCGTTACGTGAACCTGCCTCATCATTAATGGTAATGGTCACTCATGATTAAGGGTCCCGGATGGTCCCAAACTAATAAAGCATTCTTGATAAAAATACACTTAAATTTAATATCCCTAAATACGGCTACGCACACCTGCAAAACTAGGGGTGTCAGATTATTATTTTTTGCAATAAAATGTAATGTGTATTTATGAAACTATCTATAACATTAATAGCTAGATGATATAAAGTATCAGCTATTATCATCTGAGTAATCGTCAAATTGTCCTTCAGATTCATGCCATACTCTAGGGTTGCACATTTTCTCATACTTCACTATTTCTGCTACGGAGACAGGATGTGCGTCCATTGGGCAGAAGTGACCTTCTGCCATTTTCTTTTTCACGAAAAACAGCCACGGCGACTGAGCGGGTGGAGACACGCGCCGCGTATAGCCCGGTACCCAGTACTCATCAGAATCCCAATCTTCGGGAGAACTCGGTGGATCATAATTTTGTTTTGATACTGGAATAAAATATTTCGTAAAATATAAAAACAGCAATCGGGCCGATTCTGAAGTACCGTGAAGCAATTGTGTTTGCATGGCTGTGTATCGGTTTGATGGTAGTAAATTTACAGGGTACAGAGGAATAAGTCTCGAGTCCTCAGGAATGATATCGCATGGGGTGTATCTTGGGCGAAACCGTATACTTTGTTATATCCATGGTACTATACTGCTCATGTATATAAGCGACAGTTACTACTTTTAATCAGATGGGCCGTCAGCTTGTTTGTCATTCTAAGTTGTATAAAAAAAATTTAATTCCATGGGCATAACAGAGTATACTGTTTCGCCCATGATACCCCCCATGCGTTGCCATTCCTGAGAACTCAGGTGTAATTCCTCAGTACTCAGTAAATTCACACCAAAATAACGAACCAGATAGACTTCCTATGAAAGTCATCTAGATGGAACAATTTTTTAATGAGTGACAATGAAATGGCAACTCCGCCTGCGCTATCGATATATGTTGGCGAGTCACCAGTTAGTGATTATAGGTGAAGATGAAGCAGGTCAGTTAGACAAATTCCACATAAATTATTCACGACGGTTTCCAGGTTAACCACATAGAGGTCAACTAGATAGGGTATATATATACATATATATTTCATGTATGTTGCTTTAAGATGTTAAGAATATACTAATTAGGCATCTAAACAATGTGACTGTAAATCAAGTTATATACCTTCATCATTATTATCAATTTGTAAACTGCACAGGAGTTCTTCATCATCAGTTGTGCAATGAGATTGTTCACTGTCTTGTCTGTCCTCTTCAATTTTCCTAAAATGATTAATTAATTTCAGCAAACTATCATTTAAATATATATAGGTTAGAAAGGATTAAAGAAGATGTTGGATATAGACAGTTTAATTTTTATTATTAATTCTGTTAATATCCATTACTTTACATAGGGGACATGGATGGACTATGGGGACATAGGCTGTCCCAACAACACGGAGCTGCCACTAAACTAATATTATAAATAGGAATATTTTTAATTTTTTGTTTGTAATGGATAAACTAAAAAAAACCTATTTTTAAATTCTTTCACCTATAGTAAACTACATTATGTGTAAGTGACATTGGATGTTTTTATTTAAATAATCTGTGCAGTCAGGTAAATCACTAGTATACTAAGATTTAGACACAATGCCAATTGTCTTAAATTAGGAATGCAGAAGGAGATCTTGCTTATCATAGATAGACAGATGTATAATTTTTGCATTATTTACACACAAATAACAACAGACATATCTACATCTATTGTTATTTGTGTCTATCTAAACATACACAAAACAAAAAATATATATAAAAAGGAAAATGAAATAATTTATCCTTTCATAGTAACACAAAAAGGTCACAATTCAGATAATTACCACACTGTATTGTGGTATTTATTATGCTGTTTATTAGTAATCATTTTTCATTAAGTGAATAATCAGTTAGTTATTTAAATCACATAAAAATAAATATAATTTAAATAATACCTTCCATCAAAACGGTCCGTAATATTTAACCTCAGTTTTCCCTTTTTAACAGCATAATGTGGGTCATCCGGTTCATCGAAAAAGTTCTGAGCCAAGTCTAGTTCTGCTACATTTTTTATTTCCTCCAGCACCTCATATAAACCATTATTATACAGGTCTACAACATGAAGGTTCAATTCAACAATTCTCTCTGGGAGTGTGCATAGCTCATTGCAATCTATATATAAGTGTGTCAATTTATTTAATTTATAAATATTGTCTGGTAAATACAAAAGGTTATTATGTGACAGCACACATATTTCAAGATTCACCAAATCACAGAACTCATTTGGCAGATCAGAAATGTAGTTATGCGACATATTAATTTCTACTATATTCTTAAATACAACTATATCTGACTTAATTGTATATATCTGTGTGTTACACAAAATCAGTCTTTCAATATCACAGCATTTATTTAACCCTATACATGGTGCATCACCAACATGGTTAGCAAAGTTACTATAATTAGGCATACCAACATGAAGTGTTTTGACTTTAGAAAAGGTATTAAACAGCTTCATATGGTCACCCAATTTACAATTTGATATATTTACTTCTGACACTGATACATTATACTGTAATAATTCTTCCAAGTATCCATTTTGGAATGACTGTGATAGTTTAAAGTTATAATTAAGATTGAGTTTAGATAGTTTCGATGGAGATTCAGTCCACACCCAGTATGGTGGCCCTGCTAGGTGATTATGTGATAGGTCTAGAGTTTCTATAACGTGACAGAAATCAGGCGTTTTGTCAAAATAGCCTATTAAATTATGTGATAAATCTAATGTTTGCAGTTTCTTCAATTTTAACACAACATCAGGTACTTGCACTAATCCATTGTTTGATAAATTTAAGTTACACAAATTGGGTGGAAATTGCACATTGTCGTCAAGAGTTAGGATACTTTTATTGCTTAAATCGATATATGTAATATTTGCAGACCACTGCAAAAGAGTGGTGTCAATCTTTTCAGCAATTCTATTTTTAAAACCATTTTTGTATTGAAAGGATTTTTCATTTCTTGTCGCCATTAACAGTGATTCGGCACTACGAAGTGCAAGTAGCGCTTTTTGTATAAAATACTATGCCAATGTTTTTAACATATATGTTAAATAAATAACTAGTTTTCTTGTTCTATATGATTGTTATTCAATATAAACATAACCTCACTTTTGTTAAAAATCCTTTTTTTTTTAGTACGTTTGTTCCGTTGTAGAAGAGGATAAGGTCGGAGACCATACTGCCTAGTCTTCAATATGATAATTTGTCTGAAATAAAATGTCTGTTAAATTCCTTTTTTTTTATTTATAGGGTTTGATAACTGTCATCGCCCTGTTGTATCTAACGTAAAACGGAAAATATAAAATTTATGGGGTGAATAGAAACACTTTCGGGAAAGTTTTTTGAGTAGAATAACCAGCTGTTAGTATGAAAAATACACAGACATTTCATTTATTTAAAATCAACTATATCTTTTATTGTTCTGTTAATACCGATTTTTTTATGAAGTCCCGTTAAATATTTTAAAATATATTTGAAAGTCTTCAGTCCCTTCGATTACATTTAAGCCTCTCAAAACTACAATTATATCTAATAGCCAACATATTATTTAAGTAACAGAGATAAATATTTTTAATTAAGTATTTATTTCAGAAGTCATGTAACGAAAAACAAGTGCATTTGTGAAATATTTAAGTATCCACTGACTACATGTCACACAGTATGGGGCGAATAAAATATTTTCTCTTTTTTTTTCCTCTTTCCCCGCTCCACAATAGATATAATATGTGCTAATAATAAATGTTTTTTTTAATGGGTGACAATGGAATGATAACTCCGACAGCGCTATCGGTATACGCTGGCGGCGCTTCAATAAAGGATGGTAGGTGATGATGAAAGCAGGTCAGTTAGCCCATCGTGACGGATTCCAATAGAATTAATTACGGTGGTTTCCAAAAGGGAAATGCGAGGAGGTCGACTTGATGGGGGTGTATTGCCAGCAATGGGTTAGTTAGATCCTATTAATAACAATCCGTGTTTCCTATGTTTAAGGGACATACATACACACCGTGGGAACGAGGAAAAGGGGAATGAGAGAAGGGAGAGAGAGGACAATGGAATAATAAGAATCGTCATACTGGACAAAAATTATCGCTCTTTGTCCATGACTAGGAGGTCTCTAGGCGTGGGACGGCCTTCCAACGGACGCGCATGCAACGGGGCTAGGCCCCTCAGGTGGAGATGTAGTTCGCTGTCGGTAAAAGCGAACATTTTGTGCGTTGTTTTCATTGCATTCGTACGATACTAGACTAATGTTTGTATTATATATAATAAATAATTATAGTATTTAAGTGTAAATATGTGCTTAGTATTCGATGTATATATATTTAAATTTATTGTTAGACATCTTATTAAATACTTGTAGTATTTAATAAGATGTCTAACAATAAATATTTTGTATGTAATATAAATTAGTATGGAAATGTTTAAACTATGTGGCAGTCGCCTATACCGACTTATAAAAACGAGAATATAAGAATAGAAACGAGTAAGAGATCAATAGAGAAATTGTAGTTAGGGCTGTCAAATTCTACTATTATTATTTATATATTGGTAAATAGAATGTTTTACGAAGAAAAACTAAAATAAAGTACTGCAGGCAGTGGAACTGTCAGGTGACTTTAAGCTCATAATCAGTACTTATCTTGAATTTTTTTCTACAGTTAATTACTATCACCATACCTTTCTTGATTTCTTAATCTATGTTTTTGGCTTGTTGGTAAGTAGATACTTTTGCATTCAGCTAGCTATTTTTTTTTTAATTTTTTTTATTATTTTTATTCCAGCGCAAAAGGGAAGAGTTGTCCTATGTAGGTATGCCATTCAATTTGTTTTCTTGTCCAAACTGAATAACTTTAAAGAAATATGAATATATTAATGGGATAAAAATTAAATGGTAAATTGCCTGGGTTGACGGTAGGTATACACTTGGGCTACTAGAATGTAATAGATAGATGATAGATGGGTGTGGATGAATTCAGGTCGGTCGGCTCTTTATGAGTAATTCACGAGAAATTAATTAATAACGATAATTTTCAAAGGGGAACGCGTAGAGGTCGAGTTGATGTTACGATATATGGACGAGTGGCGGTCTTCCATCGTGCGTTTTTTTTTTAAACATACAGCTGAATTACAGTCAATACATAATCAAAGCACTTTCTTCCACGCACTACCACTCTTTGGAATCAACTTCCAGTAGCAGTATTTCCAAACCGATACGACATCATAGCCTTCAAGAAAAGAGCATATTCCTTTTTAAAAGGCCGGGAGCACACTGCAATGCCGTTGGTGTTGTGGGTGATCATGCGCGGCGGTTGTCACTTACCATCAGGTGAGCGCAGACTCGTTTGCCCCCTGTGTTGTAAAAAAAAGAACTAGCATTGCCATTAAATCCTGTTATAAAGAAAATCTCTCCTACAGCCATAATTTAATAGTTCGGTTTTACAGATTTCTTTGTTGATTGTAGGTAACATGAATTTGTAAACATTTTTAGAAGTGTGTAGCAAAACTAGGTATATACCTATGCAGTGGAAATATTTACGTAATTAAGTAGATGTTTTATAAACTTGCCACCGAGTCCCTTAAAACATTGCCTCGATCTTTCTTTACAATTAAACCTGTAGCTTAGTGTACAGCTTGAAGATGATTTTAAAAAAATGTTTTTTATTTAAACCTTTATTATTTGTGTTAGTAATTTTTATAGTTGTAGTGAACGGCGGAAAAAGTTCTGACGAAGCTGGCGATAAACCGGACATTGCTAGAGTCGGAAAAACTAAAAAAGCTAAAATGGGTCAGTACTAATAGTTTTTGAAATCGATTGGCTTAGCTAATTTATATCAGTTATGTCTTAATATCCGCAAAAGAACCAAAGTATTTGACATAGTCCGAAGTATAAGCAACCTGAAGTGGCAATGGGCTGGTCACATAGCTCGAAGTATCGACCCCCCACTAGATGGAGTGCCAACCTCAAATGCGATGAAGAGACTCAGTGGATGCAGGTAGCTAAGGACCGTTACTTATGGCATGATATCTCTATGGGGGAGGCCTATGCCCAGCAATGGACAGATAATGGTTGAAATAACGATGATGATGACGTCTAAATATTCTTATAAATGCCTACTTTAGTTGCCCTTAACTTAAATTTTATGATTGTTATGACATTTCTCTGTTTGCTCAGCAGGGAGATGTTAATGTTTTTAAAGACATACCAGGTCACTCAGAAAGTATTGCGAGAAAAAGTTTTTATGTATGTGAGACTGGCAAGTAATAATTTATTTAAAAATTTGATTACTTAGAAGTAAAAATAGGTTCGTTCTAAATTCAAATGTTTGTAACATGAAACTCATTATACGTTTTGAGAATCTGTAAGTGAAGTGAGCAATTTATACTTAAATAAGTAAATATTAACCGTAAAACTATATATAATATCAATACATTGGAGGCTGACTCATTATTGTTTATACTCAGACTTATCTCCTCGATGTCCTACGCTACTATACTTAAATATTTATGAACATAGAAAGATATTTTTCAACCGACTTCAAAAACAAGGAAGTTACCAATTTGGATATATTTTTTATGTTTGTTACTTCATAACTCCATCAGTTTTAAAACGATTTGGAAAATTCTTTATCATTTGAAAGGATACATTTACAGATTGAAGTCATTTTTTCTGTGCACCATAATGTTACAACAGACAGGTTGATTAATAAATATAGAATAACAACAATAATGAGTATTAATTCTTTCAGCTCAAAAGACTGCTGTCGGAACATTTTCCAATGTAATAACACAAATACAAAACTTACCAACCATGGACCTCGGTAAGAAGTTCAGGACGCCGTGCAAAACGGGCAACCGGTGTGGAAAGGTCAGGACATGAGCAGTACCATAAACATAACAGAGTATACTGTTTTGCCTATGATACCCCCCATGCGTTACCATTCCTGAGGACTAAGGTGTTATTTCTCTGTACCCTGTAAATTCACTGCTATATCGCAACCTTTAAACCGAAACACAGCCATGTAAACACAACTGCTTCACGGTAGAAACACGAGTGAGAGAAAGGTATCCAAGCAAGCGACTTTTGTACAATGTGTCAGGTCAGCCACATGCTCCTTTACCCCCTGTGTATAAAAAAAAAAATGATAGACTCCTAGATTTTCCAATTGACGGCGATCCGGAAACTGGCGAGACGCTGGACACAAAGATATCTTAGTAGACACTAAGGCAATAAAATTAATTCTAATTGGCACGTTTATAATGTTAGTAAGGATTAATTTGTTAAATTGTTAATCTTTCGCTTTTTTTTTGCATATTCTTATAAAAAAAAAAAAAAAAAACAATTCTTCAGGTAATAAAACGTCTTATGGTGCCGAAGTTGGCGCAACTCGAGAATACAATAATGGGCATCATGAAGGAGCTCTCCAAAATGCCACCAGGATCTCGTCTCCCTGACAAGTATACCAAGACCGAACCCGTCAAGTTGCTGTTAGATCAGAACTACAAGTAAGAAATTAAGCTTGAAATTGGTTCTAAAATTTGTACTGTGCCTGCAGGTAGATCAGGACTGTTCCTTATGGCAGTCTATGGGGGATGCCTATGGTCAGCGGTGGACGGATAATGGCTGAGATGATGATGATGAATGAAATGAAATTATTATGTAAATAAAACATACATTATATATATTAAATAAACATTACATTACATCACATTAGAAACATCTAAAATAATTAGTATTTCTCTGCTATATTATGCATGTATTATACATGTAAACTTTCCTTTTGAAACACTCTATCTATTAAAAAAATCGCATCAAAATCCGTTGCGTAGTTTTAAAGATTTAGGTAACATAGAGACAGATAGACAGGAAGCAACTTTGTTTTATACTATGTAGTGAAGTGATATACTTGGCACAAATATCTATTCTATCTATTCTAGACAAGTACATAAATATAAAGGGTTTTAAGCAAATAAACAGGTAGATCAAAAATTTATTTGCAAATTAATTTATCTAAATGTTTTTATTTTACAGGGAAGACGTTTGTATGGACAAATTAGAGTCGTGTTTGAAAGAAGATAAGAGACGGAAACGGATTTTGAAGAAGTTATTCTTCAAGAAGTACAATGCTTTGAGACAAGAACTGATCGGATATGGTGGGAGGCGGTTGTGGGGCGGGGAAGGAAACTTATTTTATAGAAAATAAGAATATGAATAAACTAAATTAGTAATTTTACGCATCGTTATTTCAACTCGTCCATACGTAGTATCTGGCTGAATACAAATTAAGCCTCTGTCTTATAGCTATAAAAGTTTATAAATATGAAATGAATAAATTTGAATTTTGAATATTTGATCAATTTAAATTTCGAAGTAAGCCTTTAAAAGAATATTACTACCTAACATTTTCGAATTAAATCTTTGTGCAAATGTTCGAAATTTAAATTAGAATGCAATATGTCTGGGTTGCTGTTAAGAGTTGCTGCGAGCGGATTGCGGATGTGAGAGCATTTTACAGGTATAGCTGTTGATATAGTGATAAATGAGATTACAAATCAATAATATAGGGTTAACCCAAATATCGTTCCGATATTTTGAAATAAAAAAAAATAAATACTTTTCATCAAAACACCAAACCTCTCGTAAAACTATTTCAGCTATTGAACTGTTTTGTCTCTTTTTTATACTTGATTGCCAGTTTGAATGAAAGTGACAGGACAGTGTAATAGTTAAAATGGGTTATAGTTTTTATAAATAAGTGAGAAAACTTACAAGAACTGTTATACGTCAGACCGCGGTTATTGTGTTCTAGATTTATGGTTTCAAATACGACAACCTTAGACGCGACAACCCTATCCGTGGGAGACACCTACATAGGTAGTTCATATCAAATCCATATTGGTACCTATTATAAAAACAAAAATGTCTCACGGCTCGACATTGTGGAATGCAGCGATGATTATTCCATATAAATCTTAGAATGCTTATTTTTAAATGAAGACTGCATAACCGTTAAGGTATGATTTAATTAATAAAGTATTAAATACTTTTTTATATCGTTCTATAAAATATGAAGTTAATAGAGTTATTATTTAGGCATGGACATTCATTAATTCGATGTGCAAGAGATGATTTTGTATTAAGGTTGCCTGGAAGAGATAGCTATTAGCGATAAGGTCGCCCATTGTTTTTTCATTGTGATTATTTCTTGTAATTATTTATATTTATAATAAGTTTACTGTTGTAATCTTTTGGAGGAAACAATAAAGAGTATCTATCTATCTATCTAATGTCGTCGGATACCTTTATTTCAATTATTCGTCTACTGTGAAACAGTTGTATGGGTTGTGGGGATATGGCAGTGCAACTGCAGGGTACGGAGGCATGATACGATAGTTCTTAGAATGTAACGCATGAGGCGTTTTTTAATGAATGATATTGGAATGATAACCCTGTCTGCGCTAACGGTATACGCTGGCAGGGCACCAGAGAGGGATAGGTGAGAATGAAAAGGCAGGTCAGTTAGCCCATCGTGATGACAACACCTGTAACTCAATACGATGGTTTCCACGGTGAGGTCGGCCTGCCAGGGTATATTATTAGCAATGGATAGTCCGCATTACTAACAATCCCATCTCTCCACACTTGAGGGGTACTATTGGTATTACAGTATATCCTGTTTGCTTGGGTATCTCTGTCCCAATTATCTTTCAACCGTGAAGCAGTTGTGTTTGCATGGCTGTGTTTCGGTATGAAGGGTGGGATATGGCGTGAATTTACAGGGTACAGAGGAATAACACCTGAGTCCTCAGGAATGGCAACACATGGGGGGTATTATGGGCGAAACAGTATACTCTATTATGTCCATGGTACTGCTCATGTCTATTGGCCACGGTTACCACTTTCCATCAGGTGGGCCGTCAGCTTTTTGCCACTCTAAGTTGTATAAAAAAAAAACACTGTCTATGCATAACTCTCCAATTAGAAAAAAATACTTTCCAAAAAAGATCCACGCGAGAGGAAAGAAGGAGGAGAGTTGGAAGTGACTAGTTCTTAGCCATACCATTTCATTCTGCCATTTAATTTAAGAATTACTCATTTGTACTAAACGCACTTACAGATAGATAGATAGATAGATAAACACTTTATTTGAGCCATTTATGACACACGTAAATTAACAAATAAGTTTATACAATCAGATTATTTACATTTTTGCAAATATAAAACAAAAGATGAAGTATGGAGATATGTTTTCACCAAGTGTGTCGCAGTGACCCAAATAGGCTACAGCTCAGTGATAGTCTTGCTTAAAAGCAAAGCAATGATTTTCAGCTGCAACCTGAAGTTAGGCTACACGGACGCGTGCAACAAACCCAAAGTGTAACCTGTGTAACCAATTTAACAGCAAAAGGTAAAATTTTATTATATAGATACATACTTATATAAATAATGCATAAATAATATATTTCATTAATTAATTAAATATACAGTATAAATAATAATTCACCACAGTAACTATTATGTTAATTCTTTGGGGGAAAGGGATTGTTAGCAATGGAGTTTGATAGCCCCATTGCTAACGATATGCCTTATTAGGTTAACCTCCTCATGGTTCCTCCTGGAAACCATCGTGAACAATTCTTGTTGAATTCGTCACGATGGGGTAACTGACCTGATTTCATTCTCACCTATCATCCTTCACTGGTGCCCTGCCGTCGTATACTGATAGCGCGGTTGGGGGTTACCATTTCATCCAATAAAAAAAAACTATCATGTTAAAAGCAGTCGTACATTATTTGAGTCACGTGCCGTTAATCACGTTTTACATGTTACTAATTACGTAAATCTGTTTGTAAACACAACTTGAGAGTTTAACGAACAATAACGATTTGGTAAACACGACACAGTTTGCAAACCGAGCAGAGGAAGTTTACAGGAAATTAATGTGAATTATTCTATAAGGTTTTTCTACTATTTTCACGTCTGTTAAGGACCGAATTATAGTTAATCATTACAACACTGTGCACTGTACTTATTATGATTTAATTAAAGTTCTCTAAATAGTAGATTTAGAAAGAAGCATACAATTTTTAATTAAGTTATTGTTTATTGTGTTCAGAACTAATATTAAAATGAGTGATACAAAGTTAAATTTACATATTATTTTTATCGTTTTATGTATATTTTTAAAAGGAATTCGCGCCGTAGATGACTGTAAGTTGAAATGTTAACTATTTAATTATTTGATGTCTTATTGTATTGTACTTATTGTGTGTAATATATTATTAAACGTGTATTGTATGCCGTGTGGTCCCGGCATAGAATAGGCCACCCCTTTCTTTCCCGTCGGTGTCGTAAAAGGCGACTAAGGGACCTTAATGATCAATGGATGGGTAGCAGCGTCTTTCTGAAACTATTATTAAGGCCTCACTGCAGTTACCAACCCGCCTGCCAAGCTTGGCAACTAATGGCAAAACCCCTCAATAAGGGGAGACCTCAATTACTGGCTGTACTTTATGTAAATTCTGTTTTTTTTTTATGTAATTTAGAATGGCAAACAAGCTGACGGCGTACCTTTATTATATTTTAAAACCATCGCCTATAGACATGAGCAGTACTATTGACATAACAGAGTATACTGTTTCGCCCATGATACCCCCCATGCGTTGCCATTCCTGAGGACTCAGGTGTTATGCTTCTGTACCCTGTAAAGTCATATATATGTTTATATTTTTTTTTTTAATTAATTAAAAAATATTAATATTGTAATCTCTGATATAATATATTGGCTATATCCCGTGGCTTCACTCGCAAATAAGCACTTAAAGTATACTATGTGCTAAGTTAGGATATAACATACCCGTGTACCAAATTTCATTCAAATTCATTCAATAGTTTTTGCGTAAAAGAGTAATAAACTTTCCATATAATATACTTTCTAATAATAATCTAAATTTCTAATAATAAAATAAATATAGAACTAGACAGATCAAACCAAGTATCCTCCAGTACATTTTTGCTTTCATTTTTGCATTACACATCTCTCTGATCACTATATTACAGCGTTACTATTCTCCGTGACGCGAGCGCCTCGGTATTTCGGAATATTACAGGACCACCGTGGTCAGCCGCTCTCCGTGGAAGTCTCAGAGGAGTACATGGACCAGGATTATATAGCTACTAACAGGTACGATATAACTTTTTTAAATAATAGAGTACGATATAGTACTATCTCTAATGGAGTGAGTGGAACGTTTAACTTTGTGCTCTCAGATCAAGTTTCAGTTGTAATTTCTGAATTGTCAGATTCGGTCAGGATTATTTAAATTATCGTTTGCTAATAATAATACCCTTTGATGCCATGTGGTCCTAGTGACTACCCCTTCCTTTTCTGTGGGTATCATAATAGGAGACTAAGTGAGAGTGAGGGATGGGCATCAGCGTCCCTCTTAAAACATCTCCAAAGATTAACTGCGATTGCCAATCCGAATGCTAATCATGACCACTACTGGCAAAATTGTTCTGTTTCTGGCAAATGGATTTTATTTCATTTTAAAACCCCCCAAAGTGGAGGCTTATGTTCACCAGCAGTGCACAGTTAATGGCTGCTATGATGATGATGAATTAATTATTATTATTTATTTAAATTAAGAATTGTAAAGATATGAATCAAATAGAAATAGTAACTGCTTGTAAAAAATAGCACTATAAGTAGTCTATGGATGCAATGGTTTGATGCATCACTTGGAAAGATTCAAATTGCTTCTTTCAATTATCAAAGACGGTGTTTCTTCTTATCATTAGATATAAAGTATTTTATTAATATGGTAAATCTATTTTTTTTTTGATGGGTGAAAATGGTATGGTAGCCCCGCCTGCGCTAACGGAATACGCTGGCGGAGCACCAGTGAAGGGTCATAGATGAGAATGAAAACAGGCCAGTTAGTCTATCATGATGAATTCATCAGGAATTAACCATGATAGTTTCCACCAAGATTCCAAGATAGGGGGAACCGCGAGGAGATCGACCTGGTTGGGTATATTGCTAGCAATAGGATTCTCAATCTCCATTACTAACAATCCCTTTCCCCCCTGGTAAATCTATTAACAATGCTACTTATTTTCATTATGTTTGGTTATAGGAAACGGCACAAAATCAATTGGAATCAGTAAGTTCTTTAATAATATCGATATTTCTATACTCTAAGGCGAAATCTCTCCGAAACTAGTTGTATGCACGAGTGGACTTATGAAAATGGATAAAGCAAGCGATGCGTATAAGGATAGACATTTTTACCATTTAATGTTCTCATCTTTTTTGCAAGGGATTTAGTGTGAAGATAGATAAAGAGGTTTAAAATGTGGGATTATCAAACGCACTGAAGCTTAGGGGCATGTACTTATCGAAATGAATAATGTAACAGAATTTTTTTGTTTGCTAATGGAATGAATTGTGCATTAAGTAAGCATTGCATGAGTTTCCAACAAAGTTATTAAAAACCTGTGCACATATAATATCTCCAATTTTAAGTTATTTAATAAACTTATCTTTCATAGAAGGGACATTTCCAGATTTACTTAAAATTTCAGTAATAAAACCAATTTATAAGAAATATGACAAACAGTTAGTAGATAATTACAGACCTATTTCCTTGATACCAATAATAGCAAAGGTGTTTGAAAAGGCAATATATACAAGAATCGTTGCTTTTCTAGACAAATTCAAAATTTTAAAAGATGACCAACATGGTTTTCGTAAAGGAAAATCTACTTCTTTAGCTGCATTTAAGCTTATAAAGACAATAACTGAAAATATTGACAAGAACATTGACACAGTTGCAGTTTTCTTTGATATGAGCAAAGCATTTGATTGTGTATCCCATGACATTCTTCTCAAAAAATGTGAAAAATATGGTCTACGAGGACTTGTATTACAATGGCTAACTAGTTATCTAGAAAATCGCCGTCAATATGTCGAAATTAGTGGAATTAATGATCATGCTGAAGAAATACATTATAAATCCAAAACCTCTGTTAATGATGTGGGAGTTCCCCAAGGAACAATTTTAGGACCCCTGTTATTTATAATATATATAAATGACCTACCAAATGTAACTAAACACCAATGCACCTTATTTGCGGACGATTTTTCAGTAGTAATATCACAAACTCCACAAACAGATTTCAATACTGATATCTGTGATACTATTGCTAATGTTGTGGAATGGCTCGACTCAAATTGCTTAGAAATTAATATTGAAAAAACGAAATATATGAGATTTTATAATAAAAGACCAAAAAGTGATCAATTAATAATTACAATTCGTGAAAAATTAATAAATGAAATAAAAGAAATTTCATTTCTTGGTATTACTATTGATAACCAATGCTCGTGGAAAAACCACGTAATAAAAATATGTAATAAATTAAACAGATTTGTCTATGCTCTCTGGAAATTAACCAAATTAGTAGATCAAAAAGCAGCAGTCATGGCATATCATGGACATGTGGCATCAAACCTTAAATATGGTATACTATTATGGGGAAATTCGGTAAATATTAACAGAGCGTTTATAACTCAGAAACAATGTATCCGTGCCATCTGTAATAAGCGACCTATGACACCTTGTACGCCACTATTTAAGCAGCTGAAAGTACTCACGGTTCCATCAATATACATATTGGAGTGTTGCCTCTTTGTGAAAAAACATTCTTATTTATTTGTAAAAAAAGATGACTACTATAAATTTACTATTAGACATCCTGGAAGGCTTAAGCTACCAAACATAAAAACACGTCTATATCATAGTAACAGTTACTCATCGTGTATAAGAATTTACAATAAATTACCAAATTCACTTACTGATCTGTGTTTAAAAAGGTTTAAAGTCATTTTATGTAAATGGTTAATAACAAAATGTTTTTATACACTGAAAGATTATTTTGCAAGTAAAATGGACGACATTATATAATTGAATCTAGAATGTAGAATATTGTATGCAACACATATTTGTAAATGTATGACGGACGTAACCTACTGAAAAATAATGACATGCATGTATAATTTTACAATAATAATTTGAACTTCAATGTGGCTTTAGTAATATGACTTCTAATTAATAGTTGATTATTAATAATACATATAAAATGTTGCATGCCAAGCTGGCTGAATGTCATGGTTACACAAAATGTATAATGTTATCTAAACTTACCACATTCATCGCAATAAATTTCATTTCATTTCATTTCATTTCATTTCATTTCATTTCATTTCATTTCATTAAGTCCGCCCTATGTATCAATCTTTTTTTTTTATAAAACGTACAATCTTTTGCCATTCCTGACGATTAAGACGTTTCTTGTGCAACTTATAATGAGAAATATTGCGACGGCCCATTCGTTGAAATACAGTAACGCTTGAAGTAATCCTTGAAGATTACGGATTATGGTGTTATACTTACCCTGTAATTTTACTACCATATCCCATCTTGAAATAAAACTTGAAACCAAAAATAGCCATGCAAGTATAGCAGCTTTTTGACTGATACAAGAGTGGGACAGAGGTATATAAGCAAACTATTTTGGTTGTTTCCTTCTGGTAAAAAATATTTGTATATACATCAATTTGTGGCATAGAATGGGCCATCTCTTATTTTTCCGTGGGTGTCGTAAGAGGTGACTAAGGGAACTTAATTGTCGAGCGATGGGTAACAGCGTCCCTATTAAAACATCGCCAAATCCTAACTGCGGTTGCCAGCCGTCTGCTAAGCGTGGCAAAGGGGAGTATCATGGGCGTAACAGTATACTCTGTTATGTCCATGGTATTGCTCATGTCTATAAGCGACGGTTACCACTTTCCATCAGGTGGGCCGTCAGCTTGTTTGCCATTCTAAGTTGTATAAAAAAAAATTACAGGCAAAACCTCTCAATAGAGGAGGTCTCCCCCCCAACAGGGGGAGGTTATGTGAATAGTTAAAGGCTAATATGATGATATGTACCAATTATTGTTTTAAGTCAATAAATAAGATAGATAAATGAATTTATTGTATGATAGTGTACAGTTCATTTAAATTGTAAATTTTTTTTTAGAAATCCATTGGACATAGATGATTTTGACGATGACGACACTGAAGAAGTAATCGATGAGAAAGACAAAGACGTAAAAGTGCCCAATAAATATAATCTGCAGGCCGGTCCTGTGTAGACATACCTAGTATTTAAATTAAGATAACTTTATTTTTTTTTTACAACGCAGGGGGCAAACTAGCATGCGGCTATTTTTAAACGATATGAATATTAATAATTTCGAAATAATTTTATGATAAATATAAAATTGTACGAGTAAGTAAATGTTTTTCTTTTTTTCATTTAAGAGTTTCCTCTTGTCGGTGCAACTAATTCATGCATCTTCCTCCAGCCAGCTCTATCCCAGGCCATATCCTTTATCTCCCTATACGACATGACGCCTAGTGTTAAATGTTTTTATAGAAAAATATTTTGATCAATTTTTATTTTTATTCCTATCTATTAATAAATAATTATTTATGCTGATATTCTAAAAGATGGGCTACCTGTTAGAATGTAGGGGGAAAGGAATTGTTAGTAATGGAGATTTACTAGCTTCATTACTAACAAACCTTATCAGGTCGACCTCTACTCGGTTCTCTCTGGAAACCATTGTAGTTAATTCTTGTGGAATTTATCACGATGGACCAACTGACCTGCTTCATCTTCACTTATCATCCCTCACTGGTGCCCTGCCAGTATATACCGACAGTGCTGGCGGGGTTACCATTCCAGTATCATTCCACAAAAAAAAAACCTGTTAGAATGTTAGCGTGGCGCAGAAATGATTGGTGCTATAGTAACACTCGAATGTAACACACTAATATGCTTAAATAGGTGACTGCTTCGAATATAAAGTAATTCTAAAAGATGTATCAAAAAATCGGGTTATATTCGTATGATTTTGACAGTTTACGGCCACCATATTTATTTTTATTTATACAACAAGTTCAACAAGTTGTTTTAATGCACAAAGATTATATAGGACATGTATATATATATACATACGATATCTACTCATTACCATTCTTCCTTCGATAGTCGAGAAATAAAATAAAAATATAATAGAAGATATTTTGGTATAATCGACCTTTTTTTTTTAATTTGGCTAGACAAGCTCCCACGTGTCTAGATGTAGTCGTTGAACAGTAATTAGTCATATTTAAAATGTACTTTTAAAAATTTTATTCGATATAGTAATTGAATCTATAACTTTTAAATTTACGAAAAATAAAAATAATAAAATCCATCAATTATTCACATGTCAATATATTTTATTTTAATAAGAAATTATAAAAGTAGTAAAACAAATTCGTATTTATACACCTATTTCGCTGTACATATTTTCCAAGCGCTCCTCGATCAATCTCGGAAAAACTTTATCAGGGAATAGTGGCATTCTGGCCATTTCCAGTGACTCTTCGGAGTAGTCCGTTGTCTCGTCAGTGTATAACTCAGCCAGGTGATCTTGGTAGATCCTCTCGCATTCACTTGGATGTTCGCTTTTTATTGTGCTCGGATGGTAACCAATGGCTTCTATCGGCCCAACAGTAAGGTATGGCACTTGTGTTGTTACTTCGAAGTGTTTACCTAAAATAATATGACATAATTAATTTTATGATTTGCTATGTGTGCCCTATGGGTCATCCCTTCCTTTCCCGTAGGTGTCGTAAGAGGCAATTAAGGGAGAGCGAGGGATGGGCAGCAGCGTCCCTCTTGAAACATCTTCAAACGCCTAACTGCGGTTGCCAATTCGCCTGTAAAGCGTGGCAACTACTGGCAAAACTCCCTTTATGGGGAACGCTTATGTCCTGCATTGGACAGTAATCGGTTGAAATAATAATAATAAATTTTATGACAAATTTAAAATTCATCAGTATTGCATGTATTTTTTTTTTTTTGATCGATGAAAATGGTATGGTAACCCCGCCAGCGATAATGGGATACGCTGGCGGAGCACCAGTGAAGGGTGATAGATGAGAATGAAAACAGGCCAGTTAGCCCATCATGATAAATTCATCAGGAATTAACCATGATATTTTCCAGGGAGAACCGCGAGGAGGTCGACCTGGTTGGGTATATTGCTAGCAATGGGGTTCTTAGTCTCCCTTACTAATAATCCCTTTCCCTCTTATTGCATGTATTACATCTCTATATTTAAAAATGACAGAATTTTCATCGTGCCTTGGATCAAACTGTTTATTACTTCTCTCGATTCAAAGGTTATTTGGAAGAGATCGCTTTTAGCGATAAGGTCGCCCATTGTTTTCTCACTGTGATTATTCTTTGTAATTCTTTGTACCTATTTATAATAAGTTTACTATATTGTAATCTTTTGGAGGTAACAATAAAGAGTAGTATAGTTATAGATTCTACTGCTGCATAGATGATTAAGAATAATAAATTAATAACTATATATTCGTGCTATAAATTATCATGAAGTAACGAGTTTATGGATTTAGTATCTATAAATGTCAGCAAGAATGAAGCGTAATAGTCTAGGTCCATTCACAGTCAACTAGGTTTTTTTTATGGGATGAAAATTGTATGGTAACTTTGTTTGTTTTGCCATCTGTATTGTTTATCGGTATACATACGCTGGCGGGGCACAAGTGAGACACGATGGGTGAGGATGAAATCAGGTCAGTTGGATCGTAGTTTCGAATTCCGAAATATATATCAGAAATGATAGTTTCCTGGGGGAACGGTATGGAGATTGACCTTACGGGGTTTTTGTGAATAATGGGTACTAGTATTCGCATTACTTTCGCATTACATTTGTAACGATGGATGAATAGGTGAATGGATGTTTGTTACAGTTACAGAACGGATTTCAATGACTTTAGTACATGGGTAGATTTTATCCTAAGTGTATAGGACATTTTATATATTATGGCGTGAATTTATAGGGTACAGAGGAATAACACCTGAGTCCTCAGGAATGGCAACGCATGGGGGTGTCATGGGCAAAACAGTATATTCTGTTATGTCCACGGTACTGTTCATGTCTATAGGCGACGGTTACCACTTTCCATCAGGTGGGCCGTCAGCTTGTTTGCCATTCTAAGTTGTATAAAAAAAATACAGATTCGTGAGTGATGCCACGAATCTGTATTTTTACTGCTAGTAGGGATACTGCTAGTAATAAATAATATGATAGATTATCAACCTTACGATGTATACTCACGGTCAATATGATCAGGTATGATAACTGTAGCCACGGTCTTGGCCAACCGCTCGCCATAATAGTCTCCCAAGATATCAACTTTAGCTCCGTGCATCTCTTTATAGCTGGGTCTCTCATTGCATTCCTCCATATGACGTCTCCCCGGGTGAGGTTTCTTCGGTGGAGGAATCTCTGTTAGGGGCACAAAGTTCTTGGCCACTCTTGCACCTACAGGCTTCACTTGGATCAACCTTTGCAGTTGAAGAAAATTGTATATAAAATTTAAATTCTCGTTGATAATTCAATAAGATTTTGAGCTTCTATACTGACACGCTACCTTTAGCTGTCGGATTAGTAAAGGAGGCACATTTTTTTTTTTTATTATTTTTCTGTCCATCTTACTTTGGGGAAAATGTTTAATTTTAAGGGGAATATTTCCTTAAAAGAATAAATCCCTCAACAAAAAATAGCTTATATTTGACTCTCATGCATTATCAACTTTATAGGTTTACATTTTATTTATAAAAGTTGAGTGACTATATTCTAAGCTACTGGCAAACTTAGAATAAGGACTAAAGCATAAAATGATAAAATAAGAACAGTAAGTATCTCAAATGCTTGTCTCTTTTTCTCTTACACAGTATTAACTTGCGAAAAAAGGATGAGAAGTGTGCTGTCAGATATTATTTTTTGTTGGGCTATTGGAAGAAGTGCATAAGTATATTTTATGTCCGCTATATAAAATGTTGATTCTAACTTGTTCTATTATAATAAAAAAAAAACGTAATACTCACTTATTCATCACAACACTGTTTCTTATCTCGCAATGTACATGACTGCTGATATGTAGAAATACAAGTAGATAGATTAAAAACATCATTTTTGCTCTTCAGCAGTGTAACGACATAGTCGGTAGTAATACGGAGCGGGTATGCAGCGCTGTTTTAAGCTAAATCCCACATTATTCGTATTATCTGATAATGGTAACAATGTGGGCATTGTTGTAGTACAATGCACAGGTGGTGGATTGCTTTTATTTCGTTTTGCATTGCCGATCGTGAACTTTACAGGTATGCTAATCAAGGTTTAGTTCAAATTGATAATGCAGTCTCATTCGCGGTGCATTTTAGAGATGTAAATAAGTATCTACATGGATGAACTTTAATAATTATTTTTGTCTCTTATTTTTTAAATAACGAATTATATGCAGTGTGCATAATTATTTACTGTAAATTATTATTTATACATTTATAAGAATAGATCCCACACAACAATCGGGAAAGGTGAGTAATGAAAAATGATTTTTTTTTTAATAATTTTTAAATGAGAAATATATATTTCTTTTATTCCATATTCAATTACAATATTATATGGTAATAATACAAAATTGAATTAATATATATAATTATTTACATGTTTAAATCAGAGGGTCTACCATGAAGTGTTTTCCGAAATTTCGGAGCCAAACGAAACACAAATTTGATGTTAAAATTGCATAATACATGCCGTTTGGAAATATTAAAAATGTTAAAATATTGTTTCTTTGGATGTTTATGATAGGATGTATGATAAACGAAATGTTGAATTCCATTTATTGATCCGATTTTGGTATAAACAAAAACACGAAATTGAGTCCGAAATTTCGGAATTTCATTTCATGGTAGACCCGCAGGTACTAAAAGTTTGTATAAATAGACAAACAATAATAATTAAAACCTAAATATATATTCGTTGGTTAAATAAATACATCACAAATATAAAATAAATATAAATATAGGAGTATGTTTATAATTTATCAGTGGATACTATTGTGAACTGATTGTAAGAAAGAAAACGCCGGTTCGTGTTGAAAAGTTATACTGTCAGTATACATAAAAAAATGAATAATTAAAAGAATACAATATTGGAAATACAAATTACAATGGAGTTTGTAACAGATACAAATTATTGTCTTTAAAAAGTAGGTAAGATTACGGAGATGTCTTTTGTATTGGTATTAATTTAATATTTTATATAACAAATAGTACATCTAATGAAGTCGAAATTGTTAAGTAATTAAATTAATAATTAATATATTTAATATTTTAAAGTATTATTAAACTCTAGAAGAATCTCGACTTTTTCTTCTTATAGATAACAGGGTCAAGATGCCAAGTCTGATTGCCTCCGCATGAGATGAGTGTGAAGCATCCACCGTACACTATAGGGGGGTCTGTGTCTGGAACGCAGATGTTATCCTGGCAGAAGGTGGCTGTTCCTGAAGAGTAGAAATAAATATTAGAGAAAAAAGAAAGTATAGAGAAATAGACTTATTTTTAATAAATAACTAACATTGTATTTTTCGCTTGATAATCAATATTCCGTCAAGAATCGAAATTAAGACTTTATGTGATCAATAAAGTACGATTTATGTAAAACCACTGAGATATTTCACTAATATTGTAAATGTTCATGTTTGTAAAAATATTAAAATTTTAGATAAATCGATATTTATTAATTTATCATGCTTAAACGATTGAAATTATTTGAGTAAAATTTAGCATGTACACAGATGGGTCATGTTTTTTTTTATTCTTATTTCCTGTGGTAAAATCGCGGGTAAGTAATTTATTAAGTAAGCAAAATGGTAAAAGGATGATGCTCCTTGATGCTCATTGATGTTAAGCAGTTAATAAAATATTTGAAAAATTTTATGTTTGTTATATATATATATATATATATATATATATATGTATATGTATCATTTTTCCATTAAAAGAAAGAAGGAATTTCTATTTAAGTAAACTAAAATTTAAGCATTTTCGAATAGGTAGTCATTTCATATTCGAAGTCGTGCTTCAGGTTTTTTAGTTTCAGTTTAGAAGAATGAATGACACTTACCAACATAACCTGTAGGTCGTGCCTGACGTTTATTTTTCACGTAGTCCACAATGGCCTTGGACAAAGCGTAAAAGTGCTTGCTGGCTTTATATCTCATTTTGGCGAGAGCTACGTCACAGTCACTTTTATCAGCTCGACAGTGGTACACAAGGTTTTTTGTGTTGGCTTTGATCATTTCTTCACGGAGGACTTGATATTTCGTGTCGGTGTACAGCATTTGCGCGAAGCGAACGTTTACTGTAAAAAACAAAATACTAAACCGATTTTGATAAAAAAAACCATTTTCCAAATCGGTTTAGAACTGACGGAGTCATGAGGTAAAAATACTATGTAATTGAGAAGCTTTTTGAAGTCGGTCGATGAATGCGTTTAGTGTTAAAACGATTGAGTTGCAAAATTTTTTTTAGTTATGTTTTTTTTTCATAGCACTGGGGGTAAACGAGCATGCGGCTCACCTGATGGTAAGTCACCCGCAACACCAGAAGCATTGCAGGTGTGCTATCGGCCTTTTTAAAAAGGAATATGCTCTTTTCTTGAATGTCGTGTCGAGTTAAATTGAAATCATTAGCATTCTTTGCAACATTGTTATCAAAAGAATATGGGTCGAAATCGAAAAAAATTCGAATCCCTCATACTGACACAATGCATTCACAGTTAAGTCAATAAGGGAGGTATAAAACTTTTGTTTTTAAATTTGTTATTCACTAAATTTTTGTACTATAGCTATGGGTATTGAATAGATTCTTAGTAGAACGTACTTGTAACGATTTCTATTTAATCTTCTCACTTATTGCACTCAGAAATATTAATATAGAAATAATACTACAAATAATAATTACAATTAGACACGATGTAAGCACACGTGCAAAATTTTAGATATATTTAAGTCTTAAAAAAACCAAGAAGAAGGCCAATAATACAAATTTTGTCATGCAATATTTTATTAACGTGAAGTTTCAATTCTTAGAACTGTTGACTTTAAGCAGATGATTGGTTGTAAAAATAAAAGCCTAAACTTTGAACATATTACGCCGACCCCAAAATTTAAGTAATTGAGACAAGATAGATAGATAGATAATTTATTTACATTACTTACAGCACACAAATTACAATAAAAACATACATATAATACACAGCAAAAGAGATAAAAGAATGAAAATAAAAAAACAAATAAAAAAAAAACAAAAAACAAAACAAAATATATAAACTAACAATCTTCTTTCTTTCCCTTCCTTCATGCGTATGCTATAATAACACAAAATGGTCACAACTCAGTTTATTGCTTTGCCCTTAAAAGAGCAAAACACTGATATTCTGCTGTGGCCAAGAGTAAGATGATCATGATTAAAGTGGCAGTTTCTATGGCATACTGGAACGCTTATCACTTTGACAGCGGGCTCTTTCATTTCCAAGGATATATTTATCATCATTTCGGTCATTGTCCGTCCACTGCTGTACATAGGCCTCCCCCATAGATTGCCATAAGGAACAGTTCTAAGCCACCTGTATCTACTAATCCCTGCAATGCATTTGAGGTCGTCATTCCATCTAGTATCTAGTAGGGGTATCATTCTACACTGCGTTTGCTCGTACGGGGCCACCACTCAAGAACCTTTCTTCCCCATCGGTTGACAGTTCTTCGAGCTCCGTGACCAGCTTATTAACATTTCAGTTTGCTTATCCATCAAGGATATCTTATGAAATATAAATACAATAATAAATTCACAGATTCGCTAGATCGTTTGACACGTTCTTGCCAATAAATTAGCGAAGTAACAGAATTCTGTCGCAGAGCCATTATTACAAGCAGCCCATCAATCAAACAGGTTTATAGCTAATAATGGTATATCTATTAGTAAACACTCCCACTGTTGGCATTTAATTCTAGTTTTACGCGGTCATTTGAAAAGTGCTAAATGCCTCTCTAGCAAGGAATCACTTTGGTTTCTATCAATCTTGTGATTTATATTTCGTATGAGATTAAAAAAAGACATTAAAGTTTTTAATGTTTTTGGTTTAGAACAAACTAGTAGGATATTAAAACTAGTTGGTTTATTTCTTTTATTTTCTGCTGTTTTGTATACCTCTAATATTATATGCGTCTAATAATAATGGATGCATGTTTGTTACACTTTCACGTAAAAGTTACTGAACGGATTTGAATGTAACACACGGGTTGAAGTACACGGGTAGGTTACATCCTAACTTAGTACACAGGATACTTTATGTATTAATTCACATGGGCGAAAGCGCGGGATACAGCTAATGTTGTATATATTTTTTTAATGTCTAAATTCTGTTTTGCTATGTCTAAGTTTTTATTAGCCTGGTCATGTCAGATTTGTAGATTGACGAAAAACGTTTGCCATTTATAATAATTTTATTTTTATAATAATTGATCATTAATTTTTTTTGTGATTATGTGAAATGTTTTAGTATATATATATATATATATATATATATATATATATATATATATATATATATATATATATATATATATATAACTAAATAATATATTATAGATTATGTAATTTTTAATTTGTAACAATGAAATCTTTGCCTGCAAAAAAATATAAATAAATAATAATTATAATGGTTTATATTATTACACGGATATTGTTAAACATTAAACCTATATGTAATTTCATGTATAATATATATTATGTATCACATCATAATTTACACACTTCATTGGATGGGTTATGGCCACAATTGGTCATAACCAATTAGATATTAAATTTATGGTAAATACTGTATTGTCATATTTGTAATAAATGATGATTAAACATCGTTAATAAACGTAATGGATCCGAGAGACGACGGTGGACTCTGCATCGCTGTATTTGATTCGATTATCGTATTTAAAAGCACACGTCGAAACTGATAAGTTGATTGTTACTTACATGGTACAACACAGTGACAATAATTGCTATAATGTCGATTCGAAATTACCGTATGAATAAATTATTCGTTCTCGAATTATGCATATTGAAAGACGGGTTGTTCAATTAACGTTGCAGTTTTGACAGAGACCAATATTTATTGAATTTACTGAATTTACTGGGTACAGAGAAATAACATCTGAGTTCTCAGGAATGGCAACGCATGGGGGGTATCATGGGCGAAACAGTATACTCTGTTATGTCCATGGTACTGCTCATGTCTATAGGCGGCGGTTACCACTTTCCATCAGGTGGGCCGTCAGCTTGTTTGCCATTCTAAGTTGTATAAAAAAAAAAAACATTAACCTACACGTTAGAATTGTAGTAATGGAGGAAATATTATTATTCAACTGTGCAGCGTATGAGGAAACAAAGTAACAATACAAAATTATTTTGACACATTTAAAAAAAATTATAGTCTAAGACATAAAATAATAAGATCAGGTTCCAAATTTAAATTAAAAAAGAAAGTTTAGTGTCATAAATAAAATATCAGCCAGCATTAAAAATATAAGATTATAATTCTGTTTTTTGGTTTTTTCTATCTACGTAGTGATTATTTACTCTGTGTGCTAAATAACATTTCTACAAAACTATAAACATCTATGTACATAAAAGAAATAGATTTTTCACTCCTATATGATTTTCTAAAAATAGTAATCATAGGTGACGCAGTCGGTATATCCCTTAAGTTTGAGCAATATGATTTGGAACAGTGTTTACCAAAAAGGTTTTGCTGTAAATCGTCGATCTATCTATATAATGTAATTTTTAGAAAAGAAAAAATTATTCAGAGAGAATTGTATATTTTTATTAGAACAATAAAGGACAACACAAGAGGTAAAAAGTTTTCCTCTGATTAATCTTATATTCTTAATATTTCTCCTTCGCTTAAAATATTTATGCCTAAATAATAGTTTAGGTTAATCATCTAAAAATTACAACAATAGTCTAATAATTACAATAATTTAATAATTACAAAAATTAGAACAACGACGACTTACACTCAGCGCCAACAATAATTACAAAAATAATTACAATAATCTAATAATTACAAAAATTACAACAACGACCACTTACACCCAGCGCTAACAATAATTACAAAAATAATTACAATAATCTAATAATTACAAAAATTACAACAACGACCACTTACACCCAGCGCTAACAATAATTACAAAAATAATTACAATAGTCTAATAATTACAAAAATTACAACAACGACCACTTACAGCCAGCGCCAACAATATAACTGTCCATACGACCAACATAGTAGGCGAAGATCACAAACACATACAAAACCACCCTCATGCTCCTCAGTTAGAAAACTAACAACTATGAACACTTATGGGCATTTAATGGTCCAATTAGGCTCGCATTAAATGACTCGTAAATTGGCAATCAAAGCAGAATTGGATGTTTACTGCTTTGATTGGAAATAAAGATTGAATGTACCGGAACCTGAATACGAAACGTCTGGGTTAGACGCAAATTACGTGTATAAGAGACTCAATTAATTTCTTATTTAGTAATGAAGATAGGGTATAGGGAGATTGATAAAGGCAGAGATGATATTGAACTAGGTACATTATTGGAAAAATTAATAGATTAAATAATATTAGAAATAATATAATTTTATTCGTGCCTCTGGTCAAAACTGTTTATAGTACATACATTACTCCTTTCCATCCAAAGGTTGCCTGGAAGAGATTGTTTTTAGCGATAATGTCGCCTATTGTTTCCTCAGTGTTTTGTATTTTTTGTAATTGTTTGTATCTATATATATAAAGTTTACTGTTGTAATTTTTTGGAGGAAACAATAAAGAGTATCTATATTAGATATATACTCTCAAGGTCGTGAAGATATGAAGATGAATATGAAAAAATGATGACGTCTTTGCATGCGTTGATTGTCTTTAAGTTTCGATAAATTATTTCTATTATTAAATATCTAATAAAAATAATCAAAATATTGACATATGTCAAACCTTCTATATTCAACTGACTTCAAAAAGAATGAGGTTCTCAAGTCGGTTGTATTTTTTTTTGATATTTATTATCTTATAACTCCGTCAGTTTTTATCCGATTTGGAAAATTCTTTTTTTATCTGAAAGGGTATACTTACAAATTGGTCTCTTAGAAATTTTATCAAAATCTGTTTAGTACTTTAATTTTTAGACCAAAATAAATGGTTTTGTAACAGTTGAAGTCGGTTACAATTAAAATTAAAATTTTCTCATTTTCAATGTTAAAGTAAATATGTACATATCTTGAAACATTTATAATAGAATGACAGTTTAATAATTTCTATGCGGACAGCGACATCTATATTGAGAGTTGTGCGGAAGATATTGAATTCCAAACAATTAACAATAGTAAGTTTCGAAATCGTGACTCAGAGGTCCGAATGACTTGTAAACGACTGCGGCCGTTAATTATCCGTGCCCCTGTCTGACAAGAGATAGCACCGAATTATAACCGCATTTCACGCTTCAGACCTAATCTACTGACTCTCCTTTTACGGTTGGGTCCCTGTTTTAGCTTAGAATAGTATAGACAGGGGCATCTTTAAAATAATATTTTAGGAGATTTTCAATTCGTCTATACGACGTATGTATTTTTTTTTATGTTTTTGAAAACAACAGCTGTGTTTCTTGTCCTTGCTTCTGAACTGAAATTTCATTTCTAACTGGGCTGTAGATTGATAAATAAAAACGAGTACTCAAAAATACTTATGATTAAGATTAAATAAGATTACTGGATAATGTTTTTTTTACATATTTTATTTATTAGGGAGTTAATAGTTTTTTTTCAGTGTATGTGCAAATTTAATAAGAATAATAATATTTATTGGCTATTCTAAAACAACATATGTCTATGTATTGCGATCAGTAAGCAAAATACTGCACGCGTGCAATCTGAACTATTCATCGCCTATAATATTGTTCGCCTTCTACTACGACACTTCTGTTTAGCTTAATTGGCGAAACATTTCGTTTGTTTGCTTGTATGTAACGCGTCGGATGGTATCTATTTGTTGTTTCGCATCAAATCGTAGTACAAGTACTGCGGGCGTCACAGTAGGTATATTGTGTACTGTTCATGACAGTTAAGAATACCTGGAGACGTCACTTAGAATATCCAGACTCGATATAATCCAGAAAAGTTCGTATCATAAATCGGTTCAACTGGGAATTCATCTCGGGGCCTCGTTTATAGCAACGTATCTGTCATTGCATTACTGAGGAGGTTATAAAATTTAGAACTAGAAATCATGTATCTAAAATTAGATATTACTTCATAATTCACAACGAGAGCGTACGGATGATTTTTACGCAATACGGCGCAAAGGAATTGTTTCGCTGTTGGGTAGGGTGCGTGTTAGCTCAAACAGTGTCCTGAAGACAACTGCTGATAAAATGGACTGTGCCCTCCTAAAATATTGGGTGGGACAGGTTATCAATGTAAGAGCGTTATGACCGCTCATTTACTAACATAGGTTAAGTCAATTTGTAACTAACAAAATGGGCCTTATGTAGTCTGATTAAATAAATATTATTATTATTATTATAATAAGCAGGTATTTGCACCATGAAGAATTCTTAGGGAATTCGTCACGATTGGTTAACTGACTTGCTTATATCCTCATTTATCATCACTCTTACTAGAGGGAAACTTTGTACAAAAGTCGTTTGCTTGGGCATCTCTGTCCCATTCGTGTTTCTACCTTGAAGCAGTTTTGTTTGCATGGCTGTGTTTCGGTTCGAAGGGTGGGATATGGCAGTGAATTTACAGGGTACAGAGGAATAACACATGAGTCCTCAGGAATGGCCACGCATGGGAGGTATCATGGGCGAAACAGTATACTCTGTTATGTCTATGGTACTGGTAGGCGATGGTTACCATTTTTCATCAGGTGGGCCATCAGCTTGTTTGCCATTCCAGGTTGCATAAAAAAAACTCACTAGTGCCTCGCTAACGTACACCGATAGCGCATGCGGGCTGCCATTTCATTATCACCCATTAAAAAAATCGTGTACATAACATGCGCGCAAAGAATATGTAAAGAGAAAAATAGACTTTAATCAAGAATCGAATAAAAACAAAAGTTCTAAGTTTTGTAACTTGTAAAAAATCTACAGTCTAAACTAAGCTATAGCAGGCACTATAGAACTTAGAATATTACGAGTAACTATAAAATTGTATCTAATAGGCAATGGACATAGTCCCGAATAAAACAGTCGCACGCGCACAATACTGGAACAATTGCGTACGTTTCCGAACGCACTAATTGTCTCACAAAATAATGTATCAATTGCTTATCGACGCGGCCTCCAGCCGTGGCGCCTGGCTCTGCTAATAACTCCACACCATTGTGTTCTAATTCACGCCAATAGCTATCTGTATGATATGTGTTCACTATTACAAAATCGATACAATTCGATCGAGTCCAATCGTAATAAACTTTGCAACTGTTTTAGATATCACAGCAGGACTAATTTAATCGACACAGATACGACAGATAGTCAAAAAGATCAGAAATAAAAGTAAATAAAATCGAAAAAGGAATGTTGCGTTGGTTTGGTCATTTGGAGAGGATGGACGAAAGAAGAATTACGAAAGAGATTTATCGAGCAAGAATGGATGGAGATGTCGGTAGGGGTCGCCCTAGACGGACGTATGTCGACCAAATAGGCGACGTGCTGAAGAAGGGCCAAATTATAAATACCCGTAACCGGCGAGCGTGTATGAAAAGATTGATGAATGTGGAAGAAGCGAAAGAGGTTTGTTTGAATCGAAGCATTTGGCGTTCCATTGTTTCTGACTACCCTAATGGGAGACAGGCGTGACAGATATGTATGTATGTATGTATAAAAGTATTAGATAGATAGATATATCATTTATATATTTGCATTACTTACAGCACACATATATCAACAGATAAATATACACAAAAAATAATAAAATAATACATATACAAAAAAAGAAAAATGCATAAAAAAGTAACGTAATTAGTTTTCTATATAAGTTTACCGATCATGTACAAAAATATTGTCTTTTTAATCGATTCGAATTGTGAAATTTTAGATCGATGTATAAAAAATCGATGATCAAACAATCGATATTACACAATTCAATTTTGATTTTATAAATGATGTTGAAAGTTGAAAAAGGAAAACTACACTAGAAAATAAACAAAGAGAATAGCACGTTAATAGAAATATACAGATAAATCTTTGTCCGATAATTTTTGTTTTAATACACAAATATTACGTCGCTCCATCTTGGAAAAATTGATAGGTACAAAAAATGGAAAATCGAGATTATATAAATCTCGATTTTCCATTTTTTATATTTGATATATTAAACTTTTAGACATCGATTGTCACTTTTCATGAGGCGGATCGTCAGCTTAACAGTCATTCTGATTTATATAAGTAGTAACAATCCAGCTTCGGAACAATGATTTTACATGCAATAATTAAGAATATAGATAAAACATACTTATAACTAATGTCTGCACAACTTTAATTCTAATAATTATCAAGACTTTTTGATAATTACCATATTTGTTTTACCTGTAGCTGTTTATTTTACAATTGAAGATATAATTCAAAACATATCGTTCTTAAGATGTTTTACAAAATTTATAAGCGCATACTACCAAGTGGGTGTCCATTTCAGAGTTATGACGGACAGCACAACCAGACGTACAATGCAGGTGAATTTATAGACGAGATACCCATTAAGCATGTAGTCTTGTTGACTAATAACCAATCCAGGTTTGCGTTTGTCTAATTAATTTTTATGCCATTATGAACTCTATTGTATTGGAAAAATAATGAAGGGATAGAAAAAATTATTGTTTTACGAATTAATTATGTAAGTTTGTGGGCATCTCTCTCTCAGTGATGATCAAATCGTCATTACAAACGTAATTGTTTGTGATAACGTGTTCGAATAAAGGTAATCGTCATCGTCACATTTATCGTTTGAATTCGTCGTTTCAATTATTGTTGCAGGGGGGGAAAGTGATTGTTAGTTATGGAGACTGAGAATCCCATTGCTAGCAATATACCCAACCAGGTCGACCTCCTCGCGGTTCCGCCTGGAAACTATCATGGTTAATTCCTGATGAATTCATCATGATGGGCTAACTGGCCTGTTTTCATTCTCACCTATCACCCTTCACTGGTGCTCCGCCAGCGTATCCCGTTAGCGCAGGCGGGGCTACCATAACATTTTCACCCATCAAAAAAATTATTGCAGTATTTTGGAGAGTACATGGATCAAAGATTTTGGTATCTGCAAGCCCTAATATGTATATCAAATAGAACATT